GGCCCTCTAGTTCGACCGACGAAAGGCAATCGCTATTTGCTGGTGGTGATGGATTACATCTCACAGTGGCCTGTAGCATATGACTTACCAAACCAAGAGGCTAAAACCGTTGCCACGGTTATCGTAAATGAGTTTGCCTCGATTCGGAGTCCCACTCGAACTACACTCTGACTGACCAGGGAACAAACTTCGAATCTGCCGTGTTTCAAGAAATGTGCCTGTTACTTAGCATTAAAAAGACTCGGCGAACTACACCCCTGCATCCCGAATCGCAAGGAATGGTTGAACGTTATCATAAAACAATGAAGACCCAGCTTTCACTGTTTGTGCCCGAACATTAAAAAGATTGGGCCTAAGTAAGTGCCACTACTTCTGATGGCTTATCTTATGACGACTCGTGCCTCTACGCATTTCACTGGCTCCGCACGATTGATAATTGGACGAGAGATTAGAATGCCGATTGATTTGGTTTACGAATGACCTGATACGAAGGATGTTCAGAGTCACTCTAACTATGTGGAAGAGCTGCAAGAGAATTTGCAAATGATCCATGAGTTTTCGCGCAAGTATATTGGACAAAGTTTTGAAGTGATGAAAAAACGGTACGATGGGAACAGTGCAGCCTGTGTATTTAACGAGGTCGATCAAGTTTGACTGTACAATCCCCACAAAAAAGGGAGCACCGAGCTGATGCGACTTTCGGAAGGACCATATACGTTATCATTAAGCGGTTATCGGGATTTGTTCACCCAGACAAAAAACCACAGATAAATTTAATAGCAAATAAAATATAAAGAATTATAACAGATAACAACTCGGTTTCTCTCGCATGCTTATTGTTTACGAGTTTCTCTCTCGTCTTCGTTTCACTACATAAAGTCTTAAAATAGAATAATTAACCTATATTAGAAATGAAAAAAATCGTCTGTGGACATCGGCAGTGTCAGGCAGAAGTATGGAATTCGGAAACAGACATTTAAAAAAGTACACCATCATTGGCTTCTGTAGATTTAATATACCAAATGCTATACCTAAATTCAGTAAACTAATTTTTAATCCGCTAGCTCTGTTTAAAGAAATGTGTAAGTTACTGGGGACCGTAAAAACTAGAACTCCATTACACCCTGATTCAGATGGCATGGTACATTTATGGGATAAAATTTACACCGGCAGAAATTATTATGGGACATGCATGCACACGAATCCCTGCTTTCAACTTTAAAAAATATCTGATCAGAAAAAAATATCTTGATATGCCCTGTTAATAAAGCAATTATATAACTTACTTTTACCATCAGTTGATTCGGATTTCCACAGGATGTTGCGATAACACACGTTCGTTCGTTGATGCTTCATCGCCGATGACAAGATTAGGTCAGAAGTGAGTATTTTCTTGCACAACTGAGCCATGTGCAAAATACTACACGTTATGCTGGATCACGTAGGTTTTCTGTTGGATTACACCAGCGCTGACTCTTGGATTTTGTTGAAAGTATTGTTGCACTTTGTTGATATTTTTACGATGCTTGCTCTCATACAGAAAGTCCTGCATTCCGATTTAAGCTAATAGCTGGTGTAAAAAATTTAGCAAAAATGTTTTAAAACGGTTCTGGTAGACGACGGTCGGAAATCTGTTTCGTCACGTTCGGCGACCCGCCATGGACTTAATTCTTATCATATAGGATTCCAGCACCACGAGGCGACGTTTTTCAGCTGTGAACTGCCCAGCAACCATGATGAAGCATATATGAAGCATAAATTCAAATCCACATTTCAGTAATATCGAATTAATGTTTGCCACGGAGAACTTACTTTACAGTCATTTCGTTTTAATACACTTGATCAAGATTTGACCATTTCCAATTGTTAAAAGTTTATTACACCGTCATTCATATTACGTGGATAGCAGCTAAATTGGAACGGAATGCCCTAGCCAGCATTGTTAACTTCTTATTTCATCTGTAATATCCGCTGTATTTCCATGAAAAGTTGTTTAATTCTCACTTTCCTCACGCGGTGACATTATTTGGACGCTCTGTATATACGTCCAATGCTGCACGATATTAATTATGTACCAGATGAAATATCAGCATTTTATGAAGATGCTCTTCCCTTATCTCACGTGGCCTTTCAGCAATCTTGATTTAGAGCGAATGTTAGTGCAGTCTTCTGGTCAAATGCACTTTCTGTTCAATGCTTCTTTCGACTTCTCTCGACGATTTGCCAATCTGTACAGCTCTTCTTTGTGATGCCATGATCCACAATCGCTCATCATAAGATTTCTTACTGTTTTCGTTATAATCTGTTAAAACACAACAGTAACTAGCGAAAACGTACAACGGCACTTAAACAAGAAATTATTGGTCTAATTGAAAAATGGACGCTACCAAAAAAATGAACACTACCGAAAAAAAGAACGCTATCGAAAAAACGAACGCTACCGAAAAAATGGACGCTGTCGCAATTTAGCGAAACGAAAAGCCATATCAACAAACAAGAAAGTACTAGTGGCATATTTCAGCATACCTTCCGCCGTTAACAGGGGACTTATACGTTTGGAGAAATGAACGCTGCCGCAATTTAGCGAAACGAAAAGCCATATCAACAAACAAGAAAGTACTAGTGGCATATTTCAGCATACCTTCCGCCGTTAACAGGGGACTTATACGTTTGGAGAAATGAACGCTGCCGCAATTTAGCGAAACGAGAAGCCATATCAACAAACAAGAAAGTACTAGTGGCATATTTCAGCATACCTTCCGCCGTTAACAGGGGACTTACACGTTTGGAAAAATGAACGCTGCCGCAATTTAGCGAAACGAGAAGCCATATCAACAAACAAGAAAGTACTAGTGGCATATTTCAGCATACCTTCCGCCGTTAACAGGGGACTTATACGTTTGGAGAAATGAACGCTGCCGCAATTTAGCGAAACGAGAAGCCATATCAACAAACAAGAAAGTACTAGTGGCATATTTCAGCATACCTTCCGCCGTTAACAGGGGACTTACACGTTTGGAAAAATGAACGCTGCCGCAATTTAGCGAAACGAGAAGCCATATCAACAAACAAGAAAGTACTAGTGGCATATTTCAGCATACCTTCCGCCGTTAACAGGGGACTTACACGTTTGGAAAAATGAACGCTGCCGCAATTTAGCGAAACGAAAAGCCATATCAACAAACAAGAAAGTACAAGTGGCATATTTCAGCATACCTTCCGCCGTTAACAGGGGACTTATACGTTTGGAGAAATGAACGCTACCGCAATTTAGCGAAACGAGAAGCCATATCAACAAACAAGAAAGTACTAGTGGCATATTTCAGCATACCTTCCGCCGTTAACAGGGGACTTACACGTTTGGAAAATGAACGCTGCCGCAATTTAGCGAAACTAAAGCCATATCAACAAACAAGAAAGTACTAGTGGCATATTTCAGCATACCTTCCGCCGTTAACAGGGGACTTATACGTTTGGAGAAATGAACGCTGCCGCAATTTAGCGAAACGAAAAGCCATATCAACAAACAAGAAAGTACTAGTGGCATATTTCAGCATACCTTCCGCCGTTAACAGGGGACTTATACGTTTGGAGAAATGAACGCTGCCGCAATTTAGCGAAACGAGAAGCCATATCAACAAACAAGAAAGTACTAGTGGCATATTTCAGCATACCTTCCGCCGTTAACAGGGGACTTACACGTTTGGAAAAATGAACGCTGCCGCAATTTAGCGAAACGAAAAGCCATATCAACAAACAAGAAAGTACTAGTGGCATATTTCAGCATACCTTCCGCCGTTAACAGGGGACTTATACGTTTGGAGAAATGAACGCTGTCGCAATTTAGCGAAACGAGAAGCCATATCAACAAACAAGAAAGTACTAGTGGCATATTTCAGCATACCTTCCGCCGTTAACAGGGGACTTACACGTTTGGAAAAATGAACGCTGCCGCAATTTAGCGAAACGAAAAGCCATATCAACAAACAAGAAAGTACAAGTGGCATATTTCAGCATACCTTCCGCCGTTAACAGGGGACTTATACGTTTGGAGAAATGAACGCTACCGCAATTTAGCGAAACGAGAAGCCATATCAACAAACAAGAAAGTACTAGTGGCATATTTCAGCATACCTTCCGCCGTTAACAGGGGACTTACACGTTTGGAAAAATGAACGCTGCCGCAATTTAGCGAAACTAAAGCCATATCAACAAACAAGAAAGTACTAGTGGCATATTTCAGCATACCTTCCGCCGTTAACAGGGGACTTATACGTTTGGAGAAATGAACGCTGCCGCAATTTAGCGAAACGAAAAGCCATATCAACAAACAAGAAAGTACTAGTGGCATATTTCAGCATACCTTCCGCCGTTAACAGGGGACTTATACGTTTGGAGAAATGAACGCTGCCGCAATTTAGCGAAACGAGAAGCCATATCAACAAACAAGAAAGTACTAGTGGCATATTTCAGCATACCTTCCGCCGTTAACAGGGGACTTACACGTTTGGAAAAATGAACGCTGCCGCAATTTAGCGAAACGAAAAGCCATATCAACAAACAAGAAAGTACTAGTGGCATATTTCAGCATACCTTCCGCCGTTAACAGGGGACTTATACGTTTGGAGAAATGAACGCTGCCGCAATTTAGCGAAACGAGAAGCCATATCAACAAACAAGAAAGTACTAGTGGCATATTTCAGCATACCTTCCGCCGTTAACAGGGGACTTATACGTTTGGAAAAATGAACGCTGCCGCAATTTAGCGAAACGAAAAGCCATATCAACAAACAAGAAAGTACTAGTGGCATATTTCAGCATACCTTCCGCCGTTAACAGAGGACCTTAAGTTTAGAGAAATAAACGCTGCCGAAAAAATGAACGCTACCGAAAAAATGGACGCTGCCGAAAAAATGAACGCTACCGAAAAAATGAACGCTACCGAAAAAATGAACGCTGCCGAAAAAATGTACGCGGCCGAAAAAATGAACGCTACCGAAAAAATGAACGCTGCCGAAAAAATGAACGCTAGGGAAAAAATGAACGCTACCGAAAAAATGAACGCTGCCGAATAAATGAACGCTACCGCGGTTAGCAAATCGAAAAGTGATATCAACAAGCAGAAACAGAGGACCTTAAGTTGACCATAAGAAAACCATATCATGAAATATGCTTAAATGCACTTATCTTTCCGTTTGCCAAGGGTGATTTGTGTTGATTGATCCACAGTTGCTCATCATGAGGATCTGCTTTCGTTTTTGGCCTTGTCACATTTGAACAGTAATCTGTTAGAACAGAATTATCAAAAACTTTGTCACAACACTACTTTCTATCAATTAGTTAATATGGAAAATATGGTAGCAAAAAATTGTTGCTTAGTTAATGTAATAATAAAATACTTTACAAGATAAAATACAAGTCGAATATAAAGATAAAAAAATAAAATAAAATAATTTTTTTTAATAGTTGATAATGTTGAATATTCTGTAAGATCAGGTCTTTACTTTATGGATGCATGAAGATGACAATGAAAATGAACTAAATTGTGGAAAAAATAAGACGAGTATATGCTTTGTGGCTTAAAAAATGTATGAAGTATTTACTATTTATGATATTAAAATATATATAGACTACACCAGATAGTATTTGGTTTCTATAAAGGCCTGAAACTGTCATATAAAAAGGATTATAGTTTGAGAGTCCAAAAGCAGTTGATCTTGAATAACATAAAATTTTTTTCATCATTTAAATCTATCCTAAATTTATCCAAAAATTTGTAATAACTCCAGAAGCCAGGCTTTTCTACCTGAATTTGCACAGGCTAATAATTAGCCGCTAATTAATTAATGCACATGGCAGCTAGATTAACAAACACTTCCATATATAGCTACATAGTATCATTTTTTTTCATTTTATACATTAACAAACACTTCCATATATAGCTACATGGTATCAATTTTTTATTTATACATTAACAAACACTTCCATATATAGCTACATGGTATCAATTTTTTTTATTTTATACATTAACAAACACTTCCATATATAGCTACATGGTATCAATTTTTTGTATTTTATACATTAACAAACACTTCCATATATAGCTACATGGTATCAATTTTTTGTATTTTATACATTAACAACACTTCCATATATAGCTACATGGTATCAATTTTTTGTATTTTATACATTAACAAACACTTCCATATATAGCTACATGGTATCAATTTTTTTATTGTATACGTGCTTTGGAATTTGGATTTTGCATGCCAGCTAGCCCATGTCCCCTAGATCCGTTTGTTTGACAGTGTTTAGTGCTGTTCACACACTGACAAATTGGAAGACGTACTGTCGTTTGCTTGCCCAAGTTCGTCCAGAGGGATGATCCGTCTCTACTATATAAAATCAGGGCATCAGACCACTCCCAATCATTTCTTTCTCGGCTTTACACAAAATATATACAACCACGTACGAAATAAAAGATTATTTATGTTCATGATTTTGTACAATTCCACAAATTATAAGCGGCTTTTTTCGCCAGAAATTCTTTTGTAAGAACTAAGAAGAATTATTTAAAAAAAACAAGCACTTTTGTCACTTTACTACTCACTATAAGCCCCTGTCCCCTAGATCCGTCTGTTTGACAGTGTTTAGTGCTGTTTACACACTGACGAATTGGAAGACGTACTGTCTTTTGCTTGCCCAAGTTCGTCCAGACGGATGATGCGTCTCTACTATATAAAATCAGGGCATCTCAGACCACTCTCAATCATTTCTTTCTCGGCTTTACACAAAATATATACAACCACGAAATAAAAGATTATTCATGTTCATGTTTTTGTACAATTCTACAAATCATTAGCGGCTTTTTTCGCCAGAAATTCTTTTGTAAGAACTAAGAAGAATTATTTAAAAAATACCAAGCACTTTCGTCGCTTTACTATACTCTCTACATGAGGTACATTTATCCATGATATTTACGAGAAATAACAGCGAAGAAAAATACCATTTCATATTTTACTAATAAAGTACGAGAAAAGGAAATGTAATATACATAATAAAGCACCTGACTTTTACCTTTAATGAGGCTAGGTAGAGGTAGTAATGATTTTTGGAACTTCAATGCACTTGACTTTTTCAGTCTTGAATATAGCCTTGACAAGCGATTTATTAATTTTGCTTGCTATAAGCCTAAAACGACAGAAATGAACAGCTATTGTAAGACAATTTCAACCTAAAGCACAACCAGAATATCCGTATCCAAGCATTTCTTTGCGAATAGCAAAAAAACATTTGTAAAAATTGAACGTTGCAAATTTCAGTTCATATTATAACAAGACGGGCGAAGCAAAAATATGGCCGAACACGAGGTTGAATTCAACACAAAAATTCAGTTAATCACTTTTATGCCATGAATGTGGAGTACCTTACATTAAAGCACAAGAACATACCTCTTTTCTTTGCCAGGTTACCCAGAGTTTATGGGGCTAGGTCGAAGTAGTGATGATCTTTGGCACTTCAATGCACTTGACTTTTTCGGTCTTGAATATAGCTTTCAGCAAGCGATTTATTAATTTTGCTTGCTATAAGTCTAAAACGACAGAAATGAACAGCTATTGTAAAACAATTTCAACCTAAAGCACAAACAGAATATCATATCCAAGCATTTCTTTGCGAATAGCAAAAAAACATTTGTAAAAATTGAACGTTGCAATTATAACAAGACGGGCGAAGCGAAAATATGGCCGAACACGAGGTCGAATTCAATACAGAAATTCAGTTCAATGATCCTTTTTAAGCCATGAATGTGGAGTACCTTACAAGTTACAATAAAGCACAAGAACATACCTCTTTTCTTTGCCAGGCTACCCAGTTTTAAAAACCTGAATTTAATGAATTTATTGAACTTTTTACAGTAATTCTTGTTCTCAAGCAGTAATACCACAACGAAATTTTGAAAATGCCTCGCTCGCGGCTCGCACCGGCAGCCGGCGCGCCCAAACTCGTCTCACATCTGTCGCATGTTAAAAATACTGTCACATGATAACGAATCACTAATCCTATTGGACAAATAAAAAATTATTCTGATGTGGTCGGTTGTACAAAACCAGGGCGCTTATATACTATATAAGCGCCCTGTACAAAACAAAATGCTGGAGAGCGCTATCCATCGAATAAGGATCGGTTTTCTAATCGCTCTATATTATTCTCCACTTCTCTATAATCGCGCTATAATTTTCTAATCAAAACTAATTAAAAACATAATAAAAGTCTCAAAGAACAAATAAACAAACCCCTGCACCTGGATTATTCTTTTTTCGCCATGTCACCCCCGCTTCGTTTATCGCATTTTTGCGGCATGTTGTCGGCAATCGTCAAAATACGATTCACATTCGGCCAAGCCCGCGATATCCGGCCGCTGAACAACAACAAAAGTATTTTCATTTGCTACAAAACGTATTTTAAAAATGCTTTCTTTTTAAAATACATACGTTTACAACGAAAAATAGTTTATTTGGTATCCTCCATTTCTTGATATCCATTCTCTCGAAGACCCTACCAACCATGGTGTTGCCTCATCTTTTTAAAAAGGTAAGAATCAAGATCAGTTCTCTCCTGGTTTTATTTGTAGTGTATCAGAAGTAAAAATTTTTTGACATTGGGTTGACGTGGGCGTTGCTTGGGCGAATCGCCAAAGTCAGCCAATCACTGAGAATAAATCTGTGACGTAAGGCAGGCAACTATCATCCCGCAAAGATAGCCATTTTAAAGATAGCCGAAACTTTTTTGCAGTTTGACTCCGAACCGTTTACGAGAAGTTCCGATTTTGGTGGGGATGAGCCTGCTCGCAGGCTATTGCAAAATGTCGATGTTGTGTGGTGTTGTGCAATGAGGGGTAAAAGCTGTATCGTATTCGTATTTAAGATCAGTGGTTAAAATGGAAGAGTTGGATTCTGGTGGAAATGAAGAGAAGCATATACCATGCAGTGGTTTGAGGAAAGAGCTCAAAGATTGTATAATGTCCAGTGAGTGTGTTATAAAGGTAGTGTTTCAATATAACTTATATATATATACCTATATACCTTTGAGTGGCATTGACCAATCAAACTGCTTGATTTAAATCACATGTCGATCAATTAATCTTAAACTTCCTCACATAGTAAAAAAATCAAATACCATGTTCGAACATTGTATTTAACTTAAAAATACTGCATTCATGTGTTTACACACGACAGAGTAATATTATGCAGTTGGTATATAAGGTATTTTTTTTAAACAGAGTGGAAAAATTACAACATATCATATTTATCCACAGTTATTTTTATCCTACAGTATGGCAACAGTCCAAAGGAATGCCTACAAAGGCAATCAGAGGGTGTTGACAGTGAGTGCCGATTGACACAGCAAGCATTTTTTGAATGCAAACGATCCTTGGTAGGTATATATATATATATATATATATATATATATATATAATTATATATATATATATATGTATATTAAAATTTGTACACAAAAGTATTGAATGACTAAAAGTCTATCCCAAAACTTTATGTTTCTTTAGTTGGACTTCAGGAATCGATTTAGAGGGAGGAAAGGATATTAAGTATGTGGCATTGTACTGGTTGTAGGTGAAATAAAATAGGGTAAAAAGATCAAATTTCACACCAGTAATGAGACTGATATTGAACAAATGCAATAATGTAGCCTTAGCTAGTGTTATGCAAAAAGCTGTGAAACAGGTTAAACTACTAACTCTTGTTACAATAAATTTTAAGCATGTTCCATATGTACAAATATTTAGAGGTCAGTTGTGTTAAAGCATTTCATTGTTACGTAAAGCACGCATTGTATTGCCTGGTTTCCTTTTAGTCGTAGTTGTCCTGAATATGTCAAGGTGACTGATGTAAATGAACCATTTCTATATGCATGTGCAGTGAACCACACCAATTTGAATACAAAAATAAAGACAAATTTGGAACTGGACTATTTCTCATGAGTGAAAATGACTCGTTCACGACAATTACAACTAAATGGAAACCAGGCTTAATTAAATAAGGAGTTTTAGATGTGACTCAATATAGTCATCAAATGGCCAATCGTATTTAAGCATTGGTATGCCCTTGATAATGTCCACCACTCACTGCACTCAGTATTAAAAAAGGATAAACGTTTGCAACTACTACATATCTTCTAATCTTCAGTCGTAATTACTTACAGCAATAAACAGCTTACACAAAACTTAAAAAACAGAACATTGTGTTTGCAATTTGTCTTTTTCAATTAATGATGTAACGCGCATGTCACTTCGACATCCCAAACGATTTAATTCGGGTTTTTCTCGCTGAAACGATTAATGAAAAAGGGAGTTTATTTGATCTATACAATCTATACTTGCAGTAAGATTCTGTACATAACTATTATAACTGGTCTATGTGTAGGCTGTTTGCCTCTGCTGTGAAATTGGCGTCGCATGTAGAGTGTAGACAGCCGAATGATGTGTACTTTATACCACGCTTTATTCGTCCTATGTTATAATAAGGCTATTTATATTCATAATTCATTATTTTTATATTTAGGCTTTCTTCAAAAAAATTGGTCAACTCTATTTTCTGCTACCTTCTATACAAGTTTTCGAATTTTTATTTCAAGTGTTTTGATAGGCATAACTGCATATGCAGCGGCAATTATACTGAATATATAAGTGATACTCGACAATATCAAATCTGTGGAACATAATGTGTCGAAGTGGATGTTTTGAATTTATGTTTAATTAATTTGTCATTTCATTATATCGTCAGTTTTTGACTTTTAATAACTGCGAAACGGCGTACGCCGCAATGCTAGAGATTAAATTGGTCTGCGGAACCTAACAAAGATTTGATTTATAAGCCGATTTATAACAGAATTTAATATGACAAAAAGGCTGTAATGGGTGCACGCATGCATGTATGCAGCTGCTGTCGGCAGAGGAATAAACAATTCAATACGGCTAGTGACTGAGTGTGTGGGAACATAACATTGGGGAAAAACAATTAAGATTTTCTCATTTTTGAATACATGCAATCCTTAAACCTTACATCTAAAATTTACAAATGCAGGAAATCAGTCAAAATATTCAAAAAAACCACCATAGCCATGGACAAATTCAAACACTACAATCGTGCTTGTAGATTACTCATCTAGGCTGTACTAGCTACTTCAATGACAATGTGATACAATCATTAATAACGAGAGAAAATTGCATATAACCTAGAGAGATATATTTAATTACAAAGTGAAACGACTATAACACATGCACTACTTTCTTATTTATCTATAATATCTGATAAATATTTGCGCCTTTTTACAAGCCAAAGGCCTTTGAACTATACATTATACATATCGCAAGTTATTAGAAAGTTAATTTCAACACAATTTTGCGTAAATTCAAAATGTTTAAAGAAAACGCGTTCTATTAAAAGCAAATTATTTGAATTTTCCCCAACCAATAAAGACGCTGTTTTGAGTAGAAAGATTTCTGATTGGCTATCTTAAAATAACTTCATTAACGTCTTCTACTATTCCTCAGTGATGTAACTATTGTTTCAACATGCTCTTGAAATATTGACTATTTAAATGTCAACGCAAGGGCAGCTGAATAAAACCGTTGCTCAAACGAGGTCTTTTCACCTAGACCAGATGCAAGATAGCTTCCAATTTTAATTCAAATTCTAACTTGGTTGACTTTGCGTCAACGGTTGAAGCTGGACGGAACACACTGCAACATCTAATCTTCCCAGCTTTTCTGATAATTCCTCCACGAAATGAGGACAAGTAACAAAAAGATCAACTGCGAATCCATAGATTTGGAATCTCTGATTAATTTCACGACCGTGGCAACCGGATTCATTAATTCCGTCCTGAAGAAACCTTTGAAATCCAAAAGAAAAGTGAACCATCGAAAATTCCTACAAAAGCAGCTTGGAGCACACACTCATTATAAGAGCATTTTCATTAACAATACTGAAGAAATCCAGAATTCTGACAGATACATCTACAGCTCTGGGAGCGGCACTAATTTTCCTGAAACCACAGCTAAAACAGTTGTAAGAAGTAGAAACACTATCGACAGTTGTGAAGAAAAATCATTAGAGAAGCTCTTCAACCCAACTTTTTGGGGAAAAGCGCCTTCCAAAGAACAGAAAATATCCTTTAACTCATTGCGCAATCGACTACTACCAGAGTCATTTTGGAAAGAACCAGTGAAGAACAGCTCTTCATTTCAACGAGAATACATGCATGCCAAAGAATCGGGAGAAGTTGATGCCTTTGAATTATTAGGAGTTGAATTTGACGAACTATTAGAAAAACTATCAGAAGATTCCGATGTGTTATCAACATCTTCCGGTGATTGTTTATCTGACTCACCATCTCACTCCGAATTAGAAACAACAGTAACTTCTGATGAATCAAGAAATATCACCAAGACCGTATATGATCAGATTTGGAGCCTTTCAACAGACATTGTGAATTTCACGCAATCTGAAGAACGATACCTGTTCTAGTTTTCTGAAATGCGCGCGGTACATGCAGACAATCAATATGGACAGAAAGACAACCGACAACTTTTTAGAAAGTTTCCGACGGTTGAAAAATTGAACAGATAAGCTCAGGCATTATGGGCCTTTGGAGATTTATATAGTCGTTCAATATAACCTGTCAGGCAGGCTAGATATATACTGCGTAAAGTCTGTAAATAATAATGTATCACAAAAATATCCTTCCTGCGTCCACTCTCATCTATATAGTCTAATGTATCTAGTTAATGTTTGTAAATAGCCTCTGACTTTGTGTCACACAATGTAATAACATACATCAACCCGTCCTAACCTGAAGTTGTCGTTTAAAGGGATATAATTGCGCATATTTTTCAAGCCTTTATTTCTCTAGTATACAATCGGCATACAACCATGACAATACGTCCAATGTATGTGTTTAAGTGTCTCATTAGATGCTTGTTATTCCCCCATTTTTCAATTATTTATAAATTCAGAAGAAAGACCCCCGCTCGGCGCAATATAACACATATTGATTTTAAAATTGGATTTTATGAAATCTAATTTTCTTATGTTATTGATTTATTTTTCGTCTCTTATGCTGTATGCAATGATACAGGTTTTCTTTAAAAATGAGTTGTATACATTATATACATAAATATCAGCTGCATATTGTGTTGCTTTGACTTTGTATTAGACAATGCCAACTGCGAATTAAAGCAAAAAGCTGTATCAGTAGTTACATCACTTCACGCCTTTGTAAAAAAAGGTTGAGTGAATTGAGACAAAACACGAGGATGAGTTACTGACTTTCAGTACTCAGTCGATTGCGCCCTGCGGACCCGTATAACTGGTCCCCATGTTTTTTTTTCTAGGGTTTTTGTGTTGTAGTTGGGGTTTGTTGCGCCGCTACTTCCAATGTTGTAGTGGTTGATGAGGTTGTATTAGGATAAGGTATTGTTGTTTCTAGGCTTGCTATCATGTCACAAGGTAATAACGAAAGTTCATCTTGACTCCAAGCAAAGTTATAACATGATGAAAAATCAGTTGAAGAATTCATAACTTGTATGACTTCATTTTGAGGTTGCATGTTTTCTGTTTCCGAGGAAAACAGGCTGGGGTTTGATACTATACCTGAAAATATAAATTAATGTATTTGCAAAGATATCATTTTTTTTCATGGTGGGAAAGATGTCAATGAAAGGTAGTAGACAAAGAGGCTGCAGGAGCTGCAGGCTAAATCCTGCAGGCTTGAGTCTAGGCTATAACTGATCATTTTTTTGGACTTGCCAGTCTCCAATGCATTGCTTTTATTTTGTTGCTTCACATGCAATATTGTTGTCAATGTTGTATATTTTTGGAAGCCAATATTCACCTTCTGTTGACTGGGTTATCTGTTCACAAGAAGTGCTCATTTGTGATTCATTCATAAGATATGATGTTGCAGTTGGATGGGTATTACTGGCAAGAACTTTATTTTGATAACTTTTCAATAATCGCACAACTGAAGGTGATTCAAACAGTTCCTGAAACACAAATTTGTTAGGTCTCAGAAGTATTGATTATATGCGATGAGGTTGAGCCAACTTGCAGTTTTTGGGTTGCATAAAAATTAAAAAACCCAAGGTGGTTGCATAATGTTGTACAAACTACATATGCAAAAACTAAACTATAAGATGACAATAGAGTTGATGTTCGTCGGCATAAATGTGTTTTTGGCCCGACTTTGAACGAATTTTAATCAAATTAATTACAAAATGTGTACATATACCATTTGCTTCTGGGTTAGAACATCTTGTAACATGTTTGAATGTTTTTGTTCCAGGAGATATTGATCATCAATCACAATCTCCTTTGATTTTTCCTGAAATACAAAAGTTGTTGCATGGTATAGAGAAAAAGAAAAACAAAAAAAAAAACGGGATGAAAACGTATACATGATCATTACAATATGATCATTATATTTGCATTAAAGCATTAACTTTCAGAAAGGCTGTTGAGGAAACAGGGTAAATTCTCAGGACCAATGGTAGAAAATATGCTGCTTATGCAAAGTTTCGCATTTAATTTATTTTTTCTACATAGTACGTAGGAAATAATGTCCATCCTAAATTAAAAGAATTGGAGATACATTTGGAGTAAAACTAGAGCTGGTTTTCTGTTTTCATTAAAATTTTTCTCTTTAGATTTATGTACCAATCATCAGACTAGTATAACCTAGTAGCTGGCTTTATAAGTAGCTGGCTTTATAAGTGGCTGGTTTATGCAGTAGCATGCTCTGGAAGTTTCAAAAAACAAATTCTGTTGAAAATTGAAATATTTATTTTTGATGATCATACAGTATGCAGTCCATGGTTTGCTTACTGCCTGTGAAACTGATATTGGTCAATTTCACCTACAGGTTCCAGGACCACTTACTCATTTGACCACTTTTAAACAGGTATTACTTTACCCATTTTCATTTCATCACAAAGCAATAAGGAATGGAGAATAAATATTTATATAGATAAATACATGTTTGTGAATAGCTCAAGATACTGCAGACCTATCACTTATGCCCTGCTGTGTAAACGTCGTATGAAATTAATATATCATACTTCAAAATTTCCTTCAGCATTCCTCTTCTTCTTTTTATAATTTTGTTTGTACGTTTTATTTCGATGTTTTCGACATAAAGGAACTTTTGAGCCCACACTAATCTCAACACAACCTTCAATTTGACATTGTTTCGAAGGAGGTTTTTGCTCCTCCATTCCCCCAACTTTTTCTTTCACAACATTTTGTGACATGTTAAATTGATAAACTACACATCTTCCAAACTCTTTTAAAAAATCTTCGTATTTTTAACGCATATTGGTCACTATTATATGATAATTTTTTCAACCTTTTCAAACAATGAGACTGCCATGTGATCTAGCACGTGGCCTTACGACAACAACATATAAGCCATTGATCAACTGCCGGGTTGCGCATGGCATCAAGATGGCGGCTTTTTCATCGAGATAAACAAAAACAACATACTGATTAACAGGTGATGATTTGCGGTTACACATGGCGGCCGAACTGCTTACAATTCACTGGTGGTTATCGTTCTCCTGGGGCACCGTATTGCAAAACATAGAACGATCAGGTATATCGGTCAGCTAAAGCGCACGCGCAGGTTCGCATGGTGATGAAGATGTCTGGATTGCTGTCTGGATACGAGGCTGATACTACAATGTAATACAACACTCATACTGGAAGAGTTTAATATACACTACAACTAAAAGTTATCACACTAGAGAATGCCCAGAGTCCCTGACGAAATCATTTAATAATGTTCCACGCGTTTTCCATACGCACGTAAAAGCTTGAAACCTTCTATTCCCCTTCTAAGTTTTTGTATAATTAATTTTATGCCAAAAAACACAGCAAATCATCCACAGAATCCAACTCTAAGAATCTATTCAATCGTTCATTTCATAATTAATAAACGATTTTAAAGTTTTACATGCGTATACGTACGTATAAAAAAAACGCGACAGTGGAAATCACATTTGCACACTGACACTGTATAGCCAGTATAGGCCGTTCACACACTTCACACCTACGATTTTTGCTGCGATTTTATGTACGGTTTTCCTTTTTGATAGATGTGAACGAGTAATAAGTTCCCGTGAATGCTCTGAGGTGTAGTTCCTATTTGAATATCAGTAACTCATTCACTCGTTCATATCTATCGAAAGAGGAAAATCGCACTTAAAATAGCAGCAAAAATTGCTTGTGTAAACAGGCCTTTATGAAAACTCAGCTGAGCTGGAGATCTGCCGCTTTTCGCGGAGACTGGTTAGCACTTAGCAGCGATGATTAGGCAATCTTGCGCTTAGAAAAATTTTTTTGAAAGGAATATAAAGCAAATGTGGATAACAAGGCAGATAACAAGCCTGTTTTATTCACTAGAGTTAACTAGAGTTAGCTATATCTTTCAGAATCCTTTACCAGCTGATAGTTTTAGTACATATAGAATTAAAGTAATTCCGGAAAATGTATGCGCTTTATATTCATACGCAAATCTTGTAAACGTAAACGATTCTGCTGAAGATGAATCGATCTTGATTCGAAATATACAGAATAAAATTTGTATTATGCTATCATTTTTGGAATTACTTTAATTCCATTAGCTATATCTCATAATCATGTTTTACATATTTTACAGGTTATAGATTTTTAAAAACAACAGGAACTAAAATTTTGATAAAAAGAAGGTGAATCTATCAGTTCTGTTACCGAAAAACCAATCTACCTGCGACAACGTACGCGGTTTTGGGTTTTAGAGTAGATTGGAAGTATGAGGTAAGGTCAAAAGCCGGTTTTCAGCTGCATTGTATAGCAAATAAGGAAAACCCCGCGCGTCACCGGAAGACATCTGAACAAGGAAATTAATACAGGATGTTTTAAAACAAGGGACATAAACCAAGTGTTTCTGTTCGACGTTTTGACATTCACTGGCCTGATGTCCAGAAGACTTACTCTGAAATGGAAGTTTCTTATTCAATTTTATTTGCAATATCGCTGACAATAAATGTGTGTATTCTTTTGAGTATCTTATTGCCCACGTTCTTACGTCTACTGATGCGGCGCGTTTTGAACGCTCGATTATTAAATCATTATGAAGAATCACTGAAGGAAAACCCTGCGTTCCACAAGAGACTGTAAGTAAATTTTTAGCTACTACATATTATAAATTTATAAATACATGTAGTAACAGGTTGTTACTCAGTGTATTTATTATTTAGGTTAAGCCAAATTTTAGTTTCCACTTTGTCTTTGTTTTATGAATTTATTACTTGAAAAGGGAATAAGTGGCCATCGCTTGTTTAGTTGATGAAAGCGCGCTCCACTTACGAATGTTTCAAACTTTAGGTAAAACCTAAAATTTTACCCACTTGTTACCATTAAAAGGTAACGATTTTATACTCTTATGATAAAAATGACAAAAGAACAAAAATGCATTGTAGAAAGATCAAAACATAAAACAAGGAGCAATACCATTATTGTGGTATATAACTATACAATGTCAGAGGTTGTTGCAAAAGTTGTTCATATAAGCATCTCGTACAGGACCAGTTTGTGTTCACGATCATAATCGGTCATAATCATATACATAGACTACATACGTTGCAGTCCGTGGGATTTTCTTCCTGTTGAATTATTAGTTCGATTATTGGTTTAAAAAAACAATGAGATTGTCAAGCTGACAATTTTATGGCCGATATGTGGCTCAAAATGTTTATTATTTTAGCTGATAAAATGCATGCATAGTCGGTCACCTAAATATAGGGGGAACTCGATACAGAAAGTTTTCGCTGATCGGGACTTCTGATATCTGAAACGCGTCTGAGGGAAGTTGAAGTCTAATCAGTTTGACCTCGTTTTAACATCCGCTGCACGCGTGGCTACCGGTTTTAATCCGTGTATTTCAACACGCTATTACCCTAAAAAATCCAGAATATAAAAAACAGATATACAGGAAGATAAATGAATATACATGGTTTTCGTTAGAGACACAGTGCAATCATTTTGCCTTTCGTATTTTGATCAGTTGTGTGCAAGGAATGTTTCCTTTTCTAAGACCGTAAGTAGTTCCTTATCGCACACGACATGTGTTAACAACGGTCACTTACCAAAATTATCGGTTATGGGAAAAAAATATATCTGAATATGAAGTAATACGTTAAATGAATAATTTAAAGCAGTCTCAAAGGCTGGCGGGGGAGTAGCTAAAATGATATTGAAAACAAAGAAACATTATCCGAAACAAAATTTCATTTTAGTTGAAATCTAAAAATAGTGCACATCGTCATTTAGATGTAAGTTCGAAAATGGCTCTCACTGAACTGAAGAGAATATATTTATGCATGTGCGGGCTTTAAAACCACAAGAAATCATTGGCATAACTTTTTAGGATGATGGAGGAGAGTAACCAATATGGTTTTAACTTTCGAGACTGCGGTTGTGGTTGAATGACATGAAATGAGCCGTTAGCGGAATATATCGTTTAAAGTTGCTAGGACAGCATTGAGCATCACCGCTATTAGCTTGGCAAGGATTGAACCTATTGAAATGGCGAAACACACGTCGAAGGCTCAAACTAGAAGTTGAAATCTTGTTATACAATTATTCAGTAATAACAATATTTCAACCAGAGAACGTCTTTTAGTTAAGCCGATGTTCAATATATTGAACACTTCCGGTGCTGCTAACAAAATACCCAGAAGCTTAAAGATGATATGAGTTCACAAAGGTCACGAGTCTTTCAAATTAATGACAACCTCAGATACTTCTGATAATTAATTATCAACTTCCTGTCTATTCCTTATTTGTGTTGCATGTTCACGCATAGTTGAAAATAAATGATCATGTTAATGCAGTACTAATATATAAGATAACCCCATGCAGCATAGATCTATACTGATAAGTAGCTGAACACTTTTGGCCTTTTACGTCTTGGAGTCAAAGGCTTTGAAGTCAGTAGTGTTATCAGACATGACGCATCACATGCAATAAATAGCAAAGAAACATGCACAACTGAATGTTCCTCTATTTTTCGGTCAAGAAGCTGTGTAAAATGTAGGGCTAAAGGCCCTGTGCAATTTTTCCTCCAACTTGCAATGCAATTCTACTTTTGCGATATGTAAATTAGGTTTTGTAAGGTTATAGGTTATAATAGGGACCTTAAGATACACGAAATCTACGACGCGGACGGAAGGTAATACGGTCGACATTTCCACAGTTTCTCAACAGCAATAAAAATTATGGGCTCTTTCGGTAGACAAGGTTAGAACTGTGTGTAAAACTAATTAAAACTGGGTTTCTAACACTGGCGGCTGATTTCATGTCACGTGCGCGTCGTAGATTTGGTGCATTAAGGTCCCTAATAAGGTTGCGGCAGGGTATCGCATTACGCAATACTCCGGATATCGCGTTACGCAATACTACGATACCGCGTTATATCACCCTCAGATTTCGCGTTACGTAATGCTACAATATCGCGTTATATCACCCTCAGATATCGCGTTACGTAATACTACGATATTGCACAGCCAGAACGACAACCAGGGACGTTGGGAATGCTGGGATATAAATTAAAGTTAGCATGCAATTTAAGCGAAACATCAATTGGACGAAAATGTTCACTAAAAAAAGTAGGCCACGTAACCAGATGAAAAATTTGGACCCTCTTGACTCTTAATCCACTCAGTGGATTAAGAGTCAAGAGGGTCCAAATTTCCACTCGTACACCATGCCCTATAGCTGATAAGTGCAAGCTGATAGCTGTCATATTGGCGCACCTTAACGTCACGTATCAGTGAAATAAAGGCATTGTATAGGCCATGGTCATGCTAGAATATATCTGTGTATTTCTTCTAACTTTCTATATTTCCCTTACAGGTATCTGGATATAATATTCAATGGATTCTCATTATTGACTGGAATGATCATACTATGTTTGAGTGACGTGTTAGAGCAACCATTTTTGACTTCAAGCCCAAGTTTGATGATTGTTTTTTCAGTTGCTGTTGGTTGGCAGATATTTAAAATACTTCAGAATATTTGTGATCCCGACAAGACATCGAAACATTCAAAGATAACGAATGTGTTGCGTTTCGTAGCCATTTTTGTGTACTCCTCAATTTTGGTATATAGACAAAATGCGTTATTAGCAACTATGGGACTAATTGTTGAAGCACACGCTCTATTCTTAAAAATTAATAAACTGTGGAGAGTTCTGAAAGTACGGGAACAAAGTACATTGTATTTTACCTCTACCCTGGTCACCAGTCTCGCTGCCGTGCTATTACGTGCTGTTTTCCCATTGGTCACATTAATAGTCACCTCACGATTTCATTTAAATGAAATTCTATTTATGGACTATCTTCCACTCGCAGTATTTTTCCTATCGCTCGTGTTTTATACAGCAGCAAACATCTGGTTCATTAAAGTATCATTTGAAGTTTCACACAGGTCGTACCTCAGCAAACGTAGGGTAACTAGGAACAGATTGTTATACACTGTAAACCCTACAATTCCAAATTACATTCATAATGATCTATGGACGGGGAAAGGAAGAGCTTGTTTGGTGAACATTAATACGAATCCGCAAATAGAATCTCAAGATATTTAGTATATAATGAAAAATCCCCTGCATGGATGGTTGGGTCAACCATAATGCCGCACTCTTATTTGTTATTTTTCTGACACCTTGTTTAAAATCTTTGTCAGTTTGAATGCGGCTTTATGTGCGATCAAAACTTAATTTATTTAACCTTGTTTTTCACGTACAAAGACAATTAAAGTAGAACAATGAAACGGAATTAAATATACCTAAAGTTTTATGTACATATATGCACATAATGTAAAGTATACAGGAATGCTAAAATAGTAAAAAGCAATGATTTCAGTTACTATATGCTGTAATATAAATAAAATCATCCAAATATCAAAGTGTTAACACTCATTTGCAAAGTACTATTCATTAGGTGTAAAATTAAATATTATTTTTATCATGCACTAGTAAAAATTATACTACCTCTTCTTTATTATATGCCTAAGATTTTGTTTTCGCTGACTGCTCTCACACGTAAGACCTTAAAATCCACCGTTCACTGTTGCTTATAAAATAACCAATGGTAACCAACACAAATGTAATTCACACTTGTTATGGTCTACATCAGTTTAAAGTGAACAAAAGCCAACCATTGCCACGATCACTTCGAAGACTTTTAAGAAATTTAAATTCAAGCTTAAAAAGTCATGCAAAAATCTGTTTTCTGTAAACTATCGACCATGCAGGAAGGCTTTCACGACTGCACTGAAATCTAAAATCAAAAATAATTACCAAATTAGACATCAACGGGTTAGTTAATATATACCATGCAACACTATGCCATTATAAATAATTATAAATAATGACGTCATAGGTCTTTTTTTGACCTAGGAACTGAGATTATCGTCCAGATCGTGGACCAATTGGATCATGTTCTGATGTAGGAGTACTGTGAAGTTATATGTCTATACCGCAGTTTCCAAACAATGCAGTTGTTCGTGTCCTTTGCGTTGACTGTGTGTTTCGATTTTTCTTGAATCATTCTTTGTGGCTTTTATAATGTCATCGTTTATTAACGTTTGTTGGGCAAAAACACCGTTTTTGCGCGTTTTTTTAACGTTATCTCCATTCACAGATGGCTTTTCAACTATGATATCATCGATAGAATTTTTTACTTCAACGGTTGAATCTTCTCCATTTTCTGAGAATTTAGTTTCATTTAACAGAGGAGACGTTTGCCCATTAGGATTTAATGAAACGTGATTAGAGGTTTTTTCTGATTCTTTCTTGTCTTCAGGTGATATCAAATTTATTTGGTCCAAATCTAAAACCTTTTCCTCGCTTTTACCAGGAGACTTGGCATCAGGAGCTTCTTCCTCTGGGATAGTTGCTTCAACAAACATAAATAAATGTATATTTCATCATTCTGTTTAACAAATCTTACACTAAACTATGTAATAGACGGAAATAACGTGATGAAATATTAACGAGACTATGGTTACAAATTTAATAAGGACCTCACCATGTTCATTTCTTGATTCTTTTTTCGAGACTTCCGCTGCTAGCTTGCCCTCTTGCATCACCGTCCTGGACAGTTTTCTATTCTGGTCAGGCGAGATGGCAGCAGCAGAAGATAATTTTCGTTTTTTTAACTGGAAACCCTGTCTTATTTCTTTGAGTAAGTTGTCAATGATACATTCCTCTTCTTGTATGACGGGTTTAGGTTTTCCTTTGATTTTATTTTTTCCTTTACTTTCTGCTTCCTTCTTCCTTCTCTCACGTTCTGCTTGTTTTGCTTCTTGTTTACGACGTAATTCGTTTTCCTAAAACACGGTAAAAATTATAGTCATTAAATTTTATATATTTTTCGTATGATGAATATGACAAGCATGCAGCTAGTATAAATGAATTGTATCGACATATGATTTCTGCCGTAAATCAGTTCAGCGTGCTCGAACTGTTTTTGTAAAACAAATTAAACAAATGTAATGTTTGTATTATTAAATTATACAAATGTAATGGCTGTTGGGAAAGTGTATTATTTCGCGAAAGTTTGTACTAAAGCCAAGTGTTCTCGATATGATTTTGATTTTCTATAGATCAAAAAGGAGCCAACCTCTTTTGCTTTATCCAGATGATCACAGAATGTTTTGAAAATCACCAAGAGATCTTCCAATTTAAATTTGCTTTCATCTTCACAAAAATACTCGGCAAGATCTTGTTTTAGTTTACTTAGTCGCTTTAATTTCTGTTCAACTGCCTCCACTTCCTTCATAGCATCCTATAAACAATAGGACAATGTTTTAGTCGTAAATGCGTGTTGATAATAAGTTTTCGTTGCAAAAACATGTCATGCATGTGATACAGCCCAACTTTTCAATGGGAATATCCAGCCTTTTCATACTCTTCTATCGGAACTACTTCCTGCTCAATTATCATTAATTTGGATGTCTTGGTCCAAGAACAGAGCATTTTGACCAATTTTTTAACTTTATAAATCATTGTGGCTTCACATACATAACAGCCCGCGATTGCCATGCACACTCCTTTTTATACGAATTTACAAATATACACATCACTATATTATTAATAGGAACTAGGATTCAAGTGTTGAGATAATCAAATTTTTTGTAAATAATTCCACTTGTGATTTGTGAAAACGTCTTCTGGTATACTATTCCTAGTTTCACAACATAGACTAACAGAGTACATTGCAATTGATTGTACCTTTAGAAAAGTACCAAGTTGATTCTTCACATCTTCGTCTCCTTTCTCCATTGATTTTTGTAATGAACTAAGACTTTTGCGTAGTGTGGATAATTCACCAGAGAGGTTATCGACATTCAGCCTAATGTTGATATAAACTTGGTTAAACTTCAGCACATGCAGTGAAAGTGAAATCTGCATGCGATCGTACTCTACACGGCAAAAAACGCTCAAGTTGTTCCCGGTTGATGAGAGCAGGCCTCAACAATTTTGTGCTGCACCCCATGAACAATGTTGTCAACAATATTGTTCCACCTTGCTACGCTTAACAATATTGCAACATGTTGTTGACAACATTGTTCATGGGGTGCAGCACAACATTGTTGAGGCCTGTTCTCATCAACCTGGAACAACTTGAGCGTTTTTTGCCGTGTAGCCATGGTGTGTATATATGAACTGCATCGTCACTGATTTTATCGAACTTCCCTATTGGTAATAATATATCACTAACGTACTTAGAGGCATCCGTTAAGTACTTCATATTTTCTGAAAATGATAAAACACTCGATTGTTTTTCTTCTGCCACCTGAAATAATAAAGAAGGATTAAAAAGTTGACGGAAACATATCGCAAAACATATATTGACAAGGACTGTCTCAATATTTCCAAATTTGTCAAGGAACTCACCTCGACTAAGAAGTGCATAAGATTCATCCTGGGTTTGTTGGCTTTTGTATCAACTAGCTTTGTTATTGAGTTGATTTTGAATCCAATAGCGTTACCTGCACGACCACCCTATTCGCGCATATAAAAAAGACTTGTTATTTCCCATGCATCTAATTCGGAATTAATAGTCAATCTTCTATTGACTCACCGAGTTCATGAAGTTTCCAATGGTTAATATGAGATGAAGTATCTCAGGCAACACTTCGTTATTTAGGATATCTAAATGAAAAACAGGCAGTGTGACTCGAGACAAGGTTCATATTAAACATTCTGGGCAGAATTTCAAATTTCAACGTGGCATTATTGATGGACAATTTCGATGGGCAAGATCACATACAGACTTTTTGTGGTATGCCAGCATAAAAAAGATTAACTTTATTTTCTCAGAAGGGCCCCAAAATTTCACCAAAATTTCTCCGGTCCCTGCCCTAGCTACGCCTCTGTTTATACCTTCCGTGGCATGAAGCAATACATCAATCTTTTCATTCAGCATGTCAACAGTTGATTTGAACTCTTCCTTAGCAATCATTCCTTCCAAGCGTAGTTTGTAATGAGGTACTACAATCAAAGCTAGGAGAAACTTTTCCGCATTTCCTAGTTTATTCTTGTCACCTTTGAAATCTTTCAGCATGCCAACCTAAATGGCAAATAGTGAACGTACAATCATTTTGCTGCATGGGTATAGAGAATAATGGGATATTGGAACTCTTCCAAAGTATGTAAATATATTAAGTATATATAAGGAACGAAAGAATAGTAAAAAGCTGTAGCTTCATTCTTGTATTTGCATGGTGACAATGCTTCGCTGGCATTGAGATAATTTCTGGTTGAGTTATTCGTCCAACGCGTAGGTATAAAGTTTTATTTTAAACTTCAGAATGTCATGAAAGTTTAAAAAAGATGACTGAAATGACTGGAAATATCTTTGAAAATCAAAGTAAACTTACCGTAGTGGTATCTGGTAATATTTTTAGAAATCCTTTCAAGGCATCAGGATCAAATGCTTTGCTATCCCCTGCACGAATACTGCCGGTTATTTCTGCGACTGGTCTAAGAATGGAATGAAATTATAAATTGGTGTGCAACGTCTCATTAAAAACTGAGTATTTTAATACTTCAATACTTCTGTTTTACCTTTTAAACTGATTGAGAAATATATTTATGTTTAGACTTTGTTTGGGGTCCAGGAGGCTGATCTACAGATGGGTAATTGTAAAGCAAAAGCGTTAGTTTGATGGGACGATTTGTTGAAAACGTCTGTTAAATCTGTTTTACTTTATATGCTTAGAATATAGACACGAGAATGGACGAATCTCTTAAATATCGACATTGCGCGACTTGTATTTAATGAAATTATATTTCAAAAGATATGAAAATATATTTTCCAGAGATGATGAGTTGATACAAAACACTTACGACTTTAGGTTCCTTTTTCTTGTTATCATCTTTCTTAGCATCAACTTTTCTTGTTTTCTGACAAAACAATTCTTCCCCAAGTTCAAACTTGGCTTGAATCGGCGCTAATTTTCCCACTTGAATCCATACATTCTTGTAATTCTTATTAACGATCATTGGAGGAATCTTTGCCCACTGCAATGTTCGCATTTTAGATTTCGGTCGAATTGGTGGCGCTGCAGTCGTTGCCTGAATTGCCGAACCAAATCCAGGAGGTGGTGGAACACCAGGAACACCAGGTGGAGGGGGTGGAACACCTGGTGCACCGGGGATAGGGGGTGGTGGTGGAATGCCTGCTCCACCAGGTAGTGGAGGTGGGAAAGGGATTCCTGTCGTCCCAGGAAGAGGAGGTGGCGGTGGAATCCCAGGAGCTCCAGGTAGAGGAGGTGGAGGAGGAATTCCTGGTGCCCCAGGGAGAGGAGGTGGAGGAGGAATTCCTGGTGTCCCAGGGGGAGGAGGTGCAGGAGGAATTCCCGGTACTCCAGGGAGAGGAGGTGGAGGAGGAATTCCTGTTGTCCCAGGGAGAGGAGGTGGGGGCGGAATTCCAGGTAGTCCAGGGAGAGGAGGTGGGGGAGGAATTTCTGATGCGCCAGGAAGAGGGGGTGGTGGTGGAACTTCTGGTGTTTTCAGTAAAGTAGGCGCGGAAATTGATGTCGATGATTTACTTTCTACGTCAACAGAAGGGTTTTTCAATTCCTGTTCCTGGGTTGAGGGTTCTGTTTGCGATCCAACATTATTAGTATTAGTAATTGAACGTTTATCTTCTTTTTTAGGACTATCAGAGGATTGCCTCAAAACAATCATCTCTTGATCTTTTGCCATCATATTCATCTTATTAAGATCTTGTACCAAAGAAATCTTTGTTATCAAGTTTTCGATCAGTTCCCATTTTCGGTCTGTTACTTCATTATCGTCATCCAGAGTTAACAATGATTGGAGAATGTTCAAAAAATTCATTGCGCATGGTTTACTTGATATCTAAATAAATAAAACGATATAAGCAATACTTTTTAACCAGTATATAGGGCAAGAATTACCAGTTATGAATTTACCTTTTGAAATAAGGCTTGGAAAACGTCATTGTGATTGTTTAAATTAATTTCGCCACCAAATTCATCTTCGTCATTAAGACGTTGACTTTCAAAAACATCAATCTGCAGCAGTAAATCGTCATCTTCTTCATTTCTAAAAGTACAAAAAAGGGAAAAGAAAAACAACTTCTTTAAAAAATTCCCAAACCAACAACTGTCCAGTAAACTTGAAATATATGCACCGAACAAAGAACTGGTTACCACTTACTTGAGTACATTTAATTCCTCTAATAAACCAAGGCCTGGAAAATATAATTCATTTAAAAAATTAAGTGGAATAAACTGAAACAGAATCCAAGTATTCGTCTAAATTTGTAACGACTATACTCACCAATAAACTCGTTTCTTAATTTCACGCGTTCTTGAAAGTCATCAGTGGACATTATTATTGCATTCACAAATGCAACGCATGACGTCACGTATGGAATGATTTCAACGTGTTTCATTTCATTAATCACAACACTGAAGCGATAACGTTGGCCGTTTCTTGACTGAATATGATTAAGGGAATATCTTAATTAATAAACTGGACAGGCGATCAATATATTTTAACTTTTAGGTAACCGACATGGCACTGTTTTTGCAACTAACCCAGTTCCCTGGACATGCAAAAAACACTTTTTAATTTTTTTTAAAAATTCTTCAGCGAGTATTCTTTAAAAAACTAAAATTTAATACGCATGAAACTAACTATGTCTGTTTACGATCCAATAGCCCCTTCTTATCTCAAAGCTGTGATTCAGCCCACTATGCGAGCATGGGGGTAACGGGTGTAGTGGACTGGAGAATAATAAAGCCAAAGCCAGCATAATATAACATGGCCCTGCTATACATGCATGCCAATCTCGTACCCATTGCTACATAATAAGGTGTTATTTCACTGTAGTTATTTTATTTTACCCGGGACATCCTTCGTGCATGGATCACGCAATCCTGCACGGAAAACCATTTGGTGATCCTTTAATGTACCATTTGGTAATCCTGTATGACAGGCTAACACGTAGCCTGCTCGCAGACTGCTGCGAGCAGGCTAGCTAACACGCTAACATGTAGAATGTAGATCCATTTCAACCGTAAACTGGCCTGTATAATTTCAAACAAGCTGAGATCGCCAGAGAGAAAGTTAATCATTCGATATGATTTGAACAGCTTAAATTTGCATGATATTGATAGACGTACTCCTTCACAAAAGCCAACAAAACCATTAATTAATTATACTAGAGAAGTATTTAAACAATGCGGGCGATTTGTATATCTATATATATACCTTTGCATAGAACTAAGGAAATAAATTCACTTACCCGATAGTTTTCAAGTGCATCCAATGCCAGAGAGTATCCTCTGGGACAGTATAAACATAACGCGGACAACAATTCAAACACTTGCTTTTTAACCATTGTATTTTGATTATCTAGGACTGATTAATAAGATATACTATTAACTAAAAATCACGTTTACGTAAAGTAGCCGGATTAAGAGGATAACATCGTAGACGTAGTTCAATCTCGGTTTTATCCATGATTGTTCTGGTGTTACGTATAGTCGCCAGGGTGGATTTACAAGAGATCATAACACTAGAGAGATTCGGTCGATATCGCATTGCTGTTTGGTAATCTAATTACATTATTAATTATCTATATATTGTGTATATTACGATGTACTTTAGTACGTTCATTACGTTCATTATAATCCGTGATTCACAGATTCATTTTGCTTCAACCGATTCTTATCAAATTTAATTATGTTTATCGCAACCAATTTAATTATAAAAAATTGAACAGTGGTTTCGATTGTGAATCTTCAAGTCAATTTAAAGCGGAAAATACGTTAGATTCAGCGAGTTTCTTCGCTCAACGATTACAACCGCGGGATTGTTTAATGGCAACAATCGAAGCTGAAAATTTAGAAGTTATGAAACATATCCCTATTCATTTATTTTATTATTTAGGTTTATCACGCATACATGTACAGAGAAAGAGACTCGGAAAAGACAAGTTCAAACTCTGAACAAAGAATGCTTCATTGTTTATAATACCACATACTGCTCTGTAAACACACATGCATGCATGCGTCCCGCTGTAAAGTTATCCATCTAATGTGAATGTATATAAGCAAATTAGCAGTGTTGTGCATTCCAAAGATTCGTCAAAAGACAACCCAATCAGATTGAATGGGCTACTTAGAAGTTAGAACACGTACGAAACAGGATTGGACAGTGAAACAACAATCCATTTTAAGACATCGACCGGCATTATTGCAATTGCACTTTTAACATGAAATTCCGGCAATATTGATTCAACGTCTCCACATGCGCGGTATCATATGGTATGAATCATATCATCTCATGTTATCATTAATTTAATGTGACCTACTATTTCTGAAATGTTACTCTGTCTCTGACTTCGCCACCACATATCTTTTTTGCCGAAGACGAAGTTCTTCAATGCAGACATATAATTGCTTCTACTCTAGCATAAACTGAGCCGTTTTATTTTGTGTCCGGTATAAATGTCGTACTGAGTTCAAGCGGTGAAAACTGTGAGTCACGCTAATAGTACGACGGCATGCTAATGAAACTCAAAATTTTAAATACAAACATAGTTAACAAGTTACACTGGTTACCTAATATCATTGAACAATTGACTGGGTGCTTCTTATAGTTATTCAATTAATGTGATATATTAATTCTAGGCGGGAGGCAATACAGCAACCAAACGATAGACAATGTTGTCACCTAGTCATAGAATATAAAACAATTTACCTGTTGTCAACTCTCTGGTAAAGTTTTGACTTTCGATCATATACTCGAGTCCGGCTTTAGAATTCATCACGGCTTTGATACATTGGACAGCTTCCAATTGAATAAATGCGTCGACAAAACTACACACACTTTTATCACTCAGTCGTTCTAGTGATAAAAATAATGCCTCGAGTCCTCCAAGTTTTAAGAATTCCTCCATCCATTCTAACGTACACTTCTGTATTCTTGATTTTATCCCTGCATAATTTTGTACAGTTGGCTTTGTTATGAGACGAATACAAAGTTCTGGATCAGCTTCGGCGAGAGATTCAATCTCTTGCTTTCTTGTTTCTTCATATTTATTTGAGACGGTCTTTTTCAAGACTGACCAGATTCTTTTCCCGCTCATAGCTGAGACGGCAAAATCTTCGACACTGCTGTAGAAAGTTATATGATATCATATAAATCACTTTTGTTTTATCCTCCGCAGGTCAGTCATCAAATCAACAAGCGATATTCACAAGTGCTAAATAGAATAGATTACCTGTAATACAAGGAAACTTCCGCCTACACATGCATGCAATGAGAAGTAAACTTGGCTTCAGAAACAATTATACAATGGCAATGCAACCTTAACTGAAGCCAACTAAAGACATACTTGACAGTGAGTTTAATCTCCTATAAGCTTCAAACCTTCGAGGCCAAGACGTGATTTTCGTTTGTTTGACGTTTTATGGAACATATTTAAGCAACACGTCAAAATTTGCATGGCGATGACGTCGTCAAGGCTTATATGAATAAGCAAATTTGCGTCTTTGCCAATGGCAAAAGCTAACTTTGTGTTATTCTTTGTTTTTAAAAATAAACCTTTTACCAGTTCGACAGTTTCCATCACATAGTCATGGGGCAAACGTAAATTACTGCTGCAACCTTTCATGGTCTGTGAAAGACCATTGCGTCATGCGTGTGCTCGTGTAGCAACGTACGCTATTATAAAGTCTATAAGATTATTTATTTCATAACAATGTACTGAGGTGAATTTGCTTGTATCGCAAAATAATTTTGTTGGCCAAATACGACAAAAACTGTTTGGGTTTGTTGCATGCATGTTTGTTTATTAAGCAGACGAAAGAATTAAAACTAATTAAAGTCATGCATGCAGCATGCGTGTTGTTTTGTCTAGAATGAACCATGAATACACGAACGATATGGAGTCGTTGAAATGAGCGCACGGGATGTCAACCAACGATTGTGTGGAATAAAGTTGGTGTTATTGGGTTATGAAAGAAGGAAGGACTAAAGTTAGAGTAGTCTCACTCATATAAACATCTCCTAGCTATATTACTCTATGCCTATGGGCACTTTCCATTAAGCGGCCAAAAGGGTCAGACCGGTCGTATTTTGAATTGAAATTAAATAAAAAAAATTAAAAAATTAAATATAGCGGTGAAACTGCATTTTCCCTGCTAATCAGATTTAAATAACATTAAATTTGAATGCAGATTTCTTAAAACACTCTAAAATACCAGTAATCTGTCTGTACTGAAATACAACAGGATCGGTTTGACCGTTTTTACCGTATAAACGGAATGCGCCCTCTGTTGTATATATATTCATGAACTGACGCGCAGTAATCAAATCAGGATATATATATTTCTATATCATATTCAGCAGGAAATCTTGTATTTGTGTTAGTTACCCGAGCAGGGCAGTGCTCAATGACAATGACCTTTTGACGAAAGTGTAAAAACAATGATTGAATCGTTCTGTAATCTGTAGTTGAGAATCAACCATGTCATGGATGGCTTGGAATAAACTGCGAGGTTATCCGAAAGAAATTCGGATATTTCAATTTCCAAACGGAACTCATAGGGCGCTTCCTTTGTACGGTAAAAACGGTCAGACAGGTCCTGTTGTATTCCAGTACAGACTCACAGATTACTGGTTTGAAGTGTTTTAAGAAATCTGCATTCTCAGATTTAATGTTATTTAACGAAATCCTCTATTTCAATTCAAAATACGACCGGTCTGACAATTTTGGCCGCTTAATGGAAAGTGCCCATCGTATGCTGAAGGCAAGAATTTCTGCAAATAGAGAATTTTGAGGATTCAATAAACATCTCCGCAGAGATCCTTTCATATCCTATCCCCTTCTCATTCCAGAAACCAGGTAATGTATCATGATCGTGGCCGTTGCCAAAGAGTTCAAGTATGAATGTCATTATGCCATGAAGTAGCAACAACATGCCGACCAAAAAAAAACAAATCACGTTTCATGCTTTTTCTTCCCATTTTCACCTGTCATCAAAATAATCGCTCTTCAAACTAAAGTACGAATGCCGCCCTCTGGAAACGTAGCCAGATCACGTCTCATTCATTGACGTCCCGTGTTGTGTAAACCTTTCATATCCGGCATTTGTGTACTACGCTTACACTGAGTAATAATGCAGCCATGTGTACTTGTTGCTGGTTGAAGTGAAGATTGAAAAGATGTAGATATGAAGCCTCAAGCCTGGCGCAAAATGATGCATCAGCGCATTCGTTGCGCAAAGTTGAAATTGTCCCGAACATGTCAACGTGGCTGATGTAATGTGTGTAGTCAGCAAATGATGACTTGAATACAGAACTGATAAAGACAAATTTACATCTGGACTATTTCTTATTAGTGAAATGATCTCTTCACGAAAATGACGTGACATTAGGAAACCAGACTTAACTTTGAGTGTTATAGTTGGATAAATTAAAACGCTGAATGACTAGAGCAAAGGCTTGAATTCTAAATTATTTCTCATTAATTTCTAAAGTAATTGATTTGCAAAACGCATTTTATATGAAAAATTCATCACTAATTACAATAACTAATAAGCTCTTTATTTTCAAATAATGAAAGACTAAGGTTTCCAAGACACCAACGGTTAGGGCGACAGCTAGTCTAACAATAAAATTTATGAAAAGCGCAAGAAATAAATATTTAGGAGTCGAATGTTCATAAAATTCAGCCAGGATAATTTTTAATATATTGAATATAAAGAAATATACGTGATCAAAAGAGATGGCACATGCGGATTAGCAGATTTGAAGGGTTAAATTTATATATCACGGAAACTGGCCGAACATGCAGATAAGCTGAAAAAACACTATTACTAGGACAGTCACTTAGCGACACACAAGAGGCGTATATCACTTTACACATTATTAATTATGGGAAAGGTTTATCTTTGGTTAGTCAAGACGTGACATGCTTAAAAAACGTATACCAAGGGATAATTTAGTGTATTTTATTTTATTCATTTTATCAAGCTGAGACCTTGCGACTTAATTGTCGGGGCTTCAATTTGGGAGAGACATTTCCAAAAAGTATAAAACGATTGCTGCTTTTAAAATTTCAACCTGTTCTCAAATTTACATGCACGTTTTAACTGAATAGCGCTTTGACGACGAGAAATTAATCTCTCTATATAAGCATTTGAACCTGCACTTAAAGAGCTTAAGAGAATTTAGGCGCCGTTACGTCCTGACTTTATACAAAAACAAATATGAATATTTTATTTTTCTGGTCCTCTCGAAACAACAACTGCAATAAAGTTAAAAATATTATAGTTTCATTATTAAATCATCAACTCCGCAAAAACAAAGGATCCAATTATTTTTAGTTAGATCGTCGGGGGTTTGGATCAGGCAGATTCAGACGATGTTTAAAGAGGAACGTCTTAAACTATTTAAATATTCATATCTATTATGCTGTGAATTTATTCGTGAATTTCATTGTTTACTACCAAGTATATGTAGGACAGGAACACGAAGACGACGCGGGGATTGTTAGGTCTAATACACCATTACTACCAAATCTTATTATTATTGCATGTCTGGGCCAATCTTAGCCTACATATATCATATTGCCACAATAGAGCAAATATAAATTTAGTTATATACCTTTCCTTTTGAAACAAATGAAAAATAAACCCGACCGTATACCGCGGCTTGTATACCGAGTATTTTTCTTATCTCTGCCTCTGATATTTCTACGATAAGAATTAACACATTAAATTAGGCAACAATATCATTGACTAGTGACACTGGGCTCAGGAGACTCCTATATTGAATCTGAAGCCGAAATGTTCTATAAAATGATGCCTGACATTGGATTTATAGTGAATGTATAATATAACATGCACTGTCAAGTTATCTCTTTTAAATTATAAATTATATACGCTACTACCTACTAAGATATATAGCAATGCATGAGAACCAAACTTTTCAAATATAGTTTCTCCTGATATTGGATTGACAACTTTCAGTTATAACCATTGAACTCTATTGTATCTATTAAATTAACTGCATGGTTAAAACACGGTATACATATACAAAATCTTGCGTATGGTGATGTTGATTGAGTTCCCCATGCAACTGCATATATTGCAATAAAGATCAAAGTTTACACCGGCGAATTGGATGATAAATTTTGGTAATATATAGAATTTGGTAATATAAGCATGATGTATAGGTAATATCATGCAGTTTTCCCCTCCTATATATACATTAGTCGCTCCGTTTCACTGACGTTTTCTAACAAAAAATTATAATACCATAAAGCCATCTATAACAAGGTCATATATATCATTTTCATATTATTCATTTTATATATCAGTGGATATAAAAACATTCTTTTTATATAATTTTTTTCTAATTAAGTTTCTGTCTCATATCACGGACTATACATTTTTTAGTTTATATACTAGTCGTATATAGCTCTAAGTTAATTGACTAAGTATATTTTGACTTATATACTAACCGGTACTTGCACAATTATACACTCTCCAGAATTCACTTCAACATCGCTTGCGTGAGGTTTTAATATCGATTGTTATATAACGCACGCAAATGGCAAGTTCCTCAATTAAGATAGTGCATTCACGTAAAAATGATTGACGATATTCATGCAAATTTTTGAACTTAAATGTAAATAAAAGGCACGAGAAGTATATTCCCCATGCACAGATGATGTTATCGTTTCTTTCAGTTGATCTGCTCGCTTTTCAACGTCGCAGCGTGTATGTAAAATGCCTCAACTATACATGGAATAATATATTACGTTAACGGTTAACTTCAAGTGGAATATATTTGCATGTTTTTTTTTTACATATATATATATGCTTGCAGGTGCACTATACATGCACGCACGCGTCAAAAGCTCGTTAACATGCACCAACCGTTTTATTATTGAGAGGATTCTGAAGATGGGAAAAATAAAATAGACAAACGCATCGTGATGCTAATCGCCTAATGGCAGTAATGTCGACAATTAACATAAATTGTGTTTTATACAAAGTAATAAAAAAGATAAATTCGTTCAAGTAATGAAACAAAATAGATATGGATCAGTGTTGTATTCCAATTCATTCTTATAAGTTTGTTAGTTACGTTATTTTTTCAGGTTTGAGTCTTTCTAATGCGGTTTATTGACTTGGTGTCGAAGCGGCTGTATTTGCCCGCAACGACAGCACACTAGTGACACTACTGTGGATAGCATTATTTACAAGAGCAGCGTAGAAGTACCTAACTCTCACCTGCTGCTTTCGCAAGTACAACAACAGATTGGAATTTCCTTAATATCTCTTCGGTAACTTGCCATGATCGCACGTTTTTATCCAACAGAGTACAGTAGTACATGCATATATGTACATACAATCCAATATATATAATGACATGTAAAACAAGATCTTTCTGATATTAGCATGTGTGGAGCTATGTAGCTGTCAAACCACATATATACCTGCTACAATTCACGAATCATATAATCATTATCGCGGCAAGAAATACCGCCTTCAGCTTTGCAATCATGATGCCGGCACATTCTGCTCATGTAAATTTTCGATGTCGAAACATCAAAATCTCAAAACTAGTTCTAAATGCATTTTTGCTTCAGTGATACGTGTTTCTGTATTTTATTAACAACTTTATATTAGCTACAAGTTTTCTTTCGAAATTTATAAAATCTTGCCGTGCAGGAGTTCAATATAGGGAGCATCACTTGTGATGTGAAATGACACAGTTTGCAGTCCTATATATATACTAAACGTTCCTGCAATACAATTATAAAAGCATTGCGTCATATTTGTATATATTTGGTAAAAAATGTATCGGACAAGTTTCCGCTGAACTTCCGCGGATTCAGGGTAAATCAGAATAAATTTCATGGCCTAATTTTGAATCCAAAATACCTTATTAACGGTATTGGTAACTTTTTTCTAAAGCATATTTTGACATAAAAATCTACCAATATGATTGCAAGTTAGAGCTGGAGTAATTTATTCTGACTTACCCTGGATCCGCGCCACTGCGCGCGGGAGTATAAGACTAGCTCTTGTTTATTATTCTTTGAAATGCTTTCTAATTATTTGAATACTTGTCGTATAACGTCGTTGATTACTATGAGATGCATCTTTCCACCTTTAGTAAAATCAAAACATTTTACACATTTAGAAAAATAACGCTACACTTAGACGGGTAATGCTGAAAAAGCGGATGAGTTGATTTAAGAAACAATAATTACGATTGATTATGACTAATGATTTTGACTAATGATTTTGACTAATGATTTTGACTAATGATTTTGATGATGTAAAGGTTCATACAACGATGGTGGAAATTTCACAAATATCCCCAAAAGTACCTTCGTCTGACGTCCTTCCATCTTGACATGTGTTGACTAAGCAGATCTGATGCACCTGGACCATCCCCCTCATGAAACTGAAATTAATACAATTATTTAATAATTTTACGACAATACATTAATTGTCAAATAATTTAGGAGCAGATTACATTTTCTAAACCACTGTAAATACACCTTGATACTCACGTCATTAGCATCCCATATTTCATTGCGAAATTGAGGAATCTGATCGGAATATGGTCTACACTCACCAACTGGTGGCGGAAGACTGAACATAATAATAATACATTGAAAAATTTGTTTATCATTTGGAGAAAACGTGATTCATTAATTAGTATACATTTGAATATTCCTAATAATTTATCGACACCACTGATATAATTTCAGCTGACATTGACAGATAAAATACGCTTTTTCGATGTTTACATCACGACGTAATCTTTTAAAAAAATGTATTCAGCATGTGCCGTATCGTATTGATAGCAATGTCGCACAGTTTAATACCTGTTTACAACATCTGAGCTTCTACTAAGTTCCTAGAAAAAATACGATAACAGTATTTAGTCTGTTATGCAAGTTGAAACAACAATCACCGTACCATACTGCATGCAGCCGCCTGGGAGAGGCATGTGATTGCCGAAATAGCGTGATTATTGTTTAACCGTAACTTACCAATGAACTTGGGAACTCAGGTAGCGGCTTTTCTTCTGCCTCATGAGGTTTGTTTTTCATCCATGCACGAGCCAAAACATACAGCGAAGTGTCCTTATTAAACTTTGCAAAGTCCACACTGCGGCCTCGTAGCTCGTGAATGTAGCTGTATGCATGATCAAAACATGTAAAACAGAATTAAACTTTCTACATTTGACCTTGGAGTTGCCAGTAGGCCCAGCACATTTAACAACATGTTATACTGAAGTGGAGTGGAAAGCATATAAAAGCCTTCGCACTAAGATAATACAATTTATATAAACTTGGTGCAAATTTTAAACCTAAATGCTTGAGAAAAGCAATAATGGAGGAATGACACACTTACGTTTCTATGATGACATCATCAGAAGAGAATATGTAAAGAAAAAAGCAAGATATTAACACAGGGCAACATATCACTGTTAATATTGGCATACTAAAATACTTTCATAAAATTTCATACACAGTGAAACAGGTGGCATGTAAATTTCTCATGCACAGCCATTAACCAATCAGACTGTGACTTTGAGAAATCAGAAGATAACATACTTTGAGCTGGTAAGGTCACCTGATTTTCTGGAATGAAGAAAATAAACAGTAGTAAGTTGGTTGATAAAAATTATGCAAAGATCAGTAATATGAATAAAACATTTCATTGCAGATGATATATAAAACACAAACTTTTTAACATAATAATAATAATATACAGTACTACCAGTATATCTTGCTAAAATTTTATATAGTTTTATCAGGCTAAAATAATCTGGTAAAACAATACCAGTGTCTTGTGGTGGATTTTCTCGTTTACTCCTCTTCCTTGGTGTTCTGTTTCCTGGAAATAAATAGATTCATGTAACACATAAATTGACATTCATGTGAAATATGTGCCAACAGGATAGCAATTGGTTACCTGAAGACGAGCTTCTGTATTTTTTGCAAAAGTATATATCAAAGAAAAAACAAAATAAGCATACAGCACTAGTTATTCATAGGAATACATCAATTTGTAGAAGTGTTCTACCTTTTACGTGGTGTTGATGGCTGACTAGTTGATGTTCTATAAGAATTGGTTTAAAAATCTTAGCAATGTGCACAAAAGTTACTGCAAATCATTTAGCACATTTAGAAAAAATTATCCTAATACTACAGAATATATCACTTTGTGTATTTTAGTACACAACACTTGTGTACTAAAGTGTTGTTGTTAGGTCTAGTTATTTAAATCCTGCTCAAGACCTTAGTTCAAATCCTTAAACTACATGTAAGGTCTAATTTGCTAAAGTTTTGTAGAAACCATGTAGAAAGCAGAGGCTCAAAATCGTAACCAGAATCACCATTGATTATGATTTGAACAACCAGTCCCTATGCTGCTGTCACCTATATGTTATTACAGCTCCCCTTTACATATCCCTTTGTAAGAAAAGCAATAATTTAAAACTTTTTCATGCAGATGTGACAGGCTTTATTAAAAAACAAAGCCAGCCTTTAGCCAAGAGTGAATGTAATGGAAAACAGCCTTTACATGGGATTGGAGCTTATTAGCTATCACATATTGACATATCAAAGTTGTATTCTTCACACCTGTCTGGATCTTTCACATCCTCATTTAATGGTGGACTGAAAGGAATGAAAAGAACATGCAGAGTTAAAGGAAATCGTATCTATTTGTAGATGAAAATTATCATAAATTACTTTCATACTGACTAAATGGACATGTGAACAATACCTTAAAGTGTCCTGTTTGTCTGCAAGTTGTTTAAGTAAGTCTTCTAATGTGCTTCTGGCGTCAACTAAACGTCCTGTCATCTCCCTGTTTGGCAGTCTGAGTCTCTTATTTGCAAAAAAGTATACCTTTCCCAAATGCACCTGTTACGAAGAATGTACGTAGATGCTAAATATCCTTATATAATTTATCCGAGCCACTAGCGTCTTAAACTCGAGCTAAAACTATGGTTAATGTCAGGATTTTTGCTGCTTTACCACCACTGAAGAAGCTGAAATTGTCCGCCATCTTGAATTTGACCGAGTGTAAACTGTAAAGCGCTGGAACGAGTGTAATAATTTGTTTCAAGAATGGGTAATTTTTTTATTACCTGTTTTTTTATTACCTGCAAATTTTTTCAAAATACTCCGACTCGTCACCTCTATAACGGTGTCCAAACGTGATGTGCAATCAAAACTCTTTCTTTGAAATGATCTCATCGTTTGCCGGAATACGATATACTACAATACTCCACCCTCTGACTCGATCTCTGGGATCTCTGGGCAATAGACTAACGAAAGTATCTTGCTATCAAGGATTTCAAGGCTCCCAGGCTAAACGTGTGCAGTTCTTAAGTTGTTCTCAGAGTTGTTCTTAAACATTAAATCCAGGGCTAGGCAAACAAGCAATAGCACACACGACATGAAACGTAAACTATGTTCATTGTTTTTCTTTACACGCATTTACATCCTCGGTACGAGGAGTCTGAAATGGAAACCTCTAAAGGATTAGACAGAATTCTAAACTCTTTCAAGTAACATCACCCCAAATTCATCCTGGGTATAATTGAATTGTTTACCAGACTTCACAGCGATGGTCACTGAATTTTTTGATTCCTAAAAAATTCCTTCGCTTCTTTGCATGTAATGTTCACGCACATGGGACATCGTAATGGTAGTTGAGTTGAGCATACATCATTCGATTCTAAATGAGCTTTTACAATGTCGGCCATAGCCTAAACCATACAGAAATATGTTTTAAAATCCGATTCTACACTGTATATATTATGTAAGAATAATATTATTAGTAAAGAAAAAAGTTCAAAGAGGCACAAGGATTAGGAAATATATGAAAATCATGCTCTTCTAAAATCTAATCTTCTAGTGTGACAAACCTTAATAAATATTGGATTATCGTTGAGACTTGCAGCGCGTCTGATCATTTCCACTCCAGCCTAGTAACAAATAATTGGAAAACAATCAAATTGATATATTTTGTGAATACTCTTCTCAATTACCCCTTAAGTCCACTTTCTATGAGAAGAGATATCCAAAGACTTCCATCATCCTTCCAGTAAACCCCATCTTTTTCTCTTACAACTACCCACCCTTCTTCTCCCTTTCAGTTTCACTCTTCAATAAATCTCTTAAAAAAGCTCTCTTTCTCTTTGATCACCTCTTACCAGAATATAGAGTTTACGATCTACCACGCGGATCGAGTCGCGAATCGTAAACTCCCTAATGTTTCCAAAGAGCCACCACCAATTTCTTTAATCATATCTTTCTGATACCCTCTCTAATTATCTTTTTCCAATAGTAAGCTATCCCTCTCTCTAACTATTTCTAGGCCTTGGCCCTCTCTCAACTTTCTACAATCTCCAATGCCTCCACCCCTTCTCTAATAAGCCCTACCCCATTCTCTAACGATTGTCATTCAACAAATTCTTACTTTTTGTGCAGTTTCTTCCATATATTCAATATCTAATTCATAAAGTGTCTCAATGTGATCTGACGTAAATGCAATTGGAACAAGCAGCATATGTTTTTGACCATTCTTACACAGACCCTCAATAGCTTCCTCTGTTGATGGTCCTAGCCATGGAAGAGGACCCACCTAGGACAGATAACTATCAATATCAGTATCTCCAATCCTTTTTATTACTATCTATGAATTTAACTGATTACACATTATGATATTGCTGGAATACATTTGACGATCATCTTGGAACAAAGCCAAATTTGAGCAGAGAAGTTCTGATTTAAAGAAACTACCTAGAACACATCCAGACTAGGTTTGAATTAAATATTACTAACCTTAGATTGCCAAACAAGTCTATATGGGTTACTAAAATGTATTTTTTGCATAACATTATGGACAGTTGCTGCAACTTCACCAGGATAAGGATCCCCTCTGTTCACAACCTGTGATCAATAAGAGATAAAGGGGTTAGATTGGCAATGAATTGGTCAGGAAATGTCATCTTTCTATCTGCACCATTCTTATTATAATACTGATCATATGACTTTACCAGTTAGGTGATAAACTTAACAGCCATGCAATCCATACCTTCATTGGTAAAGAATGAGCAGAGAAAAGAATCACAACTTCATCTCTCACAGCTTCTGGAAACTTTTCCAGCTCTATTTTTATGTTTTCTGCAAATGCCTTAATACAATAAAGAAATTGTGGAATTATATTGAGTTAAATCATTTACTCATTTTTTAGTCTCTTGTGGCCAACTTCCTTATTAGCAGAAACATTATAGTGTGTTAATTCCATTTGTGTACCTCAAACATTTACCTCTACAAGACCTGGGTGTGTTGGCCATCTATCAATGACACTCCACTTCACATTGGAATCCAAATTTCTTTTCTTGTAAAAACGGTATATTGCATTTAAACTACTTCCAGTTGTTGAGCACGAATATTGAGGATACTGAGTGAATGCAACCACTCTATCCAAGCCATCCCTATAAAATTAAAGGTAACCAAAACATAACCATGTTATTATGCTATAATTGAGATTTAATTTAAAGTACTTTATATCATTACAGCAGATGCCGTTGCATTTGTGAGCAGAGGTAAATCTTGCCAGTATTGATGAATAAATATTAATTTAACAATAATTTTATTAAAATTCTTACTTTTCAATTTCCTCCAAAGTATCTTCTGTAAGTGGATTAGCATATCGAAATCCAATGTAATATTTATGTGGAGCTATAAAACACAAATAAGATTGATAATACAAAAATCAGTGAGGAAATTCTCAGTATCCTAAGTATCCTCAATAACATGGCCATGTATGGCACCCCTGAAGGAGGAACCCACAAGAGATGCTTTAACTTAGTAACTTTGTTCCCATAGCACCTGTTTATTCCTCCTTATTATCCCAAGAACAACAGTTCTATGCTGGTCAACCTGTCTGTGCAAAAAATTGATACTCAAAGGAATACTTGGACACATGAATGCACTCATTGATAAAATGGTAAAATGCGGTACTGTAATATTATTTACCGGTTTTAGGACTTATTTCATCAAGAATTTCCACCATTTCATCTCCTTGTTTCTCAGTCCATTTCCTTATAGGTGATCCTCCTCCAATTTTACCATATTGCTCTTGTATCCGTGGTGTTCTTCGTTTAGCTATAAATGGTGCCAGACGACTTGGAGAAAAGAAACTATGTTTAATACTTTTGTTTTGCATTGTATTATTTAGACATGTTTATATAAATTCCATGGTACCAGGGGTTGCAGGGTTGGTCTGTTAGTTTATTCACAAACAGTCAGAGATTGAGCTTGCAAGATTTAATTGATTTCATTTCTATCGTTTGCTAATTGCATATATTGCACACCTACAGAAGTATAGAAACAATTCACTAAACCAACCATCTATTTGATGATCAGGGTAAAACCAAGGTTTTTCCTAGTTAGGTTCAGAGGTGTACATTCCAATTTCATTGGATAATGCAAAAAACCCTGCAAAATCCAACTTATTAACTACAGTACTAGCTTTCCTGAGGCGCACATTTCGCGTGTTTTACCTTTGAGCTGGAAGTGGTATGAGGTCTTTATCAGAAAACAAACGAAACAAAAAATCACGAACTTCATCCAATGTACTAGGCCCACCCATATTGACCAACATTACTCCTGTTTTAGCTTTCTTCAAATTTCTACAACATGGAGTAAAAGGACAATATATCCACCAGATCTCTTTTCATTCATAAAATATTAACAAATTACATAACATTAAAATTTTATAAACTATTTATACTTATTTACTACACATCTATCTACTAATCTCCATTTCTGTCGACTACAACTCAAGGAAATATGTTTCATCACTTTACCCTTCATTCTTGCTCTGTTTCTGATTTCCTGGTGCACGAGAAGTGTTAAACAGTCTTATACCTTGCACTGCCGGATACTTCACGTGTGCTACTAGATCTTGACTAGAAAACCTGTAACTTTTGAAAATCCAAGACGCAGTAGCCGATCTTGGTCCTAAAATAACCCCACAAATTTATAATTAGAAATAATGAGAGCAATACACGAGCAGTCGATTTTAGCAATCAAGTCAAATAATAATACTTACTGGTAAATGACAATTTCGCTAACATGTTGAACGTTACTTGTTGTCAAATGAATATTTACCGGAAAAGGTGCTTCGCTAAGGCCTCGCTTCCGATCATATACATCCTGTTGCTTGTAATTCTTGTGGAAGTATTATGGTCAGGACAAACTCATAGTTAATAATTAATAATTTTGACCGCGAATATTTAACACAATAAAAACATGTAGTCGAAGTCAAAAGGGCCTAATGGTGGAATTATGTCAAGAAACGACTAGTTATTACTGTTGTTTCACTTTTGGTATTATTTATTATATAACCCGAGTACAGGACATTGGCATAGAGATTAGAGAAGAGGGTGGGGGTGTTAGTCACACCTGAAATGGGGGAGCAGAGCTTTAAAGTAGCAAAATTGTCTGTTGTTTGCCGGATAACTCAAAGCACCGTTACGTTAGTGAAAAAGTAGCTAAATAACTTCACGCAAGGTCAGAAAATTCCCTCCTTACAGGAGTAAACGTATAATGTCTATAATTGAAATTGCACATATTTGCCACCAAGCACAAAGATAACAGGTATAGTGACTCATAATCAACTCGTTCCATTGGCTCCATTTTTACCTTTGTACTCCTGTGGCTGTGAGAAGTCAAGTTCTATAATATAGTTTGAACAAAACTACAGACGATTTCTTTGCATTTGGCAATAAGCCGAAATCTTCAAGGTTTTAAGGTTTTCCATTCTTCGTGCACAACGTTTTTTAATACTATAAGGCTAGATAAAGCTACGATGATTTTTGTACTGGTGTGAAACCAAGTCTTATTCTATATTGTAGTTTTATAAACCATATCGATAATTCCTCTGCATTTGCGAGATAATGCTTTTCTCGTCTAAACATTTAAGACATTTAATAGACTTTGTCATAATGATGTCCACGCGGAAAGCCTGATGTTAAGCCCGGATCAGACGAGGACGCAAGTCATCGCAAGTTTTTGCTTGTGCCTGCTTGTACCTCGTTTAACCGTCTACTTGTGATGACTTGCGAAGACTTGCATTGACTTGTCTATCGTTTGACCAGTCTCACGCAAGTGACACCAAGTAAACTTGCGATGGACTTGCATCCTCGTGTGATTGATTCGGTCTTTACACAAAAGGTAAGATAGACCAAGCAGTTAGTTTTCCGAAGCCAATCAAACTTCGTGTAACATCAAAGCCCAGCGTTTGACATCATTATCAGAAAGGTCTATTGGAAGGTCCAGTTGCTCAGACAAGACCAATGGTGTCCGAGACACTCGTTGTAACTTGTAAAGAATCGAACTGTTCATTTGTAGGTTTGTTCTCGTTGTCATCATCTACCGCCTCGTCGCAACTGATGTGATCAGTGCTCATGCTATACAGCGGTGGAAAAATTTTGTTGCGAATATATTTCTCATGTGCAGTCTGTAAAACAAGAAGATTGGGGCATGTTTTAGAAAATCATGCTGGTCGGGTATAATATTATACGTTAGCAAAACAAAATGTATCGCATACCTTTAAAGTTTCCTCATCAACGGTCGTGTCATCATCCAGTGATGAAAATGTGATCAGCTCCATGAATGTAGCAATTCTCTTCCAGTACATATTAATAAATATGTAAAATATGATCGTCAGGACCAAAGGAGGAATGGAGAGAGTAGAAACTGTGGGATTGTTCTTTAATGCAAAAATCCCAATCATTAAAATTTGAAATACAACCACAGCAAACACCATCCTGAAATATAATTATAAATACTTCACATTATATAATGCAGGCATAAAATCTGAACCATGCATAAATTTTGAAATCTAACAAACTTATCATAAGTACAAATGGTACTGTGTGTAAACGGTAAGTAAAGGTGTTTTGATTAGTTATGGGATTACATGTCGACATGGAAAACACACGTGGAAAATTCACTACATGTATTCGATAAGTCCATCAATATGCGTAGCCGATGCAGAAGTATGTGCGTCTATAGTGAATCTATAGAAAATCAGGGGGGACATTTTGGAATGCGAATTGTAATTCTCCTTGATAAGGGCAAATGACAAATTGAATTGCCAACGCAATTGTTTGAAAGAGGTATACTACGTACCCTGTTAAAGTGCCTATAGACAAAAGTCTGAATACATTCATTCAAATAAAACATATTTTATACTGCATGTACCTGTTAAAAACAGGAAACCACATTTTACCCCCAGCATTATATTTAGTCTGCGTAACATACACCATGAAATAGAAGTTGACGATATAACCAAAACCAAAGTAGAGCAAAACAAAAGGAAGAACAATGGGAGCTTGCACACAATAACAAACACCAATTATGAATACAAATAGATCTTCTGAATACTAAAAACGAAAAATAGCAAAAACAATGCATGATCAGTGAGGCTTGAACATCGCTCTCCTTTCTAAAATCTGATCCAAGGCGTCGCCATATCTGGGAAAGTGTGGGGGACTAATGATTATAAGACTAAAACCAAACAAAATACTATGAAACAAAATAAGCAAATTATTCTGCGTCTAAACATATACAATAATCTAAACGTGTCACTACGTCCCCGCCCCCTCCCCATTTATTTTCTTTGCAGATGTGGGATAAGGCTAGAAAAATGTTTCAAATATGTTATTCTTGTTTATATTGAAAAACACAGAACGCGATTATAATATGAGGAGAAAGTTTCTTACGTTTCTTAATATTCTTCATTACTGACTAATGTAATAAAGGCATTCGAACAATAATTACCATCTCGCCATAACTTGGTGTTGGAGGACTCCATAGCAATTTTTGTTCCCGTTCAGTTTTAGCCAACCTATAATTGCAAAGCGTTTAAAAAAATCAATGTAATTTTGCGTGCCGCGTTTCAAAAGTAAGGGACTATATTTCAAAATGAAACCTGAATGTTTAAAATGCACACTCATTTAAACACTCATTTGATGGCACGTAAGGTGAAACACTACATATCGTGGTCTCTAGGTTGTCGATTGTCACAGGATCACATAGAATCATGATCCTCATAAATTACCATGTTACTATAATAATTTACTGTACAATAATTTACCATCTCTTTTTAACATTACACATAATGAGAGGAACTATGCGTAATAACTTAATTGCATGGCCGGTTAATGCTTGAAGAATGACATAGTTTATAAAAAATGATCCAACAGCAGGAAGAGACATTGCGAGCAGTTTTGGGAGTGATGTGGGATGATCCAAAATTTGCTGTACTTTATCAAAAAATGCCCCAGCAAGAACAGAGCCGAGAAATTTGTTCACAATCTAAAATCAAACGAAAACAATTTTACATGGGCATGGCAGTCACTATTGCCATCGAAAAGTGAACAATAAATTGACTACGTTATGTACGCCTCTTCAGTTGTCTGTATTTTTGTTTGTTTTGCTTTTACCAGAAATCTAAATATTTTACGATTGACTTAATTACACTGTACTTACCGCGAATATATACAACTTTTCGATAACCGAGGAATCAACATCGCTCAATGATAACAGGCCTTGTTGGCGTGATATGAATTCCATAATCTGACAGAAAAACAGAAAAAAGGGGAAATGAATTTTTAAGAAAAACCTACGTATATAATAAATTTTCCAGACAACGCATACGACATTTCTTTGTAAATCCACATCTACTAACCATTGGAAGAATTGCGAAAAATACAACAAAAGCCAAGGTAGATAGCACTCCCTCAATTAAACCCACGACCACTGGGCTTAAATCATTCACTATTAAAATAAAACGATATAGAATATTTGAATTGGTTTACTCATCACAAAATGTGACTCGTCTAAACCAAGCCTTAAACCGTCCAGAGAAATTTGCTCTTCAAGACTTACCAAAGCGAAGAAACGAGACTTTCTTTTGTAGACTTTCAAGTGTGACCAAAGATTGAATAAAGGTTACTGGTATCATCCAGAACACCACAAGAAAAAACAGAAGAACACTAATAATTGTCCAACGTAACCATCTGTAAGAAGTAAAAATAAAAACATTAGAAACGATGTTATCCACCAATGGAAATTGAAGGTTTTTATCAAAAACACAGCCGTAAGTATTTGCACGTATAAAAAATTTCTAAGGATTGGCATTGAGTGCAATTGTACCTGTTCCATAATGGATACTCTAGATTTTTCCAAATGACATCACGTGATTCTGGGGCTGGCTGGACCATGGTATGATAGGGCTTTGCCTGCCAGAGTACCTGAGTAGCAATACTTGCGTCACGAAGAGTTTTAAAAGTTATTATTGCCGCTGGTACTGCACGTCTTGTAACGTCAGAGTCTTGCTGCATCAATTTATCTTGAAGACTCTGAAAAAAACAGTTGCATAAAGTATGCCAATAAAAACAGCTTGAAGCTAGTAATAACGCGATACATCCTATAATCGATAAGCCAATAATTTAATTTGACTTGGATCCAGATAAACCTACTTTTAGTTCTTCTTCATAATATTGAATGGAATCAGTTTTATTTCCAATAATTAGCTTAACCCTGTGTTGAGGTCTTTCGCCCTTTTCCTCAAGAATTGCCTACAAGAAAAGTTGGTAATCTTCAATAATCGTGATGCATATATGGAGTTATAACTATATGTTATGGTCACTTGCATACCTTTGCACGTTCAAGTTTAAGAATAAGATCGTCATGTTTTTTTAGAAGTTCCTGCCAATCTTCAGTATTCTCCACCACATAGCAAAAGGCCACCTACACGTAATAATATAAATATGATATATCCAACATTGCAATAGATTGTCAATACTATTGGAACCAGCCGAACTTAGAACGATTCATCATGAGATCATTGGTAAATGGCAATGGGTTCAAGGAATTTTGCTTGCGGAGCGACATTTTGGGGCTGTTACATGAACCCGGTCACGCGATAGTTGACGACCCGTAAGATGATTTTGAGGTGTTAGAAAAAAGAACAACAAAACAAGCGCATGCATGCCATTGTCAGGATGACTACATTAGTCACTACAGCTAGCATCATGTTATTTATATACATGATGTCGTTTCGCACTTCGTTTAATCTCAGCTACGCGGCATCATGTAAAATGTAAACTGACTCTCGTTTAGTTTATGAACACTCGTGCATGGAAAACTAATTTAACAAGGTACCTGATCTGGAAAAATTTTCTCAATTAGTTTTTTTAGATCCTCATCAAGTGGTATATGTTGAATTGATACAATCTGGAAAATAAATGACAGAGTAATAACTTTTCGTATACCTTAATTAATAAGAATGGTTTCAATATCTCTTCAAGCCGATAGTTCGTAAGATGCGCATCAAGATTCAAGAACGCTCAACTAAACCTAAACCCACAGTGAACTACAGTCAGTACACGATAGCATAATCTGTTTCAATTGCTTCCTGGCTCGTGCAGCTTAGTTTCGTACTAAAATTATTATATAGACTTAGTAATATTATAACATAGAATAAAATGTACTCGGCTCGTAGGAAAAGTTTCAAACAGTAGCAGAGATCCAGGGTAAGTTAGAACCAATAGCGGTATTTTTAAGATAATTTATTCTGACTAACCCTAGATCGGACCCATTGGTTTTAAAAGGCGACAGGACGATGCAAATACGGTATCTTCAGTCTGATTGTCAGAAACTACGCAGTGTCTGGGAAAGCATAAAAGCCTTAATGCTCTTTGTTTTAGACGAAGATCGCAAGAATAATCAATTGGTTAACCAGCCAATGATATTTGAGCAAATGCATAATTATATAGATTTGCTCACAAACGGTAAAACAAGGCGTTGTGTTATGCGCCAGTGCGTCATTGATCATCTCTAAATATTTAACTACATGCGGCATCAAATGTACAATGCATCCGTTTCCAAAGAAATTTAAATAGTAATATAACAAAATGTTGAAAATTTTAATTTGGTTGTTGGCTATGTTAGGCAAAATTGAGTAACCAAGTATAGTTGCAAATATTCTCAATATTTGACATGTCTGTGATGATTTTGTGTTACGCACTGACCGCACGCAACAGACTGGTACAGCACGTATTATTTAGACACATGTTTGTAAAAATCTCGAAGCGTTTACCTCAGAAGGCAATTGTGTTACCAGAACAGAAAAATGATTTTCTTTATTCTCCTTCAGATATCTTTGACGATATTCAACATAAACATGCCACTCAGTGTACAACAAATAATACATGAGAAAGGAGAATAACCAAACACCTATTAAATGTGCCCAAAGTTTATCTGACTCTTGAGTTATGTTTCCCAGTGTTAGTATATCCATTCCTTTTTGATCATTGCCACCATTTACACTGACTGGAATAAGAACAAGCACTGCGTATGGCAATAAGAATGCTGCGATGCGGAAACATAACCTCAGAAATCTCAAGTAGACAAATGCATCAAAACCAACCAAATCGTATAGTTCGTCCCTGCTGACTTTAAAAGCAGGAGTTAACCAACGAAAGAACTCTGATGACAATGCGAGCTTTCTCAATAACGCACGTTTTGTCTCTGAGATCTCCTTTGAGAGGCATTCTGTCAACATCTTGAAGTTTGGTTGATAAACAAAGTCAAAGCGGGGACGGAGAATACAGAATACTACAAGGATAATAAGAGTAATACCAACGTTGAATATTAGGGACGTAATAAATGCTTCTATAGACGCCATCGTAATTCTGTCCCTCTTTACCAATCTGTTTCTTTAATTAGACGAAACAGGTCTGTATATAGGCTAGCTCCTTCAGCCTCCCTGTTCCTTATGTGAATTTATGCACATAATCATACGTTTGAATTCTCATTTCATATGCTGTACTGAAGTGGTTCAGTTCATACTTGAAATTTGATAGTCTGCTAGACCCTAAACGGTCCAATACTTCTGAAAACCATAACAACTATCGTGAAACTGATAGAGATGAAGACTTGAATTTATATTCTTATTCGTGCACGATTTAAATATGATGAAAACGAGAGTAAAATAAAATATGATTCATGCATTGCATTTTTTAATTTATCCTATCGTCCCATTCACTCCATGTTAGTATAATTACCATGATTATCGAAAATCCTTCTGATTGGTCAAGCAGCTCGCAAGCGATAATCACATTAAGCCTAGTTTCCACTCAGGAAAAATCTCCTTTGGATCGGAACAGACAGGAAAATTTCCTTTGAGCTCTCAGGCGGCGTTTATACAAAGGAAACTTTCCTGTCCTGTCCAATCCAAAATGTCGCTTCGCGCGAAAATTAAAGCTAGTGGAAAACCGGCTTTAAGGGGCTGCTTTTCCACTGTCGCGTTTTTTGTACGTACGTACACGCACGTAAAATCTTAAAACCTTCCAAGTTGTTGTAAAATTATGCGAGAAAAAACTACCTTCCCGAGGTCGAATATACCACATTTCGGTATATATTCGACCTCATACAAGTCATTTCCGGGATTTTCATTCGGACCTTACAAAGGTTGAATATACCATATTCCGGTATATTCGACCTTACCAAGGTATATTTTTGCTAAGCCATTATACCACGTTGCATTAAAAGTAGTTAGAGCCTGTTTATGTTTTACAGATTTAGGACAGCGAAGCGATATTGACGACGGCGTTTCTCGTCTTCTGAATGCTGTGAACGAGTGAGTACAACTAATGCATTTATTCACTCCTTCACACATAGGTAGCCCAGCGCGCGTACACGCTACTCAGTGCTTCACATGTGTCAAAAGAATTTCTCTGCGAACTGGTTTTTCCGACAAACACCACAGGAGTTCGCCGAACTCAGTTCGGTTCAACGTACATTCACAAAACGTAAAGAGCCGGCATTTTTTCTGCTTTTTGTTTTGATTGCGGCGTCTTTTCACTATTGTCATGTAACATAAAACATCCGCTAATTTCGTGGTGAAAAAAACTGCAGATTGCAGAATCGACAATCGCCTTGCGATAACTAATTAATAAAAAAAACCTTTTGGGTTTGCAGTTTCTTTACTGTCTAGGGCAGAGTACACATGCCGATTGAACTACTGAAAATAACGTAGTTATCAAGGTGCATCATGGGTGGTTTTCAAGTGTAGGTCTTGTGTATCTTTACCGCATTCATTTTTACTTCTTCAACTCTGGTTAGTTAAAGTCTATCGACAATTTTTACTATGACATTCATATGTTTATTCCTCTATTCATTTCTATCAATACCGGCTTGTTCGTTTCTGAGACGACAAGTCAATAGGTTTGTACATGCGATATGATATGATACTTTCTTTGTTGTGATAAGAAACGCGGGTGGCAGTGAATGTGGTTTGGTATACGTTGTTCTGATTGTGCGGCATCAATTAACACATGTACTTCAATGTTGCTTGGTAGCCTTGGTTCGAGACCACTCACTGCGCAAAAAGGGAATATTAAAGGTGCGGTTTTTCGGTTGCATGTATCAATTTTTTCGTTTTACGCACAATAGGTTATAAAGAGATTTCGAAGGAGAACTTGGTATGTCGGAAATGTACAGTAGGGCAACTCAGTTGTGCAACATGTCCCTCATGACCTTACACCCTTTCTGCCGCGGTAAGGAGGGAGAAGAGGGGAGGGGTGCGTAGAAAGGTAACTACAGAGAGCCAACCAGTTATGCATATTTTCTTGTCAGATCAATTAAGAATTAGCCAGATAAACTGTATAAAGCATCGAAATCTATTGCCCTTCTCGGTGCATGGCGTGCATGACCAAAATGATGGCTATCCACAATATTTCTTTACAACTAACTCAATGTTAAACTCACGATTAGTCATCCAAAAGTTTTGGATGAACATTATTTAGAAGAGAGATTATCCATAATATCGAGTATAATATAACAATCGCGTGCCGATCAGAGTAACAATTCTATTATTATCTTTTAAAATATAAACAACGAGTCAATTTAAATTAGCATGGAGTGCAAAGAGTGCGTGTGGGTTTTTCGGAGGCGTCTAGTTTCTTACATGCCAAAAAGTGAAAAAAATTAATTGATTAGATCAATTACTTCCCATTGCATTTCACATTATGCCTTGCGGTGTTTAAAATGACCTCGCATCGGAGAGCTTTTGAGTTTTGTAAATTTAGTTCGAATAACATTCTTTCTTACATCGTACCGTTGATTCAGTGGGGAAAATAGTGTTTTTATCAAATCCAAATATAAACTAAGAAACAACAGAAGTTACAATTATAAAACAATATTAATAATAAATGATTGAATCAGTAACAAACAAAATACACATGTAAATATTATTGTATCAGGAGAATCAAATTGCCGAGTATTATTGAGACACTTTCTTTCGTGTTTGTTATGCAGTCTACATACTGACTTGCGGAGTAACAATTAACAAAACAACAGACCAGGAGAAGAATCGTTATCCGAAGCTAGAACATTTTGCTTACTGACTGGTATTCACAATTTTTGCAAGGCGATAACGAGGAACTCGTTAAACTTCGCGTTCTTAGTCGTAAATTAACGATTTCCTAAACGAGGAATGTGATTATCATGGCTGACGAAGAAAGACCAGAGAAATTTTCCTCCAAAAAGGAAAGGAATTCGTCGCAAGATTTACCCCTTGATCTCAACTTATTGCATTTACCGCTGCAGAATTCAACAATTAAAAGAAAGCAAAATCATCCTCACGATGCTTTTGACAATTGCTCGCCCCAATTTTCATCATCAGGTAATAACATCAGAAAGGAATATAGAGCAACAAAATTGGGATATTCGAAGTTTCCTTCACCAGACCCAATGTCAAGTGAGTTACCTAAAAGTAAAGAGCACGCAAGACGGACTAAAAGTACTCCAAATTCACTAAATGTGCCATTTTATGGTTTGGCGAAATTTAGTTTTGAAAAGCCTCCATACGAACATAAAAGAAGAACATTTTCTGACGTAACGGAGAAACGCGATGCTTTGGACAACAATTTACACTTGGGTCTCAAACTACCTGTCATCCGCGTTCACTCCACTCAATGTCAAAAACACGAATATAATAACAGAAATAAGTCGACTAAATCAACAGTTGGAGAAGAGCTCCATCTTCCTTATGTGAATCATAAGAAGTTTCATAGCTTGTAACCGTAGAAAGATCGTGCAGAACTTTTGTAATGAATAAGTCTTTGTTAAGCTATATAGCAGTTATAGGTCTATGATGTGGAGAGATTACAGGTTGTTATGTCATTGCAAAGAAACGATCTATAAATTGATAAAAAATATCCATAAATGTAAAATATATACAGCGATAAAAATAAAACCATGCAGAAACTGGCATAACAGGATACACATATGTTTCCACCAAATATTGCCGCAACATTAATTAAACGCTTGTCAATATCTTTGCTATAATATGATTTAAATTATAGTGTGTTCGAGTTTTTCGTTTACACGCCTATCTAGATTGAGTAGCTATATATGTTCAAATTTTCCCCCCGACAATTCAATGTACATTGCCTGAAAACGGGATAGACAATTAGACAAATGGTTCGATGTCACATCGAGGTCTGCCAAAATGCGATTTCTCACCTGAGCGTTAAATTATATAAATTATAATATACTGTTCCTCGGCAAGCAAAATTTCAAGAATATCAAATGCTAAATTGTCGCTAATCGCAGCACTTGACATGTGTTAGTCATTTCTAGTCCTATGAAAATCGATGCTTATCTCTCAGTCCTCTCACGCACAACCCCACCGCCGCCAGCGCGTCTCTTTCTTCAGCAGCCGCTCAAAATAGATTTTTACAATCAACTTTTTGGATAAATATTAATTATATTATGCTATGATTGATATGGCATATTACGCAAACAGATTTATTTCTTTAGTTTCTCCCTTCCCGCCTATCATATATATATATATATATATATACATATATATATATTATATAATCCTCCTAAAAAGTCGTCAAGCAAAAAAACATATTCGTATCACATGAGCATCAGTAACCACGACAACTGACTGTATGTTGCAGAACATTTAAAGGGACATTAAAAAACTTTTTTTAAAAAAAATTTCAACTTTCTCCATCTGCCTATGAAATATTGTCCGATTAAATTGCAACAAAATAAAACGTTCCCATTAAAAAACTTTTTTTAAAAAAAATTTCAACTTTGTCCATCTGTCTATGAAATATTGTCCGAATAAATTGCAACAAAGTAAAACATTCCCAGATGTTAAATGTTCTCAGATGTTTTATAAAGAGAGTGGTTGTCGCGAGAGTGATTATTAGAGGATATGCAGTAATGATATTTTGACCCAAGTCATTAAACGTGGCTCCGCTCTGACATATTAGCTATGACAGGTGGCGAAGTGGGATTTTCTGATCACGGAAGTGGGTTGTGTAAAATTTTCAACTCTTTCCCCATCGTTCCACAGTCTGTTATGATTTCATTTGCTGTGCGGCACCACCCAGAACCCACAGCATGCAATGCTTCGTCATTTTACTGATGCATGCACTGGATGACAAAAATATTCAATATAAATTTATTTAGGTTTATTTATTAAATAAAGTCTTATTTAATTTGTATACTATTGTCTTCCTGACAAATGGAAAACGAGTGCCGATGTCACAGTTTTATTACTTCACTTATGGTATTACTTCCATGAAATACGCAGACTCGTGTACCACAGATCATGGTGTTCTCAACACAAACCTGGCCAGCTGTGTCTCAATAAATTTCACAAACCTTTATCATTGTTAGCTGCATCTTCCACTTCCGCTACCTAACTCCTTTTTATTTTTTTCCTCATCAGCACCTTCGACATTTTTACCTTCAGGGAAGACGGAGGAGGCAGTAAGGCAGAATCAGAGAAAGAAAAGCATGTGGGTACATAACAATTTAGAATTCATTATTCTATCAATCAATGCACTGTAAATAGGAAAGGTTTATTCTTTCGAATTTATATTGTGAAATTTTTCGTTGTTTGCATGGTTCTCAGTACAAATTATGTCCGCCCCAGAAAGCCCTATAGGGATAGACACTTCTATCCTCGGTGAAGTTATGAAACTTTTTCCTCGCTATTCCTAGGGTATCCTAACCAGGTAATAGAAGATTGAATCGTTGGGAAAATTGTCAATCGGTACGTTACTAGGTGATCTGGCAGATTAGCAAGGGCCAGTAAAATATTTTAAACATTTCCTTCAATTATCATTACATACTTTGTTCTCGTCATTGTGAGACGACTTGGACGTGATATCGCAAGCAAAATAAAACCATCTTACACTATACGATGTGAGCTCGAGATTAGTAGTTTTAAGCGTCATTTTAAAATATAATTCGTGTCAATTACGCAATTGTCCCCGAGGCATTGTTGGCAGAGAAAATAATTCCTGCGAAAATCCCAGTACTAAGTAAAAATGCGACAAAGGCAGCAGTTCTCATTGTTTTATCCGATTCATGAAGTATGTCATTTCTTTCGTCTTTTTCATTTGAATAATCAGCTTGCTTTTCATTGTTCATATCTTGTTTTATTTTATCGCTGAATTGATTGGCTTGATTTCTGATTGTTTCCCAAGATGATCCCTCAAAGTTGCCTGGAATATAAGGAATCTTACTTTATGGGTTTTATAATTTATACTGACATAAATTAACTTCTCAAATATTCCAGACGTGAGAAAATATTTAATCATCTGAACAGATGACATATTTCGTGGCCGGCTTCAAATTGTTTTCAAATCAAACCGATCAATCCGCGAAAACTATATTATTTTTATTTCTGGAGTAAGACTGCACTTCATGCACAACATTTGCGAGGCCATATATACACAACTGAATAATTTCGACGGTAAATAATATTTACCTTTAGTTTTGTTGCTTTCATTGATTCCATTCACTGTGCCTTGTAAATCTTCATCCAGCTCTGCTAAGGCAGTGACAAGTGCTCTTTGTTTCTCTGTCAAATATCTAAATTAAAACATAGTCAATGTTGGGTAAAATATAGAGTAAATATATTTATTTTTATATTGAAATCCATATTAATTGATGCCCCATGCAAGGTAAAATTATACTCATACTATAAAATACATTTAGCTCTGTGAAAATACACTGAAATAATCGCTAGAGTTTACATAAACGTTGTATACTACGTGTACGTGACGAATCCATTTGGAATGTTACCTTGGAATATTTATTGAAAAATGTACAATATGATCTCCTCTACCAATACTGTTAAGTCGAGGAATTCCTTTCCCAGAAAGCCGAACTTTTTGATGCGATTGTGTGCCTGCTGGAACCTAAACAACGTAACCTATATATTTATCTTCAAACACAAGCCACTTTATGTTTAAAAGTTTTGGATCATACCTTAACATCGACATCACCATGTAATCCTGGAACTCTTACAGAACCTCCTAAAATGGCCTTCACGAAAACACATTGTGTCAAAAACACAACTGTATATTATATTATTAGCGAGCACAAGTATTCTTGTATAAATATAAAAAAGTCACCCCATTCAATGTTTAACTACGCATGACTATTTCTAGGAGCTTAATAGCACCCTCCCAGACCTTCTTCTTTTGTAGTACTGAACTGCACCACACAACTATTGCTTTAGATCAAGCTTTATAATTAGATTGTGAAATCAATAGACAAGAGTTACCTGAGTATAACTAATTGTTGCCGTCGAATGAACATTCGCCCCATCACGTTCAAATATTTTACTGTTATCAACCTAAAACACCCGTACAAAGGTTCAACCTGCACAATTCACGATTGCTAAACACAGAAAACCTGTATAATTTACGCAGTAACGAAGATTACATCAAATATGGGAATCTCAAGAGATGAAATTTTTCTTGCAGGCACGACGGATCATCAAACTGTTGGAGAGACCTTATTTATCGAGTTATAAACGAGCTATGAAAACCAGTGTACCTTGAAGGTTATAAATATTTCACCACCTCCCATTGGCATTCTTACTGTTTGACCATTTTCAATTCCTACAAAAATGCATTAAAACGGTATAACAAAACTTTATAATATAAAAGAATAAGAAAAAGTCTAAGTGAAGACACTTTAAGTTTCATTACGTCACCTTATATATTATATACATCGACAAAGAAAGATATCTTGCAAAGTTAAGATATGAGCTATAGATTTGAAACATGATGTGCAAATATTTTTAAAAAACCTTGTCATTATCATAATTCTAGAATGGAGTTGAAATATTACCAGTTGAATGCGTCATGTTTTGAGTTTACAGATTATATCTTGAGTTAACAATATGTGTTTGTTTGTCGGAGTATGTTTCATCTTCTATTTTCTGTTTTGCTTAAAGCATATCTGTCTTAATCTACATCTGGTCTTGTGTGAATCATCGTAAGTAGTTTTTAAGTAACAAAACAATAATAAAGGACCTGCAGGAACGGGAACGGTGACCTTCCTTGTTTCCATGATACTCCCAGCTCCATTGCATTTCCTACAAGGATTCTTGATAATACTTCCACTTCCGCCACAGCGGCGACATGTTGAACGCATGTGGAAAAAACCCGTATTGACCGTTTCCTATAGTATCATGGAATAAACGACTTAAAATACATGCATATTACTTTATCTACTGTACTTAGGAAAGTAGGATGGCAATTACAGTCGTTAATTCTCAATCAAACGAGGTATCTGATCTAGTCAGGAACCGCAGAGCACCTATTACTGTTTGAGGGGAAGGCAAATGCAATTATACATAAATTTGAATTTCCTGTCCCTCCAAAGTATCCATAGATTTTTTGAGGTTCAGTAACCTGCTCGATTGGGAAACGGTTATTTCTTCATGTACTTTGTTTGAAACAGGCAAACATGGATGAGGTTACTGAATCAATTGGCAGCCTTTTCTATACATTTGTTCGTCAAGATTGTTTGTTGTAACTGCACAACATACCTGCCCAGATCCGCGACACGTTGTGCATTTTGAAAATGAGCTTCCAGGTTCTGCTTTAGATCCACTACAGCGATCACACGCAACTCTTGTTCGGGCAGACATTTCCTTATTCACTCCTTTTACCGCCTCCATGAACGACAAGTTGAGGGTATACTACAAAATAAAGATACACAACAATACAGTCGAGATTAGTGGGCACAATCATGTTTTTGCTCCGAAAAATATGTATAAATCATAAACAAAGATAAAAGAAATCTATTTTGGATTTGGTTAATACTTTCTCAGTTCTGCACGTTTCATTAAAAAATATGTATGGCCCGTTCGGCCAAATTTTCATCTCAGGCTTCCAGAATTCACCTTAATGTGCGATAGAGTTACCATGCATAAGAGTTTGTCATCTCAACTGCTAAAGATTAGCTGCGCTATTGGATATTTTTACTATTAAATAATTATCTTTAGTATCATTTGCACAACCTGTGACATTTCTTGAAAACCACCAGATGAAAAATTAGATTCTGCTGCTCCAAACGGTCCTGCATTATTCCCTCCAAAGAAAGACTTCAAAATGTCCTCTGGATTCATCCCACCGAAGGGATTTCCTCCACCAAAAGGATCGCCACCTGAAAACATGAACTCAATACATCAAGATATTGTTCAACAGTTGCTGAAATGTTTTCATTTTCTAGGAATCAATGCCTGAAACCTACATTGGCCTCGCCAGCCCTACAATTCGCAGCAAAATAGTTTTCAGGAATTACTAATGTTTGCGCCAGCCAATTTTAAAGCAAGGAAGGATGAAAAACTAACCAGAAAAATTAGTTTGTCCATAACTGTCATATGCTCTTCTCTTGCTGTCATCACTCAACACCTGTATTAAAAGATGGCGAGATGGTCAACTGTTCATTCTAATTCAAACATCTTCAAATCAAGAATTATTGCTAGAGAGAATCTATAAAAACTTTTCTAGGAAATAGATGCCAATTGCAAGTTCAATCCTACCTCATAAGCTTCACTTATTTCCTGAAATTTTTCAGCAGCACTTGCAGATGCATTTGTATCAGGATGATATTTCTTTGCAAGCTATGAATCACATCAATTTTCAATCATTTGTGGTTCGATCACTGGTGAATGTATTCTATGGTATGTGCGATTATAATGAATTGTACCCACATCAAAATACGCCTTCTTAATATCTTTCTGGGATGCTTTCTTTGAAACACCAAGGACTTTGTAATAATCTTTCTGGTTAATTTGAGCTGAAATCAGGTATGCAAAAATCCTTTATTTGTAGTCAATTTCAGAAGGATATATAAATATATATTTATATAAATTATCTTGGAAAAGGTCACTGCAGTCAGACTCTGCAGTGCCAATGATATCAAGCAAAACAATAAAAAATTCTATTTATTTTACAAACTTTAATAATGGGAACTCTAGCCCCCCCATATCAAGGAAATTTTTACAATTCATCGGGGAATGAACAGCAGATATAATTTGAATTTCAAAAGTTGTTTCTTTATTGCAGCCTTCAGCAGTCAGCACTTAGAAGTCCAGCTTCTAGTCCCCCTGTCGGGGACCTTAGCCCCTGTGTTGGGGAATTCTTGGATTTAGCCCACTGCTTATTTTTGTAAATAATAAAGAGTTTAAAACAAGATAGAAGATATTATTTGTATTGAATTTTAAGTCATTCTTGAGAATTTTAATTCATATCTTGTTTAGTTCTTAAAATGTTTGGAAAAATTGTAATTTGGTGCCATCAATTGCCACCATTTTCAATTTGCATATATAATACATGTCATGCCATAGGGAGATTAAATCCCATATAAACATTCACACAAGACACCACTTTCAAGTAAACCCCATCCTTGTGCTGTTGGACTAATTTTGGTTTTACAAGGTCTTTGCTTTTCCATGGTAGAATGAATTTTGTACAAAAATCATTCCCACACACACAAATGACACATGATTTATTTCATTGTTATGTACTCATGTACATTAATTCTTCCCGATTATCAGAGTACTTACAAGATGTATGTATGTGTCGACAATGCAAGTTTTTTGTTAGTATGCCATTCGACCAACCATCGCCTGCAATACGGATATAAAATATTATTCTAATAAAAGCTGATCATATATTAAATTTATAAAGATGGGGTGTACAGAAATGTATTGGAGTGGAGTGTACGTACCGTTAATATTTAGCGCTGGTAGTTTAAAATCAAACAGTTCAGTATTTACGCAAAACACTTTATAAATCCCTCCACGCCGGGCAGAAATTCTTGAATAAGACCGCAGGGATGACCAACAAAAATTACATGATTTCAGTCGAACCGACGCCATATTGAAAACATTGATCAAGCATGGCAATGGCCAATGACATGGCTGGCCGATGGCTTTATCGATTGCGTCATGTATCCATCAATCGATTTTGTAAATTACCTTATAAAGGCAGTGCTCTCACTTTTAACTTTCTTAAAAAAGATTCATGTTAAAATATAGAAGATTTTAAGAGTTTTAGCTTTACTCTTGACTTAATTTCCAGGACGGCAAAACTTACTGGACTTTTTGGAGGAACCACACCCTGCAAAAAAGCTATACACTTTGAAATGTTGCTATTTGATCGTAGTTACACATATCTGTATGTTATATTAGTGTACATATGACTGCCTTCCATTAAACGACACAAATGCTAATAATATAATTATAAAGGTGATTATTGAAAATTACGGCCATTGATTGTTGGAGGGGCCTTGGAGCAGATTTTTCAATATGGCGGTCGCTCGTCAGTTTTGCAAAATGAATAAAATTAGTACTTCCAACCGGTGATAACAGGATTGTGATATTTCTAAAATATCAATAGATAAAATTTTTGTCTAGCTCTCGCTGGTTTCAAAAATATTGTGCAGCTTTCATATTTCGGTGCTCAAAAATCCTTGAAGTTTGCTGACTTGCCCATGAATCGTGGCCGTGGGTCAATCGCCTTAAGTTAGGAAAACGAAGATCTACGCAGGGAGTGTATTGGGACAGTTCAATGATTGGGACACGAATAACTGTTTCACTAGAATATCGTAACATAGGTATCAATCAGTACTGATTATATGGTTACTATTGTGAATGCATTTATTGACAAATGTTATAACAATAGTGACAAATTTTAATGACGAAACATCAACTTCATATTTTATCCGTTAACACTAAACCTACTTTGAGAGTACTAAACAATAATTTAATTTACATATCCATTTATTACAAGCATCGTAAAAATGTTACTACAACCGTTAATTGGTTTATTGATATTGCAGACCTGAATAATTGAACACAATAATCGCAACAACAAAGATAATACTCCGTACATAATTAAATTTAATTTCAAAAAATAGACTGAATTTAGAACAATTATCTTTTTACGAAGATTAAAGGAAACCAATTGATTAGCTTACGACCAAATATAAACTAGTCATTGTTGAGCCTCTTGAGGCAACATGATATTATTTTCAAAAAAGAATGGCAATCATCCCTCTCTTTCATCTGTGCCTTATGAAGAAACAGTGTAGCTCTTTTGTGTTTGCATCAATTTTATATCCGGGAACGGCGTGTATTGTATAAATACTGTGTCACAGCGGTTATACATAAATTTTAAGGCTTCTTTTCAATATAAGAAGAAAACAGAATCATGCAACGAAACGTAGCATATTTCTCTGTTTCTAATTCATCAGTACCAACAGTAGCGGAGTTCCCATGAAAACAATTATATACGGCGTACGCTACGTTTTACTACGATATGCTTTTGGGCTGGAAACTAGTCGAAGTGATAGTGAACTACCGATTATAGGCTACGTATAGACTGAACCTCCATAGAGTAACTGCTAATCGCTGCAAAGGCAAGTGCAACTGACAGTTTATATTAGGTCAGAAACCCGCCATATTTGTACAAATATTTGAATCAAAATTAAATAATTTTTAAATGCGAAAAAGTGGAAATTGGTGTGCACCAACCTGGCTCTGGCCATCAAGAGAAAACCCACCAATCAAAAACTGATAGCTTTGTGCGATTTAAGTTTTAATAACGCTTTGACAATTTAAAAATGAAAATTGAAGTCCGGCAAATGACGTTTAGAAACCATTTTTTATATATAATCATAAGCTTGACGATGAAGTAAAAGTATGAATATTATATTTGTTCCATCTTGTCGAAGTCATCTGCTGGAATTTAACTTTTATTTTTAAATCGGTTATTTTGCTATTTAACTAGTTCGAAAAATTATTTTTGGTACATATGGTTTGTCGTAATTTTATCATGAAGCAATATTAAGCAAGAGACACACTTTAAGTCTACTTAACCAAGCAGTTTAGTTTCCCCTTTCAAAAAAAATAGAAAAATTACTTTTATCAAGTGATCTTGCAAGATTACTCAATTACTCTGCCTCCTTTTGATAAACTCCATAACCTGACGGTATATTTTGCAATTTGCCATTTGGTAATTGCTGATCGTGTCTGGCGTATCCACTGGCGTATCTGTTATTGAACTTCCGGCCTGCTTGACGATTGAAATTCATTTTATTAGGTGGATACCTTGGAAACGTTGAGCGTTGAGGAAACATATTGTAGTTTGAATACAAAGGCCGCCCAGCAGTAGCATACATTTGACCATAGTTCAAACTAAACATAGCCTGTTGTTGTGCTGCTGCAGCCATTGCGTGACTTGTCTGATACGAAGGAGGCTGGTGAAGAGAAATGCTCGGCTTGTATCCAGGACTATCGTTGTTTTCTCGTGTTTCCTCACTGGGACTTTGTCGATGTTGATTTTCATCGTGAGTTTGTTGCTGAAAAAACCAGAGACAAAATTAATCCAAACTGCCTGTGACTGAAACGAATGGAAAATCAAAATTGGCTATTACCTGCATTGATGGATAAACATTTGGCGGCATCATCATTGCTCTGTTTTGATATGATTGTTGCATCGCGTACATCGCATTAGGATTCATTACGGAAAAGACTGGACTCATGGGGGTACTGCTCGGGAATACACTATTGAAATACTGGTACATCTACCGTAGGAAAAAAAACAATGTGAGGTATTTCGTGTATAATGTGAAATAATATGAATGTTATGTTTCAAACAGAACTTACGTAAATGCCATAGTTATACAAATGACGCACTATTTCCATATCTAAAGAAAAGAAGAAACAACTAACAAAAACATCTTACAGAAACAACATCTTACGTCCAAGAATGTGTTTCATGCTCGTACTCATCAGCATTTATTTCTGTTCTCCTTATTCACAGGAATATATTAATGGCAGATTTATATTTAGCATTATTTGAATTTAAATTGCTTTCTGGAGCATTTTAGGAAATTGAGGAGAAATTCAAATGGTTGTGGAGAAATGCCAACGGTGTGCAAATATCTAATTAAAGAAATTTATCTAACTTACCTTTATGTAAATCCTTTCCTTCAGGATCGTTGGAATAAGTAATGCTTCCATTCATAATCGCTGTTTGTATTGTAGCTGCTGTAATAGGATGATGGTTGATAGGATCTGGGGTGGCATTTACTGGTGTATCTTCTTTCTCGTCGTTATCAACCAATGATGCGTCGTTAGCTTGAACCGTATGGTCTGTCATTTGGAAGACGGAAGATTCCTCTTGTTCCTAAAAATATGATTAGTTAAAAAATTAAACAACACTAATTACAGCAGTAGCTCATGCAAGATTGGCAATAGCATGCAACGTTTTAACTGCCTGGAGATTTCATTACAACGAATCAATAACGATGGTGAATACATTGCTTCTTCTCAATCAATTTTCATAGGGGATGAATATTATTTATGGTAACGTTTAATTCTTAATGCTCCCACCTCAGTCGCCTGTTCAACATTTTCATTTTCTATAACTGCGTTTTCCGTCTGCGGATAGCCTGTGTGTTAAAAGAATGAACTAGACTCAATAACATAACCTTGTACATTTATTTCACCATGCATGGCTTTTATTTCCTACCTGTCTACACTATTTAACTGGTCTACAATATATATATACTGTAACACAACAGTAAGGTCATTTTGCATTTATTTACGCAAGTTGCATGAATCCAACTTGTTCAAAACGAAAATATTGATGGCAAATGACACGTATACCACATGGGCGATACAGTACTTCTTGCACTGTAGCTAGAGAAGTTGTAATTTGGGAGTTCTAGATGCTGCAACGTCCCTCGCAGCATTACTGAAAACAACCATGCAACCTACAATGCTCTTCTCCAATTCATTGCATGTTGCAAACTATAGGTTATTGGAATATGCTTTGTAACTTGCATTCCATTTTCAAGCTTCAACTGAGTCGTTCGTTCAAGGATTATTTTGTGAACATTGCAATTTCTTTTAGTTTGTTCGTGTTTTGCAGTATGAAATGCATAAAAGTTGCATGGCAAAGTTTCGTTTGACTTCAAAATCTTACTGTATTCAATCATAGCAACTGTAAATATACTCACGTGACAACGGATTTGACGTCTGTTCATCTTGAACGTCTTGTCTGGAAGGATTTCTAAGAATTTCATAGTTTCTTTGAGTATCAAAATGAGCCCGATTCATAGAATTATAACTTCGTTCTTCTAAGTTATCTTCTACATCCCCCATTTCAATGACAGTTTCTTTTAACGGCTGTCTATTATTCACGTGGACTGGCGTGCTTTGTTCATTTGATTGATTTGTTTCACTGTTTATGTTCATATTCTCAAAGCTTTTCCCGCTATCATCATGTGGAGGACAAGCAGTTGACTTATCCTGATTGTGTTGTAAATCTTGCCAATTCACACGTTTCTCGATAGACACTGGTTTTATCTCTCTGACACCTTCCAGCTGAGGTTCGTCTTGAGCTTTGTCTTGTTTCTTCTCCTCAGCGTCTTGCCGAAGAACGTCTGGTGGTAATTCATTGGGAATATCATAAGGAAGGTCTTCAACAATTTTTTGATGTACCACATCCGACCATTCATTATCATTCTTTTCTTCTTGATTTTTTACAACATCATCCTTTATGATTTTTTCACTTTCCTCATCGAGTAAACCATCTTCAACAGCAACAGGTGATGACTCAACATCAAAACTAACTTCTTTCAAATCTGATGTCGTCTTTTCCATTTGCTCTACCTCTCTGCGTTTTCTCCAGAACGTCGCGGGATCAGGATTGTTGTCGGAATCTGGTTTTACTTTCTCCTAAAAAACACGCAATCATAGGTTGAGAATAGGAAGAAAAAGAATATCATCGTTATCATCAAAGTTATTCAAACAAACACTAACAGTTACTGGTTGATCTTCTCGTTTAGGAAGAGCAGGAAGAGCAGGAAAAGCGGGTCCTTCAGATGATGCTTGCCCCTGAAAACATAAAGCGAGAGTTGAAAAACTTCATAAACTTTAATAGTTAAACAACCATAAATTAACCTATTTTCCAAGGTGTGGTGTAAAGGAAAATATAACAGTTAAGTTAAATCCAAGCCGTCTATGATCGTATTACCTGTGAATTATTTCCATTTTCTTTCTGGCCAAATTCTTTCTTTTCTTCTTTAGATCTTACACTGTTGCTATTATTTCGACGACGTCTGTTTTTTTCTCCTCTGGGTTTACCAGAAAGATCATCCTGTATTGGAGGATAAAAAATATTTGAATGAGCAAAACTGTATGGCAAATAAAAAAATTCAGAACAACGAAAGGAAGTTGACACGACAATAATGTTTGTCGAGTTACATAGCGTTAACGCTAAGATTCTTTAATAGTTAATAATGTATTAAGATTTTGTTCAGTCGTAATGCCGTAATGCCGTAATAATACAAAATTAATGTATTAAAATCTGCTAAATACATATCAATCGTTTCGAGGATTTCAGCTTGAGTGCTATTGTGCTAACATAAGTTAGCATAAAGACAATGTTATCATCATCAGTAAGACTTACTTGAGCAGGACTTACTTCATGCTGACCTCTCTCATGTACATCGCTTGCATTACTCTAAATTAAATCAAATATCAAATAACGTTATAAATAAACAAGAATACAGTACCTCAACCGTTGGTTACTGAAAGATTACCTTTCTATTTTTATTTGATTTCCTTCGTCGACCACTTTTTTGATCATCACCTCCACCTTAAGAAGAGTAAATATTAACATGAACGAACAAAATCCTGTAAAGTTTGCGAATGATGGAAAACTTTAAGTGATGTGAACTTTCACAACCAGTGTGCGTTTGTGGCGTTCGACTGGACACAATAGAATAATTGTTAAATACATTAGTTGGGGTGAACACGCATATCATAATGTTGAATGAATGATAATTTTCTACATACGAGGACTATTATTGTCTTGAGAGTTCTCTTGTTTCTTATAATATCCAGACAATTCTCGATAACCAGTATTAGCATTCTGTTCTTTTGGTTTGAGTCGAGAAAATGGCATTAATTTTCTACATAAAGATATCAGTTGAAAAATAACTTTAATGCACAACTGTATCTCTCTTAGAGTAAAGACAAAAAAATCCTCCAAAGGAAGTTGTTCTCACCTTTCTTTCAATTCAGGAATCCAAATCTATGAAAGTAAAAAGAAAAATTTGAACCAAATTTTTTATTTGTTTTAAAAGCAGGAATATTGAATGCCAGTGGTCTTGCTTCGTAAAAGCATCTTGTGATTAGGTATGCTAAAAGAACTTCCTTTATCTAATGGTTGGTGGGCCTTTTCCGGAAACATACTTTTTTCATCTTAAGACAGTCTAATCACACCAATTAAAGACAAAAACATTGACAAAAACATTTCAGTACATAGTGTTAACTGACCTTGCACTTCTCATCCAAGACATCATCAATGATTGCCAAATACAACTTTTCATCGTGTGGATGTTTAACCTTGAAAAAAGTCAATTAATTTATTTTCCTAAAAGAGCTATAATGTTAATGGAAAGATAAATACTGTACACATACCTGGCATCTGTCACCCTTTTTAAATTGAAATGTTGCCGCAACTGCTTGATCTTTGTGTTGCTGCTCTGTAATTAGAATTTAATTCACAATTAGACTAAAACATGTGGAGAAATAGCATTGAATCTTACGTATATAGTAGCATTTTGTCAGGTTGTGAGCAATTGTCACAAGTGAGGTACAGAAATAGCAAAGAGTTAACTTTAAATAGATGGCTCCTCTGATCTTTCTGTCCAAATTCACCTTTTGTCAATTTTGGCTTGAAGAATTGATTTCTTTTAGGGACAGTGCTTTTATTTTAACTAGACTGAGAAAAACACAAGGTGCACCTTTTCTAGTTTCTTCCCAAACTTCCAACTCAATATTTCTATATCCATCTGGGTCAATTGATCTCATCACTTCCCAACTCAATTTTGAAGATGCTGGAGACAATGGTGCTTGATCAGAATAGAAGTGGTCTACATTCTTCTGGTTTTTTGTTGATTTACTTCCTATAAAGGTATGTAAGCATGAGTTCAATTGAAAGCTACACAATAGGGAATTCTAATGTTTGATTAAAAAGTGTCCCTGGCAGTGGTTTATCATTCCCTCCCCCATAAAGTAATCACTGTTAGAAGGGAATGAACTGAGGAGTCATCTCAAATGTTGACCTTGTTTCCTACTCTTTACAGTAGTCCAACCCTCATCATTCTCCTCCCCATTTTCACTTCCAGTGCCATAGCCATTTACCAAGGTGTTCTCACCAAAATCATCTTGTTTATCATGTTTATCTGTTGGGCTAGTTGCTTTTTTTTCAGGATCTTTTGTCATTAGAATTGGAAAAACTTTGCCATAAAGCAATTCAAATACAATAGCTATAAAAAAGACATCAACAAAGTGAGATTAAGGTATTTAAAGTAGTCCATTGTATTGATCTATCAAGCCTAGTTCACATAGCAACAGTCAGCAATGTTGTTAGAAAGTTATTCTAGCAGTAAATTTTTTTATAGAAATTTTGTTCACATATAACGCATTGTTGCTGACTGTCTGTGACATATGGAAACCATGCTTTAATGTTTCATGTGAAACGTTCAAAGCAAATTGTCTGTTCATAACTTATTAACGAAACAAATAAAAAATCTAGTTAAGAACTCTTACACTGACAAAGACCAAGATTATTCTTGTGTGAAAATGGATAAATACTATCATAATGATTTCCATTAGAATAGCAAAGAATGATCTAAAATAACAAATGTTAATTCACAAAATTAATATAACAACAGGTTGTTTGAAAAACCCTTGCTACGAGTAACATCATCTCTCTTACCCATCAGCACAACACAGCTGCCAATAAGCAGTTTGCATATAGTGAACACTTTGAATATACACTGTACCTTCTTATCATGATCATTTTCAGTAGCCTTTATTGGACCAGAATTTATATCTTTGTAAACTAAAAAGTCGCACCTATATATACCAAAAAAATGCTAATTCATTGCAAGCAGATCCTAACAATAAAGATATATCTAGACGAGGTATTGAGGTTAAACCACAACACAAAATAACAAAATGTAAAGTAAATAGAAATTAACATACTTATACAACAAAGATAGAGCTTGAATTTCAACTTGACCAGCCCATTCCTATATATTTATTAGAAATAAAATTAAGTAGAAACCTATAGAATCAATTATAATATAATAGAAACTTTCACAACAAAAAAACAATAACTGAGTATTGTACCTTTTGACTTCTCAAGTTGAAAAGGTGATGATCGAAAGGCCCCTCCACAAACTACAAGGTAAAGATTCAGAGAAAATATTATTTTGGCAATGTTTTTTCAATAAAAACTGGGAACTCTTCCATTAAGGAAGTATAAAACTGTCTTGATTATTAGTTATTACCGCTTCAAATCTGTCTTTATTTTTCTTCATATATTCTATACATTCCTTTCTCACACGTGAATGCTCGGCTTGACAGTTAAAAATCTACAATTGAATTAAATAGTTTTTAAACATTATATGTTGAGAGTTGGTTAGGAATTAAAAAATAAATGTTCCATCTGACCAAACCAGGAACTGTTATTATATTGCCAATGTGTTATGGCTCTTTTAATAACAATTTGTTGGTCATTAATCTTTATGTATATTGAGAATTTGATTCCAAACTGGCACCTTACTGGCTACAAAATTTTCCAACCATTTACTTATAATTCATTTGAAGATGACATAATATAGACACTATTATAGGCATATTAAGTAATTGTGTGAATTACTACAGCATTTTAGTTTTCATGGGGTGCCATTCAATGTAATTTTATTAAGATAATTTATGTGCTGATACAACCAAGAACTACATATCAGCCCAACTGGATTGTAAAAAGACGACTAAAGCATATTGAATGCTAGAAATAATAAATACAAAAATTTGTTAGGAGATACTATTATTGTGCACAATTGGCTGCAGTGATTTATACAAAGTAGTATGGAAAACATGCTGTTTCAATTGTATAAAGATTTATAAAACAAACCTAATGGTCAAAAATAAACTAATTTAATGATGGTACGCATAAACTGTATGCATTTGTAATAATATGTTGGCTATTCATAGCTAGCAGCACTACACCTCAGTACCTCCAAGGTAGGATTATATCTTTCATCTTGAATTAATAAACATTTTCAAAATAATTATACTATTACCTTCAGATTTTATTTTGAATATTAAGATTATAGAAAAATGAGGTTCATTTTTCGACCACATTATCCTCTTATATCTAAACCTTAAACCTAACTGAACCAAACTTTCTTATTCACAACTGCCGACCGTGAGTCAGACACCACGACCAATAAATTCGAATGAACGCAAATAGCATAATAACTTACACACAACCATCGATAACCAAAACGGGGGGATTGTATGAGAAAACCACACCGTTTTACTTATAGTACTCTCTAAAAACACTTACTTGTTCAGCAACAGCTCTAAACAAACATGATCCATCTTTTGCAATGGGTTTTCTGTACAGACCAAGTTTCCCTAAGAAAGCATCCATTGCTGCCTCGTGATTCATGTTTGTGGAGAGGTCTTTCTTTCTCTCTCGTCTTTCCATCTATATTTATTTCATCTCACAATCATTTTTTAAACAATTAATGGCTTAAAGAAAAATCCTTTAAAACCAATTTATAACATATCCAGAGTGCACGAGGCAACTTTCTAGGGAAGCCATGTTGGCAAACGCAAAAGAACGAGAAGTCGATAAATTTCTCCAGCAAAATAGCCTGGGACCAAGGATTTGGATTTAAATATGATTATTGGATTCAATCATTCGATCGGTGACTGGATTCGATTCCATTCGTACCCAATCAGACACGGCGTTAGTTCGACTTATTGACCAATAAAAACCCATTACAAAATAGTCATAAAACTGCCACAATAAACCACAAACTCCACGCACTCCAGTACGTCTTACATGTGCTTACATATAGCTCTGTAAAGGCCTGTTCACACTTCACAGTTCACACGTCACGGTCTAATTTTGCGGATTCAATGGATTTAAATTTAGAACCACCTTAAATGAAATAGATTTCAAGTTTTATTCTCACGAGCGACGTGCAAAGATGCAAAACATCCTTCTTCAACACATGCGTGAAAAAGAATTTTTTTATTTTGACCAATAAATGTGGAATAAGCCATAACACGAGAACGAGGCTCAGGGGCCAAGATCACGCATATACATTGCAAGTCAATAGACTATAAAGCATCTCTTGGAAATAAAGTGAAGAGTAAAGCTAAAACTTTTAAAATCTCCTATATTTTAGATGAATCTTTCTAAGAAAGTACGTATATACAAAAGTGAGACCCTTATTTTTAATGACGTATTACGGGTGTGACCATTACAATTTAGCAAAAAAAATGTATATAAAAAGCAGATTGATTAACAGATTGACGAAAAGTCTTGATCGATTTCGTGAACGTCTTCTATACTTTAAAATACTTTTATAACGAAACAGATTGTAGCACTGTAGCAGGTCCCCTTCCTGCGCAGATGTCCTTAGTTACGGTTGTAATTATACTTTGTTTATGGTTGTGTGTGGTTTTCTATACCCATGCATATCATAAGAAAACAGGAGAGCACAACCGCCTTAGTTGCCGCCTTATCTGACTTCATGAATGTATTATTAAATTATCATAACATTTATAATCTGCGTATAACGCTGACTAGCTGTTAGTGATACCAGACCGTTGAATTGCATTGCAAATAGCAACAATTGTGGCTTCATGCAATTGCCTCGTGTTTAACCACCATGCCTTTTATTTTGAATAATAAATTATATCAAATATGAATGAAAGTTTAAACAAAGAACACGAGGGCAAAATCATTCAAGCAGGTCCATGTCTGAGACGCCACCGAAGCTCCGGTAACTGTCCTATATTTTGAGCAGTCATCTGCAGTCCTAAAAATAATTAATAAATGTCATTCATAAAACGACTTTAACATCATAATCTAACGATCTAACGAAAAAATTGAATATAAATTTGTAAGACACACAAGATGTTCGTAAACAGTATTAATTTTTATGTTCAATGTTGACCGAAGGACCCCGAACATTCGAAACGACGCTCATAAATTATTAACATCAACTATTTATGCAATGTTGACAGCGTGAGATTTGCATATTCGCATATCACATGGAACAAAACAATCATAATTTATATAGATACTGTCTCAAAACCGTCTATTCTCGAATAAACCGCCACACCTTTGAACAGCTGATGATATCAGTGCTTGTGCTTGTCCTTTAGTTGGAAGAAGTCGTGAACTTCAGTTGACAGTGATGGCGAATGTTGCAGCATTTCTCTCGGCATTTATATTCAACGCTGTAATTGCTCTTATAGTAATTATAGTGTACTCGATTTTGCGACCAAAATTTGATATCGTTTACCAGCCAAGTTTCAAACTTCTAACGGAATTTCTCCACAATAAAATTCCCGAGAAGAAACTCTCGTTGTTAAAAAAGGTTACATTATCGTCGTCATTATTGGCTTGGCTTACACCAGCGTTCAAACTCAATGATAACGAGCTGTATGAAGTGGTGGGATTTGATGCTTTTGTATACTTGAGATTTATACGTCTCTGTTTCAAAGTGATGGCATTCGCGCTACCCTATGCAGCAATTGTTTTGATTCCTATCAATGTTGTCGATGGCTTAAATCTGGGAGGAATGGACCGACTCACTCTGGGTAACATACCTGACGAGTCCAATAAACTTTGGGCTCATTTGGTGGGCGTGTGGCTATTCTCGTTTATCTTGTATTATTTTATTTATGCCGAGTGGAAGGTGTATGTAAGATATCGTCAAATATATCTGAATGAGAAACGGCAACATCACTATTCCGTATTGGTCACTCAACTACCTCTGGAGGTAAGTATAAATACAAATCTAGTATAGTAAGTATTGTGATTAGATTGTAGAAAAATAGGAGATACGTCATAAGCATAAGAGGCCAAAAGGCGCGAGTTTAGCATCGTATTTCTAGCTGCTGGCAACGACCACACCTTTGTTATCGGCTGTTAACACTGATCTGTGTCCCCGAACGGTCAGTGCATGGCTCCTAACGCATGTTTTCCACATTAATTCCATGCAAAGTATGTGAATAATTTTTCATCAACTGGTGGGAATGGACGCGTTCTCCCGACACGTTATCGCCAAACATGCCGAGTTGGAAGTCGCTAGACCATTGTATAAACGTATAAATAGCGTAAGGAAAATTTTTCCCGCTCAATTTTGTTTACTTGATACAACAGTTGGGTTCATTTTGACGTGGGCGTGACGAAGCGCGAGAAAATTATTACGGCAGCGATAAAACTCTTGGCGTTCTCTTAGCGAATACTCACTTAAATTGTCATCATAATATTTGTATAATGTATTTTTCTCTCCTTAATTATTTCTGAAAAAATCTTGAAATCCGATACAGCAGTTGACCTGTGGCCAACATTAGTATTTATCATATAGAGACTGCACTGCGGGATAGTGAGAAACTGGCTTTCTTGTCAGTATATAGTTAAAAGGGTTTTTAGTACAATCATGCATGAGTGGCCTGAGTTGAACTATGAACAGCTAGCACCTTCGTTAATAAACCGCAAAATGCATCTGCCTATAGAAACTGCCAGAAACTTAGGTATATTTGTTCTTTCTGACGTCCCAAAACTTCCGCTATTTAGCCACCAGTACAATTTTACATATATTTTATAACTGTGATTTTATATATACTATAGCAGTTTATTTAACCGAATTGATCTCTTTGTTCTTTCCGTCAGTTTTGCTTGTCGTAATTGTCGTCAGTAGCGTAGCCAGCCTGTCGATTTGTCCCGCTATGCTAATATTTTGGTGTTCACTGACTGTGAAAACAATAGATTTCTAAAGACATGAATAATTATGATAACTCGAAATTTTCATGGCGGGACAAAATCGTCAGGCTGGCTACGCCACTGATTGTCGTCGTTTTCACCGATGAGATTAGTCTTAATTTCCTGTATCGAAATCGATCATCGTTGAATGCAAACTTCTGCAAACTGCGGCACATATGTAGAAATATTCTATTACACCAGCCACCTTAAGTCCTTGACGTGTTCACAACAATTACGATAATTGAAAACCGGGCCGAGCCTTGCTGCCGATATAGGCTATAGCTGTTATAACAGCTATATAGCTGTTATCAAGTATGCTCCGCCGCATGACGCAAGAAAATACCATCTTTCTGTGATATCGAGTACGAGAGAAATTCCTTTCGGTCATTCATCATTGAACTTTGATTTGTCCTTCAAAATATTTCATGCCAGAAGTTCCACACGTGTCTCATTTGTGGTAATGTGGTTGGTGACATTCCTGCATGAGTGCATGTTAAACATTCCTGCTCGCCACAACGCAAACTGAACTGAAATTAATGATTAGTTATGAAACCTTTATTATAAGAATCTAATTAAAATACAGGCAAGCGTGTATGTGCTTGCGCGATATATCTCATACGTCGCTACTACAATATATTTCACCCCATATTTTATCTGTTTAGTAGAGTTATTTTAAATTAACCCGCTGACCCCGTCAACCGCGGCTGATGTCTACGCGGGGGTCATGAATTCTTTTTGAGGAGTTTTCAAATTTTTTGTCGCCTTAGAAATACTCCCTTATATTTATCTAATAGTTGTCTAATAGTTTTTTCTGGAAACTATTTTAATGGCAGCACTGCATGCTTTCTTGCATGTAGAGTAATATATTTATAACATTTTTTACAGCTATGCAAGAATGAAGAATTGAGAAAATTTGTGGATAACCTTTTTCCTGAAAAAGTATGTAATGCATATAATAATATAACATATATTTCCATGTTTCCACTACAATGTGTTTTTTTTCTATGTTCACCAACAATTTTTCATTATCTTTTAGGTCGCTCATTCATACATTATCGAAGATCTCGAAGAATATCGACAACTTATCCAAGCACACGATCAGCTGGTTTTGAAGCTCGAGCATTCCAAGGTAAACAAACTTCCCGCGCATAAAACATTCCTGGAATTTCTCAACCTTCTTATCTGGGTTAGATTTAATTCAATTTAATTCATTTTAGTTTGTTGCGGCATTTACGATATTTGTTTGATCATAACGAGGCTCAATAGTAACAATATGTACCGATAACTCCACAATGATGACTGGCTTACCTCAATAATAACTATTTATTATATAGCTATCAAAATCCTCTATTCTGATTGGTTAACAGGCAGTCCGTAAGACCCATATCCGGACCGTTGTCCGTACATTCCATATCTGAACCAGTATCCCGGATGTCTCATGCAGTTCAGCCATATAATAAACAGATTATTGACCTCGCTTGTTCGGTCTGTGATGTGGAATATCAGACCGAGGTTCTTTGCATGGTCTCGCGGTCTGATATTTCACGCTCAGTCAATAATCAGTTAATATTTGCCTGAGATTTGGAAGTCACCGCCATTCAATATATCGTTTTTCATCCTTCCAAGTATTAAAATCGTATATCCCGTCGGATAACAATTAAAGTGTTTCCAGATACAATGAACATTTTCCTGCCAATACTTTTGTATCAGTGTATATATATTGTTGACTACTCTAAAGATTGATTAATGAAACATTTCGATAGAGAGAACCATGCAGCCAAAACTATGCATATGAAATCCGCCTGCGGTGCACAAAAATAATCCCATGCATCAACATTTTACGAGCTTTATACGTTTCCATTGATCGAATAAACGAATCTTAATTTTTAGGCAGTATTTGAGGAAAAAGGAGAGCGACCAGAACACAAATTAAAACCAATCGTTGGGGAAAAGGTCGACTCAATCAATACATATGACGAAGAACTTAGGGTAAGAGACAGGAACATACGATTTAAAAAACTAGAAAAGTACAAATGAAAAATGGTTCTCCCGCACCTCCAACACAAAGGCAATTCTTAGAAGAAGGGAAACTTGCAGAAGTGTTGCATATTTCAACAGAATGATGAGGATATAATTAAGGACCATGCCGTAATGCAAATAGTCGCGTATTTTTCTTACATTAATAAGTCATTATATGATCATTACAATGACTGATAAAATATTTATGAATTAGTTTTATATCCAGACGTAAAAAACACGTACGTACAAAACACGTTTTGAGAAAGGTTCTTGATCGAAATCCACCGGTGAAAAGCACAACCTTGAACAAATTGATCAGGCATTATAATAATTTGATTTCTAAAGGTCTTCTTTTTTTATTACAGGGAATACAAACAGAACTGGATACCTCAAAGAATGCAGAACAAGAGCTGACAAATGCTGCGATTGTCACTTTCAAGACCATCCGTGATGCGAGAATTGCAAGTCAAGTTCTGTGGCAAGCTAAACCATACAATACGTTTGTCGAACCTGCTCCTGAGCCAAAAGACATTATCTGGGCTAACTTGACTAATTCTGTTCTTAACAAGTACGTTTTTGTATTGTATTTAAATGGTTGTATATACATTGTAAGGTCACACGTCTGTTGTGGCTAGATTTTAAATGTAAAGACTTAATAATAATAATAATAATAACATGCAGTCTTATAATAAGAGTATATCGAGCGAATGTTATACATAATATAAATGTATGCAAAAGAACTTTAATTTCGATAGGTCCTTCTTCTGGGACCGCGTGTTTGCCAAAAATACTGTTATATTGAAACAAAGATCCTACAATTTGCGTGGGTGTAAAATCTGAATGGAAAAGTCCACAAATTACTATGATATAGTTATATAAGTATCAAATTGTCGATGGCTCATCACGGTAGTTTTTTTATTATTTTACCTTCCACCTTTTCCAGGTGGATTCGTTGGACTATCATATCAATCCTTCTATTTCTCCTGGTTATCTTTTGGATGATCCCAGTCGGAATAGTCTCCTCCCTTGTTTCATTAGAGAGTCTTCAAGAAAAGGTCTCATTCTTAGAATTCGGTAAGACGAAGAAAATGGCATTAAAACGCACGTATATAAACGGTATGGATTAGGTATAATTTTTTTACTTATTTCTGTTTTATTTCAGTCAATGATCTGCCTGCATCAGTAAAAGGAATTATTGAAGGTGTTTTGTCCACCATCGCCTTGGTCATCTTTTTTGCGATTCTTCCAATGGTATGAATATTCTCCAGAAAACCTCTCGATTACACGAAGAAACGACTTCTTTTATTTAATTTTTTCATTTTTCCGTAAGTTGACGCTATATGTATCGTGTTCGCTTTCCCAGATACTCGCATTCATGTCCAAAAAGGAAGGAGTTACGACAAACAGCGGAGTACAGAAATCTGTGATTGGAAAGATGTTCATTTTCACGGTATATTAATGATATGATGACGACGAAGTCTACCAAATAGGTTCATGAGAACACCTAAAATCTGAGACGGCATTGCATGCAACCGTATCACACATACCTGAGTATAATTTGTAACTGCATGGTTTATCGGGGTGGGACAAAGACTTTCCTATATGGTCAAAATCGCATGAAAAATAAGGTTTAAAGATATTCAAAAAAACAGGCAGCAATTTCGTAAGTGGTGCATTAAGATACGATCAGGTTCGTATTAAAAAAATCTTTTATCTTTTGCATTCTCATGTGAGCTTCTAATCTTCGGTACAGTCCAACATCATTCCATGCTTTGTATTCAACATCTGTAGATTGTTAACAAATTTCTAATCCTGGTTTTGGCTGGTGCATTTCTGAATCAAATCGCGAAAGTCCTGGATGACCCTGGGTCATTGCCAAAATTGTTAGCGCAATCGCTTCCAGCTATGGCTCTGTTTTTCACTAATTTTGCAATGTTGAAATCTTTAATGGGACATGCTTTACGTTTACTCCGTATCGGCCCTCTCATTGCCATTCATATCAAGAGGAAATGGTATATCTATGCAACTTTTTAAAATTTATCTATATATATAGCTATATACATGTCGATTGTATTTCGCAGTTTGGTCTTATACACCATGCACATGCATCTTATGCATCTGCCTTCATTCTCCTCCAAAAGAAAACCTTTCAACATTTAATTTATGAACATTTTTGAAATACAGGTTGGCCAAGACCGCAAGAGAGTTGAAGGCTGTATGGTTACCACCTTGTCCTAACTATGGTGTTATGGTGAGAAAATTTTAGTTACGTTTTTGGTTTGAAATCCACCTCATTGATTCCTCACTTCATGACAACGGTAATAACATTGTCAATGTTGTATTTTTTAAGTATCCAAACGACCTTTTCATCTTTATCATTGGTGTGTCTTACTGTATCCAAGCTCCGTATGTTATTCCATTTGTTATGCTCTATTTTGGATTTGGGTATATCGTTAATTTCTACTCCATGGTCTACGTCATGCGACCTCCGTTCCATTCAGGTGGTAGAATGTGGCCCAAGACATTTAACAGGTAGATATTTTTTTCAGGGATTATTTTACCTCGATAGATACGAGGTCATAATATCGACAAGGTTGTTCGTGTTGAGGTCTTCGCCCCCGGGGGCGAAGCGGCCTTTGAAAATCTGCCCATGCGACCGTAACGGGCGGCCTGAAAAACAAAGCGCTCTTCGACCGCGCGGGCGGAGAGGACGTAATGGAGAGTCGCCTTTACGCGCCCCACCTCACATGACTGGATTGACTGCAGACACCACCGCTCGTTGTTTGCTGCATGCTGGTTTACAGGATTCGAATGTGTTATTCATAGATCATAGAGCGTATATATTGATGTAATCTCATTATTTATCGTCATCTTCTCTTAAGGATGCTGATAGCCATCATAGTTTTCCAAGTTTTAATGATCGGAGTATTTGGTTTGAAAAACAATCCATTGGTCTCGGTATTATCTATACCACCACTGGTATTCACGATCATGTTTAAAATCGTGATAATGCTGTACTTTGAACGCGTTGCCAAACCTATGGAAATGGATGGTGATTCCAAAGAAGGAAAATCTGAAAAAGCGGAAGACGGCATAAAAGATGAAGCTGATGAGGAGTTCCTGGAGGTAAAAAAGTTTGAGTTGACAACCTTGTTAATAATGAGCTAATGGAATAGATAACCCAACTTTAATCTTAGATACAGCTAACTCATTTAGCGAGTTTTTGATAAAAAAGCGTTAAAATACATCTGTGCATATGTTACCTGCATATTTCATTAAGCGAGTTTTTGATATCAAATTATTCGCTCTAGGCTGCACATTCCTGTTTCATTGCTACATATTCTATCCCTGGTTTATTCTTGTTGAGTACTGATCCGCCAGCGGAGAATAATGGAGTTGACGAAGAGAAAGCAGGCGGCGTTGGAAGCTCCTCTGGTGGCAAAGATCCTGAAACTTTAAAGTTAGTTGATGCAGATGCTTCGCATGAAACAACCCCCATGTAGCTAGCTAGGCTGTATGATCGATGCATGTGGTTTATCGGGAACTACGTATTAATATATTATTATCTGTTGTTGTTTTTGTTGAGTTCTATTATACAGTATAGTAGTCCTTATAGGAGGTATGTTCATCTCATGAGAGGACGTAGGGAGGCTATTGTTTTTACCTTTTAGGATTACCGTTGTATTATCGTTTATAGGATTAGCGTTATAGCAAACACGTTGTCTCTGTACTTTTATTGATATGCACCAAACAAGGTCTGCATTAAACTGTAGGATTATAGTACATTTAAAAGGCTAATATTTATGTCTATATATTGGTATATATATAACAAAGATGTATTACCTGGTTATTTTAAGGTGTATATGATATCTAATGAATGCATTCCGTCTTGGAAGTGAATAGTGTTTTCTTCTATTTTTTTCTGATTCCTCGTATACCTTACACTATTCATTATTATGCATTCACATCCCCGTACGTCTGTCAACATTTTATATATGTATATTCAAGTCATGTTTATTTTATAGTGATCTACATGCGGAATCCGTTGAGGATACAGATTTCTAGTGCGATTGTGCAATATCAATGGCGAACATGCATATACGTGCACGATGAACTATATATTGCCCACGCACTATATATTATATACCCTCATCACTCTGCACTACATGACTTTTCAGTACCATATACAACACGTCTTATAACTGGAAGATTAAGATATATAAAGACAGTTTAAACAGAAGTTATTATCGTTTTATAAAGGGGATAAAAAAAGGTTTAACGTGATTTTCAGTTTTTAAAAAAACTTATCTTTATCTGTTTTAATCTTCTACGGTTGATAGGTATATACTATATAGAGTTTGTTCAACAAACGCGTCTGAGAATTGTTCTATATATCCAATATATTTTTATCCTCTATAACATTCTTGCAATGTTTTTAAACAGCAATAACACATATTATACTAATAATAATTGCATGCATGCATGCCGTATTTTGAATGTCGAAATCATACAATTCACATTCAATGTCAAATTACTAATATAGCTAATGGACTAATATTTATTCAATGTCAAATTATAATAATAATATATAATGGACTAATAATCATATAATTATATAGTCTAATCATTATAATTATAATCATATATATAGCCTAATCATTATATAATCATATATATATTCTCATATTACGTGCCATGCTATAAGCATCACGCGTTTATTATTAGAATTAATATAGGTTATATATAAATGCATAAATTTAATGAATCTATATTAATACGGACGCAATATAAACTAACTATAGAATACTAACTAATTGATTCAACAATACAAATTCAATTGGAACCGAGCGTGTTGATTTAATTAGAGATCGATTAACGAGGGTGTGTAGGTTTGTACATGTGCAGGTATATCATCGAAGCCAGCTGAGAATTAACGTATTGCAAAGAAATGATTCAGCGTTTGAATCGATTTCTAAGTCAGTTGAGGACTTGAGGTAAGGTATGTCATATAGTTATTGGGTTATAAAAAACCCACAATAAATGAATACGTCATATATTGAGGATATAACGAAGATATTACGGAAGATAATGGTGCCTACAGTGTCATGGGTATCTGTGCATGTATAACTCCATTATATAGGGCTTATGCTAACCATGCAGGGTGTGCACCTCAGCTAATCATGTCTGAAAATGAGTTAAAATTGTTGAAGTGTTGAAATTGTTATCAAGCTGGTATGTATGTATGCATGTTTTTTCTCATGTAACCATATTGATTTAATGGTTACCAGCCCTCCATACCATGGAGATATGCTCCTGTTAGCCTGTTTTATTCTAGAACATTTCTCCAGGTTAGACCAACTAAGTTGGGGCTCAATTCATACATGTACAAATCAGCGCTGGCTATAAAAAAACTCGAATGATATATTATTTAAACCAAGTTCGTACATTTAGCTCATAATGCTCATTATAACGGTAACGTGCATTTTAAATGTTTAACGTTAATTCTAAAGCGCATTTAAACACTAAGCTTTTGAAATTAAACATTTGGAAATTAAAGTTAAAGCTTCATCCATCATTAAAATCATTAAAACTTTTGTTCCATTATATAATCATTGAAAACATAAAAACATTTGTTGACGTTCTCAATTTCTCCATACAAACATTCAAATATTCACTTATATTATATCAATGAGATTTTTCCTCATCGACTCTAGAGTGAAGTATGTACGCAAAAGAAGATGGTTTCCACCTGCTGCCGGGGCTACAATGCTTCAAGGTTTCAGCGAAATCCCTCTTTTTCCAAGTCCTACTCAATACTTACATGTTATTAAAGGACGTAGACCTTATGAACGTTTCTAAGTCAGTGCATGATTATAGCTAAGGTGGTTTTGTTAATAAAATATACCATTTCAAGATTCAATATCATACTATTGAAATGGTAATTGTGATAATCGTATAGCCACAATTGTCCTTAGTGATAATCGCAGGGACCAATATTTTCTGCATGACAGATAATTAATTTTCTTTTGACGACTTGTACAGCTGACAAACTATATACATACATATGTTGGGCAAGTGCATTGAGTCAGTGGCATTGATGTACAATATTATACTGTATATGTATGATAAAATTTAGAATTGTAAAAGGTTAAATTATATATATTTTCAGTAAAATAAGGATCTAAGAATGTATACATACAGAGGATATATTTCCAGAAATAAAGATTTGGTTTGACTGATTGTCCTATAGTTACAACTTTAAATGAACATGTAGCTGTGATGTGCAAGATCATATATCATCCCATTTGGTTTTATACTGAAACTTTATCAATACACGCGTGAACCGACACTCACAAATACTCAGCTGTACTCAGTGAATGGAGCTGCTTGTTATGGCTCGTTTCATTTTGCATAATTCTTCGGCTCTTTTGCCATGGTAGAACAACAACATTCTTACGACCTGAAAACTGAATATACCTGCCTATATATGCAAATACATGCATGCATGTGCATCACAAAATTGACTTCATCAATTTTCATTCATTATTTTACTTAAAATGTTAATTGATGCTGCAAATCTTGTCAGTTCATGTATTCAGGTCGATTGCCGAGTTTAATATCAGACAAAAAGATTCATATGACATTGCTAGTCATGTGTTTTTTAAATTTTCGTTCCGTGGTTTTGTTGATAATAATAAAGATGTATATACCACCTGCTTGTGGTTTGTAAATCCCATCAAAGGTACAATTGTAGCATAAAGAAGAGAAAAACAAGATGTCGAATGCTACTGCTGAAGAGGCAATACAGGAGACCAGTATTAATTCATTTGTCTCTGCTTTTGTTGTGAATTTGCTAGCTGGACTTGCTGGATTTACCGCATTCTCTCTGATACGTTGTCGTTTTAAACATGTCTACCTGTCTAACTTCATTGTTCATACGACAAGACTCTTTTCAGAGTTATCTGAAACACAAGTGCAAATTTGGAATCGATTAAAACCTTCTACTTCCATTTATTCATGGCTTTCTCCCTGTTTCAAAACAACTGATGAGGAGATTTTTGACCTCGTTGGCTTTGACATATTTGTTTATCTCAGATTTATTCGTTTATGTTTAAAATTCTTTGCCATTATATTGCCTTACGGTTTACTGGTCCTTCTTCCCCTAAATATCAACGGTACTGCTGACCTAAAAGGAATGTCAAGCCTTACCATGGGAAATATAGAACTGAAATCTAATATGTACTGGGCTCATTTTGTTGGTGTGTGGATTTACTCTGTGATTATTTATTTTCTGCTTTATCGAGAATGGAAAACATTCACTCACTACCGTCAGATATACTTGAGGAAAGGCTACGAAGAACAATATAGTATTCTGGTAACCGATTTACCAGCATATGTAAGTAAAATTGTAAGGTTAACAGCGCGGTAAGTTTATATTTTGAGAGACTGACTATAATAGCATTCTTCTTTAGCTCCGAAATAACCAGAACCTTGACGAATTTTTAAAGAATGTTTTCCCAGGGAAAGTGAGTGCATTAAGCAATTATATATCTAATCTTATGCGCTATTTTGGAAGAAACTACCTACACTGGAAGCTCCATATTCACAGAGATATACGCCTATTCATGCAGTTTAAACAAAACATCACGAACTTTGTAATACCCTAAAAAGAAAAACAAGAAAATAGCAAAGTTTCGTCAGTTTCCCAGTTATGTACAAATATGTCTCGTTTAACTTCCCTATCGATCCCTAATTTCAATTTTCACACATTGAACTCATGCACATAACTTCGTGGATGTAAATATTAATGATAAACTCTCCTAAAATTTCTATTAGGTGATTTCAGCTTGTAGGTACACCACGTAAGTATTTAATACTGCATTTGCAGTATTAAAATAGTGGTGTACCTACAAGCTAAATTACTTACTGACTGTCACCATGCAAACATACAAGAATATTACAGGTGATTTCAGTTCACGTGTTTAAAGCTGTGCCAAGGTGGAGTGAACTAATTGATGCTCATGATGATATGATCTGGAAATATGAGCATGCTGAGGTAAGCATGCGCTAGTCTAGTCCTGGCTTGGCAAAGAAATATAATAGAAATTATTCAGACGTTGTTTTATATAGGCTTTGCACCAGCACAGCAATCAACGGCCAAGCCACAAAAAGTTTATTTTATTTGGCACGAAATACGATTCTATTACATTTTACGAGAGCAGATTAAAGGTAACAAAACTATATAACCATTAATTTGATTTAATTAAAGCCCTTCATGAATAATCCTCCGGTTAACATAAATTTATCTATACTTTTAATTGTACGAATATTTCAGTCTATGTTTCAATCTATGTTGTAACAATCTATACAAGGGACCGGTTGTACGAAAGTATCCATCTGATAGTGTTTTTTCTATCGCTTTTAAATCGTCCGTTGTTTGCAATAACTTTGATTAAATCTTAGTATTCCTAAATCGAGGATCGTCTTTAATAATTGTTGGTCTCAAAGGCCAAAGATCAAATTTTATAGCTTTTCGAGCATTTTTAGGACGGTTGGAAAAATCACTATCCAGCCTTCGTACCGACCCCAGGACCTTGAAAACTATTTTTTGTTTATTTAGCATCTACATGATAAAATGACATGTGAGCAAAACTTGTCTCACGCTTCACTACCAACGGCCGCAGTAACGTTCAAATCTCTTCAAGACGCTGCTATTGGTTTACAAACGTGTTGGAATAATTCTCCAGTGACGTCTTATGTAACTCAGGCTCCAGCCCCGTCCGATGTTATCTGGGAAAATATTGGCTTAGTCAAATACTACAGGTATACAAATATTTCTACACTTTCATGATAACAGTAATTAGAACTTATACTACAACTAAACTTATCCAAGCATTTCCAGTACTTATGAATATACTGAAGATAATGCATGGTAAGATATGTGTATCGCTTTTGAACTTGCATCGTACTGATATAAACGGTGCCAGACAGAGGTAACAGTGAACCATTACCAGATGACAATGCGTCAACATAGAGAACAATATTGACCATGGCTTACATTCTAGTTTGCTGTACCCGTGAAATTGTAGTTATTTTCAAAATTCAGAGAATTTCCATTTTCAGAACAATCCGTTACGTCATTGTTGCCATCTGTCTGTTCTTTCTTGTATTCTTCTGGAGTGTCCCTGTCTTGATTGTCTCATCAATGGTTTCATTGGATGCATTGCAAAAGAAGTTTTCGTTTCTTGAAGGAGGTAACCACGCCCGTTAAGTGTTAACCCCTTTTTAAATGTCAGTAATTGTTCTTTCTGTATTAACCTTTTTCGCGAGGCATACACAAATCACAACGTGGATTTTGTTGTTGAAAACCGTATACACGCAATTTTTTTACCATTAACTACAATAGAACTGAGAAATGAGAATATTCTCTGCAATAAGAGATGCCGGTGCAAATGCAATTTATGTCTAAGTGATTTCATAAAATGTTTATAATTATAGTGAACCGTCTTCCATATATTGTGAAAGGATTTATTGAAGGATTCTTAGCAACAATCGTTTTGGAAATTTTCTTTGCAATTCTTCCCGATGTAAGTTGATTTATAACAGCTAAGCTTAGTCATTAATACACAAATTCATTCAGCAAACGATCGACAAAGTTTGTGTTGCTAATTATTTTCTAATTTAACAGCTGATGGCGTATCTCGCTCGTGTTGAAGGAATTGTATCACGAAGTGGTGTTGCTGTGTCCTGCATTGGAAAGCTTTTCATATTTCAAGTATGTTTTTCATTACATTACATCATAGACGACTTGTTGTATTACTATATAGTCTATACTATATAAGAATTCAAGTGCATGTGGAAAATACAAGACACCATACAACTAGACACATGCCTGGAATGGTGCAATTTTTGCAACAATATGTAACCAACATAGGTTATATATTTATGAGTTTGTATGCCCACTATATAGGTGTATCCACAAAGTTTTCTATAATAATATCATAAAAAATACAAAAATGTCCGGAGAGTTATCTTGTGCACATTTTTTTTATGATTTTCCTTCCACAGAAATAATACTTAAATGACTTTTTGTTAACTTTATAGATTGTAAATAAATTTCTTGGCATTCTGTTCGGGGGTGCATTACTGTCAAGACTACATGATATTATTGATTATCCAACACGAATTCCTCAAATCCTCGCGGAGTCGATGCCAAGTATGGCGAACTTTTTTGTCAAAGTTATAATGCTTCGAACGTTTACGGGTTATCCAATGGAAATGCTTAGTTTGTTTCGTGTATTATTGGTGTCAATTAAACGGAAATGGTAAGTGGTTTACTAAAACAATTTAAATGTTATACCAAGCACCCAACGATTTTCTGAACAAATCTTTGCACATATAACCATACACTGACAGACATACCTGCATTAACAGATTACTAGAGATTGTGCTTAAAAATGACTGGTTTAGGTTTTGCAAGACTGCTCGTGAGAACAACGAAGCTTGGCAACCTCCTCCTGTGAGATATCCAGGAATGGTAAGTCAATGTAATACAAATGGAACACATTTATTTAGCTAACATGGCAAATTTTTTCATGGGCAACGACAGTACGACTGCATGAAACACATGTCCCACGAATCTGCAATATAGCTATATATTGCCAGCGCTGTAACTCGTATCAGATAACTACTTGAATCTAGTGGACGGTACAAGCATTGCCATCCAAAACATGATAGTTTATGTATTAATATCTTTTTCTTCTTCTTAAGTATGCAAACAATCTTTTTGTGTTCATCATTGGAATATCGTATTCTGTATTATCTCCAGTGGTTTTGGTTTTTGTTGTCATATATTTTGGTCTGGCCTATGTCGTCCGTTTTTACTGTCTCATTTACGTTCGCAAAACTTCATTCAAAGCTGGAGGTAAAATGTGGCCAAAGGTATTTAACAGGTGAGTATTTTCACCAGGACACAAAGAACTACAGACGTTATATGTTATGTTCTAGTAACGTACCTAATTCGTTGACAGTTTTTGCAGAAACTGAAAGATGTGGTGATTATATAGATCAGTAATCGAGAAGTCATTTAGAACAGCCAGGATTTTCGAACACTGTTTCAGTAATACAAGTTTTATTTTCGATTTTAGAATGATGATTGGTATATTCGTATTTCAATTGCTTATGGTTGGCGTATTTGGATTAAAAGAAAACCATCTCGTATCTTTGCTCTGCCTCCCTCTTCCTGTCTTATCATTTATGTTTTACAAATTTATACGTAATAACTTCGATCGTTCCACCGTCCACCTCAATCTTTCTCTGGCAAAAGAAATAAAGACACCCGAGAAGGAATTTCTGAAGGTATACAATACGAACTGACCAACACCTCGGCTTCTATGTGAATCATTTCCGTTCAAATAGCACGCTCAAAAAACGGATCTTGTGATAATGAGCTAATTTAAATATGACTAACATTTCTTTACGAGTTTGAACGGCCAATACATCCGACTTGCATGACATAGGGAAAATCCTGTATGGGTAGATCTTGGTCTACAATAGTATGAAGCGAGGCTGTTTATAGTCGTATTGCAAAATGTCATCAGTGAGTGTCGCCTTCAAGCTATGGCAAGGCAGTTAAATTAGAAATAATCTTTGTCGTTTAGATCGCTTCAGAAAAGTACAACAGGATTCAGCTGCCAGAGATGTTCGCACTGAGCACGGACAAGAAACAGCAAACGAACAAAGATGAACCATCGGAAGACGCTTTTAAAACGCCCAGAACAAGTCTGGAGGCAATTGAATTACAAGCAATTCATGACAGAAATCAACAGGGGCAACAAGTGTGAATCTGAATAGATCTATGTGTTTCGACGAAGCGTTAAGTACATGCAGTCGTTTGAAATGGCAGCTCTTGTATAACGAAAACCGTTCAAGATCTGCACTAAAAAAATACCAGTAAAGAATGATGAAGGACCTTAGCATAGTTAGCATATACACAAAACTTGAGCGTTTTTTATTTTCTATTAACATTTGTACGGTTTTATACAAATTTGTATTGAAGCTTTGACTTTGATAGCTTTGATGTAGGAATATTTTCCAACTCAGTGCTAACCTGTGTACTGATTTCTTGCGCCATTCAGGTTCTGTCTCAGAAAACAAGGAAGATGTTTTTCCTTTCATGAAATTTTACAATTGCACGTGTGCGTGTATTTATGTAGTGTCGTGTTTGCATGTTTTTATACTGTGTTGTATTTGCACGAGTTTAATCGTCTCCTGATAAAAGATTGTCTCTCTCCCCAGACTCTCGAACTTCCATTGATCGAAGTTTTTCCTGGTCTTCATCAGAGTCCTCATTTGGGAATTCAGGAATATTTTCGTTACGTTTGTACTGCTGGAATGTTTCCTTTAAAATTCAAATTTTAAGGTTACACATTAATTACCTAAATGATGAGAGAACGTTTCTTTATAATTTTCACTTTATTTTCATGAATGACAAACACAGTACACTGTATACATGCTCATGCGTATACAGGTGAACTGGCTGGTATGCGAGGTATGGTTTTCCCAGAATTACATCCAATCGAGTCATGGTTTCTGTTTGTTTGGAAAGATGCCCAAACCACTGTACTATTTCAAGATAAATCTAGGAAACAACTTCATCTCCTGGCCACCAGTAAAAATTTGTTTGTTTAAACAAAATGTTTCTTTATAACCTTAAATTTAGACATATCCTGCCATAATTTTTAATATTACTTACCTCTATTAAATCCGGGCTAAGATCACGTATTTTTGTACAAGACGTGAATGTCAGCGCAGCGCATTGTTTGGCGAACATCTGGTTCACGTTATACCAGAAAATTATACATATCACTAAGAGTGGAAGAATTAGAATAGGAAGGACTGCGTATTGTTTTAATCCAAACAAACCCATCATAAACAACAGAAACACAACAATTGACGCCATCATCCTACAATGAATACATTAAAGAAGAGGGTAAGAGAGGGTGATCAAGCATTGATTTAATATCAACCCACGTCTTAAGGTCATCGAATTTTGATAAATCATTTAACCTGTGAAATATAATTGGCCACATTTCTCCATCGCCCTCCCATTTCGGTACGTAAACGAACAATAATTGATTTAACCACGTGACATAACCAAATCCAAAATACAACATTGCAAATGGAATGACAAGCGGAGCGAGGACTGAGTACGAGATAGCAATGATGAATACCAATAAAATTTCGCCATACTATTTATAAAAAGAAATTCTTTGAATGTCGTGCAAAAAATACTGATTAAAACCGCAGAAAATAAAGTACAATTTGAAACTAAGCTGAACCTGTGTTGAATACCACATTTCAGGCGCCTCCCAGGATTCTTTTTCTTCTATTGCACTCTTTACCAAACTTTATAACAAAAGATAAGTTATTTACGAACTACTTGGAATTTAAGATAAATTAAGAATAAAAGCCATCTGAATCACAAGCTATGTATGAACACTTACAATTTTCTCTTGAAATTTATAAGAATAAGAGGAACGATTCTCAATAGCTCCATTCCAAAGATGGTTGTTGCTCGTAACATAATAAAATTGATGAAAAAATTCGCTGCAGATGGCATTTCTTTCGCCATAACTGATGGGATTTCTGACGGATGATCAAGTACCTCTGAAAGTCTTTCCAACATCGTATTTCCCAATATATATATCACGAACTGGTTTAACACCTTGAAGACATAATTAGGGCCCGAGTGTGAATTATTCATATATTTTTATAGCTATCAACTTTGCTGTTCTTATAGACTTAATCCCAGCCACATGATCGAGGTAGGGAAAGAAATTATACAACTATAAGTTACCGCCTCCGCTGTTGCTTTGAAATTTGTTTCATGGCCAAGGACGATAGGAAATTAGTAGCGATAATAGTACCTTTTTGACACAGTATACAGCCTTCCTTAGTAGCTTCATGCAGTGAGGGCTCGAATGAGGGTCTACTCTCTCAAGCTAATTCTTATAGCATCTCAACAAACCTTGAAAACAAAAAGCTTTTCCAGAACATCCTTTTGAATTTCACTATGCGTTTGAGTTCCCTTAATATAAGATAGAAACGCCAGTATCTAAAAAACAAAATATATTTCGTAAAAAATATCAATGCGTGCATGGCTCCATGCGTATAGTAATTGATAATCAATATTAGACATGATTGAGAAAAACATAGCACTAGAAACGATAGCTAGCTAGACGAATAAGAAAGGAGGCTTTAATTACTGTATCATAAATTATAGTTCATAAAACTTTGAAGAACGTACCATTGGCAGCAACGCAAAGAATGCAACTACAACAACAGTTGCCAGGAATCCTGAAATAAATCCCGTAGCAACAGGGCCGAGTTTCTCCACTAAACATTAAAAGGAAAATTAATAGGACAACTGCGAATTCATGTATGGACAATTAAAGTTTTATTGTAGAATAGAAAGAAATACATCAACGATATAACTTATAAGCACAATGGAAACGAGACTAAAACTAATGGACCTTTTCCGCGCGGATTGTACGATGTACCTACGTTACGCCCTACGTTTTGGAGTCTAATCTTTTTACTTGATAGAAGGAGAACTACGAGACGATTTTATAAATTCTTACAATTTTTAAGGAATGGTAGTTTTTCCTCCATTTTCTCAAAAGAGACCATGGCACTTGCAATACCAACAGGAACCGTCCAGAAAAAAATAAGTAAAAATTGTACAACGGTGTTCATCACCAGCGAAATGACAAACCTAAAAGCATCAATGCATCATCAACCTTATAAGTCTAAATAACATTAAAGTTACCATTAGATAATATGTAAGATTAGAAAACAATCTTACTATTATTATATAACATTTAAGTAAATTTCTTAGTCACCTCACCTAAGTCGTCTATCTCTTTTTAAATTTTCCCAAACAATGTCATCTTTTTCTGGACAAACTCTTGCTTGCATTTGATCTGTATAATGGTCCCATGCAAGGCCATATCCAGCAATGGCTGCCTCACGTTGGGATTTGTAGGCAACAAAACAATGATTTAAACTCTGATGTGAACAATTTCTTTCAGCCTCCAGCCCTCCTTTCAAATGCTTTAATGCAATGAAATACAGGAATTTGAAATTATCTGAAAAAATATCTGTAGCCAATAGATTATTTCCAAAATATCTACCTTTACTTCTTCTTGATAAAAAGATATACTGTCTACCATGGAACCAGTCATACCAAACATTTTCAGACGGTGTTTTGGCCTGATACCTGTTTTATGATATTCAGTCTGAGGAGGAAATAAAACAAGTTCAAATATTACAGATAATAAGGTAAGTATATTCCAATCATTAGGTTGTCCAGCTGGCAATTCAGTCAACATTCTACTTACATTTGCTGCAGCTAAACCCCTTTGTGCCTTCACATATTTTTTAATAAGTTTATTCCACTCTGTATCATCTTCTAGAACATACACATCTAAAGTCTAAAAAAATCACAAAGTAAGTACTAGTTTAGGAAAGTGACCTGAGTAAGACTCAAATGATTGGTAATCAAACATCTTGCAATGGTTTTACCAATCAAATATGAGGCAAAGCAACAAAATCAGAAAATTTTTTGAACAAGGTCATCATCATGAAACGGTAATTCAAGCAGGAAAATGATCTGGCAAATATTATAAAATAAAATAAATACAGCTGACATTTATACTTTGATAAAAGTTACCTGATCCGGAAAACGCTCAAGAACATAGTCCTTCATTCTGTCTTGACTTTGAAGCTGTATGTAAAATTAGACACAGTGAACAGGAATAATTATTGATTAGATCTAATTTTGTCAGATAACAGGCCGTCGACAAACTTTCATCAAGCATTGTGTAATTTGTCTGCAATTGTTTGAACACCCTACTCTATTCCAGAAAAGCCTAAAATCTACTAATCAAAATTTATAAAGTAACTATCAGGTTTTAAACAACCAGCACCAGATCTCTACAAGTTAGGATCAAATTGCATCCCTATATACTGCGGCCAAAATCTCTTTGTTGACTGCCCCGAACATTTCTTGTCAAAACACATTCATGAAATAATTTTTTTAAAGTAAAAATATAAGGATTGTTGTGTAAAAGCTGTATTAAAATAAATGTATTGGGTGCCAAGGTTCTTCAAATGAAAAATGCACCTATGGAATTTATACAACAACGTAAATGCTTGCAGCATAGGTAATAATCATGACTGTTGCACTTCACTAATTCTGCCAATATCAATAAGACTTGTTGTCCATTGTAATAAAACCTAAATTACATAATACCTCCTTCGGTATATCTTGTAACATTACAAGGTATCGATGATGATATTTATCCCCATTAGATAAACTTTGCTGCCGAAATCTCTGATATGCAACATACTCGCGATACAAGAAGTACAATATCACCAGAGTGTACATCCAAACTCCAATAAAATGTACCCATAACAAGCTGGACTTGGCTTTAACATTACCCATTGTTAGACGGTCTAGACCCGCAATCGAATCATCTGTATCAGACACTCCTCCGTGATAGTTTACAGGAAGAGCAACGATCAGTCCATAGGGTAAAATTATGATGGTAAATATAAAACACAAACGCAATAACCGGAGGAACATTAAAGCGTCAAGTCCTAAATACCGCAGTATTTCTTCATCTTTAACTTTTAAAGCTGGGACTAGCCAACCTAATAAATTATTTGGTAGTTTTCCAATTGAGGAGTCCAGTCCATTGAGAAGAAGCCGAGGAGTATACACTCGCGGGAATTTATGACGAAGAAGGAAGAATATCATAAGAGTCACAACAAGTAGAAATCCATTTGTTACAGATGTTACTATTAACGCTTTTGCGCTAACCTCTGGCGCCTTGCCTTCGTCTGTACTGTTACCAGTCGTAGAGACATTGCCCAAAAGCCCACTAGTCAAATCCTTAAAGAACATTTTCCTTTCTTCTGTCGACAAAAGTGATATATTTGCAAGCACAATATATGAAGAACACCATCAAGTCGACACGGCAATGCAAACTATTCTGTATGCTTGAGCAGTCGAGCGGGAGCTAGGAGACGTGTCATGCTCATTTGACTGCTGCTCATTGGCGCATACCCCCTGTGCACAAGAATACTCGTTGCTCATTATTTTTTTCATATTTCGTAGCAATTAGCAAAACAAATCTAAATTATCATCTAGAAAAAAATAATAAAATTCTTATAAAACGATACTGCAAGGCAGGTCACTCAAGGTTGTATAAAAATTGAATTAATTAAACCGCCACGGAGGGTGAAAAGATATGAACGTTATGTAATCCACTAAAAATCTGATAATAACATGTAATTCACAGAAATATAGAAATCATATTTCCTTCAATGAATACTTGTTATTAATTTATATTCCCTCGCCCCGTTTCCAGTAGTGCAACATATTATATTTATTTTTCATTCTTTAATTCATTTCTCTGGGTCGGTAGACTCGGTACTTGGTAGATCTCCAGGGTTAGAATCAGGTAATTCAGCACTATCTTCAGCTGAACATGGTTCTCCAATGGTAGGAGTTTCTTCATCATTAGCTTTTTCCTCCTTTGTGCAACTTCCAATATCATCCCATATAATGTCTTCCGGGTTAGGAACAGCTGGTAGGAAATCTTCATTCGGACATATGGAGGTGAAGATTTCTTTAGCCTAAATTCAAGAAATAAAACACCACATCAATATCATAGACAGCATTCATTCTTAATCATACTCGTCTTCAGATACCCCAACAATCAACATACAACACACTACCTCAAACATGGCATCTTCAAAATCCAAATGGGCTGAAGGTAACGACGTTACTCTAACATTTAGAGGAAGCTTATTGCTGTTTGTGGGAACACCGTTCTTCACATTGAAATAAACTGACCACAGCATGACTGGCTTTCCACTATCGTTGTCAGCTGCATCTGCGAAAAAATTATAAAATATGGACTTTAATCTTCTGGCACGCTTCTTTGAACGTCAATGTAATAACTTTAAGACTCGGATTATACAAATGTGAAAAAAACTGCCTGCCTCACGTTAGCCAAGCAAAGATTTTGATCTCATATTAGCCCAGTCAACAGGACTCCAAGCTTTCCTTAAGGATAATTAAGAGACCTATTCTGGATTCTAACGAGCAACATTTGCAACAAACCATCGTTGGTAACAAGGATGCAGAGATCAGCATTCCCTGCAGCATTCATTTACCTGGCGTGGTGAACAGGTCTTGTACATAAAAATTGAGATCTTCTAAAGCATTTACTACCGTTTCCGTAGTAAAATGAACAATGCAAAGGGATTCTGGACAAGCCATTGAAGATGGTGTAAGTTCAATAACACGCACAGGAGATCCATTTGAGCGACTTTGTAATGTAAGCATGCTGATATGTTCCCGTTCTGCTGGGCTTAGAGATTTATCTGTGATTACTATAGCTCGTGACGTCATACTCTCAGTAACTACGTCAAACATATCTGGTGCATAAGACGTCTCCATGATAAGCCATTTTGTTTTCAGCCGTTGGCCATCTTCAGAAATGACTGCCAGGCAATTCTTGTTATCCTCGTCGAGAACCAATGATTTGACATTCTTACGTAGACAGTATATTCCACCAAATACCGCAGACATACGACAGAACGCCTGTGGCAGTTCACCAGTACCATATAATGACCATAAAAATGGTGTGTTACCATAACGACCTAATGAACGCAGAAATTTCTGAGTCGCTTTCAATCCAGAGAGTGTGGACGTTGACGCGGGTACTCCAGCAATAGCATTAAGAATAATATACTGAAGGTTTGATGTGAGTTTACGAGATTTTAAGAATTCCATAAATGGTTTATCTTGAAAACTCTCGTACTCGCTCGGAGAATCTTCAAAAGTAGAACAAAATGTGATAAACCTCATCAAAGCACGCTTTTCTAGAACATTTATTAACTCGCTACTAAAAACATCGGATCGTGAGCAAGGAACATCTTCAATCTTGCCGTTCATCTTGGTCAATATACGACTGATTATTTTGAACTCAGCGTAGTGAGAAATGTTTGCATTGATCAAAGATTCTACCATCAAGCCACGAGAAAATAAAACTTTGGGAGAAAGATCAATGTTAAATTTTCGACTTTGTTTTGAAAAATCGTCGTGGGTCGAATTTTTGTCCAATTTCTTTGTGTTTTTTACTTTCCTCGTTTTAGCCCAACTAATGACGGTATCCACTGGAGATGACTCTTCTGGAGGTCTTTTATCTTCTTTATTCTTCTTATTTTCTGATTCAGGATTGATGTTTGAGCCAGCAACTTCGCTGACGTTACTTATGCCGCTATTACCACTTTCGTTCACACCATTTGTAATATCATTTCTCTGCCTATCTCCTGATTCTGGAGAGATGTTTGACCCAGTCACTTGGCTTTGGTTACTTTCTTCTACCCGTTCTGTAATATCTTTCCTTTCCCCTTTTCCATATTCAGGACTGGTATTTGACGTAATTACTTCGCCATCATTACTTCCTTCTACACATTTTATAAAGTCATTTCCCTGTCCATCTCCAGATTCTTGATGAATGTCTGGTCCAGTTACGTTGCTGGTGTCACTGTGTTCAGGAAAAACTGATGTGTTTGTTAATTCTGCAGGATCAGAGCCCAGTTTTGCTGCATTTGTAGGTTCACAAGGCATCAAGTTTTCACAGACACTGGCCACATTTTCCAAGTTCCCTTTTGAAGAATCAGATACAATAGTAGAGTTGTTTTTCCCATATTCTTTACTCTCCGGTTCTACCTTCCTATGTAGAAATTGCAAGTTTATTAAACTTAATGGTAAGTGTAGTTATAAAGAAAACAGTTGCCAGAAAACACCCTACTGTTTATTACATTACCAAGCACACACAGAATTTAGTATTTTCTTAAGTTCTCTACTATGATGATTTCTTGTTTAGCTATGCCGAAATCGAACTGCAAATTTTTCATCAAACATAAAAACAAATGCCAACAGGCCCTGAAAAATACTCCTTTTCATATCTCTGATCATTTCCGGAGCAATTGCATATTCATACCTTAAGTACGATTGTACTTCAATATTGGTGATTTTATTTCCACAAGAGGGGAAACAAACTTCCCCATTCACCACAGATTCAGGATTTCTACTATGTTCAGCTCCCTGTAAGGCAGAATTATAAATTTTAGGACATTAATATTTGAAGACAAGTTTAGTTGCTCATCAATGTATACTTACACAAAAGAATTTTTATTAATTTTACAACATATCTGAAGAGTGCTGGTATTATTCTTTTCAAGTATGTACTTTATCTATGCACTAGCTTTGATACTTTATGTAATATGCACTTATGCTCACTTACTCTTTCATTGTTTTCTTTAATCCATTCCAGTAAGTTATCAAAAGAAAAGGAAGCCCAGTAGCCTGAATAGTAGTCATTCCTGAACAATTTAGCAATTAAAAGTTTTTGTGCAAAAAATGTTCTCATCAAAGTTGACTTTCATGCAGTGTTTTAATGATGACCCTGGGGTAAACAACAGCACACAAACAATAATAGTGATTTAATATACAGTACATTAGAACTACTATATAAAGGAATTCTTTTGAAAACCAGGCCATCAAAATATTTCAATATACAATAGGTCATATTGTTAGAAAGAATTACAACATTTGTATATGTATACCTGTCCAAATGCAATATTTTAAAACCAATCCTTGAAAGGGCAGCAGCAACAACAGATTCTGGGAGACCTGGAATATGCAGGCTACTAACATATCATTGTGCAAACAACTATTATATTTATTGCTGGTTTATACCTGTCTAAACAGTTAAAACTTCTAAAAAAACATTTTGCAGGATTTGCATATTTGAAAATTAAAAACAATAGTTTTGCTTGAAACCAATTCCTGTCTAATGACTCCAGGGGCGCCGGAATATCGATAATAACGGAGGCAGATATTCATATATTCGTGTTCGCAGATCGTAAAAACAATCGATTTCAAAAGGAGTTAATAATGCAGAACACGAATATATGAATATCCGCCCCCGTTATTATCGATATTCCGGCGCCCCTGAATGACTCTGATCCTATTAACCTAAATATCAACCTTTCCTTAGCAAGTCCTGTTATCCACAATGAATCCCCCAAAGTATACAGGGTGTCCCAAAAAAAACGCAACCACTTAAATATGCAAGAATATTAATATTGTTCGGGTTTGCGCCATAGTTCAGCTAAAATGACTTTTAGCATTGTAAATGAAGGATTAAGAGCCATTTTCAATTCCCAGAGGTGCTTATCTATTGCGCTTTAGAGCTGTATTAATGTTCTGCATATTTAAGTGGTTGCTTTTTTTTGGGACACCCTGTATAATTTATCAATCACATGTTCAACTTCCAACATAAAAAGTAGTGGGATTCAATTCTTAAAAACTCACTGAAGCTGCTACCTGACCTATAATAATGTTTGGCTTATTTACTTGTCCAGTAATCTAGCAACTCTGACTTTTTGACTTTCTTGTGAGCCAAGAGGTCGAATTTCCCATTTTGGTTGGCCAAGGACTTTTGTTTTATTGGCCAAGTGAAGCTAAAATACCGCCCTTATTTTTTATGTTTATTCAACATATGATCACAGAACAATGAATAAATTCGTCTACTTAATATGGGATCTAATACAAATAAAATTTAAAAATTATTCTTTCAAACCTGTTCCTAAGATGATTGCATCATATTCTGATGGAAGGTCGTCCGCCATTTCTAATTTTTGATCACTCGTACTTCATGTAACGAGGTTTCAAAATAAGTGTCAGACTGTCAGTGGTTGAGGGCATATATGTTGAGGGTGATTGTGGCGACGGATGATTCAAGTACAAATTGTCCGACTTTTGACTCCCAGTCCCCTCCGCTTCTTACGCTCATGTGGTAAGAGTGACTGTGAGGTGCAGAGGTGGCAAAATATTTTGGTCGAAATAGGCATCCTCATATAAATATAATTTAATAGTTAATACCGATTGCAAGGTCGAGATTCCAAATCAGTTTCATTTATATCTTATAATAATATCAGTCATCATATATTTTTACACTGAAGTCTCGTAAGTTATTGTCTCTGGAATAATAAGTTTGTCATGAAAAAAACAAAGAGAATCCTTGACTCCTCTGGCTTCATCGCTTTCAATAACATAGGTTTTCCTTGCATTCCTCTTCTCTGACAACGACAAATGTTTTTCAACATTCACATGTGAACTTATAGCAAGAAATATAGCAGCTGTTATAGAAATCACAGTCATTATATATAGTGCATAACGAAAGTCTCCAGTAATGTCAAACAGCCAACCTATAACATGATTAGGGAGGATTAATAAAGCCAGTTGGCCCAGTTCACAACTTTACACAAACTTTCATCTTTTTATAAAGGAGCAAATAGGTAACTCATTTAACATTGCAGCCACAATTGCGTTTTTGCGTATGCCTGCATGGTTAGGCAGACTTGCATTTCAGTATTAATTTTCTCTGAGGATTGCAATGATCTGTCGTATCAACGGAGTTGCAAAAACACCTACAGTTCTAACGGACTTACCTAAAAATGGTGGTCCTGGTAAGCGTACCAATGCTACAATAAAATTTACCAAGCCAAACGCTTCATTGGTGGGGTAACCACTTGTAATTTCCACTACAACAACAGGATATGTAGACCACCAGACGCCCTCTACCAAGCCTACCAATGCCATGTACACCACAATCATTGGAAACGACTCCACAAACGAACAAAGTAAACTGCATACACCAAATATCACGCAGCATGTTAGACTGATCAATTTGATTTTCCCATGTTTTAAAGCTTTATCGCTCATGCGGCCAGTAAGTGAAGTTGCAACAAACATTGTCATTCCTTTAGAGATCGAAAACCATTTTGCCTTTGACAATGAATAGCCTAGCGTCATGCCGTAACGAACCTACATGGAATTATCAAATGAGTATTGCATTAATTTACTTTTAGTTGACATTTGATATGAACAATTAATGGCTGTTTTCACACTGGAGAAGCATAATGCGTCTGGACGCATATTGCGTCGTCTCTGGTTATTCGTCTTCAGTATAAAGTCGCCAACAGACGCATAATTTAATGTTCAGTTTTTCGTCTCAGAGACGCATAACCAACGATAGTTCGTCTAGACGGATAACGCGTCTGCCCGTGTGAAGACGGCACATAGACGAATAATTCTGGAAAATGAAACAGTAATAAAATAAACCAGAAATTCTAAGGGCCATATTCCACCGGCGCTTTTTCTTGGCGAAATGCGAAATATTTCGCCTGTTTCTTTTGAATTGTGAGTTGTGACCACTTGAATATAAATAATTCTGCTTGATTGTTCACAATTCAAAAGGAGCAGGCGAAATATTTCGCATTTTGCTTGAAAATTTCACCCGTGGAAGCAGGGCTTAATGTTATCTATTCGCGCGTGTTTTCATCGACTTATTCGTCTAATTAGTTGTCCCGCCTTTATACTAGACAAAAAATATTGAAGGCGCATTATGCGTCTCTAGTGTGAAAACGGCCAATTTATATTTCTGTATATACACAACTAATTTGATTTGTCAAATCTTGATGGTAGTTTTTTCTGCATTGTTTGAATGTTTGCTTTTTATACAATATCCCATTCATGCTGTTAATTAAAGTACAGAACCCAGCCTCGTACCCAGGCGCTTTGATAGTAAAAAAGATAATGTTGCAGACAGTTATTCTATAGAGGTCAGCTGAAAAAAACGCGAGTGTGCGGGGTTGCTAGGGGTGGTTTTGGCAGGGAAGCTCGCTAAACAAAACCACCCCATTTTTTCAGCTGACCTCTATATAATACCTGAATACAACGTTATATATATAAGTCAACCAATAGTGGACGGTTGAAAATGTAAAACACAGTAAAATGTAACTCTAAACTCACCATAAAAACATGCGGGATTGTAATACTTAACATTTGAAGCGCTATTCCAGCTAAACCAAGCGTGAACGTCTTGTCCTGCAATAACTCCAAATAAATTTTCTTTGTTGACTTCTCATTTTTGTGAGATTCGATGTTTGTGACTTGATCACGAGATACCAGGCCATAGCATACAATTACCGGTAAAAAAGCGAGCATACATAGAAAGGTGTTCTTATACCCTACTCCATCAAAAACAAACGGTAAAACAAATGAAACTACGACTGTTCCTAAAGCAGTAGCGCCGTAACGAATGCAAATTGCAGAACCATAATACTTGCTGAAATATTCCCGTTGTGTTGTTACAGATAGAGTGGAAATCATACTAATTGATAGTCCAATCGGAATTGAAAAGGTTAAGAAAATAATGTTCATGTTCTCAACGAATGGGGTAATAAGGAATGATAAACAGTAAAAGAAACATGAAATAAACATGCACCAACGAAACCCAAATCTGTTGTGAACAGAGACAACGACAGGAGCAAAACCAAATATGAGGAAGAAAACAATTGAACCAATCCATCCTGGAAAAAAAAATTACACTTCTATAATGATACGGTCGCAGTGGTGTAACTAAGATGCCCCCCACCCTAAGAATATTTGGTAATGTGGGAGCTCATCTTTTCATTAATCATGTTTTTTACTTGTGCTATCGTGTTTCTTCTCTATTCTGGTATAGACTATAGACCAATGGGGCACTAACGGCCCTAACGGCCCTAACGGCTGGGGCCCTAAGTTCTTGTCCTAATTCCACCTGACCTGACTGTAGACGCAAGTTTTAACTTATAGATACGAAATATATAGATCCGGACTATTTCACATCGTTTCATAGAAAACCCAGAAATCAGTTTGCTAATGTTAATCATCAAATTATGTAACCATACGTCTTGATTCACAGCTGACGGCAAGATTTGTCCTAGTCACTGACCTCGCATGCAACAATGATACAGTCTTATGTAGTGGCCAGTTAATAGTTCACAAGTCGAAGCAATTGCAATATTGTGATGGTGTTACTCTGAGTTATCAACCAGGCAAACTGAAAACTGATTAGCTTTTTTTCAGCATGCCCGGTTGATAACTTAGAATAGCACCATCGGCATCGCATTATTAATTCATATGCTAAATACACTCTTCTGAATCTTTGAAAAAATGCGGTAAAAAATCGGGGTTTTCCCCGCCATTGCGAGCGTTTATCCAGTAACACGAACGCTTATTTAAAAACTATTATGACCTTGTTCATATGAACGAACTTGACCTTGTAAACTGTGTCTGTATACACGGTAAAAATCATCTTACTGATTATTATTTTTACACATTTTTCCGAACTGTGGTGTAAAGCACCAGTAAAGGAAGTGTTGCGCAGACGAAAATATATTTCGCGAATTATTTATGACCAGAAGGAACACACAGTACCTCCTTTTGCGTTGCTTTCATTGTGGTGAACTATTAACACTGCTACAATAATCCCTGTCGAATCAGCTAAACCCAAGAGTAGGAAACAGGTAAGAGCAGTAATTGCCAAATAAAACCACGCAAACGGACCATCTTTCTGTAGCGCAGACATGACCACGAATTCAAGATCGTGGTTGTACGTGACCTAAATAGGTCTTCCCGTCTGTCAAAACATCTAGAGTCCTAACATCTGTAGCCTTGGCCCTGCTGCGTATGAGATAATGTCATTTTTGAAATGAATAAATAGACTGCTCTGAACAGTAGGAGGTCAAGAGAAAAAGAGCAACCATAGCACAGAAGTGCTAGTTCCTTTTCCTTTACGCAAAAATATAAACTTGCTAGATCCTGCCACGTTGTCATTCTCTGTGAGCTCTATCTAAGGAATAATTTAGTTTAACATAAGAAAACGCTAAGGGCTGCTTTACACTGTTGCGCTTTTTCTTTCCACTTTATACGCGTTTTTTATACGCACGTACATGTACGGAAAATTTTAATTGCTTTTGAATTTTTATTATTTAACATCTAGGTCAAATTACATGCGTGTACGAACGTATGAAAAACGCTAAGTGGAAAACAGCCTTTAATTGGATAAGACACTAAGACAATGTGAAAGTTCTGAAGGATAAACCAAATGGGATTAGCTGTAATAACATATAGTGGATAGCTCGAATAATCATGTAATATTCGGGATGCCCGCGCTATTATCTGGTTTAATATATTTCCTGAGGTTTGCAATGTCTACTTTTCGAGTTTAGCCCAGTGAGCTGATTTAGCCTTTCTAACGATGACGAATATCCGCAATTTTGGGGTATTTTTAGCCTTTTTTAGGTAAAATATGCCAATATGAAAAGCTCACTAAAGGTTACCAAATGGTTTTCCGTGCAGGATTGCGTGCACAACTTTTTATCAAACCTCCTCGAACCCAGGCTAAAAAAAAAGACGCGTAAGGAGACGTCATTCGGTCAATTGCGTCAGTGCCAGTGGCAGCGATTTAAAATAGAAAATTGTGAATGTTTCTTGCGTAGATGTTGTAGAGAATAGCGGTTTTGCTGTGGAAACTTCTGCTGTTTGCAACACTAATCTCATTTTAATTTAGAAATTACTAGTACGGTGAAACGGTGGTACGTAAATCTAGTATTTAAAGCCTGGTTTCCATATGACGCCGACGTCGGCAAAGTATTATTGTCGGTGATTATTGATGAGTGAAATCTTTTGTCTTTCTGAAATCATTTTCTCCTTGGTTGATTACAGACAATGAGTCGGCGACAGGTCGGCGTCATATGGAAACCAGGCTTAAAGCTCATAGGCCACCGACTGTCGACGATGGCTATTGTCGGTGACCACTGAAGTATAAAGGGCCGTTTACAGATGTGTGATTTTCGTCTATTGATAGACATGAACGAGTGAACTATTTACGGTGCTCATTGTTCAAATAAGAACTCTTAATCGCTGACAGAGCATTCGTATTAAGCGATTTAACTGCAAATAGCCGTAACTAGTCACTTGTTCACATCTACTAAAAGAAGAAAATACCACAGACGGGCCTTAAATTTGTTATTTTGAATAGCTCTTCGTCCCCAGAGAGCAACCGTACATCGCCAACTGTCGGTGATATACTGATATAATGCCTGGGCTGTAAATAAATAATAACAGACTTTAACAGTTCAGCGCAGCGCAATGTATGACCTCCCTCTGTTGGTATCCAACCTTGCAAGCTAGGCTTTTCTATCTATGCCCCACGGCGAAGGCCTGGCTTGCGAGGTTGGTTGGTGTCAAGAGGCCTTGTATTAGAAATGCAAGTGTTGGCATGATTTTTAGATTAAAACCAACCGCACCAGACACTATAGTATTACCATTGTTATAACCATTTTGGTTCAATATTAAAAGAATGACTCAGGAATTTGATAAAATTTTCAGCTCATCTGTATTGGGTAATGAATTAATGAAATGTTTCACTTTGAATGCAACACTTTTAGTATTGCATTGACAGCCAGATTGAGCCAGTAACAATTTATAAAACTTGCATGGCATATTTTTTGGTTATCCGGAAAACCAGATGTACCTGCATAAATTAATTATATGCAGAGCTTTTGGTCTGTTGACCAGGTCTTCATTATATAAGAAAGAGAATCGTACCTACTTCATTTATATTTTATTGCTTTAAGTTGATATTAATTTGACACTGATTTCTAAGAGCTCTGATAAAAACTATACCTCATATTTATTTTAGATGAGTCATATACACAAAGATGGACCATACTCATGGCTTTGGCTAACTGTAACTGCCATTGTCTGTTTCACATTTATTGGCCTTGCAGACTCAATGGGAATTATTGTTGCTGTGTTTATAGAACGCTTGCATGGGAGCAATGCAATAGGAGGTATGCAATATTGCGCTGTTTGATATCTTTTTAGTTTCCATTTGTAGTACACTCGGCTGGTGTAACATCAAAAATATTGCCTAAACATTACAATTATGGCTGAGATATTTTTTATATCACAGTGAATATTTAAGCCTACATGCTTGTAAGTCCACAGCCTTTATCAAGGAGATTACAGACTAAAGAAATACACATTGCTTTGTGTCAATGATATTCCCTTTTGTCCTTCTGCAGAAATTTTAGTTGGCTGCCAATAATTGAATGACTTTAGTGGCATAGTAACCACATATTCTAACCATGTTAAATTTGAATTTTATGAATAAAGACTGTAAGGCCATTAAGAGCTAACCAATGGACTGAGCACAAATTGGAGAGTAAAGGAACACTTTAAAAGCCAATTGTCTTATAAAAAGGCCCATATTTAAAGTTTACAACTGAATAAAAATATATGTAAAAAGTAGACAGCTAATTCTTGTGTGAAACTATAGTTTCTCAGCATACTCTTTCTGTAGGTTGGATAGGTTCAGTGATATTTTTTCTGGCTCTTGCGTTAACTCCACTGGTGGTATATATTCACAGACGTGCTGGATTCCGTTGGTGTATGCTCATCACAAGCATATTGTTCAGTTTCTCACTATGTTTGACACCATTCATGACAAACACCATCCTCATATTTTTTACTTACTCAATTCCGTTTGGGTGCGTACTTAGTGTTATTTCTACACTGACAATTATAACACAACGAGAATATTTTAGTAAATATTTTGGATTAGCTGTTGGCGTGCGTTTTAGCGCAAACGCTATTGGTGCTATGGTGGTTTCTATAATTTTGCCAATTATTTTGGCTGAGTTCGGATACAAGATGACGTTTTTTTCCATGTTGGTCTTCACTCCAGTTCTATTACTCTATGGTTTGGTTGCTCGTCATCAGGCGCAGCAAGTCCAAGTTAGAGAAACGGAGAAATGCGGAGAATCTGTCACCTCTCTCTACAAGGAGTTCTTTCAGGATAAATCTTTTACAGTTTCTCTAATCGGAGTGACAATGTTTACTTTTACTTGTCTTATTCCGCTAATTTTTATGGTGAGTGTTGACGAGATTTTTTCATTGGGGTTTTCTATTATTTAAAACTGAGCGGTTGTGAAATCCACTGCAGACGGTGTCAGTAAATTGTATTAATTAAGCGATTACTGGAATCAATGAGTTATGAGTGGAATGTCCAACGTACGTGGCGGCGTCTTTACAACAACTTGGGATCAAATCTAGCATATCGAAACGTCGAGAAGTGTTTTTGTCTATTTCAGGCTTTCAGCCACTTGTTATTTGACGCGACGTACTTATCTTAGTGATAACAGTTCTCGAAATCAAAGAGTTCTCGTAGTTATCTTAGTGATAACAGTTTTTAAAATGAAATTTTGGAGGGATACAGCATATAGCAGTTAGTATTGACTGATGAAGCCGGCATATATAGGTACATTTTTTTATTCCCTGTTAATCATTTTGATTTTTGAACTCTTTACATTAAAGGTTCGTTATGGTGTGACATTAGGTTATCCTTTATCAAAGGCAAAATGGTTGATGGTAACAAGAGGAATAACAACGTTTGTAGCAAGATTACTAGCCGGGCGTCTTGGTGATATTTTTTTAAAGAATGGGAAAGTGAAAATGGTCTCTCAAATAACGTTTGTCGTGTTTGGTGTTTTGAATTTCATGTGTTCTTTTCTTCGTTCTTTTCCTCTGTTACTCGTTTATATGGGTTTAGTTGGGATAGTCGAAGGCGTATGGTGGGTGACGTACCCTATCTTAATAATGGAAATCACAGGAGGATATTATTACAATGAAGCATACTCCTTAGTTTGTCTCATTATTGCGTTTGCTATACTCCTTGGTCCTCCAATAGTAGGTACGCTGGAATCAGGTACTTTATATGCACGTTATACTGCGGCGAAAATATTTCTGAAAAAATGCTAAGAAAAACGGATCACTGTATTGTGCTAGAATAGTGAAAGCTTCGACCTGACCACCAATTACAAAGATAAGTCGTTTGCCAGCGGATTTTATGTATATAAAACTACTAAAATTAATAGATGAATCCAACCATGATAGCAACTTTTTAAAGAATATATAGCTATGAATAATGCGATCTATAGCATGTAACAATAGTCAAAAATATCCCTGACCCTGTGTTAGCATTGTTAACTAACCAGATATATTTTTTTTAGGTCGGATTTTTGATGTTACTAATGACTTTCGTTACGTGTTTTACCTCGCGTTTGGAGTGTCTTTATTAGCTGCAATAACGCTTAATATTAGCTCACGTGTAAGAGTAGAAAGTGAACAATCATTAGTGCAAAAAGGTAAACTTGCTAAAGAGAATATGCCTTGTGAGACAGACAGAAGCCTAGACAAAAGCCATTCCATACTTGAAAGTGGCGTTAAAACAAAACTGGTTTATGAAACTGCAGTGTAAAAATTCTATGTAATCTTAATAAACTTATTTAAAACAATCACATGTCATGAGACGCTGTCGTTGTACTTTCAGCATTGATTGCACAAAAAAACCTACACTCAAACGGGAGTATTTCGCATCATGGTCCCCAAAATATGTTTGTTGATAATTTCCTTGGCTTGTAAATTTACATTATTACTTCTGAGATTACAGAAATAATTGTTTGCTGTTTTGAATCATAGTTATTGTTGATTCATTTACGCAAGCTGTTCCAACATACATACACCGTTATAGGTTTATAGCAAACTATACATTTTCATATATTTTTTACCAATCATCTTGGGGCGGAATCCTAGCCTTTCCTGAAATCTGACTGGCCTAATTTATACAGACCTGTTTGACCACTACTTGCCATCCTGGGCCAGGCTAGGCTACTGGCCGAAGGACGTTTTCAAGACAAAGCAGAAATACTTTACTATCCGGACTGATCTAAACGCTTATTACGATGCACGAAGATATATAATAGTGGTAAATAAATTTAGACCGCTTGCACCCACTGACACTATCAACATGACCTAAGACAAAGTTTTGTGGATTGTGCATGGTAATTCGATCTATTTTAGAATTTTCCAAGCTCTATCAATAAATGTAATATTTTCGTCTTACAGGGGCACAAAATCTAAAATGTAAACAATATTACACATAATTTACGTCCGAATTCTCTGACTATATAATATATAAATACACTGCATGTAAATACCACATCAGGGGCCAGTTGTATGAAAGCCGGATAGCGCTATCCACCGGAGAGTGGATTTTTCTATCGCTCTAAAATCGCCCTTTGTTGGCTTACATTAGTATTCCTAAATAGATTGCTTACAAAGCTCAAATTTATTGTAACATTTTTAGAAAGGTTGAAAAAATCACTATCCAGTGGATAGCGCTATCCAGCCTGCTACAACCGACCCCTGAACTGCTGAAGTTAATTATAATTTTTTTCTTGCACAGTTGCAGACATTGCACTACTTCACTAGAGGCCGATTCTGTTCCGTGTCATCTGTACAAGACATTTCTTTATATTTCTTAACTTCTTCCATATATGCTTTCCAAGCGCTAGATTTCTCGTCCGGGTTTTCCTCCTTCTAAAGTCAAAGAGAAGTGCGCATTGTGATGATCATATATACTGGGGTCTAGGAAAGTATACGACGCTTGGGGCGCTTTTTTTAAGCCCCCAAAATGGCCACGCCTGAACTTAAATAGAAAACTGCCTTTTTCGTGCTAGGCAGATGTACCGATATACTTGAATGCAAAGTTCTTGAAACACTCTAAAATACCAGTAATCTGTCGGTAGTGAAACTGATGCAACAGGACTGGTTTGGCTGTATCAGGAAGCGTTTTGTTTCTGCCGTATCATAGATCTCCGTTTTATCATATGAAAACGACACTACCTGGAAATGCATATTTTAACTTTACAGCTAAATTAAACCACGTTTTGCTTGTATAACACTGATAGCAGGTGTCAAGCCGAAGGTGATTTAGAACCCCGCCCTGTGAGATGACTTTTTGGCTGGCGACGTTCTTTATTTCTGTGTTTAACATTTTGATGTTTTTAAAACATTTATTAATTAATCACTGCCGTCATTGTTCATTTCTCCGTCCAGTTTTTGTACAATCAGCCTATAGCTGTACCACACAGCTAATTCAGGAGAAATATGTAAAATTATTTAATTTCACTCATGATTTACCTTCTTTTCCAACTTTTTCTTTTTAGCATCCAATTTTTTTGATGATCCTGGCATTCTTCCTACAGGAATTTTTCTCTTTCCCTAAATTTAGATTGACTAATATCTATGAGACTTTAACATTCAACATAAAATTGTTGATTACCAGCCGACAGTTTCAGACACATTGCAAAACATTGTCAAAGTCCAAAAAATAACATCTTGAGGGATCCAAGATGTGGATTAGAACAGGAGTTCTGACACAAGTTATCATATCTCGACATCATTGCAAAATCATCATCTGACCAACTGATCACAAACAATTATACAGTGCTGTATACACAATGCATGTTCCTTCAGGTATGACGTCATTCACATTGTTTGTTTTCAGAAAGATTTTGATGATTTTGCAATAAAATTGAAATATCAAAACTTCTGTCTGTACTTTTGTTTCAAACCATATGTTCGATTTTTCAAGATGCCTTTTTTCTTCGGACTTTGCATTGTCATTATTAACATTCCACTCTTCAGTTTACAATGGGATAGGGGGAATTAAAGTTGCCTTACTCAGGAAACACCAAGACCAATATGTTGGATAAGACTGGGATTGAATATTGAAACCACTTGAAATTTGAAACAAGGAAGTGTGAATAAAAAGAAGTTCTGACTGTAGAAGCTATGGTGTCTTTATAAATCTTTTAAAATGTAGAATGGTGCTTGTTTAACACAACTACCAACATTTCTAGTTACATATTTTGAATTAACATGTTGTCATATTTTTTTCTAAAAGCTCCTATTTAATTGTTGACTGTGTGTGAAATAGAAATAAATTTTAATTATAAGAGGGTTGAATTCGAATCAGTTTCTTGGGCTAAAATACTTTGAATAATTTCAAGGATATTTAAGAAACAAGAAGTTCTATTGTAGAGAAAAAAAACTAATGAATTAAGTTGACATTTTGTCACTTGCATGTAGCACCCATAGGATAATGTGTTATCCTGATTTAACTCACTTGAGCTAATCAGCTCTGGTACTGTACCTTTTTATGTTTGAGGGGTTTAATTTTGATAACTGCTAACATGTGAACATAAACAATGCTGTTGCATGTATATAAATAAGTGCATACGAGCTTTACTGAGACACAAAGCAAATTACTTCTGTACATTGTTTACTGTCTGGGATAATAAACATATAAAAATGTAGTTTAGACAAAAAAAGCTTCAATGAAGAACCTTTCGCCTTTACTAAATTTTTTTACATGTTCATAGTGCCCGAGATTGGTTTGAATCATAAGATTTACGACTGAACTCTGAAGTAAAATGAGCTTTTTTGAACTTTCATTTACGAATTCATCTCCCACTTCGCCTCTGCTCGCACGCCGCCTGCTATGATACGTAATGACACTGTTATCAATAAATACACAAACATTTTACTATTTAATGTATTAATACAACCCTCAAATGTATTGAACCATGTTGTCTTCACGGCCACGTTATAAATCTATTCACACCTGTAACAATAAGTTTGCAGTTTTTCTTTTCTCTGCTTCGGTTTCAGCTGTATTTTCTGTTTTTTTATCCGCGACATTTTTTTGCTCTTTTAATCTTTGCTTGTAAATTTCGAAAAAGCTACCGTCGTTTACAAAGGAGTTCATAGATTTATTTGTTTTGCTTGTCTCACATTTCTCTACATTTTCCGACGCCATATTTGTTTAAAATGGCCTATATAGACTATTGGAGTGATGAGGCCAAAAGCATAACAGGATTGTGAGTATGGTTGTGAATGCTGCCACTGATGCTACCTGTGAATATTATCCATGACGAAAACATTTTAATAAATTAAGCCGTTCAATCATTTATATTGAGTTTCCTTTTGAGAATGATGACTATTTTGACGTTAAAAACTAACAAGGATTGTTTCAAAACGCTAAAATTTCTAAAAGAATATCAAAACACTAAAATTTCTCGCCAAAAACACTTAAAAAACTTTTAGGCGTTTAAATCTTGACATTTCCAATCGTGTGCCTTATTAGTCGTTTTCTGTGCATATACTTGTTAGGGATCGCCCCCCGAGACCAGGAAAAGCTTAAATATGTTAAATTTATCCTCGCTCTCAAGGCTAGCCACTGTAGCTGATTCGTCTATGACGCGCTAGGCGTGTGGCAAAGCATACTCTGTTTCTCACTGAGACGTAACGGTTAGGTGCACATACATCATGGTCTGGGGGCCGTAGTGCATCTCCCCCTTAGACGGCCGTTAAGATGTGAGTTATGGGGGGGAGTTCTTCCTATAGCAACTGTCCTTGCACCTTTCGTAGTTGTAACTATGTTGGTATATTGCAGCTCTGGTTGTATAACCGAGTTAGATTGTGGCATAGGCTGGATGATCTCTTTTGGGTGTTTTTCCCCAATTTTTTTTTGGCACGTTTTCCAAATTTTTCTTTTATGTACAAAAAAAATGGTATTAAACATATATGGGACGGATAGGGTTTGAAAAAAAAAATTATATCGACTAAAAACCACCTTAATTAACCCCTGAATACTCTCCCCAGTCTCTCCATGGCTGAGTCTCTGAAATAAATAATAATACAATATCAGAAATCATTCATAAACATCAAACATCTTCATCAACTTTACAGCAGTAAAACAGCGACAAAGACATTCAGACAGTCAACTCTGCGTTCTCGTTAGTGCCTTCAGCCCGAGAACTGTCAATCAAAAGTCTGGATAAATCCCCTGGCTTTCCCTGCGAGTTCTCAAATTCATATTTCAAAATATCTGACATTGAAAACAACTCAAGATTTTCTAATAATTGTGTTTATTCATTAATACTGATCCATGAGATAGTTTGAACGAAGACTCCACCATTGTTGGGTATACCAGTGCAGTATGGTAATCCAGGTTATATCCCAATGGTAGACCATAATCTCGATGAATCACCCTGAATTCTTCTGTAGCTAAATTTTCATTTCACAACAAGAAACACGGCATGTTTATGGCCATTTTAAGAGCACAATCAATTGTTATTCCCAATTGATTGCATATAAAATCCAACTTTCATTTAATTTCAAATACATAACTTCGAAGTTTGGGACGTACGTAGACTTGCTACAAGTCGACTCTTTAAACCCATACGTACGGTACTTGTAGAGAAAGCGGACAAACCTACTGCGACCATTCTATTCCTCGCCACAATTAATCAAACCACGCAGGTAATATACGCTGAAGCCAGAGTTAGCCAAACTTAACATTGGCACAGGGGGTGCTTTTCAACATCTCTCCGCTTAATGATGGTCTTTATGGTGTGTGAACTTTGAACCTGGACACATGAATACAAAATACATTTTATTAAGCGCCTGGGAACGAGGCTGATTACATAACATGTGACGTAATGTGACGTAGCTTACGGGAGTTACGACCTGGTTACGACTTACGGCAAGTCCACATTACGCAACAGCCGCAGCAGCTTGTACTTTTTCATTTAGAAGCACGTCCGTCGGTGGAGAATACAGCTGTTTTAACACCATTTATACCAAATAATTTACAACATGAAAGGCAAGAAATACCTCTACGCTCATAAGTTTGAGGGAATGCCAAAAGTTACAGATTTACAACTGGTGGAAGAGGAGCTTCCACCGGTCAATGATGGAGGTATTAAATGTTTCCGTTCTTCAATGAGTGATATAAAAATTTGCACAGAACATCTAACTAGGTTGCATTTTGATTTAATGTATTCCCTTATGTCCCAAACTGAGTGTGTAATGATTGCATAATAAATAAACGTCGTTAGTCTGCATAACCCTCCGCAGGTCACAGAGGAGCCCAAGGCCTCAACTACCCGCAAGCTCAGTCCTGTTTATTGGTTATACAAACCTGTGCCTGTGGTATATTCATAATCTGCTGTGGTCCATGGAGTATTGCAAAGCGCATTTTTCACAATATGAACAGTAATAGAGCATCAACTACTCCCAAAATTTTTCTGGGCTAAACAAAACTACAAAAGTGCATATTAATTAGCAACAGCTAGCTCCAGCATCAATCTGGGAGTCAGCTCTCAAATTGCATATCATATTATTCAGATAACCAGTTCAGTAAAATCCAATTCTGAATGATAGTTCTATATAGAATGTTTCCATTGGTTAAATTGAAACATGTAATTTTCTTAGTTTCAATTAGAATTTTCTTTGTTGCAATTAGAAACAAAGCTGCAACTGACTGGTCTGCTGCTTTTTTTATCCTTAGTTTTTACCAGCAAAACTTTAAAATATACCATAGTTGAATAAATAACTAATTATGAAGAAAATTAACAAAAATAATAATTAAACCTAGTTGCTTTTGAAAACTGAAAATCAAATTCATAAAACTCATGTTGTTTCTACTTCAGGAAAATTTACACGATGTAATATTAACAGCAACAACAAAATTTATACTTACTTTAAATTATACTAAATTATTTTAGATTTCTCATACTATCTTTTATGCAGACTGTTTGCATGATGTCAGTGTACAATATACTGTCAAACTAAATCTGCATGTATTCTTATATGTGACATAACAAGAATTTACAATTGATTTTTTTACAATATTATATAGATGTTTTAGTTGAGGTTGAATGCTTAAGTATGGACCCTTATATGAGGTAGCTAGTTTATTATAAATTTTCATTGCGCCTAATGTTGGATACTTTTACTGATCATAAAAGTACATGGTCATCATTTTATGACCAACGTCTGAAAGGCTTTCTGAATAGATATTGTGTTTTTTAGACCATACGCACCACAAATACTAAAAGAAGGCGATGTTATGATCAATTTCTTTGTAGCTGGGAAGTAAGTAATGAGTTTTGTGCATGTCAATATAAGTGTATAATTGTAACAAATATTAATTGTAAAGGATGTAACAAAATTTTTTACTACAGAGTACTGCATGACTAGTAAAGTACCAAACAGCCTTTACTGACTATATATCATAAGATGATTGTACTAGATAGAAATCTTGCCTTCCGTAGCGTGTATACATTCAGTAACTTGTTGTTATTTAGGGTGATTGAAAGTAAGGATGAGACATTGCCTATTGGAACAAAGGTTGTTGGACCTCTAGGTTGTAGAGCTCATGCAGTCGTACCAGGAAAACAATTGACAAAATTAGACTTTCTTGATGATCTATCAACATCTGTAGGACTTGGTGCTGCTGGCATGCCAGGGTACAGTTTGTAAAGAAATCAATATATTGTAAAAGATATTTTACGTAATTGACTTTTCGGGAGCGTTTTGCCGAGTGGATGTTGTTGATATGAAAGTAGGTTGCAGACCTAAGTCTTGGTGATGGTACTACTACTATTCCCAATTAATGATTAATTTTCAATATGATACTTTTGTTCCTATTTTTTTTTGTCTTCTTAATGCACGCGTAAATGGTTTTTAGGTTGACTGCTTATTTTGGTGTTTTGAATATTCTCGCTCCAAAAGAAGGAGAGACTCTGTATGTGAACAGTGCAGCAGGAGCCGTTGGTGCTGTTGTTGGTCAGATTGCGAAAATTAAAGGATGCCGAGTTGTTGGTAGCGCAGGTTCAGATGAGAAAGTTGCGTATTGTAAAAGTCTTGGTTTTGATGAAGTGTTCAATTATAAGACAGTTACTTCGGTTGAGGACGCGTTGAAGGCAGCTTGTCCTAATGGAATTGACATGTTCTTTGAAAATGTAAGTTTAATAAATGCTTTAGTCGTCAACTTTCTTCCGCTTCGATCAGGAGGTCGCTATTCACTATCAATTTAACCAATGGGTTACATTTTATTATTGTTGATTCAGACGAACTGATAAAGATGAGTGATCAATTATTCTTCTTCTTCTGACCCGCGTTTTGACGTCTTCCGAGACTGAGAAAAATCCGCGTCTTTCGTCTTGATTGTTGATGCTAAATAGATCACGATCAAAATTATTTTGTATAGGTCGGTGGTCCTGGGTTTTCAAAAGTAATCAAACTATTAAATAGATCGGGCCGGGCTGCAGTCTGTGGTGCTATTTCGACTTACAATTCAAAAGAACCTGTACTCAGTAAGTAATGGTATAACGGTATTAATTAATTTAAAGAAACTTAGCCTTTTGTCAGTAGGTAATAGTGAGTAACCTGATTATAGTTGGTAATAAATATCTGATACTAAAGTGATGGTAATAAATATTTTATTTTATTGCAGTTGAAGATATTCTGTGGTCCCTAGTTGCCAATCGCATCAAGGTACAAGGATTTAACGTGGTCCAGTTTGATACCGAATGGCCAGAGGCAAGAAAAGAGCTTGTACGATGGATCAAGGAGGTGAAACGTAACTTAGCAAGGCATTAATAATTATTTGCATGCAATAAATTATATTTTCATGCAGGTAATGATGTTGTTATCGTAACCGTTATTAAGATTATTTGGAGAATTAGACGCGGGAATAATCCGAATGAGAGCAGCATTTTTTTCCAATTTTTGTATTTTCCCCTCAAAGTGAAGGAGGAATTAGTGGGATTTTATTAGATAAAGATGTATGTTTGAGTTTCCATGCTCCCCACCCTGTTCCCACACAGCACTCCTCAGTTACCATTATTAATTAAGTCTTTTTTTTGGATATTTTTAGGGTAAAATAAAAATTAAGGAGCACATCACAAATGGCTTTGAAAATCTCCCAAAGGCATTAATTGAATTGTTTACAGGAAGCAATTTTGGAAAGGCTGTTGTAGTAGTTTGAAATTCATGAACGCAGTATCTAATTAAAAGATGAATCAATAGATCAGATGGGTAATTTTAGTCAACAAATAAATAACGAAAATGTCTCGATGATTTCATTTTTGAAATGTTGGTCATTCAAATCAATCTGAATGGTTTCATATAGACAGGAATCTCATTAAAGTATGATCATTATTATTAATTAATTTAATATTTAAATTGGCACGAGATTAGTGAATACAATGATGCAATGCTTGCATTGGAAGAAAATTAAAAAAATAATGATCTTCGCGAGTGTCACAATGATCACTGTTCATTCAGTGATCTGGCATTGCAGTCAAAACTGACCAATCCTGAATTTCAAATGCAAACTTGCAGATCGACTGCAGTCAAAGAAGTGAAAGTGACTTCCGAAACAAAGTTTGAAAACTGCATGTTGGACAAGTGTCAACCGTGTTCAGGCTGTTCTTACTGCTTTAAATATGTTACTCTACTATAGACGTTCTAGCCCAGCCCTCCCCTCCCTACTCCCAGCGCTCTTCCCTCCCTACTCCCAGCGCTCTTCCCAACCCCATTCGGACATTACATTGTATTGTGTAAGTACTTTCCCTGTTTCCCACTAATTTTGGGAACTATTAGTATTAGGTGTGAATTAGGATTATACGGCGTGTTTGGCGGTTTGCCTTCCCACAAAAGTCAGGACGTCTACTTCTGTGGATCAGTTAGACCTGGAAGGCACACACCCATAACTCCAAGGTCCTCAGTGAGTTGTGTCTGTTGTAATAATTTTTGATATGCTCGTTTTTCGCGCACAAATATTTTCTCTTTGTTTCCAAAAATTAACTACCAAGCACTAATCGCATTTTTGGGCGAGTGCAAGCCTGGTGCAAGCTAGTGCAAGGTGTTGCGTAACGTCTTTCAATCTTCAGTGAGAGCATAGGTGGGAGGACATCATCATTCATCAGTGTACAAAATAATTTGCAAAATGAAAGGCAAGAAATACCTCTACGCTCATAAGTTTCAGGGAATGCCAAAAATTACAGATTTACAACTTGTAGAAGAGGAGCTCCCCCCGGTTAATGATGGAGGTAAAGCATCTTTTGAAACCAAAAGTTTACTCTGTTAACTGCAATCTTGAATATGAATAAATTCGCTTATACAACTAAAATATTGGTTCGATTACGTTGGCATATTATTAACCTATGCAAATAATGTACCCAGAGTCATACATCTGCAGACTGCAAGCAGATTTTCTTGGAACAACCATAACTAAGACAGTCGTGAGTCGTGTTTCCACTATCTAATTAACTATGTTATGGGTGGACACACTTTCGTCTTTGGTATATTCATAAATTGGTGTTGTGTATTTCAAATCTATATACCAGTCCAATTTGGCCTCACAAATATAAAACTATATAAAACTAGTCTGGCTTAATTCACATAAAAAAATACAATAATACACCATCAAAGATTTTGAACATTTCCCCCTTCTACTACCAAGGTTGCATATTAAGTGCAGCTTTTTAAATTGTTTCAGAAGATCATCCCAAAAATTGTGTACCATATAACCATGCAGTTTTGGTCCCTTATGTCAGTCAATGGACAATGCTATCAATGGTCTTGTGGTTGCATGTTCAGAAGTTGGAAAATTAAATTAAACTTAATCTTAATTTAAACTTAATTAAATCAATGCTTACCAATAGGCTCTCTAAGAACTATAGGCCCACTTAGTCTAGCTGTCCTAATCAGGACCATCCCCATGCAAAAAAATTTACAAACTTTAGGCATAATTTAAGGTCTGGCAGGGAAAACCAATTAACTACAGTAGCATCAACAAATAAGGTGCAAATGAAAAAACTGTAGGGTCATTTAATGCATTCAGGGTGAACATGAAATACAACTCAATCAAAGAAGTGAATGTATAAGACTATAACAATAATGCATATTAAACATTTAACGTCAAGTCGACAACTGATATTTTCATACAATTTAGATGTTTTGGTTCAGGTTGAATGTTTGAGTATGGCCGGATCCTTATATGAGGTAGTTAGTTTGGTAAAATTATGCGTCTAATTTTCTGAACAGCATGAGCAAACACAGCAAGGGTTGTTTAATAGAAATCACGTTTTGTTTAGACCATATGCACCAGTCATATTAAAAGAAGGTGATGTTATGATCAATTTCAATGTAGCTGGAAAGTGAGTATGACTATTATATGGTACTGGTTAGTGGTTATTTCAAGCCAAGAGTAAACAAAGAAATATAAAAGGTGAAAATAATAATTGATTCACTATAGCTGAAAATCATGGTTGTCATTCAGTAATTTGTTATTATTTAGGGTGATTGAAAGTAAGGATGAGACATTGCCTATTGGAACAAAGGTTGTTGGACCTCTAGGTTGTAGAGCTCATGCAGTCATAGCAGGGAAACAATTGACAAAGTTAGACTTTCTTGATGATCTACCAACATCTGTAGGACTTGGTGCTGCTGGCATGCCAGGGTACAGTTCATAAAGTCTATATATAATGGATATTTTACGTAATTGACCTTTCGGCCTTTGTATAACAGCGTTTTGCTGAGTAGTTTGATTACATTTGTTTGGCGGAGTAAAAGAGAATACCCTATGTCTCTGAATGTCTTGGTCATAGTACTAGTAACGTTTAACTTAATGTTAGTGCAATCATGGATTTTTGGCACGTTTTAGTGTTTTCGAAGTTTACTGAGTGACGGATTTTTTCAATATGATGGTTTTGTCCTATCACATTGAACTCAGTTTTGTGTTTTTTCATGCGTAAATGGTTTTTAGGTTGACTGCTTATTTTGGTGTTTTGAATATTCTCGCTCCAAAAGAAGGAGAGACTCTGTATGTGAACAGTGCAGCAGGAGCCGTTGGTGCTGTTGTTGGTCAGATTGCGAAAATTAAAGGATGCCGAGTTGTTGGAAGCGCAGGTTCAGATGAGAAAGTTGCGTATTGTAAAAGTCTTGGTTTTGATGAAGTGTTCAATTATAAGACAGTTACTTCGGTTGAGGACGCGTTGAAGGCAGCTTGTCCTAATGGAATTGACATGTTCTTTGAAAATGTAAGTTTAATAAATGCTTTAGTCGTCAACTTTCTTCCGCTTCGATCAGGAGGTCGCTATTCACTATCAATTTAACCAATGGGTTACATTTTATTATTGTTGATTCAGACGAACTGATAAAGATGAGTGATCAATTATTCTTCTTCTTCTGACCCGCGTTTTGACGTCTTCCGAGACTGAGAAAAATCTGCGTCTTTTCACGTCTTAATTATTGATGTTAAATAAATCAGGATCAAAATTATTTTGTATAGGTCGGTGGTCCTGGGTTTTCAAAAGTAATCAAACTATTAAATAAATCGGGCCGGGTTGCAGTCTGTGGTGCTATTTCGACTTACAATTCAAAAGAACCTGTACTCAGTAAGTAATGGTCTTTATTAGTGGGTATAATTATATGATGGTAATAAATATATTATTTTTTGTAGTGGAAGATATTATGAGACACCTAATTGGAAATCGCCTCAAAATACAAGGATTTATCGTGTCGCAGTTCGCGACTGAATATCCAGCGGGAAGAAAAGAGCTGGTAAAATGGATCAAGGAGGTAAAATGAAATTTAAAACAAAAATTGAAAGAGTTTTCAACAACTTAAATGTATTACTTTGGAAAGTATTTTTTTAGTATTTTTTTAATAATTTGCTTTAATATACTTGGACTTGACTGAATTGATTACGGAAATGAATCTGAATGAAAACTTTTTTCGAGGGTAATCAAAACTTTCATTAAAATTCTAATTTACCGCGATAGCAAAATAAACTATTTTTTTGAAAGTTCTTTCATTCTGTTTATAAAAAGGAAATACGTTTAAATCTATCAAAAATTGTTTTCAACACTTTTGTTGTTTTTGCCCAAACGGTGAGAAGAGGCGCAAAGTGAAGAAAGAATTGGTGGGCCTGAAAAAGTTGTGCCTCACCCAGCACTCCTCACCATTATTAATTCAGTTTTTTTTATATTTTTAGGGTAAAATAAAAATAAAGGAGCACATCACAAATGGCTTTGAAAATCTTCCAAAGGCATTAATTGAATTGTTTACAGGAAGCAATTTCGGAAAGGCCGTCGTAATGGTGTAAAGTTCAAGAACTCGATATCTAATTGTAATAATTGTAAGAATCAATAAATGAGTAAATTAGTCAACAAACGGTAAATAAATACTGAGAACAAAAAGATGTCTTATGTTTGTTCCAATTGACGCAGAATTGATTTCGTTCAGCGTAGAATATACATGCATGAAAAGTGAGGAGGTATTTGCATCAAGCTAATTCAGCCTTGACCCCCCCAACTTAAGATTATCTAGTAAAAAATCTTGACATGTTGTGAAAGCAAAACCGTTTTAAATTGAGCCCAGTGCCAGTGGTATTGGTATTCGCTATGGCGGTACCTGCGCATCTGCAGACTGCAGGTACCACTGTTTCCAATGCAAAGTTGGGTAAGACCACGGGTAAAACCAAACTAGCTCTATTCCATTTGATTACAGGCAGCCACGTTAGTCAGCCCTGTGGTTAGCCTTATAGATTACCACCCGCCCAAGGCCTGTTCAAAACTTCAAAACCCGTTTAGCTTTATTAGTTCTTTTAACAGCTTGTTTAATGTTTATCAAATTTCAAGCACCTTTCTTCCGTTAGAGGACGTAATTTATACGGGATAAATTAAACCTGTGGTTTAGGATTAGTATAATACCCTGTAACGCTAATCTGAATAATCGTTGAACAAGTCAATGATAATTCAAGTGCTCAGCAGATCAGTGGCTCAGCCAAATCTCTGTGTATCTCTGTGGCCAAATACACCATAGCTAGAACCACAGGCAGCCCCGTCACTGCTGTTACGTCATGCTATTATATAATAGCATGACGTAACAGCAGGGACCGGGCTGCCTGTGATAGAACCCATAGCTGGCAACGTACCTTGGACATACCCAAGCCAAATACCGCCGAGATACCCTAGCTGGCTGTGTACTCAGGTAACTTGATAACTTGGCTGTGAGCAGGTTTCAAACGTCATGTCAAAATTTCTGTCCGTAATTCGCAAAGTTTCCTCAAAGAGCTACAGCCGTTGTATTTTATCGTCACTGCAGCTCGATACTAGTGTACACGGTCAAAATAGTTTTGTTTTCATGAATTCAAATTCGTTCGTACCGAGAAGGAACTGCAGTATGAAGGGAAAGAAATACATATACGCTCACAAGTTTGAAGGAATGCCAAAATTATCAGATTTACAACTTGTGGAAGAAGAGATACCTGCAATCAAGGATGGAGGTATTTAACTGTAAATTGATTATTATGTAAAATATTAATAATTATACTGCCAATTTAAGGCAAATCGATATATTTTGGTGCTTAATTGAATATACATAGATATATATAGACACCTGCAGACCTCCAGAGAAAACGTAATTGCAATATAATTAATTGGTCCCTTGCAAAGGGTGGTAGCACTTTATGAACTTTTCGATATAGGTGGATTTAAATTGTGTCATGATGGAAGTCGTGTCTGATAAAATACACATATTAAGTTATCTCCAGAGAGCAATTATTTGCAAAAAGAAATATATTTCAATCACCTCATGTATATACATTTCAGTGCATGTGTTTTAATCTATTTTATCTCAAAAAATAATTATTTTGAAAAATATTTTATAGAAGTTTTGGTTCAAGTGCAGTCATTGAGCATTGATCCCTATATGAGGTAATATTGTGTAGGGTGATTCTCTGCATGGTCACATGGTATGGTGACATTGCTACTCTGACACTATTTTATATGAAAAATATAAAGCCTAAAGAAATAGCAATGTAATGTTAACATGCATGTGTGCATGACTGATGGAGAGTCATGTATCCTATAACATGCAACAAAAAACCCTGCAGGAGGTGCAGAAATAAATTGCAACTATCATTATGGGTGTCATTCATGTATGTTGCCATTACATATTGTCTTAATTTGTACCTTTTGCAAGATAATTAGATAAAATATTCTACCTTTGAAGTATCAATAATGATTGAGTGCAGGCCAGAATGTTGATTTTCAATTAATATATATCATATTATTGTTCTGTCTCATTTATAGACCATATACACCATTACTATGTAAAGTTGGTGATGATATGATCAATTATTATGTTGCAGGAAAGTAAGTTAATTTGGACTTGCAATTGCTTGCATATTTGCATAGATGCATATGCAATAAAACATAATCAATAATTTAATTATGAGATTTTTAAGATACAGCTAGCCTAAGCCCCCCCCCCCCTTTAAACAGGCTCCACAGTCTCTGAGTTAGTGGTTTACTGCAGGGCCTTTTCATTTTTAAATTTTTTTACTGGGGAAGGTGGTCTTTAAATGTCCCCTCCTCCTACAAAACATCCCACGTAACTTACAATAAGTTGTATATATCTTAGAGTGATTGACAGTAAAGAAAAAACTTTGCCTATCGGAACTAAGGTGTCTGGTGCGATGGGATGTAGAACATATGCAGTAATGTCTGGTAGGAAGTTGACAAACTTAGATTTTCTTGATGATCTACCAACCTCTTATGCGACTGGGGCTGCTGGCTTGGCAGGGTTTGTATATTTTAAAATCCTAATGTATTTGTTTCTGTTAAAACAGTGACAGCGAGTAAAATGTGTACATTGCCTTTTCTAGGTTGACTGCTTATTTTGGTGTTTTGAATATTCTCACTCCAAAAAAAGGGCAGACTCTGTATGTGAACAGTGCAGCAGGAGCCGTTGGTGCTGTTGTTGGTCAGATTGCGAAAATTAAAGGATGCCGAGTTGTTGGTAGCGCAGGTTCAGATGAGAAAGTTGCGTATTGTAAAAGTCTTGGTTTTGATGAAGTGTTCAATTATAAGAAAGTTACTTCCATCAAAGATGCTCTAAAAACAACTTGTCCCAATGGAATTGACATGTTCTTTGAAAATGTATGTCTTGATTAGAGTTTCGAGAATGTCATGGTGTCATTGATGTAGTTATCGAATCGGCTTTCATATGGTCATTCAAAGCTAAAAATTTATACCCCATTAGTGCAAATAACCTGCAGCCAAAAATTAATACCCTTTTCATGCTATTTTATTTTAACCTTTTACAATATTTCACGTATTTAATAGATTTAGATTTTAGGATGCTTTATCAAGCTTTGTCATGGGTAAAATAGGCATGCAAGAGAATAATGTGTAATTATTTTGTATATTCATTGATCTTACAACTCAGATTTAACTGTAATATGGTTACATTTATCGAAAATTGTATACCATGATATCATTATGCCTTCAACCAGGTTGGTGGCCCAGCGTTTTCGAAAGTCATTTTTCAAATGAATACAAATGGTCGCGTTGCTGTGTGTGGCGCTATAGCAACATACAATCAAAAAAAACCAGAAATGAGTAAGTCAAGAAGTGTTATATTCTTTGCAATTTTCAACAGCAACTGACTAAAAATGAAAACGTATGATGACTAAGATCATAACTAGATAAAACGTACAACATTTGCTTCGCTCGAGCAGAGTACTTTTCTAGCTTCCAATTATTACCCTCGTACTCGTATAGACGTTAGTTTTAACTCAATGCAGCAAAAAAGGTAGCTACCTGAAGGACCAATTTGTTTCTTTTCCTCTAATGATGCAGAAAATCTTTATTTAGCTAATGACTTAAGGAGTAATGTTGATATTTATTTTGTCATAGTTGAAGACGTCCTATGGCCTTTAGTAGGAAATCGAATCAAAGTTCAAGGATTTAACGTAATGCAGTTCACACGCGACTACCCGGCTGCAAGAAAACAACTTGTACAGTGGATAAAAGAGGTAAAATACTTGTAAGATTGTAATGTAATCAAACAGGCGAGAACAGTTAGTATAGATTGTCATTAAAATAATCAGTTTAGATTATATTAATGATTTACACTGAATAAACTGTCAGCCGAACTTCACTGAAGTGATTTGATTATGATATCCAATGAATGAGAATTAATTGAGGTCTTTTTATTTCACTTGTTCCAGGGTAAAATAATCGTAAAAGAACACATCACGTATGGCTTTGAAAACTTCCCAAAGGCTTTTGTTGAACTCTTTACTGGTGATAACTTTGGTAAATCTGTGGTTGTCGTGGGTGATTCATCCAAATTGTAATTTTAAAGATTTTCCAGTTGATCAACCGGATTTTTACGTAGCAAAATTATAATATATATAATTGAGGGAATTTAGAAACTAGAGAAACCTGAAAAATATCAGCTTTTAGGCTTTCCAAAATAATTAAACTTTTGTAATTTATTTCTACTGTAATTGTTCGGCAGCATAGCCAGTTACATCCAATATATAATTCCTCTCAACTATTAAACAGCCGCTATGCAGCAATTAAAATTGTTTTGAAAGATTATCAGAGAACTCAGAAAGAGAACTATAGGGTATGTTTGGTAGTTATAACTTAGATCCAGGCTCATCATATATTCAGGGTTATATGTGAAATCGGAAGACAATTGCCAACTTGATGTTGACTGCATGGTTAGTCCGAAGTGGAAACTCCCAGACCCAATTTTTTGTTGAAAACGTTTGAGACTATGCTGTCAGCATTGTGCACATATTGATAGTCAAACCACACGCACGTTCTTATATCAATGCTTCTATACGTTTACCGGAGCCTCATTTGAACTCGGGTATAATTCCAGGCTAACAAGTAAGAACCAGGTACGTGTTTCTAGCCTTGAATATATTTGGCCAAATTGTCTGTCAAACGTCTTTCATTGATGTTATATAACCACTGCGGGTCGTACCAGCAAAAAGATCCAATGCAAATTTTTTATTCGATTTAATTTAATTTAACACGAAAGCCCTGAAAGGCGCGTAGGAATATATATGTTTCATTACACTATCCTATTAGGAAGAACACTCTTAATTATTTTATTACAAAAATACACACACATGCATGCACACATTGGTTTAATAAAGGAAAAGAAAACTAGTTTTACTATCATTATTATTTTGGTATAAAAAGTCGCACATTATTACAATGTAGACTCAAACTTTTGCTCCTGACCAATTTCTGAAATCACTGACTTCACTTCTTCTTCCCATTTGTCTCTTTCATTTAAGTATCTTCTCATATTTTCACGACTGGTCTCCGCTTCTCTTTTAAATCCTTGTTCTTGACGCTTCAGTTTTTGGAATTCTTCTGATTTATCTCGCAACTGCTCTATCAAACATTTGTTCTCTTGCGAAATAGCAGCTTCTTTTCTTCTTGATTCCAAAAGCTGTAACGGTTTTAAGTTCAGTTTAAAAATTAAATAAGATTCTTTTTAACGTATTAACGGGACAATTAAACCTTTTCGATGATAGCTGATTATGCATTGCTATCCAATTAAAACAATAAATAAAGCCTAATTTAGAATCGATTAAGTTGAGGTTGTTAGGTGGGCACGATATGACGTGCCAATCACACGTTTTTGATAATGATAAGCCTAATAGCCTATATATGAGTCTCGCTTCCAATAGTTAAAGGAGACTTGCTCACAACTTCTATTAATGCATCTTTATAGCTTGAATAACTTGCACAATATTGACCTAAACTCTAAGGTATTTTTCAAATCACAGGGACAGTATATACCTTAAATTCGCTATTGGTTCTCCCCTTTATTAAATTTTCTTTACTAAAACAAGTGAATATAATATACCTGGAATTTCGTTGTAATTAATTCATTCCTGCTGATGGTCGTGCTTTGATACATCTGTTGTTTCAAGTCAGCGTTGTCTTCCATTAGCACTTTAAGTTCTTTTTCAGCCTGAAGCAATTGATCCCTCAAGAAATTCTTTTCATTCTGTACTTGAGATAATTTAGAATGCTGTCGTTCCAGTGTCTCCAGCGCTTTCTTAAGGTCATATTCCAAACGAGTCTTTGTCGTTAAGTTTTCACTTCGTTCACATTCGATTTGACGACTGAGTTCGGCATTATCAGCCTTGGTCTGTGAACAAGACGACTGTAGATCTCTACTATCTTTTTCTAACCGGTCATTAAGCTCCTTTAAGTTGCTCATTTGTTCTCTTTCATCAATTTTCTCTTTTTCTAATTCATTCAAATTGTTCTTGAGACGAACTACTTCATTTTCCTTTATCTCCAGACATTTTTCAGTTGCCATTTTTTCTTCCTCTACAGCGTCTCTCAATGCGACTAATTTTAAAAATTCGGACTGTTTCGCAGAAAACTTTTCCAACAATTCCTTGGTTCCTTCCTCCGCCGCGTTTAGTTTATTTTGAAGAGAATCTTGGTTGCTAAGTAAACTGGAGTTCGTGAGAATCAAGTCGCTTATCTTGTTTTCTAAAGTGTGTTTGTCGGTGTTTGCAGTTGTTAAGTCAATAATGGTATTACCAAGTTTCAACTGCAATCTACCCACCTCCTCTTCCAAACAAAATCTTCTTTTATCCATTTCTTTTATTTCACAATGCAGACTATTAATCTCTTCCTCTTTTACATCGAGCGCTTCTTTCTGCTGTTTCAATTCATCAATATTTACTTCAAGGTCGCGTTGACATGTTTCCAATGCCTTTTCCAATGAATCACGATCTGCTTGAATAATATCATTGTCTCTTTGAACCGTGATAAGGCACTTTTCCAAGTGAGCTTTTTCATCCAATAAAATTTTGTTTTGCTTACTGGTTGTACCTAATCTTTCGTGTAATTCGGATAGTTTTGTATTTAGAATGTGATTGTGCTCCTGCACAATTGTATGTGATGAACAGACCATATCAATTATCTTAGAAAGATCAGTAATATCTCCGGAATCGTCTTTCGGAAGGCAGTTATCACTTGGTTTTAAATCTTTTACCAGAGATTGACATGAAATTAAAATTTGTTCACATATTTTTTCATTTCTCTCTTCCATTTTCCTCATCTCGGATCTTGCTATATTTATGTTACGTTTGAGCTCATCCGCTCTACTTATCTCTTCTACGAGTTGTTCGGAGATTTGGTCGACTTCTGCTGCATTGGTTTCCAGAATGTAATCAATTTGTCCCTCTTGTTCACTGTTCTGTTTTCTCAAGATGTCTATATCCATTTGCAATTTTAATATCTCGTTTTCAAGATTCTGCTGGGCATTTTTTTCATCAGCTAATTGAATTTTCAGATTTTTGATTTCTGTCAATTTCTGTTCAATTACCTGGTTCTGTGTTGTGGTTTCAGTTTCCAGTATTTCCATAGCTGTTCTCAGTTCTTGTTTTTCGTTATTTAAGTCCTTATTTTCTTTAAGTGTTTCATCAAGTTTTTCATTCGCCGTGATTTGGTCTAAAGTTAAGATATTCAACTGTTCATTTATTTTTCTTTGTTTTTCTTCACTTTCTTCTGTCTTCAACAATTGTTGCCTTAATTCGTTTTCTAATTTTTTAATGGTGCCTCTTGCGTTATCAAGGTTTCGTTTTGTACTTTCTTCTTTTGTCATAGTAACTGATAACGCAGACGTCAACTCGTCAACCCTTTCTTGAAGTTTCACTATGGTGGATTTTAGCTTTTTTTCAATGTTTTCCATCTCAATGATCTTCTCATTTGTCGACCGTCTTTCCTGTTGCAGCAACGTTTCCGACTTGTTCAACAAGAGTTCGGTTTGTTTCAGTTTCTCTTCTGTTTCCTCTTTAGACTTCAAAGCATTCTCGTGCGCCGTCTTATGATGTTCTATTTCAAAGATACTTGTCCTTAATTCTTCATCACTATCTTTTAGTTTCTCGCGTAGTTGATTAATTTCTTTACCGTTCTCACGTAAAATAATACCAGTGCGCTGAATTTCCTCGTCCATAGACACCGCCTTGGAGGACATTTCATTGATTTGCTTCTGAGATATGTTCAGGTTATTTTCCAAGGCAGAAACTTGGCTGTCTAATGTTTCGACTCTCAGACGCAGCTTGCTACTATTCTCATTTTCTTCGGTGCATCGCTTTTCAAGTATCGCAGAAAATTCAACAGAGGCCTTGAGATCGCTTTCTAAAACAAGAATTTGATCTTTCCTTTTCACAGCTAACTCATTATTTTCTTCATTTTCATGGCGCAGCGTTTCATAATTCGCTTCTAAACTGCTAATTCTGCTATTTTTAGCATGAATTTCGCCCTTCAATTCTTCTTGTTTTGTGTTTAAATGTTCCTTCTCCTTTAGGCATTTATCGAGACGTACTTCTAGTTCATGATTTCGCCTGGATACTTCTTGTTTCCTCGCTTTCAGGCTTGACAATTCATTTGAGATTTTCGTATTCTTAGCACATTCATTTGTGAGCATTTCTTTCATTCTTTTTACTTCTTCATTTAGCTTTTCGCACAACATGACCACTTCTCTATTTTTTGTCTCAAGCTGATCTTTTTCTTGAAGCAAATTGTTCTGATGATCTTTCAAACGTTGTACTTCCCCTTCTTGATTTTCATTTTGGTCATTTAATATATTAATTTTTAGGGTTAGATCTTTTATGTTGTTTTTTGACTGACTTTCACTTTCAAGACGATTTTCAAACAAAGAACAAATTTCGGTCAATGTGATTTCCAGTATACGCAGCTCTTCAAAAACGGCGTCGGCAGGGGAACACGTTTGAACGGGATTCTTTTGGTTATCAGTTTTGATGCCTGTTTGAAACCTATTTTCTATCGTTCGTGCTGATGTACAGATTCTTGCAACTACTGCATGAAGGCGATATAAATCATCACTTGCCTTCTCAAGGTTCCTGCTTGCCTCTAACAATTGGTTGTTCACTTCCTGTTTTTCCAAGGATATTGTCTGAAACTCCGATTTCAAATCTTTCTTTCTTTTTTCCACGTCTTCAACTTTACCTACCAGGAATGTTTTTTCCTTTCTTAAGCTAATATTTTCATTCCTAATGTTATCCATCTTCAACCTTTCTTCTTCAAGATCCTTTCGTAAGTTATCCTCCAAGTTTTGACCAACTCGATATAATTCCTCAAGGTTTGTTTTATCTTCAAGCAGCGCCACCACTTTATTTTTTTCTTGTGATATTTCCTTCTCCAGTCTTTCGAGGTCTCGCTTATTTTCAACGTCTTTGCGTTTTAAATCGTTTATTTCTGATTCGGAAGTGGAAGTGGCGTTTTTTAGCGAGCTTATAATTTTCCTACCAGACAGGACCTCTTTCTGCAAATCATTATTTTCGCGTTCTTTTTCAGCCAAACTTGACTTCATTGTTTCTAAGTGTTGGTTTGCTTTATCGAAACAATCCTGTAAACACTTATTTTCCTCTGACACACCCTTCGCAGATACTTTTAAATATTTGTTTTCCGTAATAAGGTTATTCTCTTGCTCACCAAAAGTTTCAATATCTGCTTGGAGTTTGCTATTTTGATCTTGTAATGCTGTTATACCCTCCTCAGTTTCCGTAACTCGCCGTTCTAGTTCACTTCTAAGACACTCTGACAAATCTAGTTCACTTTTCAGGTTGAGCAAAGTCTTGTCCATATTCCTTTCTTGGGCATGATATTTCTCAAGAATCTCTCCACATTTCAACTCAAGTCTCTTTTCATTTTCTTTTGCTTCGTTAGTTATTTTAGATTTTTCGTTTTCAAGTTGAGAACACTTTTCTTCGCGCTGTTCAACTTTATTTTCCAACTTCGCGAGAGCTTGCCTTTGTAACTCCAGTTTCTCCAGAACTATCGACGAATTCTTACTTTCACTGTGAAGTTTCAGCTGTAGCTCTTGTTTCTCTTTTTGTATTTTCTCCAGGTGATGTTTAAGAGCATCAAAATCATTCCAAAGGGAAACCTGAAACATGTACAAATTGGACTATCGATATTCTGGTGAATCTATCAATCAATCAATAAAATTACAGTTCCTTACAAACATCGTCCACATAGATGATTGGTTCTTTGTCTAATTTAAATTTTTTGACACGACAGTTACCAGTTTCTTACTTCTAATGATACTTCCATATACTGACATATTCAGTGAAGAATATTTATGAACAGATGTGAATGGGCGAGTTTTAGAATAGACGAAGGCCAGGGGTTTTTTAATGTTTACACACTTGAAGCTACATTTTAAAAACCGCATATAAAACTAGATATGCTTCATATATTGCTTGAGTATTATTTCACTAAATCGTGATAGAATTTAAAGAATTTATTTAACAAACCTTTTCATTTAACAAAACTTCTTTTCTTTGTTGTACTGTTGTCAGTTGCTCAATGACTTTCGTGAGTTCTTTCTTTGTTAACGTGTTCGTCTCTTTCATTTCTTCTGCTTTACTTTCAAGTTTTTGTATCAACTCATCTTTTAACTTCATTGCCTTTGTAGCATCTTCCAGATCACGCTCTTTGATCCTCGCAAGCTTTGTCAATGTTACAATCCTGTCCCTTTCTTGTGCTAGTAATTTGGTTTTATCCGTCTGCGAAATTTCAAGATCAGTCAGTTTCTGCTGGGTGTATTCCAATTCTCTCGTGAGATTTTCTTTCGCAGTCATTGTTTCATCTTGTAAAATATTCTGTTCATCAATTTTTTGCCTGGCGGCTCTCAATTCTTCATCCGATTTACCCAGTTGCTCACATTTTGCATTTAATTTAGTCACTTCGTGGTAAGCTTCCAAAAGCGACTCTTCAAGCTTATTGCGATCCTCTTTTAAATAATCAGCATGCGTGGATATGGAAGAAACATCGTCGTTGAGCAGTTTGATTCGTTCTTTTAACGATTCGTTCAGTTTGACAAGATCGGAAATTCTCTGCTTCCCAATGTATATTTCGTTTTGGCTTTGATTTATTTCTTGTTCTTGTTCTTTTGATAAAGACTGCACTTTTGCGAGGTCTTGGGACAGAGCAGACACTTTTTCATTCATATGTTTTATCTCTGTTTCGAGTTTCAATCTCTCGTTTTTTTCGTTTTGTAATAAAAGATTTTGTTCTTTGACATCTCTCTGCAGATTTTCTCGCTCAATTAGCAATTTATGAGACAAAATGGATAAATTATTTATGCTTGTGCCAATTGACAGAATAAGATTGTAAGTATTCATCTCATCGTCACTTCCAGCTTCGGAGCAACGGTACCCATTGTTAGGATCAAATAAGCTGCATACACCTTCAATCAGCTCATATATTCTCCTCGCTTCCACCAAAGACAAGTGTAATTCATCCAATGCTTTTGTTAATGCCGTATTGTTCGCTTTTAATTCGTTTCTTATTTCCTTGTTTTTCTTGTCAAGTTCGAAATTAAAGCTCTCTTTTTCAATAATTTCTTCATTCTTTTTCTTCACACTTTCAAGAAGACACTGGTTTTCATCTTTTAGTAGTTCAATTTGTCGTCGGCAAATACTCTTCTCGTCCTTCAATTCATCAACATCTTTTTCCAAGGTATCTTTGCACACATTCATTTTCTGCAGGAAATCTTTTAAAAGCTCTAATTTTGCTTCATTTTTTCTTATCATTTCATCTTTTTCGGTTATTCCTTCCGAAAGCTGTTTAATAGTTTTTTCTTTCTCTTTTAGCTGTTCGTTGATTGTTTTGATTTTGTCTGTCAAAGAGTTTTTTTCAAGCCTTATCAGAACATTTTCTTCTTTGAGTTGAGTGACTTCTCTGCGAGATTTCTCAAGATCAATGCCAATCTTGTCAGATTTGTTTTTGATCTCTTTAAAAGACTCCTCTATCTCCTGGTTCATCTCTTCGAGGATTCCAATTCGTTCCCTGCAGTCGTCTAATTCCTGAGATCGATGTACTGCCAACTTCGCGTCTTCGTTTATTTGCCTTTCCAAGTCTTTAGCTTGATTCTTATATGTTGTGATTGTCAGAGAGTATTCTTGCGCTTGATCTTCAAGTTGCTTCACAGTTCCACGCAGTGTTGTACAAAGATGCTGAAGTTCCAAGTTGTTATTTTGCTCCTCTAAAATTTGATTTTCAAGTTCTGTTACCTGTAAACGCAAGCTAGTTGTCGTCTTTTCGGTCTCCGCATCATTTTCTAGACACTGCTGTCTAAGAATCTCGAATTCTTTCTTGCAATCGTGAATGGTTATCGAAGTCTGTAAATTTTCCTTAATCAGTTGTCCGTGTGACTTCTTTGTCGTATCTAGTTCTTTTTCCAAATCTTTTTTCCCTTTTTTGTATTCCTGGACTGATTCATTTAAAATCGTGATGGAAATTTCTTTTTCTTTAGTAATTGATATGGCATGTTCTAACTTCATTTGGCATTCTTTTAACTTTTCATCTTTTTCATGATAGGTTTCTTGCAATGATTTTTGTGACAGCTCTAAACATTCCACTTCTTTCTCTAAAGACGACAGGAGGTTTTCGTTCTGAACAGAGGCTTGCTTAAGCTCTCGTATTTCGTCAACGAATTGTTTTTCTCTATTGCAAAATAACTTCTCTCGTTCATTGAAACTTGGAACAATTCTCGACATTACCAAAATGAAGGTATCTACCGTCGTCTCTAAATATCGTAGCTTTTCATTTTCTTGTTTTCCTTCTTTTGGCTTGGAACTTGCAGGAAATGTGGAGCATTTAGTAAATCTACATTCAAAGACTCTAGCATCAAATGATCCACGATTAGAAAGCAAGTTCAATGAATTATCATCAATGCCTATACCACTATCTTCTAGGCTGCCACTGATCGAATCTGAATTCGATTCATGGAGAAGATGAACGGAGTCGTTAATTTTCTCAGTCAGTTTCTCTATTCCTTCGTTAAAGTTGATAATCTCGTTTTCTAAATTTTCTTTCTCCTTTTCCAACACGTGATATTGGTATTGCTGGTGATCTTCATTGGCACTTAACGTTTCTACTTTCTCTTCCAATTCTCGTATCTGTAGATTAAGTTGTTGACATTTCACATCAGATCCATTCAGTTTGCTTTCTAGCTCTTGTGTGAGATCAGCAAGTTTATCGTTATTTTCTTGCTGCAGTTCGTATTGTTCACATTTCGCGCGATAATGGCTGAGGATTTTCTTATTCTCATTCTCTAATTTCAAAAGATTTTCCATGACATCTTGTTTCTCCTTAGTTAGGTTTTCGTGTTCGCTCTTCAACTCTTCAATCGCTTGGACAACTCTTTCAAGACTCTTAGTCTGACTGTTAATGTCATTGCATACCTTTTCATTCAACGCTATATTAAACACTCTTTCAAGGGTGGTGTTCATTGCTTCTTTATCCTTCTCGTTTTGCTTTAAAGTATTCTTATAGTCTTTATTTTCTCTTTGAACATTATAAACAGTCTTCATCAAGTCTTCGTTTTTCTGAATTAACGCGCATCTATCGTTTTCGAGACGAGAAGCATCATTTTGGAGGTTCGATATATTTTGTTGAAGTTCAACGATTTTAGAATGACATTCAGCGATCTCTGCACTGCTAGTTGTTTCTTCCTCTTCACATCGACTCTTCAAAGCATCAAACTCCTTTTGTAATTTAATGCTCGAGTTCTCCATTTTGTTAAGCAGTTCTTTAGATCGGACAATTTGCAAACCCAAACTTTCATTCTTTAATTCAAGTTTCCGAACAGTTGTATCTCGTTCTGTGATATCTTCATACCTCCCTGCCTTTTCATCGTACAAAGCACTTTGTAATTCAGCTATTTTCTCCTCACATCTCCTTTCTGTGTTTTCCAGTTCCTTGTTTGCATTAGAGAGTAATTCCGTTGTGGTCTCCAGCTCAGCTATTCGCATTTGAAGCATTCTATCATTAACACCGGACATTTCCACAGTCTTTTCTAAAACTGCAATTCGTTTTTCCTTTGTTTTTATCTTCTCCTCGAGGGATATAGACTTGGAGATGCTGCATTTAAATTTATCACAAGCCAATGTCAACTCTTTTTGCATTTTTTGTAACTCCTGCGAGATTTTAGAGTTTTCCATATTTTGGGAAATTCGAGTACTTTCAATTTTTGTCTCCGCAGATGTTAAAGACTCCGAAAGTTCGGCAACTTTGCAAAGGGCTTCATCCCGACTCGAAGTTACGAGGGAAAGCTGGGTCTGTGACTGCTCGTACTTGACTTTCAGGCTCTTGTAACTACTTTCCGATGCTTCCAATTCTGCATGATATTTTGAAGACTGGGCCGAGACATCAGTGAGTACCTTCTGCAACCTCTTTTCTTCCATCATGCGACAATGAATATTATCGCGAACTTGTTCTAATCGACCAGCCATATTTGAGGATATTTCATCGTACCTTGCTATGTGATCGTGTCCACTATTACAACAGAACTTTTCCTCCCGGCGAATATCAGCAGCCTTCTCTAAACTTAGAATTTGTTCGTTACATTCCTCTAATATCTTTTCTAAAGCTTCCAGCTCCAATTTCTTTGTGATTCCCATATTTTCCAGTTCTTTTATTTGGTTTGCTTTTTCGTCATTCAGAGAATTAAGTACCTGAAGATTTTCTTCCAACCGAACATTCTTTCCACGTAGATCACAAATCACGGATTCATTGGCAAGAATTTCATGTTGCAAATGCATCATCTTTTTTTGTGATCCTGCAGCTATAGAATGATTTTCTTTTTTCAGGTGCTCCACGTCGGCTTCCAATTCTTCAATAGTTTCCAATGCAGTCGTTTTCTGTTTAGATTCGTCTCTTAATTTCTGTATGTAACTGGATAATTGCGAAGACTGTACGTCGATTTCCTTTTTCAGGAGGTCAAGTGTCTCCTCAAGGTCAGTAATCTCGTCTTCTTTTTTAGAGACGACAGTTCGGAGGGAGCGCACTTCATCCTCAATCAGTGAAAAATTGTTTTGCAATTCAAAACTCTTCACTAAGAATGCTTGTTTAGATTGGATTGAATGGTCTATCATATCTTTTTGGCTCTTCGTCTCACTTTCCAAAAACACACATTCTTGTTGTGTTTGTTTCCCTTCTACGTTAATTTCCTTCGTGTCATCACAAAGGGACGTATTTGACTCCTTTTGTAGCTTAAGAAGAGCATCGCTAACTTTTGAATTGACATCTACCAAACAGTTTCTTTCAAAATTTGAGTTCTGCAGCTGTAACTTAAGCTTCTCGTTTTCCATTTCTTGATCTTCTAGTCTTCCACGTGTTTCATTTAACGATTTTGTTGTTTGTTTTGTTCGTGCTTTCTCTGCACCAACTTTCTGTCGAAGGTCGTTATTTTCCTTTACAAGGTTTTCTAAAGCACTCTTATGTTCAAATAATTCGCCCTTCAGTTTTTGTTGCGACATCCGAAATACGTTACGACCTTCTTCAAATTCGTTTTCTTTCATCTTCATAACACAATTAATATCTTTGTTTTCTGCCATAAGTTGTTGCTTTTCAGTCTTAATTTCGCAAAAATCTCTTGAAATTGCTTCAATTTTGGTCAACAAACTCTTTTTCTCTTCTTTTGCTGAAATTTCATCGAAGTGTTCAAGGTCCTCCTCCGAGAAATCTTTGTTTTCACGTTCACTGGCATAACACTTTCCCGCTTGTTTGTCCAATTCTGACTTTACTTCATCAATTACGCTTCTCATTTCTCTATTTGAAGTAGTTAACGATTCAATTTCCTCGTTTTTCATTTTTAAGAGTTTATCATTTTCAGCAGTGGAAACAGATAGCGACTTTTCCAGTTGATTAGCTTTATCTTTCCAGTTTCTCGATAGCGTCAGAAGGTCTGAAACCTTCGCCTTTTTTTCTTCCAAGCTACTTTCCAAATCCTTGCAAACTGTGTTTGCTTTCACTAATCTCCTCTCCGTTTCCTTATGTTCCCTGGATACATCTGAGCACTTGGTCTCCAATAATTGACAATCGTTGACATAATGTTCAATTTCCGAGTTTTGTTTTAATATTTTCTCTTTTAAAGTCTTTAAAGTTAGCGCCAGTTCTTCTTCATCTGATTTCATCTTCCATAGTTCGTTCTCTAAGCGTTCTTTGGTGTTGACTAGACAATGTTTATCGGCAGTAAGTTTCTCATGATTTCTTTGAAGTTTCACAATTTCATTGTTTTTGTCTTCGATTTTGCTGTTTGCTTCTAAAAGACGGTGCTTGAAATGATCTTTCGTGTTTTGAAGATGCTGAATTTCGCGAGAATTCCTTGAAAATTTATCAGCAAATTCTTTCCGTTCCTCTTCCAACGTTTGTTTCAGATGTTCTTCTGACTCAATCGCTCTCGCAACTTGTTTTCTGAGGGATTCATTATCCGTTTCGAGTCTCTCCGCCTGGATTTGAATTTCTGCAATTTTAAAATCTAAGTCCGCCAGTAAATTTGTGACGTTTTTCCTTCTGTCTTCAAGGTCTGCAATCTTTTCATCTTTCTTTTCAATGTCATTATGTAGTAACGAGGTCATTAATAGCGCATCTTCATATTTAATATTTATGTTCTCAAGTAACTCTTTTAAACTGGCAACTTCACCTGACTTTTCCTTCAGCATGAATTCAAGATTATTTATTTCCTTACTTAGATCATTTTTTTCTTTCTTAACTTCACCAATAGCAGTTTCAAAAGCTGCCGTTTTCTCTGTAAAGCCGAGCATTAATTTTAGAATCTGTTCTGCTCTTGCTTCACTTTTTTTGTTTGCTTCTTCGTAGAGGCTTGAAGCTACGAGCTTTTCATTTGCTGTTTTATTGAGCTCATCCTCCAGTGTTTCAATGCGTACTTTCATTGAATCGTCACTGATTCGCCAAGTTTCAATTTCCATTTGCAGCTTTTCGATATCCCGTTTCGCTTTCCACAACTCTTCGTCGACTTTTCTTTGCGAATTTTGCAAATCCTGAATCTGTTTCAAATGCTGTTCGCCCAATTCTTTTTCCGAAGATATCTGCAGCTGTAAATACTTTTCTCTTTCCATGAAAGAATCCATTTCTTTCTGTAGCTTGCTATTCATTTTCTGGTTTTCTTTCAGATGTTTCTCCAAGCGTTGGACATTCTTCTCCGAGTTGAGTAATTCACAATGTCGTTTTTCCTTCAAAAGGCAGGCTGTATCGCGGGCAAGTTCCAGTTCCTCGATATTTTGAGAAAGTGTTTGTAATTTCTCTCTTAACGAAGTTATTTCATCGTTGCGATGCTGTACTTCTTGTTCCATTTCTACATAACCATCGCTTAATTCGTCGATTTCGAAACGAAGCATTTTCTCCAACTCGCGTTGTTTCTCATTTCGATCATTAGCTTGAGCCAGTCGTTTATTCAGATTGGTAGTGTCTGTCTCCATTTTAAGAATTTCTAGTGATAATTTCTCTTTCTCTTCATTCCAGACGTTACTTTTTTCTCGCAATTCTTCTTGAAGAATGCTGTGCTCAGTTTGAAGAACACAAAAAACACCTTTTGCTTTTTTGTTTACTTCTTTCATTTGTTCAACTTCAGCTAATATATCTTCATTCTCGCTTTCAAGGTCGTCCACTTCTTCCCTGACATTTTTAAGACTATCCTGAATTTCGTTGTTTTTTTCTGTCAGTCGTTGAAGACTTTCTTCTTTCATCTTTACATCGTTTTGCAACTGGAATTTATCATTTTCTGCTTCTTGTGTTTTCAATTGCAAATCAGTTTTGACTCGATCACCTTCTTTCCTCAAATTCTCTATCACGTCATTGCACAAAGCAACCGATTCAGTCAAACGATTATTTTCCGACAGTAATTCTTCGTTTTCTTCACGTGCACGCTGTAATTCTTTTAAACCTTCGTCGCTCATTTGTGTAAGTTCCTCAACTGAGACAATAAGTCCGTCCTTGGACATGTTCAGCTTCTCTATCGTTTTCTTATAACCAGATATTTCTTCTTTGAGTGTATCTAAAAGCTTTCCCTTTTCCAAAAGTTCTTGGGATTTATTTGCTAGTTTCTCTTCGATTACTCGATTTCTTTGTTGTTCATTCTCAACCAATTGTTGCTTGCCTTCATGCTCTAGCTTAATTTGCTCAGCTTCTTTCGCTAACCTCTCCAGTCTGGCACAATTACTTAACAAATCATCATTCTTACACTGAAGTCTCTCTCTTTCTAGTTGAATATCACATATTTTTACTTCAGCATCCATTTTATCTTTATATGACGTTTCTAACTTCGTTTTTAACTCGTCAATCTCAGCTCGGTTGATATCCCTATTAGTTCGCAGCTGCGCCAGAGTATCATGAAGAACTTTGATTTCTTTCTCCATCCCAGATGCCTGATCTAACGCGGCAGAATTCTGTATAGAAAGAATCATATCTATATTCTCAGCGTGTTCTTGTAACCGATTATTTTCTTTTTTCAATGCATCAGTTTCCTTCACCAGGTAAACTAACTTTTCATCTTTCGTCTTTAGGTTTCTATCTTGCTGACATTTCTTTTCTTTAAGTGAGAACATTTCCTCCTCAAGAGTTCGTATTTTATTTTGTAAATTAACGTTACAATTTCTTGCTTTATCGTAATCATCTTGCAGCTTCTCTATCTTGTTCAACAGTTCATTGCGTTTGACTTCGAAGTTTTTAATGTTCTCGTGGTATTCATCTTTATCTCTCTGTGACATTTCCTTAAAATTGTCACACTGTTCTTTAAGTTTAGTGAGAACTTGTTGGGTTTTTTCTTGCTCAATCTTTACTTGATCACTGTATTTTACCTCATTTGCTTTTGTTTTTTGTAGTTCTTCTTCAAGTCTCGTCATGGCGCCCTTCCATTTAGCTTTATCACTTTGCTCGGTCTTCAGATGATCGTTCAAATCATTAAACTCTCTTTCTTTATTGCGCAATTCATTTCTGAGTTCGACCTGTTGATTATACAACGTGGATATCAAATCATTGAGGTTTTTCTTGCTTTCTTTATATTTTTTCAATACTTCATCCTTTCCGCTCAATTCTGCTTCCAGATTTATTCTTGTTTCTCTTTCATAGTCAATCTGTTCAACTACCTTTGCCAAATCAGAAATCTTTTTCCTCAACCGAATATTTTCACAATCTGCCTTCTTTAATAAGCCGTTGATTTTATCATTCTCTTCAATAGAATTTTCAATTTTTTCGTTTAGTTCTTGTATTCCATTCAGCAACCTTAGTTCCTTCTCTTCACATTTCTTTATCGTTGTTCGCCTTGCTGCTAATTCATTTTCAAGTAAGGTGTTTTGCCGCGATAAAGCATCATTCTTTTCGCTGAGGCATTTATCTAAAGATTCGACCATATCTTGAAGTTTATTTCTGTCTTGGATAATGCTGCTTTTCTTCTCTTTAAGTCGACAATTCTCATTAAGAAGTCGTTCTTTTTCCTCACTCAACTCGTCATTGTTGTCTTGAAGGATATTAATGTTGTTTTTCAGTTGTTTGGATTCCAGTGCTGATTCATGTATACGCACTTGTATGACATCGACGTGATCTTGAAGAATTTTATGCTCTTTCAGCATTTTCTCATTGTGTTCTTCCAAATCTTTTGCTTTCTCTTGAAGTGCATCAATATCATTTTTTAACTTGGTATTTTCACAATTAATTTCGGTGCATTTGTTTTGTAATGAAATATTTTCCCCAGCGATATCCTTTAACTTGAAAAGATTTTCCTCTATTCTTTGTTTCTCCCAGGAGAGCTTTCGTATTTCTATTTCTTGTTCAGAATTAGCGTCAGACAATTTATCAACTTCATCACGAAGCTCTTCTATTTTTCCTCTCAAGTTTTCCTCGTTAGATTTTAATCGTTTCACAACAAGTTTCAAAGTTCCCATTTCGTTTTCCAGGGTTGACTTCTCTTCTGCCAAATTTGAACTTTTCTCATTCAGATCTCTGTCTAAATCTGCTAGTTGAATTTGCAGCCTATTTCTTTCTTGCTTAATTTCACAACCGATCTTCTTCCAACGTTCAGCTTTCTCTCGACTGTACTTCAGCTGAGATTCTAAATTGTTTATTTCGTCTCTTTCATTATCAAGCTCTCGTACAACAGATTCGTGTTTCCTTTTTGCTTCTGATAACTTTTGTAAAACCTCCTTTTCACTATCTTTGTATTTCTCCATTTGTAATTTCATTGACTCCAGTTCCTTTTTTAGATTTGCTTGCGTCGACGAGTTTTTTTCTATCACGATCCGAGCAGACTCGCGCTCTCTCAGAAGTTTGTCTTTTTCCATTGTTAACAGATTTATTTCATCATTTCGAGTTCTCAATTCACCGTTGATTTCAGCATTAAGTTCTCTGAAGTGAGATAGCTCTTCCATCTGCTTTTCATACTGTGCGATAATCTTCATGTACATTTCATTTTTCTGACTAAGTTCCTTCAAGCATTCTTGGTACTGTAAAGTTACTTTCTCATATTTCACCTCCATGTCCTCATTCTCTTTTCGCAGCTTGGTTAATTCATTCCTGACATTCTTCAACTCGTTTGCACAAATTTCCTCCATTCCGAGCAGTTCTTCAACATGATTCCGAAGCTCTTGCTCTTTCTGTTCATGTGACAGGATAACTTTTGACTTTTCGTTCATACTTCGTTCCAAATCTTCAAGCTTTTCCGTCTTAGTTTGACAGACACCATGCATGCTTTCGATATCTTTAGACAGCGTATCTATGTTCGCTTTCATACCCGTATTCAACTCTTCAAGTTTTTCAACCTCCAACACAAGTTGTTGTTTCATTACAAGAACTGAATCTAGTTCTTGTTTAGTTTCTTGGAGGTATTTTTTCTGTTGTTGAATATTAGCCTTTAAATCATGGATGATTTGGTCCAAAGCCTTAACGTCTTCTTCCAATCTCTCCCTCGCTTTAGTCTCACTTTCCAAAATCTCTTCCGTTCTCTCAAGATGCTCATCGCTTTGTTCATTCTTGAGTTCAAGTTCTTTTATAGCTTTTTCCAAAGCACTCACGTCTTCTTGTAATGTTTCTTTCTCGATTGTTCTATTCGCAAGATTTTCCTCAGCTTTCTCTAGCCGTTGATGCGATTCAGATAGTTCGTGTTCCAGCTTTCTTTTCAAAGTTTCAACGTTTTTAATTTCAGCTCGAACAAGACTCATTTTACTTTCTAAAGCATGGTTCTGATCGGTAACTAACATGACTTCCTTCTTCAGCTTTTCCACATCCGTTCGTAATTCCAAATCTTGTTTCTTCATGTTTCGTACTTGCGTTTCTGTATCATTTTTGTCTTGCCTCAATTCCACATTACATTCTTTCAGTTGATCATATTTCTTCTGATTTTCTGTACTTTCCATTTGTAAACATTGTATACGATCATTTAGCTTTTCTTGTTCTTTCTTTGCTCTACTTATTTCTTCACTCATTTGGAGCTGACTCACTCGAAGCTGATTGTTTTCCGTTTCAAGACGTTTGCTTTCCTCGCTAATCACTTTCACGTTCTCTTTGCAACTGCTAATGTTCTCTTCAAGAATCTTGTTTTTTGACCTTTGATTCCTCAAATTTTCATTAGCTGTGAAAAGTTGTTTCTCTAATTCTTTGATGAACAATTTAGCTTCGTGGTGTAAATTTGAAAGATTCGAAACTTCTTCGTCTTTTTTCTGAACTGACCTCTTCAATTCTGCAACGATGTCTTTCTCTGCATCCATTTCTGTTTTCATTTTCCCTAACTCCTTTCTGGTGTTTTCCAATTCATCTTTTAATCTTTTGGTTTCAGTTTCGACAGCAGTGAGAGTTTTATCTTTGCTCTTCATTTCATATTCAAACTTTTCTTGTTGAATCCCAAACATACGGGCAAGTCCATCTGTTTCGTGTTCAAAATCATTAATCTTGTCGTTAAGATATTTCTTTTCCTCCTCCAGTAATTTTAGCTGATTTTGCAAAATTTCAATATTCCTGATGTTTTCATCTTGTTTCACAAGTTGTTCTAGAGCATCTTTTTCTGTGAAAACAAATATAAAATGGTCGTAAGGAATTTTTTTCATACAAACTTGCAATCCCGTTCTTCGTTGGCTTGCAAATGTTATGTGACAGTGTTGCACGTCAGCACAAAATGCTACAATCCATGTTTTTAATTATTTCTTAAATATGGGACATGTCGCAGTGCTCGGAAGCTTTCGTCCAATTGGATAATGCTTTTCTATGTTTTCTAAAGAAAGAAGCTACGCTATTGGTTGAAAGAGAAATGTATTGTAAAGTTCAGCCAATGAAAATCATTCTTGCGAGGAGCTGCGACACTACCCTTAAATATGACTGTTCAAGGTTTTGGTTTTAATAAATTAGAGAAAGCCTGCCGGGTTTATAGCTACAGCAAAAAAGAACTTGGAAATTCATCCCTGCACCTTTGAAATTTGTCACTTATATTTATAAATATATTATATCATATATTATATAATATATTATCATCATATATTATTATCGTATAATAGAAAATATTACAATATCTCGCTAGTACATCTTGCTGACGAATGTTATTCGCGCACGTATGTCGAAACTGAAGTTTCATAAACATCTGCGTGTTTATCAATTTTACATTATTCAATTAAATACACATCAATACATCCTATTAACATTTTTTTTGCTTCAGTGTATCGGCAAATATTAGTTTGGTAGCTGCATTCTAAGATGTAGGGCTATACGATGTTGACGATCACACCTAAAATACTGCATGTATATGTATTGTAGATCATGCCGTTATAGAAGTAGCAATATTAGTCATAGACAGCATGTAACGAGTATTCGCGACAAATTTAATTAACTGTAATGCGACTAATGCTAACTGGATACAAGTCAAGTAACTGCAAAGGTTCTAAAGAAGACAATGCTTTGAAATAATTCAAATTATGTACAGGGAGTATTTACGGAGGATTTTTTATATGAGCTACAGTCTTAACGTGATAAATAATTGAAGAAAATAACGCCTATATTTTTCGTTTTCACTCTAAACACATGATAGGAAAAGCTTCAATATTCATAAATCATTTGATTACTTCGTAGATGAAAAAACTTGAGTTTCCCGGAATGCCGCTATTCTGGGGCGTTATTTTTGACGAATGCTGTATGAAGTCATTTTACTCGTTCAATCTCGAGAAAAAAACAGTAACAACGAGTACAACTCGTAACAGTAACAACTCGTAACAACGAGTGAATTCAATCTATGCAGTTGTGATCAATTCGATGCAGCAGTTGTTGAGACCTGGGATTATTATTAAGTGCAGTCGTTTTGCACAAAGACTAGGTTAAATTACCCATGTTTATATCATTCATTACTAAACCATTATTCAAGGAACGACTCACGAGGTAGACTGCGAGTCAAACATCTATAAATTTCCCGTGGCGAATATTGGAATTTAGAGCATTCCGCCTTCAATTTTCTGCATGCATTAGGGAGACATTTTGGTCCATTATCATGCAAGTAACCAATTGCGAGCCACTGGCTGCACACATGCTTTATGTATCCAGTACAATTGGCAGCTTTCAGACATACTGTCTCACAATAATTTCGGCAGCTGGCTGACGTCTGAAGCATTAAAATTGACTTCTATTTGCTATCAGGAAGAAAGCGTAGACGTCATAGGCATCAATCACACTTTTAAAGTCAATAAAGATTATCAATTATTCTAAGGTTTGCCTTTTAAATTTCGAGCAACCATGCAACTTACTGTCTATAGAATGATGCAATTCTGGTTAATTCAGTTAGAATGTACCTTAATTTACCCTTTCAAAAAGATTGCCCGCATTACCCACTTGCAAAGTTCCGCTTGCCCTGTATTTAATGATGTTTATTAATCCTGGAGACAATGTTATTGACAGAATCAGCGCCTGTGTTTATCAAAAAACATGATACAGTACATTTTTTAGTAGAGAAAAGAGGATTCAAAGATGCAAGTCATGGTCCAAATAATATCCGTTAACAAAAATCCCTCGATGTAATATTCATGTTTCGCCTCATAATACATGCATGCACACACTCAAAACTTAGACATCGTGAATATTGCAACAAGCGGGAACGTCACTCTGACTGCATCAATAATAATAGTCTCTATTGCTGTAATTAAGATTACGTGGGACGTTGCATATGCCGACGAACTATAAAACAGAACACAAACAACCACACGACTATTTTTTGTGCACACATACAGAGATTGGAACTCTCCGTTATAAGAAACCAAATTTCAAACTTTCGAGTTTCAATGGGGGAAATTATACAGGATCATCGTCAGAAAAGCTCAATTTCGAAGTGGAAAAGGGTAGTGAGAGATTACCTACGTTTTCGGATGATGAACAAAATATTTTCACAGAAAGCACAAGATGAATTCATCGCCAAAGAGCCTGAAGTTCGTGCCCCAGAAAGGGATCATGCAGATGAACAGAGTTCTCAGCACAGAACTCAAGAAAACCTTAAACCGCCTCGAAAACACGTTAAAGAATTCCGTCGTGATGAGAAGGCTAATCATGACAAAAAGACACTTCACATTAGCATGCAGTCTCCTGAGAGTAACAGAAGAAACGCAATTTGCGAAGCAATTGAAAAACAATGTCAATGTATTGATCATGTTTCTAACAAAGAAGTAAATCTTTACCAGAAAAGAGATTGCTTGAGGGTTGAATACGTGTTACGAGAAGTTTGTTTACTATGACTCTAAGAGGCAGAACTTGCACCTGCTGCAATTATTGTGGTCGCAGATCTCTGCATTAGTTTAAAAAAATACTAATAAACGAACATTCTATACTTAAACATATACAGTGTAGCGAAAAAATACATTTATATACGTTGAAATTCATGATCGTGTACAGACGCAGAGAAATATATGAACATAAGAAATGTAAGCTAAGAGAATATTTGTTCGATATATATAGGCAATTCAATGACTATATAGGCTATGTAGTATATATGTACGTGGCTAATTAAATCAGTTCAAATGTTTTTGTTTGCTATATTAACTGTAACGATACATGCACATAAAACATGCATATAGTGCATTTGTAGTACAATATCCGATATGATAAAAGTATGGTTAGCACATACATTACCCATTCCAAGTATGATATTATAAAAATGTACATTTATAGCTAATTTAATGATTTTGATGTAAACATAAAGATTTACCTTGCACGAGGTTTCGTAATCTCTTTTCAACATTCTTTGCTTCATTTTCCAGGTCTTTGACACGATTTTCTTGCGTTAGAAGATTCCTTTTCAAATCATCAATAATTTTATCCTTCTCAGTGAAAAGATGTTTACATGAGCCACAAATAGCATGATCCAGGACACGGCTCCCCGAACCATCCATTATAACAATCGATGAATAGCTGTGATGATTTGGCCTCTACACACCCGTGAGGGATTTAAATCCCCATGGTGAAACAATTCACTCACAAAAAGTTCTTATATAGCCACAATTACCTCCGCTAAACGATCTTTTAATACTTTGCTTCCTTTACATCAAAAAAGGTAAAGTTTCATAACTATTCACGAATTTCATCTTACCCAATGGCATAGTAACTGTATATATATTACACAAACAATAAGTAAATGGTGTAGTAACCGCGTCGAACTTAAAATCGTTTACTTTGTTGTCATTGGTAACGGTGTTAATGGTTTTCTCAAATAAGGCTTTTCTAATCCATTCGTTATCAAAATCAATTATATTAGTTGAAAGTACGGCATACAAATCCCAGTCATTAATTCCGCTTTGTTCGTTGAGATTAAAGCAAATGAAAAAAGCTTGCTGTACAAATAAACATGCATGGGTTCGACCGAGTTCTAAATGACATATACACAATAATCTTGAAACGAAATGTTTACAACTATACATTTTCTGTTTGCTTGTGCTTGTGGTGGATTGTTCCTAAGACTTTGTGAATGGATGACGAGATTACAAAATATGAATTTTACGAGATTACAAAATCAGGCTAATATACTTTGTTTCATCACAAAACGATAAATAAAAAAAGATCAAAAAGAACGCGTTCATCTATATATGCATAATTACTGCTTTTATTTGAAATTGTCTTTTATATGTGGAAATTGAGATGTGAATGTTGCTTTTCTGAATAAATGCTATCAATCATGCATTCACATATTTGAATAATATAATTATAATTTATTTTTATTATTGCTAAAGGTAGTGTTATTCACATTCGTGAAGTGCAATAAACACAAGTTTAATAGTTGCCAAATTTACATATTTCAAAAGTAGGTCTCACATGTATTGCAAGTTGCAAATTTTACTGTGTAACATGGCCATAAAACAGTCCTTTCTTTGCTCCCCTATCGCCGTTGATTTAGGGGAAAACCGAGGAATTTCAAAATCGTTTTTGTCTCTGCAGTCTCGTTTACGGTTTTGAAACTCTGTTCACATATTCCATGGGATATATAAAATGCTTAATATATTAAATTTACCCCAACTTCTATCGTAAATTGAAAATGTCTGCAAAAATGCTGGTTTTAAGTTGGCTTGGGAATATGTAACTCTCTATACATCCCTCAAAGCTTCTGTGACATCACAGCTAGTTATGAAACATTGTTTATATACTGTATGTATATATAATAACACTGTGCAATATCAACTTTGACTCTCATACACTGCAATGTGATTAAGGGAAGCACAGCACATGCACAGCACATGCACAGCACATGCACACCTCTATCTTTATACACAAGAGAGCTCTTTCTTGCAACACAAGACAAGTTCAAGAGAGCCATCATTTTCTTTTTCCCGATGCAAGCACGATATGATTAGGAAAATCACTAGGCAATGGTACTTGGAGTGTAGCACGTTTAAAACCTGCTGAACTATCTTCTTCTAACTTACGTTTTCTCATTCCTTGATTTGATTCAATAATACATCCAACTGACTTAGCAAAATTACAAAATCTAAAAAAAGACAGTTAAACTGATATCATGCTGGGGCCAGTTGTATAAAAAACTAGTTAACTTTAACTTTAACTGTAGTTAAGGACAGAATTGGCCATTGTATTTCTGACTATGCCAAATGTAGTTAAAGAGTTTTACACAACCGGCCCCAGGCCGAACACGAAGCCTGAAGGTAACTGCATGCATTTGTTATTTACGCAGTGTCATGTAGGTACTGTGCCGTGCATGTTTCAAAATGTCACGGACTGTCATTTATGAACAGTTTTCATTCTTTGAATACTTGTTATTATATACGTAGCTTATTATATTTTTATAACAGCCACATATACCTGTGTCGGCACTACTGTGATTGTCTATACAGTATATCGGCATTAAAATATTTATTATAGCACCATTATACTTACCGCTGTAGCGCCATTTTTAAATCTTTACACAATACCATACAGTCTATTGTATAACCATCGATGATCAACGCAAGAACAATCATGTAACAAACGAGTTTATCTTTTAGACGTTTTGGAATGCACCTATTTTGAATACAAATTACAAAAATTTAAGAAAGCTAAAATATTTTGAAAAATGCAAGAGAATCTAAACTTTTACAAACCTGGTGTTTTTTTGTTGCAAAGAAAAACTGGAAAAAATTTTATCTTTAATCCTAGTCGGTAAATCTGGCATGGGATCTGAAAATATGAACGATGAACGTGCGCCTTTTTCAAAATCTCACTCAAATTTAACCTCCTTGAGTGAGGGACAACTGAACACCTCACTATTCTGACGGTATTTTCACTGGAATGAGAGGTTGGTTTTTGATGTTCTACCCTAGACGATAACATTTGAGAAGACTCTCACATGCATTGATCATGCAGCAAGAAAACAATCTCTTTGTCATAACCACCAAGTGCATGTATGTGAGAATACAAGCACTAAGGCTGATATAAAATTTTAATAAGAAAAACATTTTTTTATTAGACCTCTCCAGTGAGTACGCCAATTCAGAACCATTTTTAATTAAATCAATTTCAAGTTTTACTCTCACGAACCACGCGCGATGATCTTAGTCCGGAGGCCTCGTTTTCGTGTTTTCACATTTCACTTTTTTTTTACAAAACTAAAATTATTTTTATAAAATTTATTTGAGGTGGTGCTAAGTTGAAAACAGCGAAGTTTTGGCGTGTAATAATTACCAGAGAGGGTTCATATAGTGAAGTTTGAAACTTCACACATGCACGTGTATAACATAAAACCTATTATAAGAAAACAAATGTGAGCAAATGTAACATACCTTTGACTTTGAGTAATTTATAAGTAAGTTGATAACATTTCAGAAGATATGAGAAGTAAAGTAAACACGAGGCTTTGTGAATTCTGTCATTTTCATTGAGAGGTAAAACGTCTAGATGATCCAGGATATATTGACAATATCTGCAATGTTAGAATGAAATCTATAAAATACAGTCCGCTGTCATATGCATGGTTTCACTATCTAGATTGACACTGTATATAACAAGAATGTGGTTAACAGTGTTTAATAATAAACTGATTGTTATATGACCTATATATAAACTGTAGTCGCAGGCAAGCAGCCCCCCTTCCCCTTCCCCCTTCCCCCTCCCCCTTCCCCCTCTTTCTCCAGCAAACCTTTTCCTGATAACAACACAAGCTATGTAATGTTGAAGCTTGGTAGGTGCAACTGCAGTAAATTCACGCCTGATAACAATACTGTCCAAGGCAAGGTAAGGCAAGGCAGGTGTATGCAGGTGCATGATTCACTTCATTTCCATCGATATCTAGTATAACGATCGAATCATACCTGCTTTCTCTTCGCCATGTCTCTTTGTTAGTTTTCAGTTGAGAGAGCATTTCGATTGCGGGCGACTTTAAAGCATCAAGATCGTCTTTACTTAATACTGATGCGGTGTTAAGATTTCAAACAATTATATTCAATTCATTATATTTCAATTCTTATAGACTGTAGTAAATTTAACATAATGCTTGCAAAATCAAATGCCAAATAGGGCTGACTTGGCATTTGGCTTTTGCTGGCCCGCTTGATGTTTTCATATGAGCCCGTTATAGGCGAGATCTCGCTTCGTTCAGGCGGGATCTCGCCTGATACGGGCTGGCCTGTCTCATAAATGAGCCGACCATAAACCAGGAAAGTTATGAACAATGCAACTCAGGCTCTCCTGCTGGAATCGAACCTACGTCCTCTCTTCGCTTCTGCAGCAGTGCTCTAACCACAAAACTACAGAGAACGTTACTTTACAAATTAAAGCATGTGATAGGATATAAAGTATTGAAAAAAACCCGGTTATTAAAGTTTTTAATTAATTATACCTTTTGTTACTCCTTTTGAAACTAGTCGAAATTTTGTGATTATATTTAGTTATAACAACTATAGCTCTGACATAAATTTTTGAAACCGAAATAAGGTATATTTCAAGAGATATTTAGCAGTTTTAGAAAAAAATTTCTATTCAGATCACTTGGTTTACAAAACATTAATTTGCACTTTCAGCTTTTTCTTAAAAGCGACGTTCTCTAATATTTACGTAGCAGTATTAGAGCACTGGTCTGCAATCGAAGCTAGGTTTAGGCTAAGTTGCATCTCCAGGCCCAGATCCTTAATCGTAATTTTATATGCTTCGTTTTCCTAAAACCGTAAAAAGCACAAGGGTAGCGAAATACCCAACCGAACCCTGATTCATAATGTCACTTTCAAACAATGAAAATAGAAAAAATAATGAATCACAAATTCTTTGAAAGGATACAACTAGATATTGGGTAAATTTCTGCTGCTGTCTGACCGTCCTTTTTATATCTTGGTAGCATATCAGATTCCCCGAAGTTGGAAGAAGCTAAAATATAAGTAATGTTTGCCAACTTTGTCCATCAATATTTTCGTTGTTACAGATGACATTGTGTAGAAAGGAAAACCAACTGCACAAACTGAAGAATGTTTGTCTTCTAGGGGAATCAAGCTCACTTCAAAAATGCTTGACCTTGGCTGTGTAGATCACACATTTAATTTCCTTTTTAATTAATCAAGCATTATTCAGCCAGCACAATCAATCCCCCCATGAAAAGTGTGAACACAGAATACAACATTACAGCATCCAAAAACACAAAAAGGTTAGAACTTTACCTTCTTCACCATTCTGTTCGGGTTGACCTATCATGTGACTAACAGCCCCAGACACAGAGTGCCCAAGTTCTTGAGAGTCAATCACATTTTGTAACCTTGATTTCATTGCTCTCTTCCTTCTTGTGCTACCAAATGCTTCAACCAATCGATCATTCTACAAAATCACATGTTGTTACCATTTTTTTGACAACAATGTTGACAATCGATACAATCATGAACTATTTGATGGATCAACACTAGTTTTAGCACATCACCATAATACGGTACCTTCTCCATAAAAGAGAGGTCAGAAGGAGCTTCTTTTGCATCTATTTCATCAGCTAGAAGTAATAATAAACCCAATAAACATGTCTACAATAATATGTTAAGTGAAGTGGCTTGCATGATGAAAAGCATTAGCATTCCTTATTATTCTATATTCAGTGTAAACACACTTGAAATCTTTGGTTGCATTCTGAATGTTGTTGTATCATAAACATCCATGGTACCAGATTTCTTATTGTAAACACCAACAAGATATCTAAAACAAGTGAAGTATAAATACAAAACATGAAGCCTTCCTTAATTACTAAATGTATAACTGATATTGATATATAGGTAGACTGACTTGCACAATGAGTTAGATCTTGCTGTCATTCCAAAGTTATTGCCATAATACTTCATCTTGTCTGTCTTTGCTACCTAAAAGTTTTAAAAAAATAATTAGAAAGTTTTGTTCATGAAAATCTTACATACATTATGGCATTGAGGTCTCTTTAAATTAACTTCATTTTGTACATACCAATGTCTTTCTAAATTTCTTCCTTATATCTTCAGTATTTGTACTTTTATAAAGTGTAAAACTGAGTTGACCATTGCTTTTTGTACTTATATCACCATTTGTAAACTGAACTACATAGAATAAAAATATCCAGTGTCAAGATTCAGAAACATCAAACCCTTGACAGGCCACACAGTGAAGGAAAATGGTACTCTGCCACCAGGATATAATGAGATACATGTAGTTGGGGAGCAGTGCATTAAGGGGTTCCTAATAACTGATGAATTTTGTAGTTCAATTTCTTGAATATAAGGATCTACAGCCTATAGAATACTCCAAAATGGCTAGTTATCACTTAAATAGTAGCTTCAGATCTTTATGAGATGATAGTTTATGAGGATTGAAGGCCCATTGTTGGTTCTTTTATTAGTATATGAGCAACCATAGCTCTGAATCTAACAGCAGGAAATTTATTGTTATTGTCTGGGTTTGCTCATATAATATCAAACGAGAACCTTGAGAACCTATAATATCAAACGAGAACCTAAATATATATGTCCATTTACTTGAAACTATACATACCTAGTAGAGGATTGACAGACACTTCTTCTTCTTTTACTACATTAAGAACGGCAGTCATCTTCGAGATGAAACTGATATTAGATTTTATCAGATCACCACACGTTCCCAAACATGTACCATGTGCAATGTTTTATATGGTGGAAAACTACAATTATCAATTTATCAATATCCTTACAGTTTACATGAAGTCTTCTCGCATTATTGCAGGCTCATATTAATAGCGATAATTATTAAAATTATTATTCGATCACCAAAACAAAGTTTTTTTTATTAAAAGAATTCTTCTGGAAAGAAATTGAAATACTTAAATCAGTTATGTCAAGAATGTAAAACGTTTACACGGAAAACGACCTTTTAGAAATGGTCTTGCTGTATCTGGGTAATCGTATTATTTATATATTGACCTGTCAAGTCACTATGATTTCCTGAAGTATGAAGTATGCATGATGGCTACCAGTGATGGCAGTGATGTATTTAGCGTGTCTCCTGCTACTTATAAGGAAGAGGATTTTATTGAGTTGAAAGAAAGAATGCAGGTATTTTTGTATCGTGTCCTTTGTACAATTATAGAATACCAGGCCAATAGTCCATTATGTTTACATAATAGATCTGTTGGAGGACTGCCCCGTTATTTGACTGATTTCAAATAGAATTTATTCTAAGTTGTTCTCAAGCCCAATTCATGGATTAAGTAACATAAGACAAGGTACATGTATCTAGAAGACTATATGACATTCACTGTTAAGAGGGGGGTTGCCCAGGTACTCTATAATTGATCCGACTCAACTACACTTCCTAACCTGCTCAAACATACTCTGATTTTTGGATTACTTGTTATAGTTGCTACAATCCCAAGAGTTGTGGTCATTACAATCCCTAAAAGTTACTCCCCTATTTATATATATATTTATATATATTTATTGCAAATCACTGTGTAAGCTGGACCAGGAATTAGTTAATTTGCACATTCTACTACATAAGGAAGCAATGTATATTGAAGTATATTAAATGATAACTTTACTTTTGCCTGTCTGCGTTCATATAGATCTTTCTTCAAACGAATGACAAATATTTATCTTAATGTTTTTCTAGTTACTGTTTAATGCAGATCCTAGCCAGGTTTGTGACATAGTGTTCTTAATATGATTATACGCAAGTAAATAAACACTTATGCATTTAAACAAATTGACTAATTAATTTGCTGATAGTTGTCATGACTTGATATATACTTGAAGAATGAGTTTGTAATCACATGATTGTTTAACTAGATAAATTATCAATTTCACACACAAAGAATTGTACATACAATGCTACATCAAAACAATTGTTTGATATTTATTATTCTGTATAAATATTGGTTTTTCGTATTGAATAACAATTTTCTGTTTCATGTAGCTTCAAACAGATGCCTGTCTTAAACGATTTTTAAAAGCATTTTTGACAGTTGAAGATGCTTTTGAAGGTCTTGTGAAATATGTAAAATGGCGTAAAGAATATGGTGTAGAGACCTTGAATTCCACTCATCCTGATATCCAAAGTGAATTATCAACTGGAAAAGTTTTGCTACCAGGCTTCATGGATAAGGCTGGAAGGTATCTCTATTCAGATTAGCCAGAAGAATATTAGGAGAAATTATTTCATAATTATTATTATTTTATTTTTTTACTAACAAATGTTGTTTTATCCAGACCAACTGTTCTGGCTTATGCCAGACTTCATGACGCATCCACACGGGATTTAGACCAATTAACGAGATTTACAGTTTATATAATTGTGAGTAAATAAACTTTCCTCTTTGTGTTAGACCTAAATGTTCTGTATTGATGCTGTAATGAATGCACAATGTGGTATAGAGTGCACAGGGGCCCATACATCACCTGACAAACAGATGCAGCATTGAGCTTCAAGAAGCACAAACTGTATGAGAAATGTGTGGTGAAAAATCCTGTAATCATGGACAAAAGCTACAGTATGTGTTGAAGTTCAACTGCTGTTGTTTTGCAAATACAGGCTAGAATGCATAATTAAAAGATGCCCCCTTGCACTTGCCTTCGCATTGTTTAGTCTTTAGGTGCCTCTGTTGACAGACACAGTACTTTATTTTTTGTCTTCAATGTACACCAATACGTGTTACATAATCTAATACATAATCTAACCTAATACATATTCTACTATTATCAGGAAACTGCAACAGCCAAATGTGACGAGAGTGTAATTGATAACATTTGTTTCCTATTTGACTTGAAGGTAATAAAGTAAATTATGTAGAACATTGTATTACAGTTCAGACCTTCCGTTGACGGTTGACCATTTCGTTTGGTGCTGTCTAACATTTTCACAGAGTTTCATAAATAAAGTTTCATAAATATAACTACATGTTCCTGACATGTTATTTTGTATAGGAATTTAGCTTAAACAATATGGATTATGGCTTTGTGAAACAACTAATCTGGTTACTTTCACGACGCTATCCCGAAAGACTAGGAAAGTGCTTGATACTTAATGCACCATTTATTTTCTCGGGGTGTTGGCTTGTCATTAAATTATGGTACGTGTGCCGATGTTCTAAAACTTTAAACCAATGAGACTAGCTGTCCTTTGCATACTAAATTAGAAGAAATAATTTATCATCATATCATGAAAGAGTCGTGAAAAGGCTATATACTGTCTTTCAATCAAATCCAATATCGTGCTACATTAAAAAGAAGCTTTATTGTTTTCGTTTAACAGGTTAAACGAGGTGACAAGATCAAAAATAATATTTATTAGGGATAAGAACCATCTTGAAGAATACATTGATCAAGAATACATCCCATCGTCTCTGTTCTCGTGACAAAATTGCACGGAGCGTAATTATACTTTTAATTAAATATTTTATTTAAAATAGTCCTATTTATTAATATTCTAGCTGTCAAAACAGTTTATAGGTATATTTATTACTCTAACGTATTTATGCTTGTGAAAGTATATGAGAAATAAATTTTTGTAATTCAGTAATTGTAATTTACGATGGGAGAACTGGTTTTGATTTCCGTGTTTCCTTTGATGTTTATTAGAAAAAATAACACAATTCGCTTCTGCTAAAAACCCAGCGTGATCACACCTGCGACACCTAAGGCTTGCAAACAGCCCACTTGGCTTGCTGGACGTAATAGCAGAAAAAGTATATTGGGCTGAATAGGCTCTTGGAATGATCACAACAATATTCCGATCGACTGATCGTTATTTCTCCTAAAAAACCTCCGTTATTTAACGTTGTGACGAGTTTGTCACAACTCGTTGTCCAAATGTTTAAGATATATCTGCAGGATATACTCAAATCTGACATGACTACATGAGTGTGATTCATTGACATTGTAATAAGCGTGTTTAAAAATTTAGTCCAAAGGCAAAGGCAAAGCTTTGTCGACTTTGTGGAAAAAAACACAGCGTAATCCCCTTAAAACATATAATTTACATCGGATATACATAAATACTTTACAACTTCAATTTAAAAATTAAAATCGGTACATGGATGGCGTCCCTTAGGCTAAGAAACATCTTGAGAATATAGTTTCAGCGAAGTTTGTCAGTTCAGTTAAATTAAAGAAATTAAATGGAGTAGATTGTTTCTCGGGGAAATATGACATGCAACAAAAAATATCAATTTGATATTCACAAAGGCCCGCTTTACACTATAAATATTTTACTTTTAATCCATATTTGGTCTATATTAAAGTAATTTCATTTCGTAAAATACGTATAGTGGAAATCGGGCTATAATTAGACATAGATATCCTCCGATTTTGGTTCACGCCATTTTGTTTGGTACCTTGGATGTTAACTTTTTTATAAACAATCTTCTGCATTGACGTTTAACGACTTACGTGAAGCTTAAACCGGTATCCCCCCCCCAATCACTAATGGTCGTAAACCGAAATCAAGCATATCTTAATCTCCAGCTCCCAAACATAATATCTATATCTTTAGGATGGAAACGTCAAACACGACATTGACGCATCACACCATTTAAGGCTGTTTTCCACTTATGCGTTTTTCATACGCACGAACACGCACGTTAAAGTCTAAATCCTTATACATGTTACCTTTGAAAAAACTAAGTGAATAAATCGAAGGAACTTAGTTTTCTGCATATTTTAGTATGCGATTAGTTGACCTAGATGTTAAATAATAAAAATTTAAAAGGATTTAAAATTTTCCGTACGTGTACGTGTGTATAAAAAACGCGTAAGTGGAAAGCAGCCTTTTTTCGCAATTTTAACTTTGTCTTTGACGTTCCCGTCCTTTTACCCAACCTAAATGCACGGGTGGCATGAACAAAAATTAAGTTTGTGTTATAGAGGATTCCAAGGACAGCGATCAATGCAATGTTTTTAACCTTTTATAACTAATTTTGTTGTGGATTTACGTCCATGAGGCCGACGCAACTTCACATAACTGAAAAACGTTTGGATAAAAACTTATTGTAATAATAAAGTGCATGCGTAAGTGTTTACAAGGAAATTTTCTAAGATGGTCGAGGAAGAGGATTTAAAAGAATTGAAAACTGGCAAATTTTTGTCATTGCTTCAAAAATTTCTCCTAACTGCACAAACTTAATTTTGATTCTTGCCATCAACATTCAAATTATTTATCAGTTCCATACAATGTTATGCTCCAGTTGAGGAGAAAACCAGCAGGAGTACTCTTCCGGGATGACATATTATCTGCATTGAAATCTTCAGTAAATTTCCACGGATTACGTTTCTCATCAACAGGTATTTCATCCCTCATGTATTCTTCCTTGTAACGACCATGGTGGACCTCGTCATGCATGAAGTCATACGCTCCAGGGATAAAATCTCTCGCACGGTTGGCTTTCTTTTCATCTAATATTTTACGGTAACGATCTTCATTATCTTGTGTCCGCTGGTCAGCTGAGTTGTGGCCTTGATCTCGTATGTACAGGGTCCACTCTCCGACCGGATTTTCACCCCACAAATGGACAGTCATGAAAGCCCAGTCTTTGAGGCCCTTTTTGGAGGAATCATATTTCCTTGGCGACAAAAGATTGCTGGATGTACCACTGGGAGAAACCACCGTAATATTCAGATCACCACGGTAACGATGACGTAATGTAACGGTAATATCGACATGCTCAACCTTTTTGATTTCGTTGTCTTGTCCTCGACACCCGGTTGTTGTGAGATGAACCACAGCTTCACCACGATGAGGAATTGGAACATTCTTTTGTTTACCAAGTACTTTACAGATATGTTGTGGTCGTACATTCTTCCATTTTAGACCTGCTTGAACCATTGCAAGTGCATCCATTCTTCCAAACCCGAACTTGTGGTTAAATTCATAGCCGGCGCCATTCTTTTTCCATCCCTCGTCCATAGGACTTGTTTTCTTGGCGGTGTTCACGACAATATGTTGTACATCACGCCAGGTGAGATTCGGATTGGCTTGAAGAAGTAAAGCAATAATTCCCGCGGCAAGTGGAGCGGCTGAAGATGTTCCCCTGAACGTACTCTCGCAATTATGATGAAGACCAGTTGTGATGAGTTTATCTCCGGTAAAGATCGATCCACGATGGCTGTCAGCTGTAAATACTACAGCAATAGTGGATGCACATTTTTCATCATAGTAGGTCGATAAACCATGATCACTGATAGCACCAATAGACAGGCTATATATACTGGTCGTGTAACCATCACAGTCGCAATCATCTCCAACTAGACCACCATTACCAGTGGCCCACACGTAGATATTCCCTTTTCCTTGAAATTACGAGAAAATAAATTCTATTAATGATGAGATCTTTTTTTAACATATGCCGCAGAATATTGGGGATATTAGGCCCGTTTCAGACGTCGAACTTTTAACATTTGGTTCGGCACATGATAAGTTTGACGTCTCAAACACAGGCCTTAGACACAATAGACGGCATATATATTAACATAACAAATATATGTAATTTTTACATAATATATGTTTCATAAGTAGAATTAAATATGTCTCGGTAGTTTTTTGAAGGAAGGTTACGTAGGAAATGTAGAAAAGTTTTTCTTGGAGAATTGCAACAGCAAACGGCCAAAATAGTTTTAATTGAGACAATCTTCATATAAACTTCTGTTTCTTTTAAAAAATTTTTCCCTGCTCTTATTAATGAAACGTAAATTAAGCACGCTAGATGATAAAGCCCGCTTCAAAACATCCCGCAGTTTCTATGAGAAAAAGATCTCCTCCACAGGCAAACAATTTAAACAAAATAATATAAACGAAACCTATTTTGTCTTGGTAACACCCACACGTTTCATTAAAATTCATTAGTACGGAATTAAATTCAACAACTTTAATTAGAAAAGTTTAATAAAACCCCAAACAACATGGAAATCACATCTAAGCTGAAGTGTAAAACTCAATGAGATAATTACATTCAGAATTATTTATATTTTTTCTTCACGTAAACGTAACTAAGTTCGAAACTATAAAGGGGCTCAACCACAAATTTGTTTTCCGATGTAGAGATCATTTTAGACAAATTGTATGTTGAAGCAGTGTTATGATGAAGATATAAAGAAATTCTGCACAAATCATTTTTCTTAATATATATCATTGAGTTGAGAACGCAGGCAGAAGCCAGATTAATCCAACAACTCTTAGTTGAACTGTATATTTTAGTATGTGTATTGTCTTTGTTATGGGTTTCAGCACCCAAGAGAGGTGTAATTTACAGGTTACTCAATGATATACTCTCTTATATATTTACACGTTCGTATCGTCAATCGGTAAAGACCACCCACCTTGACGGCCATGAGTTGCTCCCTTTACAAAAGCCTCTTTCGCCAGTTTTCCAGGCCGACCGAATGTTTTTCCATCATCTTTGGGTCCCCAGGAGCATGAATAGATATCAATGTAATCATTTCTAAAGCCTAACGATTTGGCCTCCAATGCATCCGTTGCCTTGCCGTCCAACATTCTTACAGCACCGATACTTGCCTCATATGCCACGCCTACCCCACAAACACTGTTGTTTGCGACTGCAGCGATTTCTCCAGAACATTTCGTACCATGGGCATTGTAGGGATCACTATCTCGGGGAAATGGGTCGGGGTCTTCACCATTAAAATCATAACTAGCATGTGGATCGTAATTCGCCTTTATATCGGGATGAGTGTGATCTGTCGGAAATAATATCACACGATTGTTATGGTTTGCTTTTTCAAATTTCTTGTTCATCATGGCACAAAAGTATGTAATTTAAAAAGGAGAACACAATAATATTTGTATATCGATATTCAGATCACCTCTTCAATCAATGAGTGCGCGTGTAAGTGAATAAGTATATCTCACGTCTGTTCTTACTAATAGATTGGTGTAATATCGTTGATGATCTTTATCGGACGAAGAGAGACAAAAATCAGCCGTCCAAAATCATGTTTTTTCCCCGATTATATTTCTGTCAGTCTTCACTAAATCTAGAATATCTCGCTTTTGCTGCAAACATTTCCCTCGCTAATTGCGTGTTCTGACTAGGCAGAAAGCTTTCACGAATGACTGCACGAAACGCGATGGGGACTATCATCAATGCGGCGCCAAATGCAACGAGTGCTTGTAAAAACACATTCTTGTATATGGTCAACCGAATGAACCGATTATGCCTACTAAGTATTGATTAACCATGGTATAATCATACCAGAATCATTCACGCATGGAGCCTTAAAGGCCACACCAAAAAGGTGAATCACACAAAGTAATAATAACGCTGCAATATAACACGTACTTACTCCTACAGTACACAAAAATATATAGTTGTTTTATGAATTTGGATCTTGTACCACACTTTTCACACTTTTACAATTTGACAAAAATCTATACCGTGCATGTATACATTATCGTGATAAATGTAATGTGATAAGAGCTATACGACGGTATATTCTGTATTAATCTGTTTTGTCATTTTACAGTAAAATATGAAAAGCTTTAGACAGTATCATTGTTAACACAACTGCGAGGGACGTTAAGATTATATATGCGCGATATTATGCACGCAACCATAACAAATATCATTCAAGTTTTGGCTAATTTGATTGAATTGAAGCAGAAAGCTTTAGTGATGACAAGCATGATTTACTAGAATAAATGGTACTGATGCACCTTCATATAGCTACTCGAAATACTAGCCCGTGCTGGTGACTTACCTAGACCATCATCTAAAACTGAGACTTTGACTCCTTTGCCTGTATAACCAAGTTCCCAAACTGACCAAATGTTCAGATCATAACCTTTGAGACCACTATTATATTTGCCAGTATTCCGAATATACCATTCAAATTCAATTTTGGGATCATTGAAGACCAGAGAACGCTTAACTCGCTGTAAAATTAACTGCCTTTCAAACCACTTCACGTGAGGATGATCAGAAAGTTTACGGTGTATTCTTTTAATATGGCGACGGCTTGTACGTTTTTCAAGATGCTTTGAGGGTCCAGCGTACACGAATTCATAAAAGCTTCTCTTATTGATCGGACCTTTATTCCTAAATCCATTCGCCCTGGCTACTTCATCAGGATCAGCGCCTTCAGCTAGTTCAACTGCCCAAATGTCAGAGTATTCGTTGCCTTCTTCATCGCTGTTAGATCCGCTCTCGAAATTAAAATCGTCATTCAATGAGTATTCATCTTGGTGGGTATATACTGCTACCAGGAAGAATAGTTTCAACAATAATACTTTACAAAACATCTAAGCGTTAATAAATAGTAGCTAGCCTTTCTTTTAAAGAAAAGCTAGCACGATTATCCCGTGATATGTCGATATAACAAAATCGTCTGTTTCCTTCAGCTGCTGTCGTCTTGTTTCAACTGTACTTATTTGCATTGAGCATATCATTAGTTTATGATGTGTGGGAAGTCGGCAACGTACGAAACATCAATTATTATGTAAATTTGGCATTATTGAGAACCTCCTACATACCGTGAAGTCTAAGTCATTATTTTCAAACTGACTTGTAACATAATCCATGTCGACACATCACGGATATGTGTTAACAGTGACTGGTGATATCGGATTGCCAAAATTATTATAACGAAACGATACAGAAATGAAATCATCATGCTTGTGTATAACTGGCCTATACGAGGAAAATTTTTGTTACACATTATGCATGCAGGTGGGGCCTATATCAGCACAATAATTTGCAATTCAAAGAAGTTCTCAAATCTCACTATAACGCGACGTCTCAGGATATGATTTGCTAGCTGCCATATTTAGCCGCAGCTGTGATAAGGCTGGTCTGTGATACCTTCCTCCGAATGACGTCATTTTGTAGGAGTCAGGGCAAGTTCTAAATCAAATGTCGTAGGCAGACATGAAGCGCTAAAAATATTTCTTTTATGTACAATCGATTCGAGTGTAATTAACATATAGAATAGTCTGCAATGCTCGTAAGAATACAGCTGTCTGCTGTTAAAATATCACAATTAGTTAGAGTACTAGTTTTGAAATTCTGTTAATTGAATTCTTGAGCTGCAGAAAACTTTCAAGCATCACCATGACGATATTCAAAGTGCTCTTTTGCCTTAAACCTTAAATGCTTTCAAAACTGAATTCAAAAACTTTGACAAAGCGTTGGAGAATGGTAAAGTTCTTCATGTTATACAGATTTACAAGGTTTTGTTTCTATTTTTTCAGTCGGCAATATGTCCTAATGACCCTGACACAATGGAAATCTGACCGACAAAAGAATTACAAATGCAACGAGCTGAAAGAATTAACATTCTTTTTTAATTTCTTTCTATATATTTACAAAAATATTTACATTTTCCCCATTAGTATATGGTGGAAGTATTAGCGATTTCCCAGTTACACATTAACAATGTACACGAATACTAGTACTTAATACAGAAAAATATTCACGAAATCATGCTTTAGATGTTGTCGACGCTGGGGCTAGACTTAAGCCAATAAGATCGTGCGATATCGATGATTGAAGATGTCGAGCCATTTCTGGCAATTTTGAAAAGTAATTCCTCGCTAGGACATGTTTATGAAGCACTTTCCCGATAAACATCCGACCATATGCCTATATGAAATGAAAATATAATATTAACTTTTATCAACGACTTAATTTCCAACATTTTATTAGTGAGCAGAAGTTTTCCGGCCTTTAAAACAGCATTGCGCGAAAATCCCAAATAATTGTCATTTAGCTACGCAACAAAATATCTACGACGTCTAAGATAACGATTAGATTATCCCCAAATCATTACAGTATCTTACATACGAATTGCTTCAGTGGAAAATACAAATAATAAGGCCTATCTCAAACGTCGTTCTTTTGACGCCACGAAAGCATTCAAGGGGATAGATATAAGACGCTTGTTGTCTTTGATTTATTTGGCTCATGAAAGAGAAGACTTTGGGAATAGACCTAATTATGCAATGCATCTGGAAAATCGTGCTACATGCACTGAAGGTTTGCATTCTCTGGACACACCTCAGTTACATTCTCCAGCTTCTCGTGAGCAGAAGCTTCTTCTTTCGTTAGCAGTATACAGTTCCATGGAGACCATTCCTCGTGTTTGTTCCAGCGAATAAACACCAAATCATAAAGATCATTCTGTGCACTCAAAGCACTTTGGGTATTCCAGATACTCTCGATCAGATAACGTAAATCTGATTCCTAAGAGACGAAGAAATAAAATCACTGAGTATTTTGATAAAATATAAACCAACTAAAACTCTGAATTTCATAACAAGCATGAAACATTTGAGCGACTGATTTGATTTGCTTTTACCGCATGTTTGCATTTAATTATTGCTAAATCATTTATCACATACACGACGAATTGAGGATAATAAAGAATATTGTATAAAGTCATTTTCAATTACCAGTATGTGATTATATAATTGTTTTTATCCATCGACCTTTTATTATTAAAAAAGATGCCGAATGTGCATGGCATGCATATGAATTTTAAAGAAAAATTTGAACCCATTAGGTAAATAAAGAAGAGTTCTTTTGTTGATCTAAAACAATTTTCTTAACATAGTTTTCGCATAACGAAGTCAAACGTGGGATGCAAATGTCACACGTCTTCGAAAAGTTAACGGTACCAACTACCAATCAAACATTCTGTAACATAAGACTTTCCGCGTTGCATGGACGTCAATTTTAATTTATATTAGAGAGGTTAATTTATATATAATTTAGACGTAGTTTGATCTTCGAGACTTAGCTAGACATGTTTTCATAGGAAAATCTGCTCATAAAAATGGATCACGTAAATACCTGGAGAAGAAATGCAATTTTAGATCCATCTTTGAATAATTCTTCGGAACGACGAAGGCTCTGCAACATCATTTTGTATTGCGAGAAATCCTGGCGCAGACGGGCATCGTTATCCAAATCTTGACAGCGACGACATTTTCCAACAACGCTGAGATGAAGATAATAAGTCATGAAATAGAATAACTACCAGTTATATACATGCATGCAGATAAAGAGTAAAGGGCTTGACAGATTACAGTAAACATGCATGTCATATTGTATTTCCATCATTCGTTTGTGCACATATTGTAGATCTGACTAGATTTTGACCTGTAAGACTAGAAGACAATGAAGTCGCTGCGTAAAACAATAAACAAATATTACCGAGAATTTGTCCCAATTTGAAATTCTGTAGAAGACAAATATTGGCGACAGCTTGGACAGAAGTAAATATTCTTTCGCAAAGTTGAAGGATCCTGAGGTACCTAAAACAAGTATAACACTTTTTTGTCATTATCATGGATTTTATATCCGTACTGAAGATTTTTTTCACTTTTGTCCGAAAATACTCTAATCACGTTATTTCAAGTCAAGCGTTTTTCAATGTGTGTAAGGACAATACCTAGTTGTGAGACAAGTGTGTATACCCCAATGCAATAATCGCACGTTTTGCATAATATAATACATGTGTAGCATACGCTGTAGCTTATAGGTGTTTAATGTTTAACTGGTTATATGCAGTTTGGCCACAACTCTTTAGCGTCATACAGCGATAGCAACCACTTACTTTTAGCAATCTAGAAGCTTCAGGGTTAAATAATGGAGTCTTGCAGTATTGAAGAAATAAAGTTGCTATACGTTGTCGCAAACCTGCAAAAAGAAAAAATCATCTTTCAGTGCATGAATGCAGTGTTGAGTGCATGAAACAAGTCAAACAACTCATTGCATGGGAGGATGGAGGAGGATTGATTTCTTAACATGGAAACAATATTGTATTTTCTCTTTTTGACTAAAAAGACGAATTAAAAAATTTATCAAACAGTTATACTGCAATTTTAATTTGACGTCTCATCCCCTTCATTGGATTTTTTTCAACTATAGGAAGACTTACAGCAATATTACTACAAAAACGTAAATAGGATACCTTCAAGATTTGATTCCTTAACACCTCTCATTAAAAGATCAGCTTCACGATCAATGAGCTCAATAATCTCTTGTGTTAGTTTGCAATCATGTTCCTTCACCGTATGTTTGACAGTTAATAAAACATCCAATCTCTCATCTTGCGTTAAATACTTCATACTTAGACTATTGAAGATATCTCGCAGTTCTTGTGCGCGTAATGTATACGGCGTGTCCATTTCTGTTATTTTACCATCAAACGCTTTCCACCTCTTTGGCGAGGCAGCCTAAATCAATGCCACAAAATGTTATTATAACAAGTTTTATACATTGGTAAATAGTGATTGAATAACATAATAAATGTGGATGTGGAAATATCGTTTTTTTCATGCAGGAACGTGTTTATGCAGTCTTTCGTTGCGATGTGCAATTTGCATCACCCCACGCAGCCAGTTGCAGTGCATGAGCACCTCCATGAGCGTACATGTATATACAACCTTAGGACTCATCAAGAACATGCACGTCTTTACCTTGTTTAGGAATTGTTTATCACGTTTTTCTTTATTCTCGACATCAGCTTTTGATTTATGTCTTCCAATGGAGGCAATCAAATATGCTTCTTGTTCCAACAAACAAGCAAGTGCTGCCTTTCTTTCAGGTCCATTCATTAATTCGTTAATCTTTGCAATTTCCTCCCTCTTCCACTCTAAATGGCAAAATAAATTATTCCAAGCCTATTACCGGATTAACACTATAGTAGGTATTTTATTTCATTTATAGCTCTTTGCTTCTAACAGAGCCGTGAGCCGGCATTAGCAGATTTTTCATCTGAAGAACGTCACTTGTCAGAGCTGAATACGGTACTCAATATTCTCTAATAATTAATGCCACTTTATATCGATTATATCATTATTAATAATAGTAATGATAATATATAATTATTATATCCTTTTAACTTTCAACTTACTCTCTAATGCTGCGTACAACAAGTCAAAATCTGTTTTACTGCTTGGATTCATTCTTCTCTCCCATTCACGTTTTAGTTTCTCCGCCTTTTCTCGTTTTCTGATTTCATCTTCCTGGAGAAGAATTTTTGGGATATTTCAATTATACAAACAGTTTTCTTTTGGACTTTTAAACTTCTATAACATTCCTTACGATTTCATTAAAAATATGGGTTTGTTCGAAAATAGTTTTGAACACAACAGAAGTAACGCCACATCATCAAAATGTCACATATTATCTTTAGAATGTAATTATTTATTACTCTTAACTATCAAGAATAATTACCAAATGGTAATTTGTAATAATTTACATGATCGGTGATTTATGCAAGAAATACGAAATACAAACCTTTCGTTCCCAGGCGTACCGATTCTCTCTATCCTGACGTAGATTTTCGACGTAATTCATTGCCAACCATTTTCTCCAGTAACATTGCAGAATTATAACCTAAATTAACACGGTATACATATGAGGATATTTGAGGATCAGTTTATAATTCTGATTTTTGAAGGGAATTCCAGTGAGAATCCCTTACCTTTTCCAAGATTTTCTTATGGTGTTCATCAGCCGTCACGTACACCGAAGGCGTTATAATTTTATCTTCAAAATTGGACACGTAGCAACCTTCTTTTGTCTTTGAAATAAAATAATATATATCAAACCAAAAGTGACTTTCATTTAGGAACTTCAAAATAAATTTAGCTAGCTAAGAATTAAACAGTTATATAGACTCCACACAAGAACTTATAAACACAGATTAAGAAGTAATTTAATAATAATTAAAGCATTGTTTTACAAGAAGCGTAATTACACTGCACAGCACACTTATCATCATCATGCACATACCATTTGGGTAGAAGTCGTATTTGTTGTCTGTTGAAATTGGTTTTTCAAATCAACGGTTTGCGTGTCACGGTTGAAACGTTCCTCCTGTAACAATAATGGTGCATGTCTCTTACTTGAAATAAAATGTTTTTCTAGGAGGGCTGGCTTGATAAGAAGTGGTTCAACTTCCTCATTGTCATTGTGCGTAAGTTACCTAATAATTTACGCGTAATTCTTGAAATAGGGGATTAGCATAAAACTTGATCTTTAACAAGACGTGCCATTGGGTCGTTTTATGCACTCCAAGACGTGCCATTAGGTCGTTTTATGCACTTGTGACTTCAGTAAATAAATGATAAATCAAGCAAGAGCGACGCTTATTTTCAGAATAGTTACGATAATTACGGTGATATGGTGCGGGGGAGCCTCTCTCGACACATTAATCATCCGCCAATAATCGTGCATCTAATATGAGCATGGTGTACCTGCAGTGAGCAATTTAGCTATAAGTAAACAATAATTACATACAGATGGTGGTAAACGTTTCTTTGAAACTGTTTGCATGGATGCATTGTGATATTCAACTCCAGTTAAACGATGGCGAAATCCTCCCAGAAATGGTTTCTTGTTTTTTTCTTGAATAACATGAATCTTTATTTCATTCACCAAACCTTCATATTCTATTAAAGGTTTAAATAAAAGCTGAATAACTAAAGTTAAAAGTCATATATATAAGCGGTATAGACTAGTATAACAGGCACTCTACTTCAGAACTGTATTAGTGTTGTGGGGGCTGAGCTGGTTTGATGTGCTGCTGGGCCTGACACTTGCTTTTGTGGCACAATAACTCCTTTATATGGTACGCATGACCTATTAAACTAGATTATTATTGTGCATGCATGGGTTTGTTGCATAGTTAGAGGGAGGGAGGGAGGGGGTATCAATATTTTGCTTCCTAGAATAAATAAATCATTTTAATTAAGTTAACTTCATATTAAAGAATTAATTTCAAAAAATAAATGTAGAACATAAAGGATGAATAGTCAGAGCTGTCAGAGCTGTTACCAAATATACTGTTCATGTTCTATTTTTGACAATCAATCCTCTTTAAACAACCAAAATGTCATAGTACGGGTTGCTTGATAGAGGTTTAACTGTTTAAATAAAACTGACCTAAATAATTTTACATTCATGCCCATGTTATCAGTTACCTGATTCCACTCTGATATTGAGAACATCAGGCATTTTATATGGAGAGTTTTGTTTTGATGAAATGGTAGCTGAATTGTTGAGAAGCTTCAATGGAGCATTAATAGGATCAATAGATTGAACTTCAATATGAAATATCTGCTTAGCATTTCCACCAAGGTTGAGTAGTGTTGAGTCATCATTTAGTAGATTACCTACAATGAACCGGAAATGACCATGGGCAAGGCCTAATTAGAGCCTGATTAGAGATGAAAGGCATTTTGTGAGACTATTTCTGTTTATCAAAGCTAAGAATAATTAAATTTATACAGTTGTATATAACTTGCAAGTTGGTCAATCTATATAGTCACTTACCATCATAAAGAAATAGAATGGAACTTGCTGGTTGACCACACTGATATGAAACTGCAGTTTTAAGATTAGACATTGGCTTGTTGATTGAATATGAAGTGGTTTTGACTGCTCCTTCAGGCATAAATACCAGTTTAACTGACATAGAATCAACAAAAAGTAAAATTAATAAAAGTGCTAAGGTAATAATATATGGCAGACTGGTAAATCAAACCTTGTCCATATGAAAGATGTTCAATTTTTCACCTGACCGACTTCTTAAAAAACTAATAGAATACCTGTGACATCGGTGTCCTCTTCTGATGTATTTGTGCCATTATTCGATATTTCATGAACGTTTTTGGAAGCTGGGAGATCAGTAGTTACTGTATTATCAGTTATAACGTCTCTTGTGGTCGTTTCACTATCGCTCTGTCCCTCGCCAGCACTTGTAACTATGCTATCGTCGACGTTCGACATATTAAATACTTTATTCTTCCCAAATTGTTCTTCTTTTTTAAGTTTGTTTATTGAAAATACAAACTATCGACATATATATTTTTCTGGTACAATTTGTGGATCATCTTGTTGTCATGGTAACATGAAACACTGATGACATTAGATCGCAGGCTCTTTTTAACATTTGTTCCGTCAAAGAGGATTAGAGGAAGAACTGTGTTCTCTGGTTCCGTACTTGTTAGGGTGAAGAAGATAAGTTAGGGATTAGTTATAGGCATGACTTACAGTTTGCAATTTGTTGTACTACATGGAAATTAATTCGCAAAAATTAAGATAAAACCTTTTGAGATCTATCTAGATCCCCCTCTCAATTTCTAACGAGACTTTAATTAAGGTTAACGATTTTGTGTAGTTTATAATAAATCCTTTAGGCCTAGTTTAATATAATGCACGTTTGTTAGTACCAGGGCCTGTTCTTCTCCAGATTGCCTGGACCCCTTTGTGGGACACCGGTGCTGTTCCGCTTACAAATCTGAAAGAGGATTACGATTAATCATTACGTCACAATCAAATCGTTACTCTGGTTGCTTGGTAAAAAAATTAAATTTAATATCATGAAACGAAGAAAAGTGATTTAGTGAGTATGTAATCGTGATGAAATAATCATCCCCGGAATAGAGTGATTTTAACACATAAGACAAATCACACAAAGCAAGAAATGCTAAAAGGTACAGTACAGTACAATGCACGCTTTTCCTTCAGTAATTCCATACGTCTGTTCCACCACAGTTCATATTCCACCTTATGGCCAAAAGTTGCGATGTTATCACAGCTCAACTGTGATAGTGTGACTCAAGTGTGAAGTCAGAACTGATAAGGAGAAAGACGGCGTCACGTATTCAAGTGATTCTCTTATTTTACAGTGGGAAAAATACTGCCTATAATCACAACATTGCTTGGAACCTTTCTGTGTTTCGTTTGTGAGAAGATTGTTCCTGAAATTTTAAATTTGCCAAGAATAATTTTCCGCCATCTTCCAGAAACAGTGTTATGTCAATGGACACAGAATTTGAATTATCTTACAATGATTTTTACTGCTCCAATCATATTGCCTTTACTTTTATGTCTCATTATTTTCATAACTGGTGCTTCAACCGTTTTTTCAATATTGATTATTCCACTAATGTTTCTTGCTCTCATAAAGACAGTGTTGTGTAGATTATATCAGATAGTTATTTATTATGTAAAAAAGGCAAATTTTCTTCTGCTCTGCAGTTGAGAAACAAAGAAGTTACTTAAGCAATAAAATATTGTAGATGAAATATACCAAAAACGAAAACGGACTTGATGAAAACGGCTTCTTATGTATACCTGTCAGGTTGTTTTTGTAATGGTTGAGCCCCTTGTAGAGCTGAGGATAAATCTATACCAAGGTCACAAAGGCAATAACCGTAGCAAGCTAGATAACGTTATGTGTATTTTGTACTGGGATACAATTTCCTCAGAATAATTCCTGAAGAACTCTATAATATAGAGTGCTTCAGGAATTATTCTGAGTATATTCTATGCATACACAACGCGTTTGCTGGGATATTTAATATTTTCCACACAACGCGTTTGCTGGGATATTTAATATTTTCCAGTTGATGTGGTGAACTGGTGAAGGCACGCGCAGTACGCGAAAAACCTGGGAGCGAGGATGCATTTAATATATAAATAAATTCTTATAAATTCTTCAAAGTTGACAGCACAGTCCACAGAGATCTTGCTTGCTTTCATGCAATACTACCAAACTTTTTGTACCACGGCTATTAAAGGGAAATAAAGTTCAAAATACTCTTATGAAGTCAGTGATTGTCGTCAAAAATGCGAGTTCGAAGTAACTCTATAGCAAGGTTGGACTGGTATCATGCTTTACTTTCTGAAACTATTTTGGAATGCCAGGTACAAAAGCTAGAATGGTTTGAATAATAGTATTAAACCCATTTGGCCTTGTATGCCTTTGCAAACTTTAAGTGCTCTAGACAATATGGCTTTGCTGATTTCAAAAGTAACATTGGTGTATAGCTCTTTATGCATTACCAACTGTGATCCTTGGCTTAAAATAGAGTTTGTTTCCTTCCTGCATTTTGATGATATTTTTTCAATTTTCTTGCCTTGTTTGGTTTTATAGCTTCCTGCTCTATTTTTGATTCTGCCACAATTCACTTTTGAAAGAGGAATTTTTTCCTTAATAGCACTTACATAATTTTTGGAAATTATTTTACATTCTTGCATCTGAACCATATACTAAAAAAATACAAAGAAAATACACCAAAAGCATTAAAAACTGATGTCATAGGTAGCAAATTATTTATCAGAGTTATTATTATTTATCAACATATTTTATTAGTTTGATTGATGCCTTTTTCATATTTTAAAATTTTGGTATTTACTTCAATTACTTGAAGAACAAATGTTCACCCTGAAGACAATATCTTTATAACCAGATTACCCAGTGGATTTTAGAGTTAAGTCACTCTAACCTTCCAAATTCTTATCAGCAGCAAAATCATCAGTTTAAGGACCACAAGGGTAGCTGAGTGATTGCTTGTATAGTTGCACACCATCATAGTCAATATGTAAGTGATCCTTTTTTATCTCCCATGTCCCATCCATGCAGGATCCGGTGACAGGACTACTACCGCCAACTGGAGGTCAGTGGAAATTTGGTTCCAGAGACTATCCTGGGGATGCCTGGGTTCGAGATAATGTATATGGTAGTTTGAGTATGTGGAGTCTGGCACTAGCTTATAGCAAAAATGCAGATCATGATGATGAAAAGGCGAAGGCATTCGAACTGAAACAAGTGAGTTGTGATAATATGCCTTTTGGAGTGGTTTCAACCATAGTTGATATAATGGAAGGGTTTTGAAGGCTGGCAAACACCAAAGTTAAAAGTGACCTTCATCTAAATATGTTGAGAAGTATGGTCCAAGTCTGGAAATAAAACAAGAAATCTGCGGAGTTAACCAATTAAGGGCTGTTCAGATGTAAAATTACTTTGTCAACTGTTTTCCCCTCACATGAGCCAAATTTTTGCTGTTAAGTTTCTCACAATCAAAAATATTTATAGAGTGTGGTAAAATTAATGAGAGGTTTGCTGATGAGCATGATGCAACAGGTATAGTAAATTGTCTATTATTTTTATTATTTTAAGCTAACTTGTATTCATTCATTTACGTATAGTCGTATACTTTGCCCTGCATACACGTTTTTCGTTAGGTGAGTATCCAACAGCTAGAAATTACTAGGTACCACAAAGTTTATTTGTGTATTATGATATCTCACTGCATTATTGTACAACTTGTACATACATGTATTTTAGGTTGAAAAAGTGGAAAAATTCAAGAAGACTCAATCCAAAGATGATGCTCTGCATGCCAAATATAACTACCGTAAGTACCGATATTTTGTATTCTGTACTGTTTCTGTTGTATTAATTTCTTTGGAATATTATACTCTGGAATACACATGAAATTCATAATAGTCTGAATGAAAGTGCAGAGAACAATGAAAAAACTTGATAAGAAGAGTGACAGTCTAGATAATTGAAGATTCAGGTTCAAAGAAGATACCGTAATTGAAAATTCAAGTTCAAATCTGGTTTGAGAACAATTGGAAATTTTGTTGCTGCCAGCAGTGTCAGATTAATGTGCATTCCTATTATTAATTTAATAACATAACTTGTAAGCATAGGTAATAAAACCCTGGGTACAAGGTTGATATATACCATGCACCACTATAAGCTATTACTATACATTATACCATAACATTCTCCATCACAATGTGTGTTAGTTAATGTATTAATTATAATCAATCACAATTCTTATTTTAGGAACAGGTGAAACAGTCGTGAGTGATCATGACTGGGGACATTTACAAATTGATGCTACATCACTCTACTTGCTTGTTTTGGCCCAAATGACTGCATCAGGTATTTCAGATGAGAAAGGATTAATAATTTTCCTCAACATCTACTGTATGCAGAGTATTGGAACCAGTGTTGTATTATGTTTGTATGATGACACATGGTGTGTCTTAAGTCTGGGTAAAATGATATATATGATGTTGCTATATAATCCAGGTGCTCTGAAATGGCAGGAAAGGACTGGAACTAGTTGTCAAATAGAAATACTTTTCTCAATAGACCTTTTCACCTTGCATGCAAATTAACGCATTTCAGATATTGTGACCATGGAATAGCCAATAGGTCTATTGAGATTTAATATCTATTGAAATATATGGTTACCCTGATATAAACCTCCCTCCACCCAACCAAGCACTCACCACTGCTAATGCTTACTCCTCACCATGTTCTGGGGAAGAAGCAGCAGCCTAAGTATAATTCAATTATATTTTATGTTCATTTTGTCAGGTTTACAGATAATTTTTACTCTCGACGAAGTGTCTTTTATTCAAAACTTGGTATTCTATATCGAAGAAGCATATCGTACACCAGTAAGCTTATAATGCATATAATTATCTTTTAATCTTGTCAGAATTTCTAAATTTAGGTTTTTAAAATGTAGGATTATGGTATATGGGAAAGAGGAGATAAATTGAATCATGGGCTACCAGAACTGAATGCAAGTTCAATCGGGATGGCAAAGGTATTCATTTCGGTTACTGCATGGCGATCAATGTGAAAGAAAAATTTCTCTTCCTCTTACTGAACTGATCACAGCACGATCTAATCAGGGATACGTCTGAACAATACTTTTGTTTTTCCGTAGGCTGCCTTGGAAGCATTAAATGGTTTGGATTTGTTTGGATCCAGGGGCGGACCGCAATCCGTAATTCATGTTCTGCCTGATGAAATCCAAAGATGCAAGGTGTGATATCACATTTTTTTCTAATAAAATATATATATGGATTAATATCCAAATTTTTCTCTCAGGCAATACTACAATCTATGCTTCCAAGAGAGTCCAGCTCAAAGGTACTGTATATAATCCAACGAATCAGACTGGACACGCACATATTCTTTCCCAATAAAAATTTGACAGGTTCTAATTCAATGATAACGCGTAATGATAATAATAATGCATTCATATTTAATCCAAATGGATCGTGAGGTGTGAATTAAATGTTGGTTGTGTTGAGGAAGAACACAGGTATGGAGCCTGCGCATGCAAGCTTAGGTTCCTGCAAGAGGACCTGAGTTGTATTTCTCGCAAGCACCGCTCTTCATTCTCCCTAAACGCCACCACATTTAAAAATTCACGTTGTGATACAACGAAGGAGGTCCAAAAAAATCCAATGCAATAGTAAAACCTAAATACCACCGATATTTAAAGATATGTGTTTTCTAGGAAATTGCAGCCTCTGTTTTAAGTGTGATTAGTTTTCCCGCCTTTGCTGTTGAAGATGCTGAATTAGTTCATTCGACAAGATCTGTCATTGTTGAGAGACTGGAGGTAAAATGCTGTTGATCGTCACTCATATTACATCGAACATTGAAATAATTGTAGTGATTATCTATTTTCACACAGGGTAAATATGGATGTAGGAGGTTTTTAAGAGATGGTTATATGACGGCGTTAGAGGTAACAGATGAGAGGTCTGCAAACCCTTCGCATGCATGCAAAAAAGTTCACTCTCTCGCACCCCAATAGAAGCTGAGATAATCTTTTTTTATACCGTTAATTTACATTTGATCTCTCGTTTTCTCGATCCAAAATAATGATTATAGGATTCACAACTCCCGAATGTATATAGAAAACGAAACATCCACCAACTTTAAATATCAATTACATTCATCTTTAAAGGTTTTGCGGGTTCCTACCCTAGTATTCTTGCTCGTACTCACGCTGGGTGGGGTCGGGAGAACCCTAAGGTGGAAGATACACGAATCCCAGGCAATTGGCGTATAGACGAGTCGACTTTTGAATGCACGCAGTGTTGGGATGTTCGTCGTTTTCTTCAGATGTGTTATTTACCCGTTCTATTTTAAAAATCCTGTATAGAGTCCCAGTCGACTCCATTATGAACCTGCTGAGTTAAAAATATTTGAAAATGTTGAATGTGAATGGCCTCTGTTCTTTGCATACCTCATACTCGATGGAATTTACAGCAATAATCCTCAGCAGGTTGGTTGAAATTTATAATCTTGTATAACAGTAAATGCATAATTTAATAACTAGAGTAGCAGTAATACCAGTGTACTATAGTAATTACTTCCTGCAAAATTCATCATGTTTTTTCTTGCTGCATGGCAGCTTTATTAACTAACACCATCTAACATCATCCATGATAGCAACTTTAAAAAGTACAGTACCTTTGTCAAAATACGTCAAACATGACAAACCTGATGTTGCACGAAGTTTGATTTTCTCGTTGGTTTTGCGGAACCAATAAAACTTTCCGAAACACCAGGTTCTCCGCATTTGACGTCTTTATGAGAAAGGTTTATTGTATATTGCAAAATGTTTAACTGAACTATTTTTAAATACTGTGTTTGTCGTGAACGGGGGGGGGGGGGAGGGGGGAGGGAACTTCAATAATGACCAAGGAAAGATTTTTGTGACTCGATATGGGCAGGACAATGCATATAATATTTCAGTCGAATAGATAAAAAAAGATACAAAATTTTAATTAGTGTATACCTAATAAAAATTTACACAGTTTGCAGATAAGATAATTTTATATTCCTATATTATATTTATGGTATTAATATACAATTTTATACATAAGGATTTTTAGGTAAGCTATAAATAAGCACCAGCTTAATTAAAAGAGTGACCTGCAGCTCTTATATTTTACTATACCCAGGTCTAAGAAACCACGAAAGTTTATGTGGCCCTCTACCCCTCATAGTGAGGTGATCACCTTCGAATGTTGTTATTTATAATTTTTCATTTCATTATTGTCCGCGGTTTATTCATCGACTTGTGATTGTATCTCCAACAGCATGCATGCATGTGTTGTCTCTGGCACCGAAATCTTGGATGATGCAACATCAATCGTTTAATCCGAGTCTTTGATCATGTCTCGTTTCCATTTTAACCTTCTTGCTTCATACCAGTTCTTTAGAAAAAAAGAAATAATATATTCATTATTTATCACTGAGTTGAGCCTGCTATATTCAACATGCAGGCGAAGACATAGTGTGCTTAACTAACTGGCGATATTAATTACGATCCATCCATAAACTACATGCAGGTCTACGGCATAGTCGTATGAATTCAGTGCCATCAGTACACATATCGCCATATGTTTGATAAACCAAACGACATGGAAAGAATGCAAAAGCTAGAAAATATTTTATTTATATATTTAACTGCAATTTTATTTGCCATTTAGCCTGGTCAACCGTACAAAGAATATAGCTACATTACACGGGGAAAATACAACGAAACACTACAAATAAACAGTTTCTTTTTATTTACATTATTGTTTTGTTGTATGTAATTTTTACCCCAACTTATCGCTGAATATAATACGACATCATTATACATTGCTGTTTGCCTGACAAGCCATGATAAGCTAAGCTAATGCATGCATGTATTAGCTACTATATATATAACTACGCACGTTTGTAACACAAGAACTGATTTCAAAAGAGAGTACTTTTTGAGTATAATAAATAAGTAATATATATTTATTATTTGAAATTTTATTTTACATGCGTATACATGCAGAAATAATTTATATACTGTCTATATGGCAATAAATGCCATGTAAGTATTCAAAAAAGTCAATTGAAAAGTCTAGTGTTGCGTAATTGGTGCGATGCAGTATATGAATAGGAATTATAGTGTTTAGTGAAGATGTAATTGGAACACGGAACATCAAATGCCATGAAACAAATTTAAATCCGGCATATAGCTATACATGCAATATAGATTTTTGTAAAGAATACAAAGCTACATACCGCGACATGTCGTTCCAACATATTACATTCGAGAGCAATCATTTGTATTGTAAATTCATCCGGCCATTTACGGTGAGAAAATTTGTCCTCAAGTTTTCCAAGCTGTGCTTGTGTAAAATACGGTGGGAATATTTCGCTTTCCCTAACGTCAAGAAGTGATTTGCGATGTTTGTCCAACGGATAAGATATTGTAGTCTGTGGTTCAGTCTGTTCGGTTAATATTATTGACGATGTCGCTGTGTTTGGCTCCATACCATTCATTTTGTTGCTATTTTTTATCTTTCCTTTCTTTCTGTTTGGCTTTTATTGAAGGCAAGGTTCAATAAAACAGTGAAACAGGTGGTTTGATGTTGAAAAGGTTGTTGAGCGATTTCCTGTTAACACGCGTTTCTGCTTCAAGTGTTGTGGCAATTCGACTTTCTTGTCATTATTGAATGAACTGTTTCTTTGTTCTTGCTTTCAAAACATTCTCATTTCACCGTGAGATTCTGTGCTAATAAGGAGTAATGAATCCCCTGAGAAAACAGCGAAAATATGTATGTTGTTGGAAGACACGCTGAGTGAGGTAATATGTTGCCTTGTAGGCGGAGAATACTTACAGCATACTTGATCAACATACTGCAGAGCAGACCTTTGCGACAGGCAATAATATCCGGCAAAAATAGCGCCAAAAAAGTTTTCAATTCTTTATTTCACTTTTTCTATTATTCACCTCAGCTTGAAAACGTCGTCGACATTTCCCCCGCCATTATTTTTGCCTATTAGGTGCATGTTGTGAGAAAAAAAATAGCGTACTGCATTTGTATCAGATTTTTATTGTTCATCTGCCCGCATGTAAATGTCGAGACGTCAGTTTATATGCAAATTTTGCAACCATTCAGCGTGAAATATAATTGCAAAAGCCTCTTTGATGTTTGGATTATTATGTTACCATTAGAACAAGATGAACACCTGCTATAAAAGCACAACTGCATGAAATGAAATCCAGACACTGGACTCTGGGAAATATGGTAGCCAAATCTCTAAGACGCTTAAATATTTAAAATAGTGTATGTTGTGATATAGCTTATATGTGACTATTATACATGCGTTTTCACGGTTATGACAAGTTCCAACGAAAATTCCTGTTTCAAAGCGGAAAAACTTATCAAAGTTTTTAATCCTGATGATTTCTTTTACAATCCTTTCTCTTCATGCATTCCATTACAGATTTTCTGTTTCTACTTGTCTGTTGATATCATCACTGCACGGGCTGATATGAAAACCTGCGTATTCGTGCAGTTCTGTAACTATAGAGGGAAATATTTTCTTTTGGGTTTCACTTAAAAAAAACTCTTTGCATATTCATCATACCTGTGCCCCTATGAAGGACAGGAAAGAGGTAACCAATATAGCGGTTACATGCATGTATAATAGACTAACCTAATTAACAGATTATCCTTAAATCTGCATCCTAACCTCGTATCCTAATCTCTAACACGCTTTTACGTACAGAAAAATAGTGATGATTGTGTCAGAGATGAAATACGGATATGAAACAGCATATGTCATATTTTCATATTATGTTGTTCAAGTTGTTGTTTCAAGTGAAATCTAGAAGATTCTCCAACACAGTATGACGACATACCAACAAATGTTTTGGCACTTCGTCATATTGGTTATCATTCACCGGTGTCTCCCGTTGCCTTTTAAAATTGCTTTCAATTCTATTAACATGCTATTAAGTGTACAAAGATGTAAATCAATTATGCAGTTATCACACCAAGTAGAAATAAGGATCCCAGTAAGCCTGGTGTTTCCGTTTAGGAAAGTAATAGATTCGTAATTTCCTTCTTAATGAGATGCACAGCACGCTAACTAAAGGATGAGCAAAATTCGTGGTTTAGAAATTATATAGGATGTAAAATAATGATTCATGGCCAAATGCTCTTATGACAAGATATTAAGCAAAGATGAATTAGAAATATCTCTTGTGCATATGATTTGCACGTGATTTGTGCATAACAAGGTTAGGCTGAACAACTGATTAAATGAAATGATTTGAATTTGAACTCGGACTTAATTGACTTGACTCGGACCTCGTAATGATCATGCATTTGTACTGATTAGGCGTTTTGTGTTTTGCAGGTGAAAAAGTACCAAGATATGTTAGATGCTATTATTATAAAAGACGACGGTGTTAATCTTATGCCCGAATTGTATTACGTTCCGTTAAATAAAGTAAGTGATAAAATAAGGCATCTTTTTTCGCCTTGTTACATGAAGATACTATTAGTGTGCTGCATGGATGCAGTTTGTGAAAATGCTGGGCACAGTTTGTGAAAAGAATGTAGTCAGTGAAGACACAATATACCATATTATCTGATTAATGCATGTGTTGGATGTTTAGGTTGATCTGGAAAAGGAGAAACCCCACAGTCAACCACGTGTACTAGGTGGAAAGCTGCCTCATATCTGGTCACAGTCTTTGTATCTTGTAGGATGTCTTTTGTCTGAGGTATAATAGCACGCACTTCATATCATTTCTACATAACGGTGTTTATCATGAGGCTTGGTGTAAAAAAGAATATGATACATGTGATGAGGGTCAGGGTTGACTTTTTGTCGGGAGTGATAAATGGTTGTTTACATAACGAAAAATAACTCAGTAATTTTCAAGAATTTTGATCTTAATGCATAATAAATTACCCGAACCAGGGTCCCGTACCAAACCTCACGGTACACAATCCGAAAACGGCGAAAAGGCCTATGATATGGTCATATGCATGCATTAAATACCCCTGTTGACCATTGGCGTCAATCGAACGGTAATTGAGGGGGATCATGTTCATAATACTGCCATGCCTGGCTTATTTCTTTTGAAAACAATTTCACTTTTAATAGAAATCAGCCTGGGATTATATCTTTTTATCTTAGGGATTATCTTATCCTTAGGGATTATATCTTCATCTTAGGAACTATCTTTACCTTAGGGATTCCTTGAACCAGGGGAACTTGACCCTCTGAACAGACGACACGCCACAACTCCAGGTCCTGATATTTGTGTGCAAGGTTTGTTTCTCTAATATTTGATTCGATGAATATGTAATAACCGAACACGCCCGTACGTTTTACTCTTTGTTTTATTGTTTTTGGTCTTTCTATTTTTATTTTCTTGAGGGCACCACTGTTTGTCTTATTCTTTTCGCTCATCTGGCAACCCTGGTTCTATTTTGCTATTTTTCGTAGGGAATTCTGACTGGCCTTCGTAGCACGGTGAGGGTGTTGAAGTCATAATTTATAAGGTCTATTGTTGTTCTATTTCAGTTGTAATATTGGCTGAAAACAGTGAAGTGAATAAAGTTTTAGAAGATGGTGGAATTCCATCTCAAACAAAAGATTCTGTAAGGAATATCAAAGTCCTTCCCGCTCAGTGCTTAAGTCATGCTTATCAAGAACTGGGTCAGTTTCTCTTTTTTATACGATTTATTCCTGATTTTCAACGAGATATGTATAAGGAAGATGATTAGAAATGAACTTGTTATACTTAGTGAATAATGTAATATCAATGAATGATCAACCTAGTTTGATAGATGACTTCGTCTCCTTTTTCTATGCAGGAAAAAACGATACTCTTGGTCTTTCTGGAAGGTAATCTTCATATACCAGAACATTTGCTGAGATTGCAAATGATATTCAGACAAAGAAAGAATCATCTGCTTTCTTTTAGACCATACTACGATATCGGAGCACTAGGGACTAGTTCTCTCTACAGGGTTGGAAGTTCAATTTTCGCTTTTACACCTCAGGTGCAGTATCACGTCAGTCTTGTCCTTATCAGTTGTACGATAATAGCGCATAAAAAATATTAGAGTTTACATAAATACTTCTTGACGTTTTAGCTTAAGTGTATCCGTCAACGAGCAACTTTTTATTACAACATATACTACTTCGTGAACTATATTTTTAGCCTGCTCTTCCACGTCAACTGCATAGGCCCCTTTCGGTGATCTAATGTAAATCTGATTATATTTTTTCTTGAATAACGTCTTTGTTTGTATCGTCCAAACTTTAAATGGTAGACAGATAATTCTAATGGTAGACAGATAACAGACAGATTCTCATCATATTAAAGTATTCATCCTTTGCAGTGCTTTGTGATGATAATATATGCATTTATTTAACCAGGCAATTGACACTCATCAGTTCTACCTGTGTTTGGATAATGAATTACTTGCTGATGTCATAAGAACTTTATTGGAGTACCTCAAAATTAACTGGACATTAATGGGACGACCGACGTTAACACTTGTTGTTAATCGGGCTATGTTTGGTAAGACTGTTTAGGGTAAAAACGGTGATAAGTAATTTGAACTATTTAGTCTCTGTGCCTGAAAATGGGCAGTAATGGGCTGCGCTGTTCTACATGCTATATCGGTCTCGGCATGCGCATAGACTTAATTAATAAGTTTTCATCATTATATATTTTTAGAGCCTGAGGGATTTTTTTCTTCTTCTATTGGGAAACTGTTATTGAAGATTAAAACTGGCTATTGTGCTGGTGTTAGGTAATTACAAACATTCCATATTAAAAGGTGCAAGATGCATTTCTTGTGCATGGAATGATATTATAAATACGAATTGAGGATTTTCTTACACTCATTTACACATTTGCATCTATTTTATAAAGAGTTACCTTGGGTAATCTTTCAAATTTCTACAGTACTTCATGGATTCGAAATTTACCATTCTTGGCGGGGAATCAAGGTGGTAGTATTTTGTGTTATAGACTGTCTTCTAAATAAATCTTTTAAATGAATCTTCCTTCGACTATTTTTCTAACTTTCCAAGTCCTTTTGATGAAAAGAAAATCTCGAATATAGTTTTCAAGGAATATATTAAACAGTTTTCATATGTAATTTGTATATTTTTATGATATCAATGCATGGTCAAAGGTGTTAACGCACTTAATTTCTAGTGAATTTAATTGATTTTGTTTTGTGTTTAGATTTTTTGAAAAAATGGAGGCCAAGGGGGGCACGTCGCGAACTATTGCGATCCCCGTCAACCAGCGAAGTGCAATCGTCTACGCCTGGGGTAATAATTTACCATACCACCACCAACCTCCCCTCCACGTGTCGTCATATAATTATAATTCTTCGTATCTATTTGTTTCGTTTACTTTTCTATTATTTTTGTTTAGAATGAGAGACGTGCTTCTGTTCATGGCGCAGTACGGCGTAGCTGGAGTGTGTCTGCATATTATATACAGGATGTAACAAAACTTCGATCATCCAGTTCTGGTAAGTTGAAAATCCAGATCTCTTCTTTTAAACGAATCTGTGTTTAAGTGCACATGCAGCAGCTATTCACATTTATTTAACCTATAGCCCCGTTCACGCGTATCAAAGAAGAACAGCGCACAATAAATCGCAGCAAAAATCACAAGTGTAAACGGACCTTATAAATGCTCTTGCAACGTTCTGTATAGGCTCTCAAACTGATATTGATTTTGATCGTCTCGAATATGCACAAGATGAATTACTTTCACCTTCCACAAGTGGATATTCTGTGTGTTCTCTTGATGACATCATAAAACAACTGGAGGAAGCAGAAAGTCTTCATTCTCAAGCAGACTTACTTCATTACCTTCATTGTACTGTGTGAGTTTCATACTCTGAGTTTCATAGTATTTGTAGTTTTGTGAGTGTAGTTTTGTAGTTTTGTAGTTTTACGCAAGTTTATTGTGACAAACTAAACAAAATCTTGGTGTAATTCTTTTCATTTTAGCGGTGCTGAATACGATACTAAACTTGGCGGTGCACAAGGTTCTACAGTGAAAAAGTTACTTGAGGAACTTTATGAAAAAGTAATCTCAATTGAAGTTTTATTAATGTAATTATTACTACTCGACCTGCATGTGTGTCTGCCTTCCATGTCATCTTGCAGACATACATGGCTGGTATTCACGATATTAAGTGGATCGGCATGTGTCATGTCCGTCATTTTTATCGTCACCGCAGGCCTGTGAGAAGAAACAATGGTCTTTGGTTCGTCATACCGCTGGCTTGTTACAGAAACGAGTGGAAGATTTAGCTGAGGTCAGTATATCACTCATTGTCCATGAAGCAGTCTTTTTTACCACAAAGTACACTCCCTCGTTTTACTTTTAGGCTGTAACAGATCTTCTTGTGCGAGAAAAACAACTCACCGTTGGATTACCAAAGGTTACCATCGAGCGAGTTATTGACAGGTACAGTAAGAAAGTCCTAGTTTAGGACTTGGTCGGTTCACCAGTTTTGCTATAGTGCTTGGTTGACTAGCGAACGAAAGAAGAACGAAAAGAAATATCAAAATGTTTCTTTGTTATAGACCTTTACCGCCGGATGAGCTTCATACAATTATCTTCAATATCTGCGCCGAAGACAGTTGTAACGCCGTTCTTACTCAGGTAGAAATAAATTCGTGTTTCGAGATTAAGACTCTCGAGATTGAGAATGATTCTAAACCCTGTAGATGCGCATTTTTTCTTTGCGTTTTTCAAGTTTCTGGCCAGCAAATAGTGCCGCGCGAAATCATTTAGAAAATGGGTTGCAGCACTTCATGGGAGACAATAGACTTTCTCGTATAGTAACTAATTTATATCACCTCCATATTCCATAAGATTTAAACAAGGCCCATTCACTTGAAAAAAGGGATGTTTTCATTAATCTGTGGGCCACTGCTTTATAGTGCCTCTTGTTTTCGCGGCCTATCCTATATAGTGTTGTAAAATATGTATATTTTTTAACATTGCAATGTAAGCTAAACGTTGAAACTGTGTTTACGATCGCCAGATGCATCATCCTGCATATGTATTCTATCTTTTTATTTTTCGTTTAAAGGAATTACTGGTATATCTAGCGATGTTTATAAGAACTGAGCCACAATTATTTAAGGAAATGTTAAGGATCAGGGTCGGTTTGATTACTGAGGTTATTGCATCTGAAATGGGGCGTCTTTTAGAGGGAAGTAAGTTATTATTTAAGTATATATCTCTATATTGTGTGTATAGCTATGTATCCTCGAAACTTTAAAAGTCGAGTTGTCTCTGTCGCTTGCTTGTTGTCTCTGTCGTTTTCGTGTCGTGTATGACCACAAGTTCCTGGTGGTGAACCTGGGGTAAAGGGGGGTTCGACCATGCATAATCGGTATGACATGCACAATCGACCATGCATAATCGGCATATGCATGCAACAAATTTTTCAGGTGATGTCGAGCTTGAGGATATTCCCGAATTGTTTATGAACCTCAGTCCATTTGAGATGAAGACTCTTCTTTATCACATTCTAAGCGGGAAGGAATTCAATGTTTCCAGAGGTAATGCATGCATGTTTGATGTTTCAAAACCTTTTATTTCTCTCTAATAACACGTCTTGTGATTTACTTCAGACTCCCGAAGAGCGCCGACTGATAGACAAGTCTCTTTTATGAACATTGACTTGCCAAAAAGGGTTGGAATCAGGAAGTTGAAAAAAACTATAAAGGTATATCCTTTCATGTATGCAGTATATAATATTTTTCTTAAAATATACCCATGAAATATTATAACTATATTAACGTTATCACAAGTCAACCGTGAGAGCCCATGCTACACCAGAACTTTTTTTCTGTAAGTTCTTAAATGATTTAATGTATAATCATACTGGGTTTAGAGTATGAACGTAACAAAATCGACAAGTGACCTGTTAAACGATGATAGTGAAAATGAATATAACCACGGCCTGGGGAAACTGGGTGTTTGGATCAGACGAAGACGGGTTGACGGAGCTTTAAACAGAATACCTGTTGATTTCTATCCAAAGCTTTGGAAGATTTTTGAAAAGGTGAAATTGTTAACTAGCGGTATAATGTATAACGACTGTTATTAAACCTTGTGAAATAACATCGTCTATAAAAGCGATGAAATGCAAAAGTAACAGTAGAATCTACTATGTGTCACGACTCCCCCCCCCCTGCTCGCTCATATCACACGTTGTCACCTTTTTCACTGCATTTTAAGTCACTTTTTAGTTTTTAACCTGTTAGGGTCAGTCATAGTTAGTCATGGTTAAGTCATGCAGCCTCTCCTTTTGGTGGGTCTCATCACTTTGCTGTTCCCACTAGAGACATTTTTGCGACTTGATTCCAATACCGCCTCACGTCTGCAAAATCACTACTAACCCGCAATATGATTGTCTTTAACCTTTTTATTGCGAAATTAATATGAATGATAGATATTCAAATGACAGAATCCTTTTTCAATTACAGTGCGCAGGACTGAGTATTGAAGGACATTATCTATCAAATACTATCATTCAAGAGGTTTGTTTCCAACATTAATTTATCGAAATAAAGGTTTGTCATTTTGGTAGACATCTAAACACTTTGTCTACGCGTTTTAGTTTTCAGAATTAACAAAAGCGACAATGTGCAGGATGAATAATAGCCTCCACTTTTTTACGAATCGGTGAAATTGTATATACTTATAAGTCCTTCCAGAGACCACCATTAAACAATTCTTGAGAGCAACCTTCCGATTTATAGCGATTAATTTCAACCTTATAGACAGTGAGGGGTGGATTCGATGGCTTAGGTTCATATGAACTGCAATTGGGTTTGAAAGAAATTTACTGTTAATGTGATAATGAGGCCTAGTTTTATTCTGTTTTACACTTTAGATGACTCCAGGCGAAATGAAATTTGCTCTACGAGTTGAAAGTGCCTTAAATTGTATCCCTCAGCCAGAATATCGCCAATTGATGGTGGAAGCTTTAATGATTTTATCTTTAATTGTTGAAACTTATCCTGATCAGAAGCTTGGTGAAATTGTAGCTGTTGATGAGATTGTAAGAGAAGCTCACACCCTGTTCTTACATGATCAGGTACCGTATATTTAATGAATAATCTTGGGTATGGGTACCCGTACCAATTTTATCCGTGTTCGGCCTTTGAATTGGTAGCCAGGGCTAATGTGAACTCTGTAAATGCACTACACAATTAAAATACCGTATTTTTAGCAGAGTACACAGAGTACCGTATTTTCAACAGGTAAAAGAACGCGGTGATGCATCATTATGTTGCTGTGCTTCATCGCGGGAAAATCAAGTTGATTGTGGTGGAAGTGCAGGAATATGTAAACATTTCTACGATTCTGCCCCAAGTGGTCGTTATGGAACTATGACATACTTTTCCCAAGCAGTAGCTGCTCGTCTTTGCTTACTTTCTCATATGAAGGAATGTACTATAAGTTGATACAATACGATCAATAGTTGATAGACGGTTGAGGCAGTATAGAGCTAGACATCTCTGGACAATTTCTCTGGAGAGTGTCAGAGTTTCCTGGTCCTCAACATTAGCCCCATTTACCCAATGTGTATATATTAAACCCGTAATACCCACCAGTGCCCTAGCTATTCCCTGATTACCTACTGTGTATGAAATTTTCCTTCTTTCCTTAAACTGCTTTTAATGTATCTCTCTAACTTATTTCATACTAATAATATTATTGTAAACATACACTATTAAGACAAATAATGGCCGAGAATGCCAAAAATCTATTTTCAAATATGGCTTGAAATTAACCCCTCCCTTTAGCAGTTTACCAAGTTCTTTCTCCAGTTTTCTCTTCTCCAGTAACATTTTCTCCAATTCTCCGGTACATTGTGCACTAATTCCGCTGACACACCTTGGGCTCAAACTCAAACTGGCCAGAAATAAACATGGCCGCTTTGGGACGTTTAAATTTACCAAAAGCTCTTCGAGAAATTCGGATTCATTTGTGCCAGACGTCGAAAAGCAGCCAAGGAGTTAGGTAGGGAAACCTGAAACTCGATTGAATTCTGTGAACATTAAAATAGAATAAATGCAAGATCACATTTGATTAGTGATGGCCCAACACTCTGCCTGTGTCTGTTATTCTTATTCAGACTGAAATTATGTGATATATTAAATCAAATTCAATATATCGAAGCCTGTGCTCTTACTGCTCTACGCGATGTTCCCAGTGGAACTATTCTAAGACATTCTCCCCACCCTTCAAATTTGAACTACAGTCGAGTAATCCTCTAATCTTGCACACAGAGATTTCCTAGAAAAGTACTATGTTGGATTGAAGAAAGAAAACCCAAAATTTCCATTCTTAGTAAGGGAATGCAGTGGTATCCAACCAAAAATCTATGCCCGTTATGGTAAGTTTCTTGCTCAAATATTCTATTACAAACTTCTAAATTTTGTTCTCTAATCTTGTGATAATTGATAATCTAATATGGCATGTTATTTGATCCCTGCAAGCACAATTATCTCTTTCTTTTTTGAAAGAAGGGGAGGAAGAAAATAGAGATTTTCAGAATTATTTTTTTTCATTAATCTTTAAACTGGGACAATGATTAAATTTTAAAATGTTATCTATTTAATTTTGTGTGTCTTTAATTTTGTCTTGTTTCACAGTTCTAGTGTGCAAATCGAGTATCCTATGCAATTTTCTAGCTTCTTAGCTTAGTACGTTGCTTTTCCTCAATAATACAACTAATTGAACTGAAATTATAAAGCATCCAGAAGTAAAACTATTTTTACAGTGCAACTTCAAACATAAAGTATGTAAAAGATTGCTGTAAAAGACTGATCTAATTATAAAATTTGCTGCAATAGCAACATCAAATCCTTAAGTAAAAACAACTGTTTGTTTTACACTCAACCAATGATGAAATGCAAAACTGGAAATTTGCACAACATTGCAAAATTAGTGACTGTAACTTTCAATACATCAAAGACAGCCATGTAAGAAATTATTCCCTGCAAATAGAATTGCACGAACAGGCTTAAAATGGCAATGGAGTCTGACACAGTATTATGTTTCCATTTAGGCTTTGGAAATGAGACCAGTGTTTCTCTGGCTGATAAAAATTGTGATGAGGTTTTGCAAGAAGTGGATAAATTAGTTAAAGCAGAGAAATAATTTTAGAAATTATTTGTTATTGATTTTGATAAGGTTGAAATATTTATGCTGGGTGATGTGCTAAGAATGTGTTCATAAAAAATGTTTTGGTGTGTTTTCTACATCAAAAGGAAAAGATGTGATATTGTTCAATTCATGTATTTTTTTGCCGATTAACAGTTTGATTTAAGAAAAAACCAGCCACATTCTATTATGAGTGAACAAATCTCCCTGATATTTTCTTATTATCGTAAATGGTAATTTAGATTGCATTTGATAAGTACCGGTATAAAGAGTGAAAGATAAGATGCATTAGCTTACAATCACAAATCACAATAGTATAATTCATATCAGCAATTGTTTACAATATTACATGTCTATATGATCACATGAACAGACTCCCACAATAACATTAATCAGGATTTAACATAACTACATTAATTTAGCAATTATATGTAGCACTATAATGTCACCATTGTTTATAATGTTATATGATCACATGAACAGACTCCTACAGTAACATTAATTAGGATTTAACATAATTACATTAATCTACCAATTACATGTAGCACTATAATGTCACCATTGTTTATAATGTTATATGATACATGAACAGACTCCTACAGTAACATTAATCAGGATTTAACATAATTACATTAATCTAGAAATTAGCACTATAGTGTCACCAAATACCAGGAAGTAATTTAGCAGTTTTTAATTTGTAAGCTTCAAAACCAGAATCATTTAGCCATCTACGTTTGGCTTGGGCTTCCTGTATTGGAATGCCACTCACTTTTGTTAAGAGAAACGCAACAAATAATGGAGATGCAATACTAAGATATTGCCAGCCCTGCATGATGGATGATGCAGGTAGATACAGACTAAACCACATCAATATTTCACCAAGATAATTAGGATAACGAACAATGCTCCATAACCCTGTTGTGATGAATTTCTTATGATTGGCTGGGTTACTTCTAAACACATTCTTTTGATGGTCAGCAATCACTTGAATACAGAATCCCACAGTCCACATTGACCAACCAAGATAGTCCTTCCAGGTCAATGGTGGATTTTTTCTCGAGGTGTTTAACATGAGCGTAGGGAGGGTAGTCGCGTAAACCCATACACCTTGTATTGTCCAAAATAAAAGCATCGTTGCAGGTTTATCTCGGACTTTATTGAACCTGCTGTCTCCACCTTCTCGAAGAACTCTTGTGAATAAAAAAAGGCCAAGTCGTGCGGCCCATAAGGTGATGCATGACGACTGAATAATTTGACGAGAGTGAAAGCGACCTGACCAAGATAGCATTTGCCATACTAGGTAAATAAACGTAGAACTTCCTGCCAAATCATAGAATTTCTCCGTTTTTAATAGGGTCGCTATAGCACAGAGTGTCCATTGGATGCCCATATCAATTATTGCAGCTTTAGCATAATTGGTTCCCATCTTATAAGGGAAAAGTGCGCAGAAATTGTTCGATCGACAGACAGTTTGATACAGACTGTAGCCAGTGCATAAACGCTTCGCTCACGGGTTTATATATCTCACATACCAGAGCGCTACTGATCTTCATATTACGCTGGATATATAGGCATAATATAGCGCTAATCCCGGTGATCTGGTAAAGAGAAACGGAAACTTCTTCGTCTTGTTTTCTTCTTTATGTAAAAACATTGCCTAGTTTTAAAATATCGAGTTAATTTGTTCTTTATTAGCTTTTAGCTAATAATTTTTCTGTATAGTGCAATTTCACGCACAAAGTGAAAACTCTCTGGTCGAAGAGGTAACGGATCATATGCATAGGCCTCCTCCGCAGTCATCTCTTATACATAGGCGTGCAAGCCCAGAAATATTTGAATCTAGAGAAGTTACCAGTTAGGGACCCTCCTCAGAATCTTCTCATGGACAAACAAAACGATTAATTTATGTATTAACATGTTATTCAAAATGATAATTTCCTTGCATTATTAAACATGTATGATGAGGAGAATATGTTTCCAGCACTACTCCAAACAAGGGCCTGTAATTGACTAATTGGTATATTTGAATAGTGTTACTTTGTTTGCCCATAGATCATAACAACTAATGTCTGTAATGAAGGAGCAGACAACTACTCCTCATTCGATGTGTGATGTTTTTTTGCTTCTATATTATCAATATAAAGGGTTTGTGTGGAATTGGCAAGCTCAGGATAAGAAGCATGTGTTCATCATTATATTAACATTTGTTAATTTAAATAGATTTTAAAAAGGTTATACTTTAATTATTATAATAGCAAACTTTTGGATAGTTTTCACCATCCATCTTCAGGCTAATTTACAATGCTATTTTCCACAATTGATAATTGTTATTATAATATAACCTTTTTTAAAATCCTGAAATTTGGTAATAAGCAAAAAATGTAGAAAAAAGAACTTGTACATTAAGTGTCAGTGTTTAGTTACTTATATTAGTCTGAATTGTCATTATCAGGAGCAGCAAGAGCATGTGCCTCACTGTCTAACTTCCGTGATAGATTTTCATCTAGCATTGGTGATGACTTAAAGTCTTCCAATTTCGCTAAAGGTAATTTATTCTGTTCAGTTCTTATCCAAGGTTTATAATTTGGATTATTTTTTGATTTCCACTTTGTGTAGTTTCTAGCAGCATCAGCAAAATTAGCAATCACCTAAAGAGAGAGAGAGAGATGAATTAAAATAATATCATGCATGATCACCTGGATTTCAATTGTTTTTCAAAAATAAGTAAAAGAGTTGGCAAAAATAACCCATGTTATGTAGAAATTGACCAATATGTAGCAAACATCAAAAGAGAGATTTCAGGTAACAGTAATATATAATAAACAACCTTATACAGCATGTTAGGCTGCAAAATGTAACTGCAATACCTTTGGTGCTGTTTTTGTTGCTACCTTATTTACCATCCATTTTGGTATTGACCCTAGTAAAAATACACTATGTAATTACTATTTAACATGTACAAAATAAACAAATTAGATTAATTTTAAAATATATGCATGGATAGTAAACATGTTTTACACCAAGTGATTGATATGATATCATAAAACATATTATCATGACTTTCCATAAGAAGACTTCATAAGTATTGACTTGTGTACAGTCCTTAAGTCATTCATAGTTTTGATAGGAAAGGATTGATAATCATACAGTACATATAGTTATTGGTAATATGGCACACACCTTTTGGGTCCATTTGTGTGACGTAAATAAAATGGCATCCGCTTATGCCATTAGTTTTTCCCATATAACCTGACATTAACGATGAAGCTCTTATATATTCTCTTCTGATTGGTGCGTTCTAGGAATGTGAAATCATTTTTGTCAGTGATGATACATGGTTACAATAGCTTTTATAAATCTTTTAGCAAGGATAGCAACGATTGCCCTAAAGTGTCTCATGATCGCCTAAATTCTATGTCTAAAATACTACAACAAACCTTATGTTGTACAGAATGGTTGCAAATCATAAAATTATTATTATCCTTAGTCCAGTAACGTTGAAAGACAAAGTCACGATTTCGTAATGGTCTGGGGCACTTCACTGTAAAAATAAATAAATTACTTTTAGATAAACTTTTACTATACACATGCCTGTTTAAAACTGATTATGGTATAGGTATGTGCAGTGGTTGGAATTTCCCCTATCCTTGCTTAATACAACCCTGCATTTCTGAACAATAGTTGTACTTGGATATTTAGGTTCATTGTACATGTATTCATATTTATATGTACCTGCATAATATCCCACATCACAATTTGGGTCTAACCGACATAGACCATATTCTTCAATCATCATATTATCCCATATTCGTCGATATTCAGAATCATGTAAGGTGTCATACAGTACATCTAGTGATATGTCTTCAAAATGTGTGGCAATCTATTAAATGTTTTAGTACAGTTACATATTTTAGCAACTTTGAAAACAATGGAATTGGTAATTTGATTTGCAGGTACTATAATAATATGCCTAGGAATGAGGATGAAAATAAAAACCATGATGCACAAATTGAACCACAAATCTCAAACCTGAACTTTCATAAATTTAAAATGAAACATTGAAGAGGTAACATGTTTTCTTCATGTTAGATGACATTTAACTAAATTACCACAAGGTCTGCCAAATAACAGGGAATTCATTGTAATTACACTTCTATTAAAAATTAAAGTTGTGGCATCTCATTGTTATCTACACGAAGTGCAAAGAAGATTGATTTATATGTATAAACCCAAGCATGCACATGATTGAAATATGACATGCTAGCAATTTCCCAATAAATTTAAAGAATCACAGAGCATTTTAAATCATAATTATATTGATATAATTAAGGCTATAATGATAGAGCATTTCACTGCTTAGCCTTGGGCATAAACATTTTATATAATAATATATTTCTCGATTCGATAAATTTCAAAATAAATGATAAATCAAAACTATGAAAATGAGAAGTACCATAAAACAAGTTTCTCGCTTATAAAGCTCGATGGGAATCCATGATAGAACAAACAGTTAAAAATTATTGTGAAAATCCGGTAATACATAAACATATTTGTACTTGTACTTTGTAAACTATAATAAGTCCAGTTAATATGGTGGGTATCGGGTGTCTATTCCGAATTATAAGTTTAATATTGAATATCATAAATACCTTGACCATTTTAATAGCCGTTCCTTCTTGTGACTTTGTAAATACATCAACACCTTGTTTGCCATATTGTTTCACCCAGCCTTCATTATTGTCGGCCAATTTTCGAAATTTATCGAAGTCAATCTTCGATGCCGGTTTCACACCATCGTTCGAACACAACGCCATGTCTCATATCATCAGGATTTTAAATATTAAGAAAAAAATCCACAATCCAAATAATGTATAGATCAAACTATCATATAAGTTTTTATATACATTTTAGATTACACAACTAATCCTGTTTCCTACGCTCTTTCTTTGTCCACATACACTATACACATACATACAGTATGCAATAGCTTGCAACCACAGAGGAAAGAACGCTTCACGCTCTTCCGGAAATTTTCGCAACGTCATCAATGCGGTCAGCATAGGTCATCCATCTATCTTTGCAAGTCCAGAATATGCAATAATATTCTAGGTCAGAGATTCTCGGTATAAATCCAATATCCCACGCACTATGTTTCAGTTAAGTGTTATGATAACGGTTCACTATATTCCTATAAGGCATGATCCGTCTCAATGTAATATCACAGCATGGTTCCTTTATTCACAGTACTAAAAGATTTCACGGTGTGGCGGGTAAGCTTCGCCCTTGCCCTTGAAATAAAACGCATGATAATACGCAGTATGACTTGTGTAATTTACCATTAATATCGCAACACACGGAGTGCAACCTGCATTTTAGCGCCAAATTAACTCAAAACCGAGGTATTTTGTGAGGTCCCGGGTGAGTTTGAAGCATTGTTTGAAGGTGGGGTCGCTAAGGGTCGAACCCGGATTGGAACTACTGTAAACAACCCAAGGGTTGCACCCGGATTTCATTAAGCTAGGGTTAACCCGAACCATAAAGAAAGCTCACTAAATATAATATTGTTAATTCTTGTGAAAGTATAAAAAACACGATTACAAAACACATTTATATGTACAGCATAATATTTTAGCTAAATAGTGAACTACAGTCAAATGTGCAATAGTTCTACTGCGTGTTGACTAATTAACTTTTAGTTCAATGTGCAAAGAAAATACCTGGCAGACATGCGAAAAGGTATATCTATAGGGTATGCCTTTGGATACCACAAAGATTTCTGAACAGCGAGCTTCAGATTTGACTTCCACTACCTCCCGCTAATCATTGAGCTCGTGGTTAGTCAGGTCCATCGCACTTTATTGGTTCATCTTCTTTCAATGCCAGTGGTAGTGGTGGTGGTAGTGGTGGTGGTTGTGGTGGTGGTGGTGGTAGTGGTGGTGTTGGTAGTGGTGGTGGTGGTAGTAGTGGAAGTAAAATCTGAACCTCGTTATTTTCAAGGGGAGAGACTAGAGAGTTTTATATTTTTCCATGCGGTAAAATAAGGTATTCGGAAAAATTTAAAATTCCCCCTCTCCCCCCCTGCTAAGCAAGTTCCATACTTAATAGAGAGGTTAAGATACCCTGGTTCCGGTATACGGGTACGGGTAGTTATAATTTGTTCATTGGAATTTCTTGTTGTTTGCACGTTTCATGATACAAATCATGCTTACCTCAAGAGGATGAAGTCTACTGGAAAAGAATTGTCGAGTTATTCTTCGAAAAATTGAGAAACACTGATGGAAATTCGTTGAACAAAATAAGGCTATCCGTACCCGTACACCGGAACCTGGTTATCTTACAGTAACCTCTCTAATGATTTGTTCTAATCCTAGGAAGTCGAATAGTGCCCATGTGTGAGTATGTTTTTATGTGCATAAACTTAAAATTATGGAGAAGTTGAACAGGCGACATTCCTGCCTTGCGGTATCCTGGAGTATATTATTTACCGTAAAACGAGTGAAGTTGAACGTGAAATGTTTATAACGTGCCCTCCTTGGTGCGAGGAGCTTTGAAAAACACAACAAAAAATGTCAGAACAATTGTAAAGAGATAAACCCAAGCAAAGAATCGATTGACGATATACGCAGCGATGCGCCATTCTTCTTGTCGAACACTTTCCTCTTGTTTGTTAAACACGTGTTCTGTGATCCCCTTCATGCCACAGGTTTCTTCTGTTCGAGATTTACGGATGGCAACTTTCAAGTGAAAACATAAAAAATTAGTGTTTCAAGACTGTGCAAATTAGCGTAGTTCGATCAAAGAATGGGTGGATATATCTACTCTGGTGTGATGATCCAGACTAGGAAACTTTTGAAGTGACGACCACTGGTGACGATTGCTGGGACCAGTAAATCTCATTATTCTTCAGACGTTGCACTGGTTCACACAAGCTCCTAAGAATCGGGGATCCGTTGTATTACTTTCCGATAGACAAAGCATTTTGCGCACCAGTGACCTCAGACAAAGGGAATCTCAGATTCTTAGGACAGGTGTGAACCATGCTTAATTGTACCACTATACATGCAGTATAATTATGTAAATATATTAAATACCAACCTTGCTTCCAACTTGTCCCGTAAAGTTTTTGTTTAACTTTCTCAACGGAATCCTCCATACGAACCAGTTTAGCGCACCATTTGAGTACAATAACCTACAAATATAAATGAATGTATAGGTATACAGACGTTTTTGGCCTAAATTATCAGAATTTTATGCGATGGTATATCATCAGAATTCAGAAGTTGTGAGTCGATGAGTGTTATGACTACCACGCAAATGTGGAAACTAATTTGTCGGCTTTATAAAGTTGTCAAATATGGTCAGTGGGTGCATATTCGTTTGTTATAGCCATTATATTTGGGGTTTCAACTAAAATAATGCTACACAGGGTGAGTAAAAAAAAACTGACAGCTTTGAAATTCAAATTAGCTGCGAACGTATGGCTGGAATATTACAATTCCCATGTACAATCAACAAAAACAATTTGATAAAACTGTTCTTTTGTACTTACAGAGCTTTACTCCCAAAGGGAACAAACTTTATGTTTTAGTTTAATTAATATGATATGCTTCGTATACCAATGAAATATTTTAGGCAACTTCTGTCACATTACAATTTGAATTTCAAAGGTGTCAGTTTTTTTTTACTCCGAGTTTAGTTCTGTAATCTGAACTCTTTTGGGGGATTTATGAAAGTTTGCCGACGATTGAAACGGCCTAAATCTGTTCATTATTCATACCTTGACCCATTTAGGGATAGGAGTTGTACATGGTCTTTTGTGATAGAAACACAACATAACAGTTGACATTCCCATTGCGAGTGACACTTGAACAATAGTACATGCATAGTAAACACCGATCATTGGATAAACTTTGGATGTAGGTGGTACTTTTTCCTAGGATAGAAATAGCTTGAGTATAGACCTTTATAAAATGTCTGAGTATAGTGTCGTAGTTTGGGAAATTGGCTAATACGCCCAGCTGTTGACCAATCAGGAACATGACTTTTTATTATTCGTGCATTTAGGGAAAAAAAAGTCAGATGCATGGGATAAGACGAGCAACAAAACATAACGTGTTTTACAAAATGCAGCCATATGTGTCTTAAATTCTCGTTCTCGCACCTGAAGCATCATTATAAGAATCGTGAATGAAAGAAGAACTGTTACACCATATGATTGTCTTTCTTGTGATTCAGGAGGTAATAGCAATACAGGGACAGTTAGAACAGCGATCAATACACATGGAACAATGAAGTTCATCATGTAGTATAATGTTTGTCTTCGTAAATAAAAGTAAAAACGAACTGTAGAATATTCCTCATCACTGTAAGAATATTCCACAGATTTTTGGAGAGCACTGGTTCCAAGTAATGTCCACTCGCCATGTACGGTATATCTAAAAAACGAGGAAATTTATCACAAGTGTGAATGAGTGAATGAAAAATGAAATCGTGCATTCCTACCCTTATAGTGCCCTTATTCCTACCCTTTTTGTTATCGGTTAGACTGGTTGTAAGATAGTTTCTTCCATTCCTTCTGGTGATATGATTGTTCATTCCTGCTGTTGGTATATGATTGTTCATTGCTAGTGCATGTTGGTTACAACTGTTCCTAATGGTATAGTTTCATTCCTACCGGGGATTGTTCCTTATGGTATTTTCATTCCTACCGGGGATTGTTCCTTATGGTATTTTCATTCCTATACTGGCGACATGATTTACTTATTCCGATATTATTGTTCCTAATGGTAGTTTATGTTGTAATATACAGCTAATGTAGCATAAAGATATAAGATACATGACATACATTTGAATAATAGATCTAATTAAATAATGCCTTATTTTCAGTGAATAAAAATGACTGACATACTGCTTGATATCTGCATGTCGATTCTTCGGTACGATCTTTAATGCTTTCTTATTATATGTTCTTGATCCAATTATCAGTTGACATGTTTGATCATCAAATGGAAAATAAGATATATCAATACTGCAAGAACTCCTGTATATAGTTTGTATCAACCAAGTAATGTTTCCATCATCATGAAGACGTAAGCGTGTTTCAACACTTCCGATTTCATCGCTGCCTTCGGCTCTGAAGTTCATGAAAAACACATAAAAATATTTAAAATGAACATATTTATTATAGAGAGGCGATTCATCAATTTACCTAAAGGAGAATAGGCTCATTAATGTGGAAAACGTATAGTTTTGATGTAGAGGGGCTTATTGGAGAAGAAGGTAATGTAAAACGTATGTATGTATGTAAAACGGAATACTATGAAAAAGGTATATTATAGAGAAGTGGGCGTATCTGAGAGCGGAATAGCCGCACAAAAAAGGTGGGTGACTTATTAAAAAAAGAGATTTGTTTAAAAGGAAATTATTCATTTTTAGGAAAAAAGCGCAGTGGGTATTAAAAGACGACTGCTTAACTTGTACCGCACCTCCAATATATTAGTTCTAAAAATATAGTCCATGAAAAAATACCCACCATACATGCGTAGGATCATTTCTTTCCAATCACCATGGTTCAATATTTACCTGTTAAGAAGACCAATGTCCGGTATCCAAACCATATCATGCTTGAGGGTAATCTTCGACAATCCATCAAACTTTGTTTTATTCCACGATAAACGTTCATCTTTCCAATACTATAATATATAGACATGCATGCATGCATGCATGCAGAGATTGAGTACATTCAATATTTTATAAGAAGATACAGAGTATAGTTTAGGATGTCAAAGATGTCAAAAGTTCTGAAGTGGACCGGGACATACCAATCGTATCCAAATGTTAGTGGTCAATGTTTCTGTTTTTTCTTCCTGTTTGAAAACAAAGCACTTACGGGTGAGGTGAAAGAAAAAGGAAACTCACCTAAATCACAGATGGGATTCCCCCCCCTGCTCGGCGGTCCATGTTTAGGAGAGATATACGTGCATTTAAGCCCTACTTAATTTGCATCGGCAAGAAAAATTCTATCGATTTCATAATTATCAGTATCAACTTGCCACTGAGACGAGTTTAATAAGGGCGACATCTAGTGTGATTTCGGTAGGACTGTTTCCGTTCCACGGACGAACTTCACGGCTGTAATTGCTCATCAACTGTTTTACCAAATCTGTTTGAAGTGACTGAGCTTGAGCTGCGAAATAAAAAAAAGTTAAAAAACTTAGCTTGTGAGGTATTGTTCGACTTGAGCGCTCAAACATAATAGCCTATACACTTTGGGTAGTCCTGCTCAGACCCGCAATCTTAATAGTTTTATATTATCAACGAGTATTATATGTATCGTGGTGCGACTTAGAAATTAAATTCAAAGTGCTCAAATCATTTAATTTTATCCTATATATATATATATATATAATATATATATATAATATATATATATATTATATATATATATATATATATATATATATATATCCTATATATATTTATCCTATATATATATATATATATATTTATACACTCGTTTGCAAAATATAAATATATATATTTATACACTCGATTGAAATCCCATGCAAATGTAATCATATGCAATTCTATAATTAGACTTCGAGTATCTATCTATCTATCTATCTGCGGCCAACGTTTTTGCAAATTTTTGCAATGGGTATATATATATATATATATATATATATATATATATATATATATATATATATATATATATATATATCACAGGTAATTCATATATTTGCGCTAAAAGGTGGTCATATACATTTGCAATCATACTGCAGTGACACAAAAGTTCGCATTTTACTGAACAGTTTTAGAAATCAATGTTATGTAAAAATGAAACTTCACCGACATTGCGAACGAATAAAGATCGACGAAAAACGCTTGGAGTTAGAATCAATTTTTAATTTTTATTCACGATAAGACACAGCTCATCTTATGATACGTAACGGGAAAATTTTTTTAAGAGGCATGTCTTTTATCCACTAATGGAAAAAGATGTTGAAGTCGTACTACTACTGCATTATACAATATTTCGTACCCCCGTAGCAAATCTAAAACTCGCTAAATTGCATGAATATACATTTATACCTATTGAAGAACTGAGTGAAGGTAAATTAAATGCTAAATGAATATAGATCCTATAGTTTGTTTTATCGAGTATCGCCTAAAACTTAGCAAAGATATGAAAGTGCGTCAGACAGAGGCGACAGTTGCCATGGCATTATCATAATTTCATTTTACTCAGAATAGTCTTTTCTTTCTTTATCAAAGCAACGGTTCTTAAAAGCAAAACATCACAAAACATTTACGCATAAAAAAAAATTGGAATTTGCTCTTGCCCTCTCATGTATTTTTTGCTTTTACAACGTTGAGTTTGGCTTTAGGTGATGGCCGTTACATGCAATACTAATTTATTAAACATGGTTCACCATTTACTTAGTAAAATATAAAACAGACAAACCTCCAACACGATAATTATCCAGCAAAATCGCAATTGTTGTTAGGAAGAACAAAGCGGAAAGAAACGAAACCGTCATGTTGAATAAAAGTCAGATAGGATTAATTTCTTGATGAAATTGTGAGTCTTAAAAGATATTCACAGGTCTACATAAATTATTTGAAATGCTAATATGTAACAGGTTTTCTCTTCATGAATTAATCACACGACATCTGTTTCTCTGACCGCAAACTGAATAGCTAATGAGCAAGGGTCGTTCCAGTGAACTGGATTTTTGAATCGAGATCAGGTTTTTGAGGTGGCAAAGAAGCCCACGCACCTTTTGAGATGGTAACACTTTTGTAACCCAAAGCTCGAGGTTCCTGAGGAATGAACCATGACGCCAGAAATAGTATTGTATCAAATAATTTAACTTCATCTTCGTGGACACGCGATGTTGCAGTGGTCTTAAAATGCTATATTCTATAACTCTTCGTCTCCTGCAACATGCCATTCAACTTACGTAAACCAGAGGTCAAGTAAAGAAGGCAGTTGACATGCGAGAGATAGCTGGATACGGGCGATTTATTATATGGCTTTGTGTGCAAATCACACTGGCTGAGAAATAGTTACTGCTAAAGTGCTAATGAAAAGCTACTTATATAAGAGTGTTTGGGGCTATCAGGCTTGATACTAAAGTCTATTTTGGAGCTCGTGCTTTCTCTGGCCCATGCCTAGTGTAAAAGCTGTGTTCCTATTGGCTAAGAGCAAGTGCGTTCAAACTCGAACCCATGCACCTGCCGTAATCCCGAACTCACCTCCCTGCCAGTATGTTTATTTAAAAGCCATGCATGCAGACGGAGCATATGCACCCGCGTGCATCCATGCATCGTTAGAAGATTTCGATGGAGGAGTATATTATGCGGTTCAACATGAAACCCGCCTCGGTTGCTTTGTGAGTGAATATAGTTTCTGGTATATTTACATCTGGATGAACAAATGTCTTATTTTTAGAACCCTGCAGTTTATTTCGGCACGCATCACGCATGTGCATGCGCGTGCGAATGACAGCAGCCACTGAAATTCAAATGACCCTTTGGTTTAGCATATTTCATTATATCACAATCATCACAGTCAACTCGGTGCACGTAAATATGATAAGAATCGAAATCAAGAAAGCCTGTTAAATATTCATTCATTCCCCATGGAACATCCAATGATATACCTTCCAAAAGTACTACAGTTGAAACTAAACTAACAATTCGCGGAACAGACGGAATGATTACCCAAATGCTCAGGGAATATTTGCTTTCTTACGCCCGCTGCATTTCTTAATTAATTGAGTTACCAACATCTGTTCCAGATGTAAAATGGAAATTGTAAAATGGAAACATGTTTTGTTTTGCCTGCTTTTCATTTTGACAAAGATTAGCAAAAATTTTAAACCAATCAGGTAGCAGCGTTTTGTTTCCATTTATTACTGAAAACAAATTATATATCTGTTATTTTATTTTTTGAATATATTGCAAGACAATTTTACTTTCACTCAAGACAGATAACATACTCATGCAATTGTGTATAACATTGAAGACACGCAGGTGACTACAGTAAATATACTGTCTGGTGAGTAAATTATTATGGTTTATATAATGCTATAGTGCTAGTGATGAGAAAGGGTATAGCTTTTACAGTTTTACTCTTATTTAGCGATGTATAGAGGTACAAAGCTTTAGGAGTAGGGGAACTGCAATGGTAGAATTGAAGATACTTATTAATTGTACGCTGCAACAATACTGAAAAGTGAAAATGTTAAGAAAGTAATGATTTCTTACTTCTCAGCATTAAAATACTTGTATATAGAACATATAGTTTAGCACGTGAACTAGAATATATTAAGTTATAGAAAAATAAGTTATACAAGATGATGCTTGCATGTTTTTCGTAATAAATATTTAAAATGAAACCCTAGCAATGTCATTAACTCGTGTTTACCTTTGACAACGCATGTTTACCTTTTCGGATGGCTGTTATCGAATGATTACATTTAGTTCCATGCGGCAACTTACTTTAGAGAGCTGCACATCATCATGCATAAACAATAGTTTCTGCTGATTCAAACAATGATGATTGATTGTGGCGCGATATTCAGGGTATAATTTTTGTCTGATTTTTTTTACATCGTGCTGATAAGGCAAATCAACGGTTAGTTCTATTCATAGATGCTCGATAATCATGAGTTCTATTAGACTGCTTTATCTGAGTTCGACAGTGATACTCATGATATATCATGATGTACTTCAGAACCTTTATGGCATTTTATGTAAGCGTATATCTTTTTATCAAAAACTACATTTTCTTGATGCCTTAACCTTTCGTCAAATCAACATATATAGTCACACCATAGTTAACAGAAGACCTCACACGAGCAGATACTCTGCTTGTTCTATCAATCAATCAATCAATCAATCAGACAGACGATGCATTTTCTCTCCGTTTCCGTTAATTAAAGAAAGCCTGTTAATGTACATGTAGAAGAAAACTGACACAGTGTAAAAGTCTGAAATATAAAAAAGATGTCAGGACCGTCGTGAAAGAAAAGTAGGCAGAAAATGAACGTTAGTCATCCGTATTGTGCGTGCATGAGAGTGAGAGTTTGTAGAGAAGCTAACGGGAAAACTTTCATCAGCTGAAGACCACCGGAAGGTTTGAAAAATGGTCACCTGTTTGCAGGGACTTAAATCCTGTGAGGATTTGGGAGGCATGCAGAAACCAAGGGAGCCGCAAGAACGATAATTTGGGGGGGGAGGCAGATATTCAAATATTCTAGTTTACATGCCGTAAGAACAATTGATTTCCAAAGAAGAAGAAAGAAATAGTGTACAACAAGAATATATGAATCTTGCTCCCCCCAATTATCGTTCTTCCGGCGCTCCTGGTAGAAGCCAAAAATTTTTCTCCTTTCAACTATATATATAGGCTGGGGTTGGAACATCAAATATTCATGTATAATATTCTAAGTTCTGAAGATTAGACCGATGGTGATTCATGGCTGTTGCAATTTTGAAATGCCTTATTGTTAGCTGTTACTGCAATTTCATTGACTGCATGGACACTATACTGAATCCATACACGTACATCTACGAATGTCGGAACATAATGCCGGGAAGTCGATTATAGGATGATTGTCAAAAGGGTTTTTTTCTACTCTATTTACAATCGGTAATATAACGACAACTAATTGTGCAAATAATAAAGAAAGATCATAATCATGCTGTATAAGATTTCCTTTGATTAATTTGCATTTAAATGACCCTATACAACATCTATATAAATGTGTTTTAATGTCAGTTCCTTGAGTTCACAGTCAGAAGCAATAATGTATTATCTGTATCGGATATCCAAAAAGCAATTTGTTAATTCTAATGACATTCAAAATCAACATAATAGAGTCTTTAAATTTACCTCAAGATTATGGCGGTGGAAATTATATTTTAGATCGCCGAATTTCCGATAACTTAATCAAATAGGCGTTAATTCGGCTGTAAAAGAATCATCAAGCATCTCCCGATCATTGATTCGTTCATTTTCATAATTTTTGTGTTGTCCCTGACAAATTAAATTAAGGTTGTATAGTATTCCAGTATATTAGGAAAACACTCAAGATTCATATCATGTATAATCTATTTTGAATACTGAAAAGTCTTGCACAGGAGATTTTAAATAATTCTCTTCAAAAAACAAACTTTTATTACACGAATTTTAGTTCCGTGTTTTTAATTCTCCATACAAAGTTGAATGAAAATATAGTGCCTACTCTCAGGTGGATGGGCAAGAATGATTTCAGCAAAAATGCCTGACTTATTATCATCTCCGTAATATCTTCGGCCTCGAATGTCCGTCTATATTAACAGGGTGTATCAAAATATACTGATACATGCATGCACCCTGTATATGCTTGGATAGAGACTTATAGCAACGTCAGTATAAATGCTTTCAGACTACGGTACGATTTCATTCAATACAAATTCCACTATATTGTTCAAATAATTACTTAATTGGATTTTTGGTACAGCATGCATAGAAAAATAGCATCCTAGCTTACGCAGTATAAATGTTGACAGTTTTTCTGCATGGAGAACGAAGAATCTTTCCTTACTGCATGATTACGGTTTTGTATGAAACAAGCCACTAGCGGAAAGGAGTAATACCGTAGCAACAACCATTATCCAGCAAATGTCTTTGATTGACATTGCAGACAACAAGAGTGAAACGACATGCTCTGTAGCACACAAACATCAAAGTCTCCGACTCGAGCTCGAGTGTCTCTTCTCTCATTATTGGATGGATTAGTTCTGTGAGAGTATGCACGAAAAGTTTACATAAAGAACAGGATTTGCATTTATTAATATTTGAATGGCTGACTTAATTGTACAACGACTTTAAAATCTTTATTTTTAGAATAAGAATATACGCAGAGATGTGCAACCGTTTGTTTCTAACTGCATGCAGCATTTTAACAGTAATATACGCGCTATGTATGCCTTTGTCTTTGGTTTTCCAGCCACACACAATATACTCTCGAAAAAAGAACTAAAAACTAAGACAACCTCAGACTGTATATCGGATAAGAAAAGGAAAATTACCGAACAAGTTTTCAATTATTATCAATCATGCATGAAAAGCTACTATATAAAGATGTGATAGTCAAAGATGATGTCGCTCAGCTGGCTTTCTTCGGTGAACATAATTGAAAGTTTAATAGAGAAAATATAACTAAAAAAACTACATGTAGTGACTGCATGTGTAAGCTTTATTTTTTATGCTAAAGATGCATTTGCATGGTGGTGTTTGCCTGTTTGGGCGTTGGGTTGGGTTGTTATATATAAATAGTCAGTTTTTAGTTTTCGTCTCATCGACTTGCGTTTGCTTTTATTATCATTTTAATCAGCTATCTTTATACGCATAAATTACTTTAAAAAGGCCTATTTTAATATTCATTGCTCGGCGACGTTGTAAAGGTAAACAACGATTATATTTGTGATGAATATAAATGCACACAACGTCGTAGTCGTCCCAGAGACATCTGATAAGAGCAGATAATCCCACTTTAAAACATTTGACTCACCGATCACCTAATCTCAGATGATGAAACAAAGAAAAGCCAGCGATGAGGCGGACTCTTCTACTTCGCTGTACTTGCCAGATCAAATGCATAAAACAGAAAAGGTACGGCGAGATATTATTCGTAAACTCGTTTAAAATATAGCCTGTGCTTGAGACAAATCATCACCGCTGAGGCGGAAAATGATTATATATTTTTTGCGATAAAACGTAAGAAACCACCACAAAGATTAGTGAAAATTCTAACCTCGACTATAAATTTATTACAATGTCAATGGCTGTAATCATGACTGACAGCGATCTCTGTGTTCAACGCATGCAAGGTGTACATACAGTTGTATACATATATAGCTACCTATGTTACGACTGATGTTAAACAAAAACCCTGACCGACTTATGTTGATGAAAAATATAGCAGAAAGAGTGATAAATGACGTTTAAGGGTGGCCTCGGGTGTTCAAAGAACTGATCTCGCATATAACTTGTCTTCTTAATATTTTCCCACCTCCACAATTGGCCGAAGACTGAACATCCGACAACTCTTTTAGACTTCGATAAACGCCAATTATATACTTATATATTCTTTTGCACGCTGGGTACAAATCGTGCAAGCTTATAAACATTAAAAGTCGTAAATAAATAAGGTATTAAGGAGCTGATTTTTTAGTTGTAGACTTGTAGTATCCTACGGCTCCGGCTGCGGGTTTTTTTTAACCGGTTTGTGCGACCCGTGCTTGTGATTCTTCGATTTTATACAACAATTTTCAGCAATACCGAAGGCACTCGGTGTCTCAGTCTGCCAATTGGCCTAGTTTTGTATATACCGAATATCTATTGCATTTTATTTTCCCGAATTGACTCGATTTGACGCGGGTATATACGATTATAATTCGTCATTTTAATTCAGGGAATCCTATTATTTTCCACTCTATTTCAAATCAAAAAAGTATCTATGGACACCTTAATTTCAGTGCCAACTTTAATTTATGGAAATGTTTACAAAGTTGAGCAGCCGTATGGCTTTAACCGATCATTTGTAAACGAAATTGATTGCTGAACAAGTTTCAAATGTGTCAGGGTTTATCACCTCTCTTACCACATGAAAAGCCAAAATAATCAACTCCTTAATTTATACTTGCTTGTCATTGTGTCACAGTTTTAATATGCATTAAAATGTTGCAACTTATATGTATGGTTAAAAAGTTTGACAAAACATAAATCTATGAAACGTACTGCATGATATATCGACAATTAAAGAAAATTATACATAAACATGCGCGCATTTTGACGAGCCTAAATTAAAAAAGTCATAACTAAATTTTTTTCAGTTCACTAGCATGCAGCAGAATGGCAGTTCGGCCGGTTTCCTCTGGACACAAAATAGCATCCAACATTCTTCATTTTACATTATTAACATTCATGGGCTTTATCATTTGAAGTGAGAATCAAGATATATTATAGTTGAACGTTTCTCGCGGTCAACGGCAACGGCAGGGTTGTATAGCGTGAATATAAAATCCCTTTATGATATAAACAATTTTACGACGATTTATGCTCATCCGTATACAATATTATGACTTGTCGACTTTATATAGCAAATGCACTTGTCATAGAGAAATTTGACAAATAATTGTACCCAGACAAGAAATGAAATTTATCATTAAAAAAATTTGTCAGAATTAAAAATTACTTGTTTGCAAGTTGTTTAAACTTTAAAGAGCGTATATCCTTCCAAGTTAATTGAAGCACGTATGGCCGCGTTTGGGTGGCGGTTACTCCCAAAAGGGCTGTAACGTCTTCACATGACGAATAACATGATCATAAAAAAAGAGACGCGAAATTGTTCGACATGTTAATTGAGAAGAGACAGATATCAGCAGATGTCACCTTTGACTCTCTTATATAGGAACGAGACAATGCACTTCTCGAGTTGGCGGTAAAAGCTCTTAACTATACATTTTATATACATAGCTAAAAGTTAACTGCCTTTTTATCAGTAAACCAACCTCTGATGTTTATGACTCGGAAAATATAAAGCATAGACAATCCAGATTGTCTGCTGCATGTGTTTATGGATTGTCTATGGATAAAGTAATGTGTTGGATGAGTCGATCGGAGTCTGTCCGTCTGGCAACTGCATGGCAAGAATATGTAGTACTCATATTCAAGACATCAAATGCTGCAATATACGTTCCTCAGTGTAACAAAAAAATGCCAATTGAGTTGAATTTTTTATTATTTGTGTTTTCTTTTAATCTTTTTTCCCGACTAGTTGGCTTCATGCACAAACAATATAAGCATGCATGCATGAACAACCCGCTCTCAGTGTTTAATAGTATTCAGTATCCATGACGACTACGAGGCAGCCGCAGTAATACATTAGTCCTGCATGCAGGTACCTGCGGTAAGCAATAGTCGAATTGCATTCTAGGAAACTGAACGGAGTTGTTAGAAGACGTTACCTCTCTGCTATAACTATATTTATTATATCTATGAGGGGGTTTATTATGTTGTCAAAAACTGAATACTATATATATATCGTATTTGTTTCCAAGTTTCTTAGGAGGCATAATCTCGAATATGACTGAATGTACTATAGTTTAGGTATAGCTTATATTGCTTACGGGTTAAGAGGGGACCTGTAAGGGACGATTGGTGGGGTGCCCAGGTTGGTGGGGTGCATGCGTCATACCTCTGTTTGCTAAATTTAGAGTCGGTATAGTGTTTAATTCAAAAATGCATGTTCTTTGTCTGATCAGTATAGTTTACAGCAAAAACACTTAGTAAGGAATAATTCTTGGATGCATGCTGAGTACTGGCTCATACAAAACCGGCCCAATCATATATAACGGTCAGCAACAAATTCACGAAAAGATTCTCTTAAAATCGTATATATCACAGCATTCGGTAGGTCACATGTAACATTTTTTATGATTTGGTATCAATATATTGATAGTTATAGGCAGGTGGTCACTGCCGACAAGGAAGACGTTGAAGACGCTCCTCCCTGCAAGCTGCTCCCTAGTTATGTATATTGGAATATACTTATAATAAATACTATAATAAATGTATATTAATTCTGTATATAATTCAGGCCTTACATAGCCCGTGTCTACGCCAAGGTGAATTCGGAGAGGTTTTGACTAAGAGATCTAGGCTTATCAAAATTGGCCGCGGACACGGGCGGTTTTTTAGGGCGAAACAGGCTCGCTGAAGTAGCTACTGAAATCGAGTTGAAATCTTGGGCTTAGCGTATGCCTTGCCAGCATGTAGGCTCATTGAATAAACACAATTTCTATAGTTTTCCTCTTCGTTAACGCCGGGATTGCATGGCGATGATTCAGCGCAGGGTCGAACGTATAGTACTACTATATAGCTAACCAATCAGACCGTGGATTCCCTGCATTTCATCTTTTCATTGAATTGGTAAAATCAGTAAAACCGCTTAGGAAAATGTGATCCAACAAAATTGGATCGTGTGAACTCTTAAACTTCTTCACAACAATGAGGCCATTTAACCTTTCCGCCATTGGATTAGTCATCAGTGGATTTTCATTTTCTCACCACTCAATATTGAGATCAGGACTGAAGAATTGAATATTATTTCCGAAATACATGCACTTTTCAGTTTTACTTATATAAATGCGTATATATATGCTTGGCTCGTCAGCAGTCGGCGACCCCTGAAAATCGAATATTAAAATGGTAAAATCCATATTAAGAAGGCTTTTCCGAGTCTCGCATACTTGGTATGTCAAATGATGTCAAGTCATCAATATTCGCTTATTTTGCCGCGCTATATACTATACGACAAATTGCATCCACTGTCCTATATCAATAATATACTTTCACATATATAAATCACTCCGCGCGCGCTATACCGGTTATACTTGAATAGATAGATACGAGAGCTGTTGTGCGTCTGTTGTTCTGCGCTCTCAGAGTGCGTGAATACAGGATACCACCTGCAGCAACAGTCATGCAGCGTCTTCAAAATTGCCCACGCAAATATTTTACCGAATGAATGAATACATTTGCATTTTACTGACAACTAGAAAGTCAACAATATGACAATATGCATATCTTTAAACACTCCGTAACTATCCATAGATTTAATCATTATGCCTATCATACACCAAAATTGGGCGTGTATAGTTGCAATGGAACAAAATACCAGATCGTTTGGCATTAAGAGCCATGTAACTAATAGCTGACCTTCGGTGACGCTTCCATGTAAGCAGGTGTATAATATAATATTTGTATTTAAAAATTGTAGTCTCCCAGTATGTGTACATATTAGAGTGCAGTATATTAATAATGTGCTGATGAAGATATGTCTGCATGTCACAAAGGTAAAAGAATAATTTCTATGCATGACTACTATTTAGTCTGGTAATAATCCTGCACATCAATCATGGTTTCGTCTGATTTTAGGCTTCAAAGCCTTTTTACTAAAGGCATATTGTCATATTTTGTAAAATCATATCCTGGCAACCAGCATGCCCTCTGTATCGTAGATGCGCAAATACTGTTTGTTTTAAAAGTTATTCATATTGTAAGTAATAAAATTTGAGTTAATATATAATTGCATAAATCAACAAATTAGGACGGTCTCGGCTTCATAAACTATTCATTTCACGAGTTGGGATCGTTAACGTGTCGTCTGTAATTTAATTTTCAGTTTCAGCAGAAGGTGAAGATTGGTTAATTTTCTTTTGTGGCCTCTCTCGGTTGCTTACTTTGCCACACGTAATATGACACGATATATATACATATATATACAAATACTAGTCGATAAGCCATTGCCGCGCCAGTGTTAGCGTGACCAAGTTCAATATACGGGTCGACGCCGATCAAGAGCTTATCAGGGTAATGTAACACTTGAAGGAATTATTGTTGTTATTTAGATCCCAAGAAAACTAAAAGCTTGGCGTCACAAACAAAATCGACTGTGTGGCGAACAATACGTTGATCACAAGACGGAAATGAAAGGAATTATATTTCATTACGGATTGTTTAAGATCGTATGGGATTGGTTCGTCCTTCTTCTTGTACTTTATACAGCTATTGAGGTGCCTTTTCTGATCGCCTTTATTGTACAGAATGAAAATAGCGAGGAGTCTTCAAGTAAGTTAGCTATATTATTCTTGTTTTTCTTGTCTTTATCGTCTTCTTTACCCATATTTCTTATATGTTTATATTTATATTGCATGTCTCCTCGCCTGTAAATATATGTCATCACAATATGCCATATTTTACTATTCATTGTGAGCACTTTGATGCTGGAAATTGTGTTTGTTTTAAACTATTGTTTTCTAATATGAAGACAACATATTCCTATATCATATTTGCGCCCTATTTCTTTCATGTTTTCACCTGCCTGCCTGTACATGTTTGTTTTTGGCTCTATTTATGTAACATACCTACAATTCCTAGGATAAGAGCTAAAATGGAGATAATAAGGAGAATGTTTGCAAAGTTTGGCAAAGCTAAAAGGTTGCATATAGGGTTTCCCGGTTCACCGATGAACAGATGCTAATTACATTATATTTAAAAGCATTTAGCTTATGTCTAAGCATTAGATTGACAAACCATTATATGCAGGGGTTTATCAGTTACATATGCATTAAAACAATCCATTTGAAAGGGAAAGGACTTCAATATCCTGTCAAATGATGAGTGCCAAGCCAAGAAACACAGGCGTCACTGCCGTCACATGTCATTAGTGTATGTGAAAAAATATCTAAAGGCCCGCTTGCATTTTTAACAATAGCTCATTTCTCTTTTTTACGTTTGAAAGCCATAGTATATATGCAAGACTACAGTATTTTTGGAACCGCGCAATGCTTCGCGAAGAGAGAGATAGAGTTGTATAGCATTTCACAGCAAATTAAAGCATTATACAGCAAATTGATCACGACAGCTTTAAATATGAGCCAATATAGGACACAAATAAAACATCGCCAACACACGTTCTGTTAAGTATAATAAGTATAACACTGGTGCTCACTGTTGAATACTCCATTGGGAAATGGGAATCCATGCATTTGTAGGTTCAAGGAAATGTGTATCGTATATGCATGCATATAATTGAACGAATGTGTACGGGGGAAAATTTTGAGAACTTTTTGCATAGTTCGTCAAATTACAGCCAAAAATATCGGACGAGATAATATATGGAGGATAGAGACTGAAATGCTATATCAGTATACCTATTATAGGCTATGACCTGCCTGTTGGGGGATAGAAAAGGACGCATCCTATTTACCAAGTTAATAAACATCTAATGCGTCCTGCGCATAAGAAAATCTAGCAAGCTTTGTGTGTCCCTGGGTACGAGGTTTGGCTATGTGTTAGCATTTAGAAAGCCTTTAATTTTATTTCCAAGTATTCATGTAGTTATAGTTACAAAAAATAACCTCTTGCGTGAAAACCATTAAGAAAGTGTTCACTCGCGGAAGCCTTGAGTAGCTTAACTAGTTTAAGTTAACTAGTCTTTTATACAACAAGAGATGGCTGTATGAAGCCCGTTTAGCTTAAACGGTGGATAAGTCAAAATTAAATAACACTCTTATATCTTTCTTGAATGAGTCAACTTGAATATTATGCACTGAATATGTAGTTGTAACCAGTATTTTTGTATTAAGGTTAAAAACATTTAGTTCGCTTGTTGAATAAAACGATAGGCTTGCTTTCTATTTTTTACAACCGACCCCGGGACCCTTTGTACTGTTGTACAAGTACAAAATATCGCATGTCGAATAAAAGCCAAAGTTCGAGAGTATTATTCAAGTATTAGCTGATTAGCAGTTTTGTGAGGATTAAACAAGCTCTTTTTACATGTATTTTTGTGCTTAATTTTACAATGTCAATAACAGATCACATTTCTTACCTTTTTGGTTTTGGTTTTGCAGTAGTTTGATCACGTACGTACATGCAATTGATGATAAATTATTTTTTAAATGACGATTATTTAAATAAGACAATTTACGCCCTACGACCTACGTCATACCGCACACGCGCTTTACAGACGAGAGAGCAAAGAAAAATAACCTTGTTTTATCATAATTTGTCGGACTTTATCGACTGTCACGTATTTAACATTCTTCTTGTATGCATGCTTGGGTTCGATACCCCTATTACCACATACAATTTTAATGGAGGGGACTGAGTTCCATGGAGTTCCCCCCCCCTTCCTATACCAATACTCTCCTGAAAGGTCTAGATCTCCGACTTGGACGAACTCATATTTCCACATATGTATACAGATTGTTTATGTACAGACAAGTGTATTAAATGGGAAATTTACGTTTTCCCTGTTTCAACTTCGCATGTGTGGCAAGTGTCTATTCTTATGAAGAATGTGATATGTTTATTTGATGATTTATGAACTATTAGTTGTTTGATTTGGTAAACATATATATCTTGGCATTCAACAGCTAAATTTTAGTACGTACGAAATGTCGAGTGATAAATAGACACGATAATATCAAAAAATATATGAGTCATATGATTAGATGGAAATATGAAACATTCTGTCAGAGAGTTTGTTTTATTTAGATCTTGCATATGATTTGCACAATTTAAGATATAAAACAATGCATGGTGACTGCCCGGCGTTCGGGTAAATGCTGAAGATTCGGGATGCATATATGGATACCATATGACCATTTTGAGCATAAGCCCGATGCCAAATTAATGAATGGTTTTATTATCGAGCAGTTAAGACATATAAATGTCTGTCAGTACGCTAATCCCACCGCCATATTGGCATTAACGTCTTTCGTCAAGTTGATGTTAATGTCATTCATTTCAAGGTTAAAAGTGTATTCCGGCAGAGCAAACTGAAAAGACTGTCTATCCTAGAAGTATTTTAGTCCAGTTCTTTTTTGAACAAAAATTGTCAGTTGTATCAAAGCCATGCAAGTGGAACCATGTATAAATAGTGATTCATGGATAAAGACAGCACAGCAGCTGAGGTCAGAGTGCATGGGAAAAGAGAACTTATTCAAATTACCTCACCAGCTATATCACGGTTGCTGAGTTTCGCGGTTGATCGCGCGAACATTACCGGGAATTGTGTCATAATTATATATTCAAATACGAATCAAAATAGAAATATTGCGTATTTGAATAATTTTTAAAAAAAGCAGAGAAACTACAGATTCATGAACGTTAAGGGAAATGTTAGGGGAACGTTAAGGGAAAGGGGTATCGAACCCAATGTTAAAGACAAAATGCGAAAGTCAAAATGCGTTACTAGCATACATGCAGTAAAATGCATCGCCAGTCTGGCACTTTGCATGAGTTACCGATGAAGATCACTTGAAGATGTCACATACATATATAGCTACAGGACGAAACTTATACATATGTACGTCAGTCTTCAAGGGCAGCGCCAAGTACCAGGCACGTAGTACGAACCTTGTTGTCTTTAGCCTATAATAATATGCATGGTAACCTGTAAGAAATTTCTTCATCTTCCATGAACACTAGTTTTCTATGTTATAGACCCATTACACTGACGTCATAATCATTAAAATTTGACCTTCAGGGGCTGGTTGTTCGAAAGGCGTTTAGCCTAAACGGTGGATAAGTTAGAAATGGAAAACAAAATCATGTCTTTATTGGACAAATTAGCCGAAATATTTCGACGTAAATAGCTTAATTTTCAATGAAAGTACATATTTAATGCATGAAATGCAGCTTCAGTCATTCACAAGATGTATGAGAGGATTTTTTAACTTTGGCTTATCCACCGTTTAAGCTAAACGCCTTTCGAACAACCGGCTCCAGATGCCTAATGTGACTTCATGGGCAAAGGGTCTATATAACTGTTGCGATAAATTATCCTGAAGTCAGATTTTCATTTTTGTTTTGACAGTGAAATCAGTATAATTACAAATCAAAAGAAAAAACAACAAAAGTATAACCTTATTTTTGTCCATTTTCTTTTTTTGGGGGGGGGGGGGTTCAAATCTTCCTAGCGGGGTAAAAATCGTTTGGAAGGAGTGCATCCCCGGAAAATCTGTCCATGGGGAGCAGCTGATATCACAGGACGATTGTACCATTACATCGCCATTTTCTTCGTCTATAAATTCTCACTTTGTAGAAAAAATTTACTCAAATTTGTAAATGTAGACGACAAAGTCCGAACTCCAGTTCACAATTTCTAATCCACAAAAACGATATGTTTCTCCCTAGATTTGTCAAGTTATTTGTCAAGTGGTAAAGCTACAGCAACTTTAGTTGTGGTTGATCTGTGTGTGGATTTATTCTTCTTCTGTGATATTGTTGTGAATTTTCGTACAACATACATTGGAAAAAACGACGCTTTGGTAACGGATCCGAAGAAGATTGCTTTACGTTATTTGAGAACGTATTTTATTGTTGATTTTGTCGCCGCTATACCCTGGGATATCATTGCTGTGCCAGCCCATGAGGTAACTATAGTCCCATGCATAAACACTACGCACAATTTTAGGTTTGGTACGAGTGAATTTGGTACGGATAAAATTTGGACCATCTATTTAGGTATAGTCCAAATTTCATCTGCATTCTCAATTTTATCCGTAATAAAACTGAGATTGAACATAACGGATTAAGTTGGTTGAAATTTGAATAACTACTTGGCACTTGGTACTAAATTTAACTAAAAATAATATTTGTCCTAAATTTAGAGTACAACTTCACTGAGCCTCCTTAAAACAGTTCGTCTTCTCCGTTTGTTCCAAGCCGCGAGAAGATTGGATCAAAATTACGAGAAAAGCGTTTCGTTGTTGTTCCTTATGGTGTTTGCGTTCTCGCTGGTCGCTCATTGGTTGGCTTGTATTTGGTACACTATCGGTTACAGTGAAAACAAGAGATCAATCCCAAACTCATGGCTGACAGAGCTTGCAATTAACAACGAAGAACCGTTTAATAAAACGGCAGGTTTATATGGGCCATCATTGAGAGCACGCTATCTCACCTCGCTTTATTTCACACTAACATGTTTAACAAGTGTTGGATTTGGAAACGTGTCGGCAAACACCGATTTTGAGAAACTTTTTACCATTCTCAGTATGTTGATTGGAGGTGAGTTGATCTATGGTAGTTGCATGTACAGCAAAGATGACAGTAAAGCAGCTGAATACAAAATAGCAGTATATTGTCCAGTTTTGGTGCATGTGCATCATATAATGGCATGTCAATTATTGTCGATATTTTAGCGTTGCTGTTTGCTGCTGTATTTGGTAATGTTTCAGCGATAATTTATGGTCATTATTCTGGAACATTCAAGTTCAGAGAACGAATGCAATCTGTCAAATACTTTCTTGGATTTCATAAAATCAAAGGTCCTCTAGCACGTAAAGTGAAAGATTATGCTCGACACATGTGGACACAGACGAAAGGAATTTCAACAATGAAGGTATACATAAAAACTCTTATACGATATTTGCATGAGTTGCGGAACATCACCTGATCTCCAAATAGATCGTATTGAGTAAGCTCGTTACCAGCCTTCGCCTAGACTACTATATGCTATATCCCTTGATTTTCTATCATTATAACTTGTAACCATGCATGCACAAACGATTAGCTTCATGGTTCTATCATATAATTTTTCGTTTGAGCGGTCTAAAGAATGATACTGACTCCGTAGAGTGAGACGAGCCTCGATAATGATGTATACTGCGTAGATTCATAACATTCGTAACTTTTCTGATATGGACTAAATCAATTTTTCGAACAATAATCTCCCTGCTAATTAAGAAAATGCTTTCTTCTAAAGGTAATGAAACAGTTTCCGAAAAATCTTCAAGAGGAAATCAGTTGTTATCTGCATTTCAATGTAATCAAGAATTGCCCATTGTTTGAAAGTGCAGAGGAAAGTTTCTTATGGAGTTTAGCCACACGAATGATTCGGCTTCATCATCTTCCTAATAACATCATCATAAGACAAGGTTCGATTGTAGAATCTATTTATTTCATCAACCGAGGGAGACTGGACGTTTGTCGAAACGAAATCGTGGTTGGGACTCTTGGTAAGAATTGAGTATAAAATACACTATTTAACTAAAGATCCAGTAAAATCTTATTTTTTATAACGTTATTCAGGTGAAGGTGACGCTTTCGGTAATTTGAATTTAACACCAAACAGTGGAGTACATAAATCAGCTGTGATGTTGCGTTGTTCTTGTTGCGTTGATATCCATATTTTGAATGTCAGCGATCTCAAAGAAGTGTTACGAATTTTCCCCAAATTTAGCAAGAATCTAAGGCAGAAAACGAGTACAATTATGAAAAAGACAGTTCTCACCAGCCAGGTAAGAAGTTAAGTAGTAATGCACCAAAAAATGTTGTCGTTTTTTCCCTTTAACGTAATGATAGTTATAGTCTGTGGCCAGTTGTATAAAAGACTAGTTAACTTTTAACTGTAGTTAAGGACAGAATTGGCGAATCAGAGTTGTGTATTTCTGAGTTAACTGGGATTTAACTATGCAAAGTGTATCAAATGTGGTATAACAACTGCCTAATAAAATAGACAAAACACTTCTCAACGTTTCGATCTGAGGGCCTTCGTCAGGAGAGTTAGTATGCTAATGAATGCATAGAATGTTTTTTATTGTTTCTGTAGATCCTAAGTTCATGGGATGCGATGGAACTTGAGGATACGTGTTCTGAACACCAAAGCTTACATCTCTTTACCACGTGGCTTGGAAGACAAAGGGTAAAACGAAACTGTGGCGCGCATGGGCACGAAAGCCAGTTTTCCAAAAAAAAGAGCAAGAAAGGAGGAATAAATGAAACATTAGTCACACTTCCGTTGTGTGTTCTAAATTCAACCTGCAGCTCTAGTGATGATGTTCAAAAACGCTGGAGGTTTGCTAACATCATTGAAAGCAGTAAAGGGGAACAAATCAATGGTTTATTACTTGGAAATCCGAATAATGGAAAAATAGATGAGAACCATTCCGACGATGCCTTTACAGACGTCAGTGAACAACGTAACTCGGCGAACGAACAAAGTGAGTCTCTTTGTCATCACAGAAGATGTCGAAATACTTCACATAAGCGCCAGTGTGATGACGAAATTGCAAAAAACAGAGATTCAGGAGAATCAATAACGGACAGTTTGCGTCATTCTCGATGTTGCGATCTTAATGAAATACCATCCGATGACGATAATGAAAATGGTCACACAAAACTTGAAACAACCATTCATGATATGAACGAAAAGTTACAAATTCTTGAGAAAAAAATGGATGCAATACTTGCTTTTGTAGAACAACAAAACACCTCGACGAACTGTTAAAAAGGTTACATAGTATACGAACCGACAATCATGCAAGACTGGTACCGAGTACAGAAATCATCCGCATGCATTATACACGAGAAAATCTCCGAGACAGATAAAGTGATGTCGATAAATATCGAGACAAATTCAAATTTAAACAGCAAGAATAGGATTAGATAAACATAGCTAGATGGCCTAGCTGGATAGCATTGGTATAATTTTGGTTCTAGTTTATTTCATAAGCAACACAGTTGCAGAGAAAGTTCACACAGGTCAGGGTTTTTAAGACGTTTTTCAGAAAATTCATGAAAACGCTGAGACAAAACGCAGCCGTAAATTTTTTTAATCCATGGCCGCTTACCCGAACATTTCCGAAAATTAATTCTGTGGACTTCTAAGTTTCTTGTTTGCAAATTCAAGAGTTTTCAGGGGGGGATAACTTCTGCTTTTTAACATGCAACCTCGTATAATCGAGTTCAATTACTCGCACATGCGCATACATGCATGATGATAAAAACAATGAGAACGATAACACGTGACACTCAGCTTAGTCGTATTGTAACAGTATTGGTTAGTCTAGCTTTTGCATCAAACATATATATTAATATTTATTACAGATGGGTTCCATTTGTATATATATACTGTATATACATATATATATATTGTATATAGTAAATCATGCACCCGTATTTAACTTAATTCCCTCGGGTTTTTTAAGTACGTGCAATTCAGGCCTGCATGTACACAGAATATCTAGAATGAACATACAGAACCAGGGACGAACCGGCGTAAACAATAAAAGTCAATCCACTTAGATTAATGCATAATTTCTATTAAGTTAAATTCAATCCTTAGATAAGTTTACAAAGCCAAACGTATACAAAGGTTTTGTATAAATACCATATTACATGCACGTATAATTAAACGAGAGTAAATATAGCGTTGTCATGCATGGAGCAGATCGTATTCGTGTTTTTCACGGATATAAGCTAGGCTATATTGTCTTTGTCTCCTCTCCATCCTTTTAACAACTCAGTTGAACTCCTCCTCATGTTTTTAACAACAATATCATTTTCTCTTTCACTTGTCACTTATTGACGATGCTGATTCATTCCAAATCAGTGGAAATCAGGAGATGATTCTATATGCAAAATTCATTTTCCTTGAAATCTATTTAGATCTGCATGTATACAGATTTTCAAACAAACTACTGATTTTCATGGTAGACATGCGAACCACTATATATATTATATGTAACGTTGAGAAATATACGAGTACATTATACAAACGAGACTGAACTAAAATAAAGTTTCATATTGTTGCAGTTATAATAATTCATACCATTCCGATTTCTGCATCACAATTTAACAAGTTGAAACCCTTTGGTATTCGTAATCGAAAACCTTCTTCAGCTTTTGCTGGAAAAGAATTAAAACAATAATTTAGGATCATAAGTTTTAACCATATCTTTTTACAGCCAGCAAGAATGTGCATGCATAGAGTGTTGATCTTTTACCATGCACGCAGATTTTCTATAACAGATTATAACAGTTTCCATCTAACTAAACTTACGTGATATGTATCTTGCTATGATAAATTGCGAAAGGACATCCATAGTAAATTGGAGCAGTGTCAGCTGAATGCAACAAAACAGAATTGAGTATAATCCGGAGTACGCATTTAATGCAATGATGCATAGCTACTGTTCGATTAACAACCTACGTCGAAATTTCCAATTTGACTTTCTTTTAATGAGATATCAGTCCTTAAATGAAAAAAAAGGATGCCTGATTTTTACGTACGTTGTAATCAGCCATTACTATATATGAAATACGGGACAAACTAGCTATAAAGGAAGATGGTCTCTATTTCTGAAACGTCAAAAATTCGGAAAAGCGACGGTCACATTCTTATAATTTTTTGGAGAAACTAGATCCTTGCAGAATGAATTCCAATTCATTATCGATATGGCGTTATAGCTGCATGCACGAACTGAATATTTTTTAAACAATATGACAAACAACGATAAATAATCACTCAATTTTCATTGCTGGTTTCGTTGCTATATATGAGGAAAACTAGAATTAACCAATCAGCTTGGGGAAGCTGCTTGTGGGGGATACTTAAAGTTGCATGAATATAACGTTTTTATATATTCATTTCATGCATTACTTATGAAACTTTAATTGCTGCAAACTTTATTTCTTACTTTATCGTCACGGCCTCACCCTATATAGGCCTATAATTAAACCTACCGTTTACTCGATATCTTAGCACCAATGTAAGAATTGTTGTCTTTTCGGAAAATAAGCACATCGTCAATATGAGCTAATTCAATCTAAATATTTTCGAAAAACATGAGACTAAAAAACTCACATTTTATATGTGTGTTCATAAGTTAAATATAATGACAATATAACTCCAAGAACCTTTCTGTCACTCATATACCGAGGCGCTTTGATCTTGTTTAGCCTAAACACTCCATAAAGGAGGTGAGTTTCTATGAAAGATATAACTTTATGCACCTCACATTTGAATACAAACCCAATTAAGCGTAAAACAGTCCACCAGCGTATTGTCGTCAAGTATGACGTAAAATGTTATCAGTCCAAACAATGTTATTGATCCATCGTTAGGCTTTAGCGTAACTTCACATGGTGCTGTACCACGGACACCAAATGCCATGTCTTTGTTAGGATATTTTTGGTACAACTACAGATTAAAATCTATATTCATCATTGACGAGACTACGCAAAATAAAAGTTTACAATATTCTATATAATATTCCTACATGCATTTTAAAGCAACATAGCTTACCGGTGGTGCAATTAACATAAAATAATTTGTATTCAATGTGACAGGAACACTGTCAGGTAACTGGAACAAACAAAAGATTGAACATTGCTTCTTCATTGAACACATGCAAATATGCTTGAACACAAATAGGCAAAAACTGATTTTAACAATTGTAATTCTGGCTTAACAAAGACAGTGTAGCTACAGATTCCTTACGTCTTTTGAATAAACCATGTTTTGTTGTGATTCACTTTGATTCACTGCATAAAACAGAGTATTAATGGTATATGCTGTAACCCACATATACAGCATCTTTGAAACCTCGTTTGATATTGGTGGAAGTTCTTCTGGTTTGTAAGGATATGTTTTAGGATATTTCACGTTAATAAATTCTCCCTGTGAAAAAAAAGGATCGTTTGGGATGTATTCATGTACAATTAGTCAAAACTATATAACCATGTATAGCGGTTACAGTTAAATATATAAGATAGTCGGTTGCATGACACATAGCTATATATATAGCTATAGTTAAATACCTTATAATCAAGTTCAATTCCATTCTCATGAAACTGAGGAGAACGTAAGACCTCAAAATCACTGATCAGAGTATTGTTGAATATTCTTGTTTCATCTGATTAACAAGAAACATTGAGTCGTAAATAAAAAATGCCTTTGCCGTAGTTTGCAAAGCATAAGAGTCGAGCTGCTTTCTATGCGTTTTTCATACGCACGTACACGCACATATAAAAGTCTAAATCCCTTAGTATGTATCATTATCCTTAAAATAACGAAGATTAAGTGAATAAATCGAAAGAACTTTTTCGCGTATTTTCGCTGTAAATGTTGAAAAATAAAAATTTAGAAAGATTTAAAAATTTAAGTGCGTATGAAAAACGCAACAGTGAAAAGCAGCCATAAAAAAGGTATCATCACTTCTGTTGTTATATATTTTAATTATCGTTGACGTTGGCTATTTTAATATTTTTATCCGCGTATTTTTTTCTGCTTTCCGTAACTATCCTTTGTTATTTTAAAATAGACTTGAATTAAAATTTAAGCTTATGGTTAAAATACTTCATATATAGAATTGGTAGCTATAATATTAGGATTTGTACCTTTTATAAATTTATACTACTTACCCTCGTGCAACCTCGTTCCCAGGGCCTTTATTGAAAACGCGGAGGGGGGAGAAGAGAAAAAGGCCCTGGCACCGGCTGGCATATGTAGCCATTTGATTGGTCAACTGTATCACGCAATTAATTTATGCGATAAGGAATATTTGCATAATTATGTCGAGAAAAAAACTAAGATAAGCGAAAAAATATCGGGATTGTAGTGTGCAAAAAAGTTATTACGAGTTTCTGTCTTTGAAAACCAGAATGGCAGAAACTCCAAAAAAGATAACAGCTCGGACGTCATGTCGACTGTGCGGCTCATTGTACGAAAGTCATCGAATGTGTCGAATACTAAGCAAAAATGAAAATATGTGTGCGAAAATAAAAGAAACATGCAAAGTTATTGTGACCGAAGACGATAATCTTACAAAGATGATATGCAGGAATTGCAAGAAATTCGTAAATAAGATTAGCGACTTTATAGAAAAGTGTCAGAATGTGCAGGTTGGAATGCAGCAGTTATATTCTGTGAAGAGATGTGTAGAACTATCGCCTTCCGTAGTACCTCCATCGAAGAAAATTTCGATCTCAGATAATCAAGAAACATCACGTTCAATTCGGTCGAAAAGAATGCTGTTTGCCAGCGAGACAGAAACGCCTTCAGAAACTAGACAACCTTTTATACATGAAAGGCATGTACCTATGCTAAGCGATGACCGAATACAGAAAATCATTCGAGCAGCAGAGTCAAAACAACCAGTGGTTTTGGCGCATATTATAATGGAACACTGTCCCGTAGTTATGGCGTCTCTGAAAAAGTCTATAGCTGACAAAATAGATTCATCGTGCAAAGCTCTTTGCAAGCGCTCTGGTGGTTCAGTTCTTTTCGGTACGACATTCGAGAGTCTGAAAGAATTTGATTTCGACTTGGTATGGAGTGAAATGGCAACAAACGTACCGTTTCTAGTAGACATTTTCAAGGCTGTATCTGGCAAGAATGGTCCCATTGAGAGCGCTACACAAGTGAAATACGGTTTTACTTATTCCGTGCTTATGAATGAACGATGGCATGAGCTGAGCCGTGTGAAACGTGTTAACACAGTTCTGTTGATCGAAGGTGGTTGTTCTAAACAGGTATGCAGAAAAAGTTCTACTTTAAAGCATAGTCATCTGACATTTGTGCGGGGACTAAATAATATTTTTTATTAGCAAAATTTTGATTCTCAATAATATTTAGAAAGGCTAATGAAAAAAACATTAAGTAAACTGTCAAAATAACAGTTACTAAACGTGTTTTCGTAACTTTACATAAATAAAAAACAAAAAATTTTATACGCTTTGCAACAACAAAAAATATGTCAATTTCATATGTTTTCAGAATATGTTAATTTCATGCACGTGTCGATAGCCGAAATCGCAAGAGAAAACAACTTGAAAAGCAACAGTTCGAGATTAAACTTTAAGAATGTAACTTTATATGATTTCATTAATGTTCACCTTTTTATGCGTTATTCACTTCGGAAATAAATCGCGACACATCCAAAACGCCGAGCGCGACGTTTATAAGTACAGGCCGACGAAATGTACCGATTTATTGAAATGCATTTAATAATAAAATTTTCTTTGGTTAAATATTTACTCTAGCTGCATTAATACAACAGTGAAGTTCAGATAACATACGTCATCTACATCTTATCTTATTACAGTATATTAAGGAACAAATTTGCGATAGACAGATGAGATTGTAGGAAGTAACCCTTATTACAATTATTTACATTTGACGTAGCTATGTTTAACTGGAAAAATCACAACTGAAAATCTGAAATTATAATAACATGTGCCACGACACAACTTACACTATGATTTCCGATCCTGACGTACATATAAACTTTCGCAATAGCAATAATATCCTGGTAAAATGATTTTCAAAGTAAAAAAAATCTACTGGACATGACCAAATTTGACATATAAAGAAAAGTCAATCTGTTTCTCCAAACTGCAAATAGGCTTTAGACAACCCATATCATTATGCAATATATAAGACAGTGATTTAAGTGAAATTATTTATTTGAACTACCACTCACCAGAGACAACTTTGAATTGGTGGGTACACAAATACAATAGATTGACATGCTTTTGTATTATTGGGTATTCATTCCTGTTTGTAAAATTTGAAAAGTTTTAAAATACATAATATCCTTCTTTCATTCTTCAGCTTCAAGAAAGGCTTAACAAGCTTGGTGTGTGTCTATCCCATAGCAGAAGAGATGATCTTCTAAAGCTACTTGGAGGGCATTTCATGGACCAAGTTATAGAGAAGGTGAAGAATCAGAGGGTCTTCCGTGGCACAGGTGACAACTGGGATCTTAAAGTCCTGAAAGGGCATATGCGGAAGGACATCCAAAATGAAGACTTGCACTTATTTGCATCAAATCTAATTGAAAACAGGGTAAACTTTTCCCACCTCCCAAATATTTCCCCTAAGAATGACATTCTGACCCTTCCACGATCAAAATTCAGCTTAAATGTAATGGAATGGAAGAAATATGCAGAATCAGCCAAGGTATGTTAATTGTTTATTTTTAAAATTATTTTTTCAATATATTTTCCTATTTACAATAATATATTGTTCTTATATTGAAATATCTTTTATCAGATTATAACAATTTCTATTCATGACCTGAATGGAAATAAAAGTCTGAGTGAAATATGCATATCATGGATTTATAATAATAATTATCATAACAATTATTTACTATTCATACTGTATAGGTACTCATAGCAAGAATCCTCATTGACTTTTTTCCTCAGTTCAATTTTTTAAAGTCTGTCACCCCAAAGCATATTGACCATATCTATTCCAGTCAAATGGCCGAAAAGTCATATATTGCAAGCTTACCAATCATCAATGCAAATGAAGCAAAATATGAGGATTGTGTAAAAATTCTAAGAACTTATGAGAAATGGATTGCCGAAATTCATGTAAAAGCTGGACTACTTGAGAAAATGCCTCATGTTAATGATACAGCAATCCCAGAAGGGCCAACAGCACCTGGTCAACCAAATGCTCACAGACAAGACACCCAAGATGACCCAATGAGAGAAATGAAGATACCTTTCGCAGGTGACCAACTGACCAGAGTGAGATTTGCTGGTGCGAAAGATTTACTTGCAGGGTCCCATACGCCATCTGATCGCTTTGAACATTGTTCACCTTTTAAACCTGTCATGTTTCATACTAGAGCATCATTGTTGCAATATTCCTATTCATTGCTTCACAAGGCTGAATCAGTTAATCAAGTTGGCACTTTGAAATACTTCAGGGAGAAATACAACAGATGCAATGCCACTCCTTCAAAAGTAATTGACTCATTGGAGGGAAGTGAAGAGTTATTTGTTAGCATAGGAAGAGCATACATCACAACTGCTGCAATGCTCTTCTTTGGCATGTCTACTACTGATGAGGCCCCAACAAAAAATAAGTTTCCAGGAAATGCTTCTAAGGCAACATCTGCAGAGAAGGAAACATATTTTAACAATGTGTTTGAAAAGTTCATTGATGAATTTCTTTTCCAGAAGAACACCAACTCTGAAGCTGATGAAGATGAGGATTATGTTCAAAACTATGCAATGTGCCATATATTTCTCACCATCCTCATATTACAATTGAAGGATACTGCAGCAGAAGCAGACGGTGATAGAAATCTAATTAATCAGAAACTATTATTAATGGTTTTCAAATCTTTAGGCTCTTATAGCAAATATGCGTTGGAAATGTTTATAAGCATTGCTCAAATGGAGTGTTTGTTAACTCCTCGTTTAGCTGAAGAGTTCAAATGGGGATTTTTTGTCAACTGGAAAGGCGGTAAAGGCAAAAATATTGAAGATGACATGGCACAAGAGATAAGTAACAGACTCAGCAAAAACATTGTTCAGAGAATGGGACCAAACAAAACAATAAGCTCAATCAGTAAAGTTTGCAGGGCAACAAATGGCATAAAACAGGTTATAGAACAATTTGATAGTACAGTTGGCATGCACAAAGTCTCTACACAACACACAACACGAGACTCAATGGCAGATGAAAAAGAAATGGTTGCGAATTTAGTTGAACTTGATCCTTTCAATAAAGTACCTGGTAGATCACACACAAGCTTTCCTAAAATAAAGAGGTGCCCTTTGCTGTATTTAAATGTTGTTGAATACCATCAGTGGATAAAAAAACACATGAAGGAACTGAAGCGATAATGGTAAATACTTCCAATATTCTTTAACAGTACAAGACAATTAGCCGTCCAACTGCCTAAAATTATATACAAGCCCTTACACTGAAACATTGAGAAGTTCGCTTCATGCAGTCAAAGGACTGATTGTCTTGTTGTTTTCCTATCATAATGTAATATATTATTATTAACGGAAATGTAATTTCAGACTTTCATTTAGTGCATTTTTATATTATTTTATAGCAAAAGTTAGGCCTTGCAAATATTTTATCTGTTGATGTCACATTAAAATTATACTTCTACCTGGATCAAGGTCAGTGGCAGTAAGGCAGAAAAGTAACAAAAATATACATTTATCTATGCAAGGTGTATAAAACGTGATAACTAACTTCAACACACTATTGTGTGTGAATTATTTGATTAAAAATGCAATTTTGTAATATTAAGATAGATCGGCTGGCTTTTTGCTTCAGAAAAATTTGAATGCCTTATCTTAAAGGGGCATATGTTGATATGAGAGAAAAAACTTTGGAAGAGCACTCTTCATTCCAGATACCACAAGTATCTAGAAGATCTGTCTCTACTCCAATGTACTCAATTTCAGTCATGATCTTTTTTAGACTGTTTTCGCAGCATGGAATTTGAGATTCCATGAGCATCAAACTTGGACTTTTGCTGCAGTCAACCCCATTTTGATAGAGTTCCTTTAGAATGAGTTTTTCCAAAATGACTATATTGGTAGTTGGTAAAAATCTCACCTTTTCTCTAATTTGCATGGATTCATTGCAGATAGCTGTTGGATATGACTCTTCACAAACACAACAGCATCTCTCTTGTGTAACACATGAAAATCCCAAGTAATTCAGAAGAAGTTGCCGAAGGCAGGTCTCTTGTGATAAGCAGTATTCTTTCATGGATTTATCTACGTGTTTCACATTGTCTGATACGTCTGAATTGTTATAATATAATGTTGCACTTGCCAAATGACCTGAACGACCAGCACGGCCAATTTCTTGGACATAGGATTCAATGCTACTTGGAGGTGTAATGTGAATAACATGCACTATATTTGGTGCATTAACTCCCATTCCAAGGGCTGATGTAGCAAATATAACTCTTATCCGTGAGTTTTGTTTCTTAACTTCTGATATGATAGTCTTTTTCATTTCATTTGTTTGGGGTGCATGGAACTGTGCAAACAATCTCGCAACTGAATCCTTAGATTCCCCCACATATTGTTTCTCCTTTAACACTCTTTCAAACAACCCATATGCATAACCACAGTATTTGAGTTTCATGTATATCACTGTCATGGGGTAACTTTCCAGTTCAACAGACAATTGATTAGCAATAGGTAGCAGGATATTACTATAACTTTCATATATATGCTGATTGCTCGTTCGCATCTTCTTTTGAAGAAATATATTTCTACGATTTGGGTTAGCTGACACATCTTTGCAAGAGCTGTTGAAATTCATGCTATTTTTTAGGTTGCTCAACATATGTGGTGGTGCTGTTGCTGTGAGTGCAAGAAATGGAGTTTTTGGAAAGAAGGCACGGACAATGGACAAATTTCCAAAATCTTTTCTGAATTCATCACCCCTTGAAAACAGAAAAACTCTCATTTAGGACAAGATGCAGGTTAGACCACTCCATCTAGTTGCATAACTGCAATCTCTGAGTAGTGATTATGCTGCCTTTCTTGCCACCCACAAAATAGTATTTGAAAGGTGAATATAAATTAATTAAATTTCCTTGCGTATTAACAGCATGATTAAATCACTGGTTGCTAGGAGAGGGTTATGGTTATTTCCCTAATTGTATTGCAGGCCAATTAATGATTTAGCCAAATCAAACAAAATAGCAGAAAGTTCTTTTCATGCAAACTAGACAGCCTTGGATGAACAAAAAAGCCAGAATTAAAAAGGTAAACAAAATACTGGCAAAAGTACAAAATATTGTACATACGAAAATCTAGGATTGAAAATTATGTCCCAAATGAAATGATCTCAACAAAGCAGTTCCAAAATTGTTACGATTTTATCATGATAATAATAAGCAATTGCTTGTACAATAATTAGGGATTAATAGTATGCGCCATCGCATGATTTCCAATAATAATACTAATACCAATACATTCTTCCACTGCACTATGTGCTATGCATGAACAACTTTAAATTTATATGAATATACCAATAACACTCACCACATTTCCACGCAATGTGCTTCATCTACAACACACGCGACAACATTTCTTTGAAACACTGTACTTTTCATTAGATTTCTTCCTTTCTCACTTAATAAGGCTTCCGGGTGGGTAAAAAGAAGTTGAACATCGCCATTTAACATCTTGTCGCTTAAAAGTACACCTACATCATCACTTTCTGCAGTCATTTCATCCGATTTAAACAAGCTTTCCGCTACTTTCATACGATGATCAACAAGCTGGAGAACTTCTGCCTCAATACCGATGTTCTTAGCAACCTTTAACTGGTCCTCGATGATTGCGTTTAAAGGACAGACAACAATAACGATATTTTTGTCAGCTTTGGTCGGCAAGAAATTTGGCAGAAGTTGAAACAGAAGAGATTTGCCAAAGCCAGTTGGTAAAACAGCAACGACGTCAAATCCGTTTAGTATGTGCTCAAAACATTTAATCTGTAACGGCTTTAGGACAAACGATGGGAAACCTCCCATATTTAAAGCATTATGAAGTCGCTGCAGCACGTGTAAGTGGTGTAAACACTTCGAAGGGTCGGCCATCTTGGAATATTTAATTATCGATTTAAAACCACGATTCGTGGTTTTAGAATCAGCCGGTGCCAGGGCCTTTTTCTCTTCTCCCCCCTCCGCGTTTTCAATAAAGGCCCTGGGAACGAGGTTGACCCTCGTGGTACAATGATGTATCATTGGCTGATAATCGTGATCATCTCACATACGGCTGACTGGAGCACACACGCACAATGTATACATTGAGTATAATCGTTTTATACTGAAACTTTCTACAGTTTATTTTAACAATTTAAAATACTTTACATGCAACTTAAATTTTACTTCATGTTTTATCATTCTCGTGGCATCAATATTTTTAAAAAAGTATTTATTTCAATATTTTTAAAAAAGTATTTATTCCAAAAATATTATATCTAAACTATAAACACACATAAAACTATAGATTTTACTGGCATGCGCGTATATTTATATATAAAGCCTTTCATACTGGAAACTTTCAGTTATCCAAGAATTTAGAGTTATTTTAGCGACGACTTTTTCAGCGCCTCGTCAAGGGTTTGGTATTGTCATATGTTTCACAATATTATTAACAACACCTGGTATTGTCTTTAATGTAGCATTGATTTCATCATTAACAGTCTTTATTGCAGTACGACAAATCTAAAATAACAAAAATATATGTATATGCTTCGCAATAATTAGTGATGCACATGTACATACGTTTTTATCAAGCACAGTCATCTTTATCTATAGAATATATAGCTACTGTGTCCCCTTTTTATTAGTGATGGTAAACCATTATTATTTCTAAAATTAATAGATGTTAAATAAAATAATATTAATGGTCACTTAAACAACTCACAATTTCCTCCATTTGGCCTTTGAGAGGATCTTTAATTAACGTCATGAAAAGGTTGTATAAAAAGCTATACAAAAAACAAAGAATACATGCACAATGCCAACTTGCAATTGCAGAAAGGTCACGATTTCAGGTCAGGTGCATGGAGGACACAGAAACGCTATTCAAGTATATAAAATTCTGTGTTTTTTAGATTTATTATTTCGTATTGTTCTATTATATATACGGTGTCTGGGAATATCATAAATAGGAAAATTTACTGACGAAATTTAAGATTTATGACAATCGCACAAACCTAGCTCCACCTCTAAAATTGATGTCAAGATTACCAATGTTCAAACTGCAATCCTTAGCAGAAATCTGAAGCTCCTTTTTTTTGTCCATGGCTAAACAAAATATTCAAAATAAACGAAGGTTATAAGAACCCAGTCACAACGCAGCGTTTTGAGATGGTGAACGGAAAGCTCGTCCCAAGAAAAACAGGCTCTGAGTTACTATGACTAATCTTTTACTGCCCAATTTCTTTCTAAAATGATCACTGCATGTCCTTTCTGAGAGTTTGAAATCAAAAATGCGGTCTTATATACGCGGGTCCTGGAAACACATTTTAAAGCCTATACAGTTACTACTTACAAACTCCAAGTATAATATTTAAAGATATTTCTTTGCCAGAAACTGTAGCGGAGCCTTTATCAGAAATGAACGGCCTTGAAAAATACAAGATGAGATGACCACAAAGTAAATCTGCCCCATTGCTTTTGAAAGTTAGCAAACTTTGACGACTAATAAAGTTACTATACTATTTATTTCCCATTCAGTTTTAGTTTTACATCATCTGCTAACACCAAAACATCTTGACAATTTCACAGATATGGGAAAAAATACAATTAATAACCATATACTTACCATGATGAAATTTTATAACTCCATAATTCATTCATTTTTATCATAATTTTGGTGCCTTCCACCGATACACCAGTCCCATTAATCACTGATATATGAGATTCTGGAATTTTAACTTTAGACAGTTTTATGCTATACAGAAATGAATTTGAAAAACTTTCATTTCAGGATGTGATTTAGGAAGGGCTATTGTGAAAAATATTAAATGATTAGATGTTTCGTTATTGCAGAGAGGTAGTATAGGTTTGTGTCTTGCAGGAGGACTGTGCTGCACAAACATGTACAAAGACTGTGCTGTGATTGTCAATGCACTGTGTTGTGCATGCATTTTATGACATGATCCTCCTTTACTCTATAACTAAGAGCCTCAACTTGGTCACATGTGATATTTTAAAAATGTGTCTATTTTAATTCCACACATGCAGGTTGAATGCATAATGAAAGAAAGCATATAACCAATCTATTTTCATCTCCAAAGTGATAAATATACCATGTACAGTAATTACTAAGTAATAAACACAGTCCTTGAGTTAAACATAAAAAACAAGGGTATATCTAGGCCAGACCATGCCTTTGGGAGAAAAGGGTGAGATAAGACTACCAACCCTGGTAGAGAATGTAAAGATCTAGTAGAACTCTCAAATTTTCCACCTGGATTAATTTCATTGTTTTCGAAATATAATTTCTCAAATGATTGCATGGGATAGCAACTGCAACCCCTGCTAAAAATATTTATGTCAATATAAACATATAATCAACTTACTTATCAAACCTATAATTAACATTACCAACGAAGAAGTCAATATTGCCAACAAAAGGTGAAATTTCTAACTTATCCAGTTTCTTTAAAATTATTGGCAAAGCAAGTTTACGAACTAAAAGGTAGAAAATGGGTAATATGCATGAGCAAAGGAGCTGAGTTTAAGTACTGCTAAAGTGTATGTATAGTTCAAGATTATATATATAACACTCCATATCCTAATTGTTACCAATGTTTTGTACCATCTCGAATTAGGACTGGTTTTTATCATTTATTAGCAGTTTGTTCTTTTTCATTGTGTGTGAAAAAATGGATAATTTATACTGGGAATAGACCTTCGAAGGTTAGAGACCCCATCCTGCAGGGGGTGGAAAGACAATAGAAAATTCAGTGGCAACATCATAGCAAAATAATTATCACTCATGCATGTCGCCATTGAATTCTCTATTGTATTTGCACCCCCTGCAAGATGGCGTCTCTAACCTAGGAAGGGTCTATTACGATGATGAAAACCTAAGCATTCCTTATAAGGCCATATTTACTATAGAGGTTTGAGTTTGACGAGAGGAGATCAAATCAGGAAATCGGCTGGGATACTGAAGTATGAATGGATGTAATTTACATTATAAAATGATAAAATAAAATGATAAGAAAAAAAACATTATATACTTGCCAAAATCAAGACCCTTTGTTGTCAACAAACTCCGAACACCAGGTCGTTCCACGCCAGATGCAGTCAGAAATATAAAACAATTTAAGAAACGGAATATCCATGCAATCCTATTTGACGATATCATTACTACAATTTTTTGCCTGGCTTTTGATGGAAAAGCAATTGAGTCTTAAAATAAATTTCATAGATGATTTAATTTGTAATTATTTATTGATTAATTCATGATTTGATGATCGATCAAGATGCGTCCACGACCAAAACAATGGCAGGTCAGCGACATTCGCAGGAGCATGCGCATTTGAGAGAAAAATCTCTAATTTGTTGACATTCTCAATATCGTTCAAAATGCCTGGTTACCAGAGGGAAACTTAAATTTTTTAAAGATTTTCACCTGAAATTTTGAGAATATTCCTAAGGATTCATACTTTTTGTTCTTTTCTTTAAAGAATAAATATTTTCAATAATTATGCCCGAGAATACTGCTGCTGTAAGTAGACGTTTGGTCGTTTGTTTTGTATAAAATATTGAATATATATGATTAAATTATTGTTGTAATTTTATTAAATTTGAGAAAAATAGTGTATTTGTTGCCGTGTAACTTTATTAGACTGTTTATGAATAAGCAAGGGTAGCCCAGTGTCTCAGTAGCCCAGTGTCTCAGCAAGAGTAGTTTGAACTTGCAATCAGGATACATCAGCCAATGTATATCCATTGCTAATTTGGGTTCTTTCACACAAGAGAGTATTATAGAAAGCCTCTGGAAAAAGCAGGTGTTCCATATAAGAACCACATAAAGGTAGTAATGCACAACCTATGTACATTGGTGAAGACACTAGTTAAGTCTCTTGCCTCTTCAATGCAAGAAAATCAATTATGTGTCAATTGGTCAAAAATCTCCCAACCAATTTTTGTAGATTTCATTGACTGGACAAACATTCATACCACTAAATTAAAGTCTAAAACTAACAAATAGTTATGTTAAACATTTTAGAATGATAATGATAATGTAAGGGTTGTTGTACGATGTCGTCCATTAAGTCAGAAAGAACAAGCAAGTGGCTGCAAGGCTGTGGTGAATGTTGATGAAAGAACCGGCACACTAAGCATAAAAAATGAAGGTGGAAGACCAGGGGAACCCAATAAAAAAGACTTTTCATTTGATAGAGTTTTTGCACCTGGGTGCAAGCAAGTAGATGTATATAATGATGCTGCTAGACCTATTGTTGAGAGTGTCCTTGAAGGATATAATGGTGAGGGTTCATCTTTATTTAAAAGTGTCACCAAAATAACGAAGGTCAATTCAGAAATGATAAGAATCTATAGCTATAGTACATTCCAATTGCTATTATTCCAAATCTGTTCTTTACCATAGTCCTAATGGAAATGCAATAAAGTTGCAGACTGTGAGAAAGTGATTTTTTACAGGAACTATATTTGCATATGGTCAGACTGGTACAGGGAAGACATTCACTATGGAAGGTGTGCGTTCTGCCCCTGAGCTACGGGGAATCACACCTAACTCATTTGCACATATATTTGGACACATTTCCAAAATGGCTGGTGATGTCAGGTAAATATGAAAGTTCATTTAATGTATGAAAAGTTTTTCCCTTTGTTTATAAAGATCAATATTGTGCCATGCTTTTCTCTGCGGGAAAAATTGCCTTATTGGAGAGTTATAAAACTGCTATTCTTCATTGCTTCTGCTCTCCCATTGGAATTTAATATAGATATTTTTTTTGTTAATCAACAGCAGTCAGGGGTGTTAGTGCTGCTAATTAGCACATTTTTAACAATGCCAATGAGAGTTTCTACTTCAGGTCCAATTCTCACATGTAAGCTGTAGTGGAAGAATCTTCTACAATGAAAGATCTACAATAACCCCTTTCCCCCATCCATGTTACCATACAATGCACTTAATATTTCATTCTTTAATTCTTGACTTGTTTTTCTTTTTAAAGGTTTCTTGTACGAGTTTCATATTTAGAAATCTATAATGAAAGTGTGCGTGATTTACTTGGAAAAGATCAAAATGCACAACTGGAAGTAAGTAGCTACCGGTATGCTAAATAATTATGTTTAGTAATTACCAGAAGCTGCAATGTATGTACGTATTCTTTATACCTACTTTTAAACTTTTTCAGAATTATTATACACATGCAAGTGCTCCAATTTAAATGCTCATAGCAAAATGTACTACATTTTTTTTATTCCTAAGCCTTAAAAGGGTCAGTCTCGAAAAATGCAACCGAGAGAAAATAAACGTTTTACAATCGAAATATATCGAACGTTCCAAGAAGTCGGAACGGAAACTTTAGCTTACCGTTTGTAATGGTACTGAAAGTATAATTGTAGATGTCACCTCGTGAGTTTGTCCAGATGCAATTTGTTTAATATGAAATAGGTAAAAGAAAGACCAGACATTGGAGTCTACGTGAAAGATCTATCTGCTTATGTCGTTAATAATGCAGATGACATGGACAAGACGATGACTCTGGGAAATAAAAATCGTGAGTAAAATGAGATGGCATTATTAACCACAGATAGCGATTTTCAAGCGTTGTGAAGGCGTAAATTTGAGAATCTCAGATATATGGATATACCCATAGACGATTTGCATTATCCAGACCAATTTTCATCATGGAAAAAGAGTGTACACTCGGAAGAGCCTATAAACGCTATATTAACATTGGTAAAATTGCAAAGTTTGGTTGCGAAAATACGAAAGTAGCCAGATTATGTAGGCACGTCAGTTTAATCAAGTTTAGTTAATTGAGTTGGTAAGCTTATGATTTCCATTCTCACTACAGGAGTAGTACAGGTTTTCTTAGGCATCGGAGCTCCCAGAAATCTATGACTGACCTACAAGGCCACAAGTACAACCTGATTTAATGCTTCGCATTGCGTTGTTGCCCATGCAATGTTGGGAAAAACTTTATTAGAGCTATAATTAAGATCTAATTTTTTGCATTGTTTCCAAGGTTCTGTTGGTGCAACAAACATGAATGAACATTCTTCAAGATCACATGCAATATTTACAATCACGATTGAACGAAGCGAGAAAGGAATTGATGGGCAACAACATGTTCGTATGGGAAAGCTTCACATGGTTGATTTAGCTGTGAGTCAATCGTTCTGTTTTTGCTTTGTGCTTCCTCTCGTCTCGGAAAACCAGCCGACAATGAATAAATGACATTGCAAAAATATGAAGAATTTTGCCGATTATTACGTTTTAAATCACGTGTTAAATCACGTGTACAGCCAGATAAAGAACACACCCAAAATCGATCGCCTCGTCTGCGAGCTCGTAAAACAATCGTTAGTGAAAAACGTGTTAAATGTATGTTGATACTTCATGTGTTATTCATGTTAATATGTTTACAGGGTTCTGAGCGTCAGTCAAAAACTGGAGCAACCGGACAGAGATTAAAAGAAGCAACAAAAATCAACTTATCCTTAGCGACACTTGGCAATGTTATTTCTGCTCTAGTGGACGGCAAAAGCACTCATATTCCATACAGAAACTCAAAACTTACTCGTCTTCTTCAAGATTCCTTAGGAGGAAACTCAAAAACAGTAATGGTAGGTATCGCACGCATGCGACCGTTTCCAGGGAAAGTGTCATGCATATGATGGATGTCATAATATGGTGAGGATTGTTTTAAGCGCCGTTCTTCTCGTATTATTTTTTGCAGATTGCCAACATTGGACCGGCCGGTTATAATTTTGATGAAACTATCAGCACATTGAGGTACATTTATATACAGTATATTTCTTTAATTTGATTGCTCGGTGCTTTTCATAAAGTTGATGGTAAAACTCCTGCAATGAAACAGCCTCCAGGGATTTTTTCTATGAATACTATGAGAATTGAGAAGATAAGGTGAATTCAGGACTCAGTTAGGTGCTTTAGGTTGTCGAAACGGATGTTCTTGCAGTTTTTAATGGATAAAATTTACAGACTCCGTTTGAGGCATCATTATGACAATATATATATTTTTGCTTTCAGATATGCCAATCGCGCTAAGAATATTAAGAACAAAGCAACCATCAATGAGGATCCCAAGGATGCTTTACTTCGAGAATTTCAGAATGAAATTGAGAAGCTAAAGAAACAATTGGCTGATGGTAATGAACTGTCGTGTGCTTTTACCTGAGCCTATTATGCATGTCTGATTATGGATTTAGCTAAATTAAGTGAAATATCTTCAGATGGTGAAAGTGGTGAGTCAGACGATGATGATATTGAAGAAGAAGGTGAAGGGGAACCACGAAGGCGAAAACGTAAGGAGAAAAAAGGTCAGTGCATTTACGATTTCGTACAAAAAGTTTCTTCAATACAGCGTCGATTAAATACGAATTTCTCGATTGACAGCGCGTGCTAGACTCTGTATTCAGCAATACATGTACCTACTCTGTTGATGCTGTCGAACTCTGTAGAAGAATTCTTCCTACCAAAATGTTTTATTAAAATAAGATATATGAAAACCGGCTTGAGACTGAATGGTTGATCCAAAACGACAGATAAGTTGAGGTCATTGCTTGTTGCTTTGCTTGTTATATATAGGAAGAAGATGTTTATCTCCTGGTAAAGTTGCTGAAATGAAATTAAAAATTGAAGCAGAAAAGAAGGCTTTGGTTCAAAAGAAAGATATGGAAGAAGAAGAAAAAAACAAAGCAGCTCAAGAGTTAGAAAAACGAGAGGAAGACCTCGAAGAAGCAGAGTGAGTTAAAACATGCAGATGAGACTCAGAAGATGGCTGTCGATAGATGAGATAGTTGCACATTCTTTAATCAGTTGCGAACAGTTTTCTATGTCATTTTGTCACGCACAACGATACATTAAATGACTCAACATGCACACACAAAATTGTTTATAGGGAACAACACAAAAGACTTCAAGAAAAATTAAAAGCGGTTGAGGGGAAAATTATTGTTGGCGGAGTTAACTTGGTAAGTGAAACTAATGTGTGTCATCTTGTAGCATTTGAACGATGTATTTTGCGGCATCTAAACGATCATCATCATTAGAAAATAAGATTTATACGATGAAACTGCAATAAAAAGAACACCAGAAAGATGACAACATCAGAATGTATATTAGCAACTACTTTATAGTGAATAGTCTGGTTGCAATTATTGCTAATGTCAATTCCTCATTAGAAAATATATAAAAGCCGCTTTATTTTTACCAAGCTCGAGAAAGCGCAAGAACAAGAACGACTACTTGAAGAATCAGCTCAAGAATTAGCAGAAAGAAGAGCAAGAGAGCATGAAATTCAAAAGAAAATTAAGGAAAAAGAGGTATAAATGTCTGTGTGTCTTCGAACTTAGCCGCATTTTTTCATGCGCGGAAAATTTTGTGTATACGTGCGTATGAAAAACGTGTAAGTGGAAAGCAGCCTTAACCCTATATATGCATGCGATTACCAAGCACAAATTCTCACGTATCTTCGACTGCATTCTGAGCACCTAAATAGGAGAAAAAAATACTAGAAGTGAATCAGTAGGCTACTGCTGATGTCAAGTTTTCTTTATTTATCAGCAAGAGAGGATTGATATTGAAGAGAAATATGCTTCGTTACAAGAGGCAGCCGCTGGTAAAACGAAAAAATTGAAGAAGGTTTGGAGCATGTTTCAGAGTGCTAATTCAGAGGTACGATTCTTCTCCAGCATCTCTACAGGGTGTTTCTTACATATCAGTAGTTGATCTCGATCTCGACGCCACTAAAACGTGGGGCTTGTTTTAGATGTCTGATCTGCAGCAAGAACACCAGCGTGAAATTGAAGGCTTGTTAGATAACATACGGGAACTTAACAAAGAGTTTAGAAAGCATAGCATGATAATTGACAGTTTCATTCCACAGGAATTTCAGGTTAGTAATATTAGGAATATTGTAGCTCACATGATATTTTAAAACGAAAAAGGCCTCGAAACTCTCACTCGCACACTGAGAGAGAGGTGTTACAATCGTATCAGGATGATTTATCAGTCTAAATGATGAAATTTGTCTTGTGAGTTTCGCTTCATTTCATTTTTTTAAGTAGTTTAACCTGGTAGGCTGGTTTGCCTTTTTCCAAACCACTGAGAAATTGGTTTCGACATTTTCCGCCTGTTTGCATGCAGCCGTTGTATATAACGGTCATCCTGGCATTATTTTGCATTAATGGAGTTCTTTCTTTATAGCAAATGATTGAAGAGAATGCGACCTGGAATGAGGACATAGGAGAATGGCAATTGGTTAGATTTACCAGACTCCTTATTTTGACGAAGCAAGCATTGACACTTGCTGTGCTTTTACACCAAGCTTCACAAAAAGAACATGTGTTATGTTCTCTCTTAGCTAAGTTTTTGAATCATACATGTATTTAACTTGTGCACTCGTGAATATTGCTCGGTTGATGGTTTCTTTTTTGCGATTTCCACAGCGTTTTGTTGCTTACACTGGTAATAATATGAGAAAATCAAGTCCAAGCCCTGAATCTAGGGAGAGAAATAAAGAGGTAAAATATCTTGAGAGAAAAAAAGATACCTTGATTGAAATGATCTCGTTCTAAATTACACGAGCATTCTCAAAAGTTGTAATAATGGCCATGCACACGTCACCCCCTGACTCTAACATTTCAGAATAAGATGCCGTTCAGTTTATATTTAATACTTGTGTATTATTTGTATAGCATCCGGAAGTGGATATTTCCAATGTCTATCTGACATATTCACTGCCAGGATATGATGGTGTGACTGGAGAACCACTTCGACCTAAAACTACTGCAAGACCAAAATCGTCGAGGCCAAAATCCTCAAGACCGAAGACGGCAAAAAAGTAAGACTTGAATTTTTATAAAGATCTATAAGATCTATAAGAACAAACATGCGCCAAAACAGTACCTAGAGTTGCAGCATAGTTATTGGTCACAGTCCACACCAGGAACGTACACGCACTCTTGATATGTGTACTATATCGTTAAGCTGGTTTCCATTTAGTCGTAATTGTCGTGAACAAGTCATTTTCACTGATGAGAAATAGTCAGGATGGAAATTTCCGTATTCAAATCGGTAATTGTTTACTGCACAGAAATAGAAATATTCTATATCACATCAGCCACCTTGACATGTTCACTTAACGACTTAATGGAACCAGGCATTACACGGTTGACACCTAATATGCATGTAGCTAGTATGAGTATTTGCTATTACTTCATTTCTTCCCGCATCTTGCCAAAGCAGTTTCCAAGTCAAGATTACAGTTTTTTGTAATGTTGATTAGATATTATTCATCCAGTTGAACTGTAACAAATGAAACACAACATTACTGACTCGTGTAGCGTCGTAATATTCCGACTTACCGGAAATAATGCATATATATTCATGTCTGGACACATAGCTGTATTTCTTGTGTTAGAAAATCCAAAGCTAAAGAAAGCGTTGAAGAGGTCAGTTCAAGTTTTCAAAAACAAAGTATTCAAGAACACTATCCAGAGTCAAGGAAAAGCTGGAGTGCGAAGACACACTTTGCTTAGAAATCTTGGAAACATGCACCTGCACGTTTTGTATGCTATATGCATCCTCTGGTGAAAACAACTTTCAATTTTCAAATTTTTATCTGTACATACGATATCTAATGTATTTATTTGTAAATGTCCCGATTATAAGTTATAAAGACAAATAACCTATTTGAACGTTTAAACTTATTTGGCTTTGATTTAATTAACATGCAGGATCTGAAGACAAGCTGTGTTTCTTGTTAGTTTCTTGTTTGTAGGCAGTATAAACTGTGAATTATCTTGATTATTATTGGAACCGTCCAGTTTATTTTAATATTTGAGAGTTTAACAAGCAAAATTCAGCCAGTGGAAAACAGGCTTAAGCTAGGCCCCTGATAAAATTTTGTTAGATCATCCTGGCCTGATCCACGCGCTTGCATGGAATACAATTAAAGGCGATTCTCCATTACGTCTGCTCCGCCCGCGCGGGCGAAGCGCGCTTTGTTTTTCAGACCTGTCACGGTCGCATGGACAGATTTTCAAAGGCAGCTTCGCCCGCGCGGGTGAAGCGGACGTAATGGAGAATAGCCTTAAAAGCTATTTAAAATTCCCAGGGTAACAAAGGAAGCTAACTATCCATTGTCTTTAATAGGGAAAAGGCTTAGCCTCGGGAGCTGAAGTTAATCAATACTATGCTCTTATATCATGGTTATGTTATCTTTGCAATCCCCACAGCGATGACAAATCCGTGCCATTCACCGTTGTTGGCATTCACCAAAAATTAATCATGTTATGTAAAATACGGTAACATGGATAACACGGAGTTGGAGTTCCGGAGCCGGAGTTTCGGAGTTGGAGTCCCGGAGTCAAAATTACGGAGTCTGACGTAATAATATTGGAAAACACGGAGTCACAAATTATGGAAAACACGCAGTCTGTTAAAAATATGGAAAACACGGAGTCACAAATCATGGAAAACACGGAGTCTGTTAAAAATATGGGAAACATGGAGTAAAAAATTATGGAAAACTCGGAGTCTGTTAAAAATATGGAAAACACGGAGTACAAATGTTTGGAAGTCTGCCAAGCTCAGTGGTCAATGACTCAACGTGAATTATGCAAATTTGATGGCGTGTTTTAAACAACATGGTGTCAAATTCGCGAAACGTTTTTGCTATTCCGCAAATGGTAAATAAACGACCGAAAAACTTATCCTTAAACATAAATTGTATTCCTCAAATTAAATGGGAGGATATTGTAGCCAAAGAGGAAATTGGATGTGGCAGTTTTGGTGTGATTTAAGGTGATATTAGGATACGTGATGTAGTTAGCTACAACAATAATTCTATGACTTTGAGCAAGAGGCATTATAGCTATAATCTTTTGTTATTGTGTATTCTTTCTTTTATACTATTACTGTGGTATAAAAAAATTAGTATAGACTTATGAGCGATCCTTCATTTATGAATATATGTATAATTTACGTTGACTCCGTGTTTTCCAAACATTTATACTCCGTGTTTTCCATGTTTTTGGCAGACTACGTGTTTTCCATTATTATTACGTCAGACTCCGTAATTTTGACTCCGAGACTCCGGCTCCGAAACTCCGGCTCCGAAACTCCGGCTCCGGAATTCCGACTCCGTGTTATCTATGTTGTGATGTGGCAACGTTGAATCAAAGCTAGATATTTATTTCACCCGCTCCTCGTGTTGCAAAATAAAGTCATCCTATTGGCTGAACACTCCCGGCCTGACAGCTCAACATTGCTTCTGATTGGACGAGCATAGTAATTTGAATAATATGATTAATTCTTTCCTTTCATTTCTGATGTTCAGGCTCAGGAGAAGAGAATTAATCATATTATTTAAATTACTATGAACGTCCAATCAGAAGCGTTGTTGAGCTGTCAGGTCGGGAGTGTTCATCCAATAGAATGACTTTATTTTGCAGACACGAGGAGCGGGTGAAATGAATAATATGTGCTTTTGATTCCAGTTTGAGACATCACTTCAGCGCTGGTCTTCGAAGAATAAAGACGAGTCTCCTCCATGCGAAGAAAATTTCAACAGAAATTGCTATCATTTGTCGATTGCTATCGTCTTCAGCAGAAGAGAAGTTTAATAGAAGTTTACTATCTCTGACAGACTGTCGTTGGTGTAATACCAGGTAATATGCCTTTCCCTTTGCGTGTTTTATCAGCTTGTTTCATCGTGAGCTTTTGGGCTGAGTCTCCACGTGTCTTTAGTTCACGTCTTGTAATGCCTCTCTCGTATTGTGTTCAGCCTCAAATACAAACTTGTATAGCACTAACATAGCTTTTATTCTTTTCATGCAGAATTTTGACGTATTAAAGCGAAGTTAAACGATGAAATTTGTGAACAAAAGATTGATGACCGATGAATTGTGGCTGAACTGACTCAAGATAACTCGCCTTTGAAGAGAAAGCAAGTCTAGGCTTTTCCTTTTTCTGGGGAATATTGATGATATGAGAAAGGTAATATACGCCAAATCTTACCGTTGAGCCACTAACCTCAGTTCCCTCTAACCACACGCAAATTACGTTTGAATTGAGTTCTAAAGACCTAAGCATGCACTGAACTAATGGTGCCTTTTATTCTTTCCCAGGTGGAGTTTGAGAGCTTAAAACCAAACTGATTGAAGCGAAGTGGGCAAAAAGTCCGTTACCGTAGCTGAAATTGCCCGAGACGACTCGCATTTGACTCAAAATAACTCGCCTTTAAAGAGAGAGCACGTTTACGCATTTTCTTGGGACTCAGTGTTGATGATATGAGAAAGGTAATATACGCTAAATCGTATGTGAGCCGCTAACCTTTGCTCCAATCGCAAGCAATTACCTTTGAATTGAGTTATAAAGACCAAACCAGTAAACTAACATTGCCTTTTGTTTTTCCAGGTGGAGTTTAAAAGCTAAAACCAAACCGAATATAAAAATAAGCTGGGAAAGAAAACCCATAGCTGAAATTCCCCAAGATGACTCGCACTCAAGTCCAAGGTGCTCTTCAACACTTGTTGCTGAAATGAACAGGTAATTTTGGGTCTATTGTATTCAAAATAGGATGATAAACTTGAAACGCTTGATCAGGCATCATGCGTTCTCTCAACTGAATAATCACCGCAAGTTTTCTCCCGATATTTAAGCTCCCTTCATCGAAGGTAAATCCTTGAAATCGCTGTCTATAACAAGCTTTCTTTTGGTTTTATTGCAGGTAGTGATTTAGCGGGTCAAGTCATTTGAAACAACGACAAAACCTGTTCATAATAAAACGTGAGTATTAAGCAATTGAACATTTTTAGATAAACCGAACAATGGGGAGTTTATGCATGATTCAGGTCAAGAACGACAACGGCCGCATGATAATTTAATATGAATAATGGCAAGGAAATACTTGAAATCCCAGAGAGGTTTTATAGATGTTGTTTTGGGTCTGTTTGCAATCCCGATTTTACGTGTGTTTCTTCTCAATAAAAAATGTAGTTTGCTTATTTCTTTAATCTTATTTCAGGTTGATGGGCTCTGTTGAGCTATTACCGACAAGCCAAATCGACGGCAAATCTACGTCCTAAAGTATGCAATCTCGACGGCAAATCTACGCCTAATGTAGGCAACCTCGACGGCAAATCTACGCCTAATGTAGGCAACTCTACGGCAAATCTACGCCTAATGTAGGCAACCTCGACGGCAAATCTACGCCTAATGTAGGCAACCTCGACGGCAAATCTACGCCTAATGTAGGCAACCTCGACGGCAAATCTACGCCTAATGTAGGCAATCTCGACGGCAAATCTACGCCTAATGTAGGCAATCTCGACGGCAAATCTACGCCTAATGTAGGCAACCTCGACGGCAAATCTACGCCTAATGTAGGCAACCTCGACGGCACTCTTCGCCTAATGTAGGCAACCTCGACGGCATCTACGCCTAATGTAGGCAACCTCGACGGCACTCTACGCCTAATGTAGGCAACCTCGACGGCATCTACGCCTAATGTAGGCAACCTCGACGGCAAATCTACGCCTAATGTAGGCAACCTCGACGGCACTCTACGCCTAATGTAGGCAACCTCGACGGCACTCTACGCCTAATGTAGGCAACCTCGTCGGCACTCTACGCCTAATGTAGGCAACCTCGACGGCAAATCTACGCCTAATGTAGGCAACCTCGACGGCACTCTACGCCTAATGTAGGCAACCTCGACGGCACTCTACGCCTAATGTAGGCAACCTCGACGGCACTCTACGCCTAATGTAGGCAACCTCGACGGCACTCTACGCCTAATGTAGGCAACCTCGACGGCACTCTACGCCTAATGTAGGCAACCTCGACGGCATCTACGCCTAATGTAGGCAACTCGACGCCATAACTACGCCAAATCGACGCCAAACAGCAACGCATCAGCGATGCCCGAGCATCGTACAGGTTAGAGTAGCCTGGTGGTCAAAAAATGTGCATGCAGGGGTTAGTCTGTGCATGATTAACTTAACGAAGTTAACTAATTTAGTTAACGAACTTAAGTTAAATAAAGTTTTAATTCAGTTAACTAAGTTCTGGCCACCAGGAACATAGCTAATGCATGATGCATGTGAGCAAACGTTTCTTAAATTCGGTTAAATATTTTAATCGGTTTTGCGCTAGGACTGCTCGCTTGTGCTTAGGGCTGCGCTAAGTTTAGGTTGATAATTTGTCTGTTAAAACTGAAAACATATCACAACTGTTATATATACCCATGCATATTTCACCTAAGAAATGGCTAAAAAGCCATGCACACTAACACAAACCATAGCCACAAATGGCAAACATAATCCCGTAGGTTCTTTCCTCTTTCTCTATCTTGTCCTGATTGGAATCATCTTCGGCTCTTAAAATCCGGTCAAATGCGGCTTTCGGAATTAACATTATAAAATGATAACTATAGGTCACTATTCGGTCTGGTTGTAAAATTGTTTGTATGTAAATACTTTTTGATTTCTCACCAAACATTGTAAATATACGATTTTATATCTTGCCTTACTATATTTTGTAATTGAACATATAATTATGTATGTATTTATGCAAAAACATGATTTATATCAAAATATGAACAGATACAAAACATCATGCACTATACCTCATGATCTTGTAGCTGCACATAAAATAGACACGCACACGAGTAAATACATTGATGCAAACCATGGCCTATATAATGGCTTCTAGTTTATATCTCTCTTAACTCTTGCATTCACTTAAGGCTACAGTTAATATTCAAGCCAGGCATGTCTTATACTGTCTTGCTATTCTGAAATACATGAATTTATGCAATCAAAGTTAACACACACATGCTCTCAAATGAGTTTGAATTTACTTGAAGAAAATAAGGAATGGGGGGGGGTGCATGCTGTTATCTTGAAACGATATATATGCCTTATTTCTACTATAGTTAGAAACCAATTACGAGACAAACATTGGCAGTGGCATTGTAACTTTATTATTTTTCCAAGGTCTCTGTGAGATTTCCAATCATTTAGCTTCGTCGAGCAGTGCTTATGAAAAGTAAGGCGCCGCTTTTTGTCTGTACTGTTTGACTTTGCTATGTGGTTCGAAGTGTTAGCAGGTGTCTTGGGATATCTAATAACGTTGCAGTGTTATTTTCATTGCTGTTTCTACAAGAGCAGCTTGCTTTGGCTATATGCCTAAGCTCTAAAAGTTTTTAAACCAGATTTTCAAAGAAAAAAATGTACTCCTGTGGCTGATTCTATAAGAGCAGCTTGCTTTGGCTATATGCCTTGGCTTTGAAAGTATTAGTCCAGTTTCTCTAAAAAAAATTGTACTCTAGGTGCTGTTTCTATAAGGGCATCTTGCTTTAGAAATATCCCTTGCATGGTTCAACAAATGTTGACTGAATTCTTTAAAAAAAATATTTACAATTGATGCTGCACTTGGTTTCGACATGCCAAGTGCAGCATTTTGTTGCTTTGGCTATATGCCTCAGCCTCAAAAATATAAAGTCAATTTCCTGTGGTATTTTTTTCCAAACCTTGTTTCTACAAGGGCAGCATGCTCTGGCTATATGCCTCAGCTCTGAAATGTGCAATGAAGTTTTCAAGGACAATTGTGTATTCCTTCATGCTGTTTCTATAAGGGCTCATGAAATATCTTCAAGTTAACTCGATCCTTGAAATATGTGTGCACAGTTTGACAGCTTAAAACGAAACTATTAGGAACACTGCCTATGATTTGTCAGCAGAATAATTTTAGTTTTTGGACGAACGTAACTTGAATCTAAGCGTTCTGAACTCAGGCATTTTTATGTATTACTATATTAGTTCGTCGATCTCATAAGCTTTATTCAGCTCTCTACCAGAGTTAGTGGGTTAAGTCTATAATAGAACAAAAAAAATACACGATAACTTAGAAACACTTACTCACATTAATGCATGTTTTACTGATCAGTCTTAAACATTACTCAAACACAATAGCACACTGTAAAAAGACATGAACAATTTATACTAAAGTATGCCAAATTAACATTTAACCTGCACTGTTCTATAAATTTAAATGTCAAGATCTTAAACGCACCTACTTTGTAACCGGTTTTAGATATAATAGTTTAATGTCTTCGTATATTAATGATGTACTATGTAAAGAAAACACACACGCTTTGTAATACATGTTTAGTGAAGTATTAATAAAAATAGGACCAAAATTGTCCGTCTCCTCTCTCTTGATTTCAATATCTTAACACACACACACACACACTTTGTTGTAATACATGACCTTGTTTTAATAAAATCTCAAACTTGTGTACTTTGTGTTTAATTCCGGCTTTCGGTGAGGGTTTTTCTCCAGGCACTCTGGTTTCCCTCGTAAAAAAAACAGTGTCCGTGTGTTCGGAACCGTGTTTACGGTTGGTTTTCCATACGAAAATTAAACTTTTCACGAGTAAAATTGCATGAAAGCTAAACATTTCGTTGAAAAATTTAGTTAGATATTTTCGCAACCAGTAGACTTTAATGTCTGACGTAAACGCCCTCAGAATAGAAAACATAATGGTCTAATGGAAGCTGACTTGTACACACGGTTACTGGGTTCAATTCCCGGAACACTGTTCTTTGTCGCGATGAACTTCATGTTCTTTTTTTTTATTCTTTTAAATTAAGCTTCGTCTTTAGACTATAATTTCACTTGACGAGTTGTTGATGAGCACTTCACTGATTTTGGAAGACGTGATACAGCCAAATTGAAATGCAATGCTTCCTCGTCCTGGTGCTTATAAAAGAACGACCACATTCGCCAGATACGTGACTTTAAACGTGGAATAAGTGTTCTTCAAGACTTCAAGATGTTCTCTTAATAACCACCTCATCCGTATCATTTGGCTAATTCTCAAGATTAAGACGAGAGTTAAATATCAACGAAGCGAAGAGACAATCCGATTGGCTATAAAGTTATGCTGAAGATTCCTTAGCGACAAAATGATGCGAGCTTGTTAAATCCTTACCTTACCTCCTGCACCTACTGTGAAGAGGCTTCCTTCTAGAACCAGCGCATGATGCACTGAGATTACATTTTAACTTTATTAAATAAATACTCTTTTTAGTCCGTTTTGTCAGATCAAATTTATGTTGTCAACATTGCTCAGTTCGTCTTTATTTATGTTGTCAACTATGACCGCAGGAAAACTACACGGTAATTGTGATTATTCAACCTGATGATATTTGTACTACTAATATAACATCTTATTTTCTTATGTTCACGATCTCTGTTGCTGCCATGCTAGTCTTCCTGGAT